TGACTCCTATCATGTTCTGCAAATCATAAATCATAAGCTGCAGTTCACTGCAAGTTCACCAGGTCGACTCATACATGAAAACATAAGGAGCACCTGTGATTGACTTCCAGACGCTTTTTTTCTGCAGGAAAAGAGAAGAGTGTGGTGTTGCGGTTTCAGCCTCTCCCTGGCACTGCTCGCTCAGGCAATCTCAAGTTCCCCTGTATCATCTGATGTACGGCTATCTGATGCCATGACTGTATTTGTCTTGGACATTGTTCTAGCTTTGATCATAAATTGCAGTAATTACTCTGGGCCTTATCCTTCCCTTCTGGAAACAATGTCTGGAACAGGAGAAGCTGAAAAGCCGGCACGCACACAAGAACCGACACAGAGGCCTACAGAATGTGGTTAGGGGAATAAAAAGCCTGATTAATGCAGCCTTTAGGTTTTTTTTCACTCGCACCAGCTTAGCTACCAGTGTGCAGCCATTAAGCAGCGGATGTGCTAATGAAACAGGGTGTTCTGTAATCGAACCAGATCTCTTCTGCTTCCTCCTCCTCCTTCCCTTTCCCTTTATCCTTCCGTCACTGAACACGAATAAATAAATGAGCAGAACCTGAGACTTGACTACAGGGAATTGTTCATCATGTACTGTGGAGAACAGCAGCAATCACAGCAGGCGGAGTGACTCATTTTGGTCCCTGCGTAGTACAGGGGCCACAAAATTAACCCTCCATTTACCACATAGTTGACACAGAAATAATGTCCTCTGTAGCCCCTCTGAGCAGGAAACAAACATGTTTGAATTCCATGTGCTGCGAGCAAACCGTGATAAAAATTTGTAATTAGAATTCCAGTCATACTTCACTGTAACTTCCTGGAAAATCATGAACCTCTGTCTTTGGGAATTAAACACCAGGTCAAGATGGAATCTCAGTGTGGTTACCCAAAAAAATGATGATAGAGATCCAAAAAATTCATATTTAAAACCATAAAACCTGTTATGATGTTAGGAGAAAACTTTTCAATAGTGTGGGAACTCTTTTTTTCAGGGAAAGTGTCATGTGAAGACTGGTCCTTTTTAACACTAATATGCAAATGGTGATTACCAAAATTTAATAATATTTGTTTTTGTAGGATGCAAAAGGCTCTCTGACTCTGGAGCTCTCATTTCGATCAAAATCAATGGTGTTTTGCTCTATTATAATTTAACCACATTAAACGCATAGTCAGGTAATGAAAAATATATAATCTTTTTAGTTATTTAAATTTATTTAACCCATAGACTGTATATAGAATGGATGCCGTCTGCCTCCTGGCTGGGTGAAGCCACCGCGAGAACAGCACCCTCTGGTGACGGGCTGCAGTATAGGTCATAAATCCCGCCTCCTCCAGCAATCCTTATGGAGTGGTGGACAAACTTTAGAAGGCGGAACCAAGTTGTCTATAGTATATAAAGTCTATGATTTAACCAGAAAAGCCTCTCTAAGATTAAAAATCTCTTTAACAATGTCCTGGTCAAGATTAGCAGATTCATTTCACCAAAGCTACAGACATACGACATATATTATAATTAAAAAAACATGTCAGCATATCCAGGATCACATGACAAATCCGTCAAAGCATCTACAACCTGATGAAACACCTTCATGGTGGGCGGATGGAGAAAGACACGTACACTGCAGTCTGAGCAACCATAATAAAATGTCAAAATGAAAAGACCCAAAAAGGCAAACCCAGCAGGGCAGACCTGTTGCATGGAGCTCAGGTCTGCTGATTTTGAGTGAAATGGTCCAGAGTTCAGATCCGTTTCAGGGAAAGTGCAGGGTCTGAGCTGGGAAGTTGCAAAGGGAGGGAGCATGGGAAGTAAAGAGCCATGGAGGGTGAGAAAGAAAAAGAAAGGAGAAACACATATGTCCGACAGAGGGAGGGTAGGAATTGTGTTGTAACTGAAACAAAATGTACTTCTTTGTATCTACCTCTATATATCAATGTGTGAAATGTTCAGTGTGTAAATTTTGTCCAATATTTTTGTCTCTTTATCATTAAAAACACATTATTTTCAAAAATACCAGACTTCTTTCCTGGCACTGGTATAATTACAGTTAGTCTGCCAGAGTCCGTGATAAGACCCACATCCAACTATATCAACACAACTCACAGATAATTTGCAAGGCAGTATTTAGTAGCCAACTCTAACCATTTTTGCGTGACATACGACCTTCAGCTTCCAAAAAGTTGAATCAATAGTAGATTCAGACAGGTCCACAGCAGTCGCAGCATCTTTATTGTTCACGTGAATGCAGCTCAGCAGTCCATTATGAGAAATAAGGTTGAGATTTCCCTCACATGACAAAGTGCAAAGAGGACCAGTTGCATCTGTCAAAGTAAATCAAACTAAAGCATGCAGGCTCATCTGCTTTCTGGCTCGGCATTAAAATAATTCAAAAAGTTTGAACATACTGTGTTTTTCATGGCAACTAAGCGATTCAGTTTCCCTCAGCAGGGCCGTATGTCATGGAAAACTCCAGATCAGCTTATTGGCCCCTGAAGTGACTTCTTTTTTAAAACCGTTTTTGATTCATCTGAACTTCATGACACATAAGAAAAGGAGGACACCACCCAGAACAAGAGATGGCCACTTCATCCTGAGGGCTCAAAATTCCCACGCATGTCACACCTAGTTATTGCAAAGCCACAAGCTGAGACATACACTGATCTAATGTTGAAAATATGACAGGGATTTGATCGTTGTTTCTGAGGTCTGGGCCAAAAGTTGAGCATGGTGATATCGAGAAAGTCGTACTTAAAGAAACTTTAAACCAGATTTGATCGTCATTATTTTGAGATAACAGCTGCACAGTTATCTGGATCGCTGGTGTATTTAATGAAGTACACGGGAACTTTAAACTAAATATAAAACTACTGCTGACAGAGTAAATCCATGCCAGCACCTCTGTAAGAACTTACGCTGAGAGAAAACAAGACTTCATGTGTGTTCAGAATGAGCCCCAGCCTCGCAGCGAATTGTGCAACACTTCTCTGTTCTTTGTTGATTTCCACAACATTTCTTATTGGAAAACATCTTCAGTATACAGGGAGGGAAACATGCACCCACCAACAGTATCAAATGTGTCTCCCGAGGGAGGTCATTACTCTGTGATGTGGTATGCTGAGATGCCAACGTGCAATGATCCACCTCAAGACGGTTTGTTCCCTGTCTTCTGCAAGTGAACTCTGCTGTTCAACATAAATACTCCTGACATTTCCAGGGCCCAGGATTCAGCCGTGTTCACACAGATCAATTCTGCCTCTGCCTGTTACCACACAAATGCCAAAGAGAAAAATCATGTCCTCATTTCAACAATGAGCTCAGAGAAGAGTTTTGTTTAAAAGTCTGAATTTCCTTATCACGCAAAGCCCTGTATCTGTGCCATAAGGGCTCCTAATGATCCGACACTAAAAATCTGCTTCAATATTTGCCCCCATTTAAGTCACAGAGTCGTATGTCACCTGAAACAAAATCAGAATATTGTGGAAAACTGTATGATTGACTCTTCTTTGCGACAAAGTAAACACAGATGATCAACTTAATAGAAAATGATGAATGCTCAAAGCAGCTGAACGGAGTTTTGAGTTTCTATTGCGTTCGGCGGACACTATGGACAAAAGCGGTAGTGTTTTGCCAAAATGATGACTGCATTTTCCATGAGCTCTTGCGCGTACTGTCGTGAAGACACTTACAAGGTCTTTGGTCTGGCATGTAGTTGTTTCGGAGGCGAATGAAACAAGACGGGACTTACCGGTACTTTTAATTTTATTGTTTGTCTTTTTGGCTATCTGATGAGGTAATGTATATATTTGCATTTTTGTGAAATATAATATGCTGCTGGTGAAACGAAGTTTTGTTGTATTATTGTGACATATCTATTCAGCCTACAGTTACGTCCTGTTTGTAGCAGTAAACCTACAGCAAACAGATTAGATAACTCGGCCGTAGATTAGTATATAAAGCTGAAGTTGGTAATTTTATATCTTCATATCAATACGCCAATGAAAAAGTGCAGCTTACGTTACCTGTCTAGGAGGAATTGGGCAAACTAGAATTCCTTCAAGCCCCTCAACTCTCTCCACCTCGTGAAGGATTTACCGATGTCTGTCCAAGTTTTGCCCTTTCTCGATAACATTCCCTTTTTGCTTTTTTTCAATGAATTTCTAAAGTAGGAGTTACATTACTTAGAAATATCTTACCTTTCCTCTGATGGGCTCATTTGCTGTTGTAGGGGACACAGATATATCAGGAGAAGCAAGACACTTTTTAAAATCTAGTTAAAAGTTCCCCACAGAAACTTTAAATAAGAAATCTAAAGCGTTGCTTATTCTGGGATTCAGGTCAAAACAAAACAAAACATACGCATATCGTCAGCTTTAACAGCAAAACTGGTAGCAACAAATTGCCCTCATTTGGTCGCACAGTTTGGGAGTCACAAGCGATCTGAGGAAAGAGTGAGTAAAAACCGTCACCATACTCTGCTGGGACTGGAGATCAGTCTTAACCAGTGCGATGAGTTCTGATGCTCCTTTAACTAGAGCGCCTGCTCTACCCGAGCTAAACCAGCCACCCTTCAGGCTGCTTGGCTTGAACTAATATAAACTCATTCATCCCTTTTCCGTGTGTTTCATGTGGCTTCTATCAACTGAACACCTTAAAATGATTTTTTTTGTTTGTAAAGTTGATGTTAATTCATAGGCATATCACTTTGTTGACTTTTTCCCACAAGGCTGAGCGTTTCTCAGCTCTGTGTGGTTGGTATCCTGCCCTGGGCTTCGTTTGAGCTTCAGTCATCAGTTGTGTCACAGCCTAAACCTCAACATTATAATATTATCCTGTGTTCGCCCGGGGATAAGGACCTCCAGTAGACAAACACCCTGTCTGTGGTGCTCATGCACTAAAAGTACAGCAGTATTATCGCACAGTGTAAACAGTTAAAAAAAAAGTTCAAAGTTCCTGGTTCATTCTCAGGATCAAAGTTTGCTCCCCACTGTGACAACTTTTTTCAAACACAGCTTTCCTCTTAAGTGCGTTGTTTTCACCACTCTGCTGTTTGGCCTATTTTTTTATTTTTTTTTCTGTTTGGTCTTGTCGAGGATTCAGATTTAAATATTCAGGTAAAGTCTCATGATACTGTATCTGGGTTAAAAAGGGGGCCAAAGGTGCTGAAGTGTTTGTAGTAAATATTATGTAACACCTTCCCTGACAGCTCATTTTGCTGCATGATGTGCTGAAATCTGTGGGAAAAAGTAATCTGAAGACCTTGAGATTTTTCATTATTTTTTAAATGACTCCTCACTCCTCCACTTTTACTCACTATTAGGTTTGATATTATGAATCAACATAAAGAAAGATGTTAGGTTACTCTTTTATTTCTCTTTTTCTGGTACGAGGGATTAATGATGTTGTTTGGTTGAATATTTGCTTAAAAAATTGATCACTGTGCTGAAAATAAAAAACACAGTTGCCAAAACCACATGGAGAAATTGTGCAAATTTGTGATGGATTGTGATGACATTCAGTGAGCAGCAGCACTGACATGAACTCAGTGTTGCTGCTGACGAGTTAAATACTAATGCTGTGATGTGTCAGCTCTTTACAAATGAAGAATTACAGTTTTCTTTGAAACTCATTGACAGTATGTATTTAAGTCTTCCCACAAGGTTTTAAAAATACAAGACTCAGAGCACGTTTTCTACCCACGAACAAAAACTCATGATGAGTTATGGGGAAATAACATGACAACACAAACATGCAATATCTCATGGCTGTTTTTTTTTTAAGCTGAAGTCAGGATTTTGTTTTGTGGCAATAAATATATATATATTTTAAATCACTTTCTCTTGACTAAGAGGAACTAAAGTGTGCCTATGATGAGGAAATGTATCTCTCATTACTGATTTCACGATGGACCGTCAAACCTTTGAAGACATGATCATAAAATCAAAACAAACTACAGTCATTTGACCACACCATGACTAAATCGGCTAATCAGTCTTGCTTCAAAGTTGCTGAAAACCTGAACAAACTGCGTCTCATTGAAGAAAAAAAAGGAACCAATAGACCCTTTGGAGTTTCCTTTATAGCAACATCCCATGATGCAGGAGGAACATCCGGCAGGGCTAAGATGGCCTGCAGATAATGGTACAGTCCATTGATCTAGTCCACTCCCCTGCAAAAAAAGACATTTTGAACAAGCATCACTGGACCAAGGCAGACTTGAGACATCCAAACAATGGCTGTTTTGAACTGCTGCGGTCAGAAAAAGCAATGCCACAGTCACAGGGCAAGAGTGGGAAAGTTTTAGAGAAGCGGCCCTTACCAGGCCTGAGCCTGAGACTTTTAACTGCTGCAATATTTTAACATGTAGCTGTAAATGGGATTTTTAGAGATGAGCTTGTGTGATTTGGATTAATATAAACTTTTTGTTATTAAGTAGATTGTTTGCCTTTGATTTATTTGTTATTAGCCGATAAGATGGCACAATTACAGTCAGGATCATGTCCCACCTGGTCAGTGAAGTAGGACATAGTATCTCTTGTTTAGGGTTGAAAAATACAATATTATATTAAACAGACTATGCTAAGTGGCTGCATCTTTATACGATGAATAGAAATTTCCTTTCTGGAGACTTTGGATTGATTTACTGTGTAAGACAACAAAATCAAAGTTGAGTTATTAAAGCCGAACCAGTGATTTTACCCACATTTTTACTTTCTTACAATATTTCTATCAATCCAAAATTATTTTAATGACACTTTTTTTCTGTTTTCCTGGGGATTCCTGGTTTCATGGTGTTTGAATTGCATCTCAGGAAAAAAAAAGTTTTTGAACTGAGTTAATCAGTTTTTAAAGATTATGATATTTACTATAATTTTGATGTGCCGAGATTATCAAACCACTCAATCAGCCTCTGCTATATTGGCTGATATGAGGCAGAAGATCTTTAACAGCCTGAACCATCTTCATAAGGAGAAAGGTGCTTCAGATGCTTTAAGCAAATTCAAAAACAAATGGTGAAGTCCAAAAGAAAGGTGGAAAAGTGGAAATGTGGCATGCTGCAAAAAGCAGAAACAATTGCATAAACAGCAAACATGTTGCTAATACACAAACAATGCTGAGCCAAAACACCCAAAAGCAGACAACATACCAGCAAATGTTAAATACTCCAAAGCAAGACTTGCTAATGGAAATCCTCCAGGCAGCAAAGTGAAACAGCTTCATTATTTACAGAACAGAGAGAAGAAGAGCAGAGGCTGAACTTCGCTCTGAAGATTGTTTAGACTGTTACAGATCCTTTAGCTTTCTCAGCTCTTGTACCATAAACCAGATCTTTATAGCTAAAACTGTGAAGACCAAGATCAAGTAAGAATGTTTTCTGTACTCTCATTGGTAGATTAATTCTACTCTCTTCATTATATTCAAAGAATACGAGCTGGACCCGATCTGTATGTAAATAATTATGAGATAACTTTACAATCAGGAGCTATGAATAGAAATTGACTGACTGATACTTGTGGCTGAGGTAAGAGATCCAGCTTGTGTGCTCACACGTTCACCTCTCATTTCCTAAACAACAATAAACTGAGTGTTCTCTTGTATTTTATAACATACATACATCTCACATGGTCCAGTTTAATTCAGTTGTGTATACAGTCTGGATTTGTCATTACATTTGTGCACTTTTCCCCACTGACCCACTAAGATGGATCTCTTTTTTATGTTTTCAGGATGGGATTCATATCTGCTGCCTCTGCAGGATGACTGAGAAACAAAACATGCCCACTGTGCATCATGTTGCACCAACAACTCTCTGGGGAGGCGATGGGTCAACATGCCGCTAAGAAATTCCCGAGACTCTTTTTAGTGATTTAGTTTTGGTGTAAACACCATGGCAGATGTGGTTCTCAACCACATGAAGGACTCAGCTCTGAGGTTTTACCTAATATTGCTGAAGACTGCAGTTTGTTCACAACATAATCCTCAAAAGAGAAGCTCTTTGACAGGGCTGTGTTCATCTCAATGCAAACCATCACTGTTTTATTTGGTGAGTCTTTGTGCTTTTTAGACTTTTTCTCTTGTTTTTGAGGCAGTCAGAGTAATTCGGTTTTCTTTTCAAGTAGCAGACCTCCACGAAGTCTGACATCTGCTGTGTAAATATGCCTGCCCCACATGGCTCTGCTTCATATCACTCTCCATGTTGTGGCGTCATCTTATGCAGTCACCGAAGCTGTCTTTTAGGTTTTAACTAACCTTCAGCGCTGCAGCATCATCAGTACTCTGCTGGCATATCTCCACGTTTGTACAGGTCAACTATCAGGTCCTCTACACTTTATTGCTCTTTTACGTGAGAGCCGGAGCGCCTGGCATCTATTAAAAACATATTGGATTCACACACAGTCACACACGCTTGTGTAGTCATAGTTGTCATAGCTTCCCAGCTTGCACGTGGGTCTTATTTATCGAGCTGGAGCCAACAGCCTCTTTCATCTTTTATCTCGGGTTTAATTTTCTCGTTCAACCTTTTTGAAAGTGACACATTGTTTGAAACCAGTGGCGGTCCTGGAGGCAACAAGGGCTTTGGCTTTGACTTGCACAAGTGAAAACAGAAACCTCTTCACACACATTCACAGTCGGGGTCAGTAGGAGACTCAAGGGAACTTCCCTGTATTCTTCAACCAGGGTTTACTATCTCATGATTGTTGCCATTCTGACTATAAGTCTTGCAAACATTGCACCCCCTTAGAAAACAAAGCATCGGTCTCCAGAAAAAGAGTGTCAAAATAATGCATATGATGAGGGAAAACCACATGAGCTTTTTTCCTGCAGCTTTTAAAATAAAGTTCAGTTTTACATAAATAATCCGAAACACTTGTCCCTCAGGCTGACCTTATGAAGACACTGAGATTTCTCCTGTGGATGAGCTACTTCAACTAACAGCACGAGGATTAACCTCTGGAGTGCTTTCTAACCTCACTGGTATATTTACCTCATGCATTATTCACTCTGGATAGAGCCAGTGTTTGGAAAGTCACTGGAAATTAGTGATTTTTTATGATTAACAGATACAACCATCAAAAAGAAAACAAATGATGAACTGCGAGATAAAAGTGATTTCTCAGAAAAGTCACTGCATGTTCTCTAACTATTTTTGCTTCACTAATGCACAATGCCCCTGATCTCACTTGGCTGATTACTTCTCTTAAAGCAGCAGACTGGACAGTTACAAGCATGTCTTCAACAACATACCATGCAATCAGCTTGTTAAGTCCTTCCTGGCTTACAAATTGCACTGGCTGTGATTTAATGTCAAGTTTAGGCGGTTTAGAGGGAAAGACTTCCTCTTGGTCTGCCAAGCTGGGTCCCTGATGTTTGCAGCACAAGGCTAGTAGAGGGAATTGTTGGGTTAAAGCTCCTGTGAGGAGTTTTTTGACATTCATGAAAGAGACTGAAAGTCCTATTGATGCCTTTTTGTGATATCTGAAAGCAAACAAGATCATCAGGAACAAGACTGAGCATTTTCATATCCTAATTTTTAATGACTAAACCTGCTATAAAGAGGTAGGTGTCGATGGAGCAGCTGAGTGAATATCCCTGTTTTTTATTTTTTATTTCCACGTAAAATGTTCATAATAAGTAACACCCTTGACTGTCAAAATTGATAAGATGATGATAAGAATTTTTTTATTCAAAAGTCCCCACCAAGCATGCAGAGGCTGCTTTGCCCCCTCACATGTTTGTCTCTTTTTATTCCTGTTTTGAAACAAGCTAGCCTGTCACAGTCAGAGTCACCGGTAAATTAAAGTACAGAAGAGATTTTATGTGATTTTATGCATTTCTGCACCGGTATCAGCCAAAATGAGTTTGAAAATATATGCAAATCTGGAAAAAATCTAATAACATGCATCTTTAACTTCCTCTCACTACCATTTCCTTGTTCCATATTTCTTACTTCCAAGACAGCTCTTGGGTCGTAACCAAGAACTGACATTTTTATTGAGGCAGTATCCTAGAAAGAAAACAAACTAATGCAAACAAGCAATGCTTCCTGCAAGGGTTTGTTTATGAGAAGTTACACCTGCAAAGTTCAGGACCTGGACTGACCATAATCTGGAAATATCTTCAAGTCACATAAGCAACCTTTCTTTTCTTACACGTGCAGGACTCATGGCTGTTGTCCAGCTATAAATACTTAATGCATTCTTTTGTTTTTCTACAACAATTTAAAACAATTGCCACTGCAAAGAAACAGCACCTATGGTACTAATTTGTTTCATCAAGTACATGGTCATGTCAAATGTAATAGATTATGTTCAAAGACTTTGGGTTTCAAGGGAATGAAACACTAAATTTATGTACTGCCATAAACAGGAGGTTTCCATGGATGCCCAAAAGCCCTTTTGTTAGGCTAAGTGAAAGACTGTGTTTCTAGTTAAATGGTATTGTCAAATGTTAGTAAGCCAAATGTAATCCAGTGGCATTAAGTTTCCTCCATCATTTATTTGATGTTTCAAATAAACTATAATTGATGTTATTTATTGAAGAAAGGATTTATGTGAGCCCGAAACCAAATGAAAGAAAAAGACAAAGAAAAGAACAAAACTGAAGAGACTGTTGGTGTTCCTGTGGTCACTGCTCTCCACAGCTGGCTAAAAAACCTTGGAGCAAAGAGCAAGACTCTGACCCTGTGAAAACTGTGGTGATTGGACCAGCAAATCATTTCAGATAAATAAAACAGGAAGAATGATTTCAGTCAAAACATAAAAAACATGAATTGAGTTGAGTGGACCTCCTAAACCGACAAGTAATGTCAGAAATCTGTAAAAGCAGTTTCCATCATTTACGAGAGCTTGTATTTATTTTATTGGAAAGGCAGTTATGCAGCATCGTTAAACAATGACTGGTGATGATGACACCAGCTTATGTTATTAATTTATGAAAATATTCATCTTGAGTATTCCAGATTTTGGGCTTTTGATGCTTTTTGAGGTAATAGCCAAGTGTCAAGATGGAGAATGAGTTAAAAAAAAGGATCAAAACACCCAAGATGTAAACAGCAGCGCTGGTTAGTGCAGCATCCTAATTCATCTGGAACGCCCCCCCTTAAGTCGGATTTCTGACTTGGAAAGTCATCGATCCTCACCAACCCCAACTCGACGACAATGACATACTCCAAGATGGCAGCGCAGTGCATCAACAGTAAGGAGTAACAGTGAAAACTAATGTAATGTATTATTTATTAGCACTTCTGTTTTATTTCTGTGTTTGTAAGAGTCAAATACTGTGTTATGCGTTGTTTAGAACTGGTATAGCTAAAAACATCTAACAATCGCTGACAATGGCTAACAACAGCTTACAACCGCTAACAACAACTGATAATGGCCAACAACAGCTGACAATAATAAACAACAGCTAACGACGGGTAACTGTAGGTGTCCATCTTGGTTTTCCGACTTGTTAACTGGAATACCATCAACTCAAGTGCAATGTTAATCCCAGCTCTGACATCTGACTTCTGAGGTAACTGGAACGCAGCATAAGGAGTCAGTTTGTAGGTAGACTGGATTCCCCTCACCATGAGGTCATAAAGCATTTTTTCTGAACGATGAGATCACAATAAACCCCCAACTAATTAAAAGTGGGAATCAGAGTAAAAGACCCCTGTCCTTTATTTTCTTGCCATCCTGAAAATATCTTGGAGCGCTTGGCACCCAGTAATTTTCTGAAGAAACATGAAAGGAAGCCCTCTTTCAAAAGTTGCCAGGTTTGAGTTATCACTGTTTGCATACAAATTGCTTCAGTTTAACTTTACAGTAGAGAAATTCAAAACATACTCCAGGGATGTGTTTCATTTTTCTCTCCCTTTAAAGCTTTTTTTGGTGGGGGGACAAAGACAAAACAAATTAACACCTGAAGACATCTGGTCCCATCACATCAGATCCATGAAAACACCGAGGACCAGGTTAGATGACAGTAATAAAGAACATCCACACCTTCTTTTCTCTGTTGTTCTGTGATGTATGCATGTCAGACATGCCGCTGTGGTCTATAAAGGTGTCCAGAGGTTGTCCAGAGGGTTAAGCCTGAAGCCTCTGAGATATTACCGAAGCTACAGGGGTGAAAGGTTGTGACAATTCAAGAGGCCCAGTGCTGGAGAAAAATTCCAGTAGGATTATTTTATTAACAGAGGTAGGTGTTCAGTGAGATAATAGTCCTTCAGGGGGAGCATTATTCATACGCCTCTGCACATATGTGGCTGACTCCCACTCCAGCACAGAAACCACAAGGGCACAGATGTCTCCTCCTGTCCTGTGGTGTCCAAGTAGCAAAAGTAAGAATAGGCTGGCTTCTTATTAGCTTATTTTGAGTTTTTATTTCAGATTTGGAGAGAAAAGTTTTGCAAAAATGAAAAAGCATACACTTTTTAGCTTTATGTTTGTTTGTTTTTTAGCCCTCTGCTACTTCATTACAATCAAGTGGTTTATTTGCGAATTTCAGAAGCAGCGAATCAGAAGCAGATATAAAAGCCTCGGCTCTATTGTAATCACTTTTCTATTTGAAAGGCTTCAATAATTCACAAAGAGGAAAAACCCATTGTTAGTATGTACAAATTGTGATAAGCTGAAACGATTGGTTTGATAAAAGTGTGTAAAGGAATTTCTATATCAAGTGGGAATAAGATTTCCAAGATAACAGCATGACAGGACTTTAGTGATTTAGGACTTGTGCACCTAAAACATTTGCGTGTGTGTGTGTCACTGGGGAGAGCAGGATGCTGCGGCCAGAAGAAATGTTGTTGTTTTTGTTGACTGGATTCTGGAAGAAGATTTGTCCATCTCTGACCGAGAAACCCAGATGTCCAAAGATGAGTGATCTCCTCATGACGGGAAGGTCGCCGAGTTTGGCCTGTGACTTCACGCTTGTCCAAACCAGAAATATTCCAGCATTTATCACCACATTGCAGCTCCCTATACTGAACACGAAAACATTTGAAAGTCACAGATGTTTGTAGGATGTGGGGTACCGGGTATGATTCATAGCTTGAAATCTTACATTCCTACTGTCATCCAAAATTAATACATACTGTCTTACATTCCCTTGATGATACTGCGATGTTTGGAGCAGGAAGCACAGAAAGCATGCAGAAAATGAACAAGCATTCTTCTTCATGTCACTTTGATTGTAGTGTTATCAAAGTTTTTACAGTTTTAAGAATCAAGATTTAACATAAAGAAAAAACGTTCCATAATATCACATGGACTGAGTTTGGCTAATGTGAGGCATCAATATTTGTTTGTCGTCTGTCTTGGAAAGAAGTCACTGCCCTCTCTTAAACTCTTCTGATCATGTGATAGTTACATTTCGCTGAGATTGATTATGCAACACGACAAGTGTCTAAAAGGCCTGTTGATAAATTTTCCTTCTATGTGTAGGTAATCGAAAACAACTGCTGTGTTTGACACAGTCCAAGAATCTGAAGCATTCACGCATTTGAAAATGGTCAGTCATGGTCAAAATTATAGAAAATTTGTGGTTAAGGAGCAAATTGCAAACATGCTGGTATGTTGGTTTTATGTTCAATACATGGATATGAAGCTATTATCCCCATTGGAAATGGAAAGAGAAAGAATTTGTTTGGTTGGTAAAATTGAGTTTAAAAAAAGAAGCTTATCCTGACTAAAAGTCTCCACTGAAAGGATGCATGGAAAGAAGATCTGAGAGAAAATTAAACTGATAGAAACCTTTGCCTGAAATGCACAAAGAAGTTCACCTTTGCGACTTCCCTGTGCACCAACATCACAGGTTTAAGGACAATGGAGCATTGTGTGGCAGTCATTCAATCCAGTACTACGCAGTAACACTGATAGCAAGTGATCACAGAAAAATGATGTCACCGCAGCTGCTTGCAAGAACAACAAAGAAGCACCTTTTCTGAAGTCGGATCAAATCCAGGAGGGAATTAGAAGAGGAAAGAGCCCAAAATAACACCAGCTAAGACGCTGAGATTTGTCAGTGTCAGAGCCAATCATGGATTTAAATGTGTTAAAAACATTTTTGCAGTGTTGAATTCACTCATCAAAATTGATTTCTCATCAACTTTTGGAAACCTTTTTTGGCAGCATCTGCCACTCACACATCCAATTTAAGCCTTAATACAAGGGATAAGTAAAAACGAAGGAAACTATTTCTGAACAACATCGGGAGGCTGTTGAACAGAAGGTAAAATGGTCACCATCCTCAGGTCTCCTCTTGTCCTTATGGAGAAGTGTCCTTAAGCAGGACATCAAACCCCAATTATTTTATAAAGAATCTTGGACATCCTGAACAGGCCACCAGTCTCTCATGAGGCTGACATATTAAGACAAACACACTCACTCACACACCGATCCAGTGGAGCCATCAGTTATAGATAGGCTCCACCCCCCAAGGCCCCACTCTGGATAGGATAAGTGATAAGATAATGGATGAATGGATGGAACTACTGACAGGGTAAGGGTCCTGCCTGATGTCTCAATGGTGTTTTCTTTTGCACAAATATATTTTTCAGATGAATGGCCCCAACTAGGCCAGTATCAAAAAGACTCAGATACTTCACGCTTAAAGTGATCCTGAAGTCTCTACAGAGCAGCACCCAGTCTTATCTGGTTTGTAATTAGTGGCCCCATGACCGTTCCTGGTTCCCATTCCCAACACCAAGACTCTCAGTTGCTGTTCCTGATTGTCTGTCAGTCATCTTGGGTCCACTCCTGATTCCACGCTGGCAGATCAGCTTGCAATTTGTTCCCAGCTGGTAGCCTGGCTGACTATTCCTACTTCCATACTGCTCATACCTGCTCCTGGTTTCCTTGCTGGCAGCTTTGTCAACGCATGATGGTCATGACTCAGTCAGCATCCTGTTCCTGCTGAGCTGCAGCGATCTCCTGCTCCTGCTGATTTACGTAAAATTGTGTGTTGGGGCTTCAGCAGCTTCCTGATTCCTGGCTCTAAAAGCTCACCTGCAAGTTTTTTTTTAGTTTAGCTGACAACTCATTTCTGAAAACTGCCACCTTGCTTAGTTGACACAAACAAAATAGCTGCTATGAATAAACCCTTTGCAAATATTCAAAGCAAGATTGGTGACCCTCCAGTAACTTCTTACACTGAAGGATTTTCAACAACCAGACACAAACTCTGCTTTACTTAGTCTATGGCTCTACAGCTGAGTGGGTGTGTACAGTGCTATTACGTTAGCTAAAGCCGAACAGCTTCTTGAGACCATAGACTGTATATAGAATGGACGCCGTCTGCCTCCTCGCTGGGTGAAACCACTCCGAGAACAGCACCCTCTGGTGACGGGCTGCAGTATAGGTCATAAATCCCACCTCCTCCAGCAATCCCTATGGACCTGTGGACAAACTTTAGAAATTTATTACACACAATATAAATTTTTCTCCCCCTGCTTGCGATGTTGACATGTAGTTATTATAAGACTGGTTTGTGCTCAAGTCCTCTTTTTTCTGTACAGCTCCATTTTTAAAAGTTATTAGGGGGTTCATGTTTGCTATGATTGACACTAGATACAGCCTATGGGCGTACAAGGATTGCGTAGCTCACCCGGGGGATACGCTGTTTGAGCCGCACGTCATCACAGCGACTCTCAGCGAATCCTGCCGAATGCGTACAATACTACTGCACAAGTGGTGGAGTGCGTACATCGCTACTGCGCAATGTTGGTTACACGAAATGAAGAAAAATCATGGAAATACCCAGAGCTTTCCAGCTACAAGTCAGTATACTGGCGGAAGGTGGAACCAAGTTTTCCACAGTATATACAGTCTATGGTTGAGACACAAGAATGCATAAAAAAACAACAACAACAGAAAAAACATTGTTTGTGAATTTAACACCAAAACGGAGCTGGGAAGGAAACCTCACAGAGCACTTCACAAAACAGCAAACAAAGAAAATTACACAGTTTTGTTCACAAAATTACAGATTTATTACTTGGTGCATAAGCTTGCCAAAACATGTTCAAGTTCAAGGGGTTATTTTGCTAAACACCAAAATGATGTTTTAATCAAGGCAAAAACAGAAAATCTTTTGGGTATTTATGAGAAACGGGTTAATGTGGCAGAAGAAATGGAAATCTGCTCTGAAAAGTATGACCTTGACGCCATGTTAGTCTATAAACTACTCAAATTACTTAGATTCTGCATGAGGTTAGTTACTCATGTCTGTCTTAAACTTTTTCAACTATACATCACACTGTATAACTATTGTTTAAAATTTGTTAACTTGCTGATACAGCTCTATGTTAGAGTACCGACAAAACCTGAAAACACTGTGACTATTCGTATACAGACAGATCTGCGAGTTTGCAGACCAAAATTGTATGCTATTTCAATTACTGCCGACATTTTAAAACACTTTAGGGTAAACTGCCGAGTGTATGCGCTGGCCAGGCATAGCATGTATACCACTAGGCTCACATACATTTGGCCGGGGCTGGCTTCAATTAAAACACTATTACTGTCAAATCTAATCAACACTCCACATGGGGATCTCAGCAGGAACAATTAAGCATACATTTATCTTTGCTGTCCATGCAGAGCTGGGCTCAAACTATGCTATTAAAGTCCCACACATGGTATTATCTAATTTTCTGGTTTACCATATTGATTCAGTGGAATATTTGGAAAATCACAGTTTATCATGAGAACATGGTATTTATAGTCTATATTGGTCAGGCACATCATAAATCTCATTTGGAGAGTCGGCCACAAGCTGCCAGACGTTCTCCCCAGCGCACACAGGCAGCTCTGCTGAACATGTACCTGGTGCCTGTTATTCGTGGTTCATGCTAGTCTGAACCACAGGCTGAGATTTTCTCTTCAAATATGTCAACCTCAGTGTAGACAACTGTATTTATCCTACCTCCTCCCATGTAATATCACAGTGGCCTCAGTGGTAAAATTAACAAAGCTCAGTATGTATGCACGCTATTGTGCAGACTGATACCTGTGCCTTTGCTTTAACTCTCTGGCCTGGCTGCGAGTCAGCACACTGGAATTTCAAATGTGCCTTTCCTCTCATATCGACTGCCCATAGTGAAACTTCAGGAGGACAGGCATCACATGACAAGAGCAGCAGTGACAGTGTGTCTCTGTGTGGCGACACTTCAGACAGCCCAAGGCGATGAGGGCATCGTTTGATTCAGAGACAGGAATGGCCTTCTGGGCGCTTGATTACCAGGACCCCAGGAGCTTTCATGTGGTCAGCATTCTGCGAGGGAAGGGTCACTGTTATCGATTAAATTATCTGAGTCAGTTAAAGGCAGAAACAGGGTGCATTCATGTTCCCAGCTGAAGGCCTGACTCTTTGGAAATGGTCTAATCCATCTTCCTGGGAAATGAGAGGATAGGAACAATTATCTGCAAAGCAACATGTCCACTTCAAAAGAGGCGCACCCACGGCTCACTGCAACCTCCAGTTCATCTTCCTGGAATGTGAAAAAAAGTTATGAAGCAGTGTTTGACTTTTGATTGAAGTGAGTAGGTTTAGGATGCAGATCAGAGCTGCAGGATGTTCACTGTATATGTAGATGGAGTATTGCTTGAACAATGGTTTCAATCGGTGGTTCTCAACTGGTCTCACTCTGGGACCCACATTTCCCCATGGTCTTTAAGTCGTGACCCACTTTTATAGAATTCAAACCAAGCAAATTTATTTTTTATATATAAAAAAAACCTTTAAAGACTCTAATCTTTAACATAAATCCACTTGTTTTATTGGGTAAAGTGCATTTCAGAGCACATGAAGGGGACAACATGAGGACGGCAACTACTGCAGTTTCATATACGGAAAATATCAAATATCTAATAAATATCACATTAAATATTTACTTTTTTGGACCAGCTGTTTGTGACCCATCCAGAATGTATCTGTGACCCACTTATGGGTCGGGACCCACCAGTTGAGAACCACTGGCTTAAATGATTTCAGTTGCTTTATTCCACTTGATCAGAACTACTTAAGTAAAGAACTAAACATCGAAAGCAACACATGTCCTTGTACCCTTGACCAAAACTGTTATCGTGCTTTCTTTTAACAGTCTGTTTTTCTTCCTGGCCTTGTTTGCTATTGTTGCTTTTAAGAGAGGTGTCACTTTAAATTTCAGTCTGTTACACGACCACTTGAAAACTCCTCAGAAGAGCTTTCAGTCGAGCTTGTAAATCAGCTGTCCTGCTGCCAACATCTTCTGTTAGTTTTAAAATGTTCCCCTCTTCAAAATAAGGTTAAAGTTTAAAATATTGTGATGCAAATGCATTATGGGGTATGTATAGGTATTAAACAGCATCTATTTGTTCACTTTTGGTGACAAACAGTTTCTGGTCAAAAGTATTTTATTCTCTGCTGAACATAAGAGTTTGATACTAGGTTGGACAAAAGCCTTTGATCCCAATTTCTTAATTTCTGGCCTTGTATCTGTTATAAAGCCCACCCTTAATTGTAAACATATGACCAGGAAGTTTATTTTAGTTGATTTGGAAAGTGTTGAAATAAAACTTTCCAGTTATGTACTCATCTCTACAAGTGCTTGTCCTTATCAAGGATTTCGTCAAGAAAAGGAAAAAAAAAAAAAAAAACCTGTTCGGAAACGACTCTTAATGAAAAGAAATTTCCAGAAAATCCATCATCCACGTCGTTCTAAAACATGTTGGTAATAAAATTAAGACCAGTCATCTGCACTTAGAATCAAAACAACTCCCAACGAATGTGTTTTTCTTCTGACGTCCAACAGGCTCATTTTCTGGAACCGGACCTGTTTCCTCCTGGCCCGACGCATTTATGGTTAGCCACCTGCCTTATGAACCGCGTCATCAGGCCGCCAGCTCACATCTGTGGGCCACAGAGGTACTGATCTGCTAAAGAGGGGAGAGACAGACAGACAGACTCTTGGATCATTTGTTTATCATCTAGCATGGGTGTAGTCCATATGCATGTTCTGTGTGAGTCACATCAAAGTCAGCGGGACAGCCTTTCGCTGAGCTCCACCACACCAACAGAGTGTGATTTACGGACATGTTGCTGGGTCTCAACTGTGGGGAACCCCATTCTGCACAGAACATAAACACCCACGTTTCTGAACAACCCCGAATCAAAGGCAGACTCGGGGTGGGCTGACTGATGTGTTGTGCTGATGCATGGCTGCGGGTGGTCAACCAGGAGGGTGAAACCGGACTGTGTGATCCATTAATAAGAACCAGTCTCTCTGTGCCACAGCGAAACTGCTCCTCACCGTCTTCAGTTACAGAAAAAGGATCAACCCTCAATCACTTGAACCCCAGGAATTTAACGTTTTGTAGGTGGGTCTTCACACAGCAGTCAAGACTACTGCTTAAACTCATCTCTAATTAATTATATACACAACGTCATCACCCTCTGATGAAAGCAGCATTGTATAAACTACAATGTGAGCTCAATCAGATAACAAGAAATTGAAGAAAAACAAGATCAAAAAGAACCTATATATCTCTTTTGCTTTTCCTAGCCTGAGGGCCAGACTGACTTGACCAAGAAAACCATGTGCACAATCCAAACAAGAGAAAAAAGGCACAATAAGGAAGTAGAAATGATTTAATAAAGTGGATTTTTCTCCAGCTGCAAGTCCTTATCTGTGGACAAAGAGGATCACCAGAGAAACGTTTGGGAGATGATCACTAAAAACCATGTAAACCCACTTTACCAAATTGCCAGAATGTTTTGATGTATGAAATCAAAGTATTAGTCATTGAAGATTAGTCTCTTGAGCAACCAGATCTCTCAGGGAAAAAGAGACAACCTCGGAGATTTGTTACCATCCCAACAAGAGAGTCCTCATCCAGTCTTGAGGTTCATTCAGTTGGGTTGTTTTTTGATGTTTTTGAAAAGACTCGATTGACGACACATTGACCGCACACAAAGATGTTTCGTGAAACTTTTAATTTGAAAACCTTTACAAATATTCATTTTCTATCGCACTCTATAGTTTCTTGGCTGCCCTGGGGCGGTGCAACAAATAGACCAAAAATTATCTTCTTTAAACATAACAAATTAACAATCAAGTAACAAAAAACATTTGGAAGTACCTTTTTATTTATCTATGAATAATATCTGTGCTTAAATGAGTATTTGGGATGTTCTATATCAACCAATTTTCTGTTGTAGTTTTTTTTAACTAAAATCAAAATTCTAACTACCTCAGTCTGTACAGTACTCAAGCATGTTTAACCCCGAATGACCAATCAAGTCCAGTTTGCTAGCACGATGTCAGAGCTTTGTACCTTGCTAGCACGGTTCTTCTTTCACCCTTGCATGAGTGGAAGAGGTGGACTTCAGCAAAGCATGATTGCTCATACATGCACACAAGCATGGCACATGGAAGCATCAGATTATTTTTTTTTTGCCTTAAAGCGTGGCTAGCATTAGCAGAGCTAGAACCACCGCCCTTGAGTCCTCGTTTTAGCTTAACACCCACATGCCAGTGCTGGTTACATATTGCTTCCGTCAAGTGGTTGTTTAACCAGACACAGCCAATGTATGTCAACAATGTTAGCTCTGTTTTCTATGTTGCAGATAAAATTATTGCCAAACCACTGGGCTAATTTACTTCCAGGTAGTGTAGAGTGATTATATTCTGACTTCCCAAAAAGAGGTCACAACTACACGGGGTGGAGTCACAGAGTCGCAAGAAGTTTATTTTGAGAGTTTTTCCGGTTGGATCGAGTGTCTTTTACGCGCTTCTAACTCAGTAAGTCCATGTGACACAAAATCAAAACTTACGTACAAAACCGCAGAAATTTGAAGGATTTTATAAACTTCCCTGGACAAAGCCGGACAGCCCCCCAAAAAGAGGACATGTCCGGGTAAAAAGGAAGTATGGTCACCCTAACGTAGTAGAGCATTATGTTAGTGTGGCAGTGACCTACAACCTGAGCTACAGCCCCAGCTGGTGGCTAACGGCGGCAATATAGACACAATATTTCCCTGGAATTTCAGGCCTACAGTGATAGAAATACTGAGTTCAACTGACTAGTAGTCCTACCTAGGGACACCCAACATGCGTATTCTTCAAGCGGTAACATAGCTTTTTACATTTGAGTCCTGACAAAATGAATCACAGTATCAAACTTGCTGGCTTCAAAACCAAAACAATGAGCTGAAAGATGTTAAAATTCTCTACAGATGGAAGGGGAACCATAAGGTGATGATATGTTGTCTTATTTCACAGAATCATGTCAACTATTGCTGACAGAGAAAACATGGATGAAAGCAGTCTGATTCTCTCATGTGTTACTCAATAATCAAACACAACCCTAAGGCTTTGACCTTTCTTAAACTGTATTTATACTACTCGTCCCAAGCTCTTGGCCACGTCAGCAAGAAAGAGAGAGAGAGACTGTGGCGCCTGGCAGATGACCACCTGTGTCTCATGACTGTCTCTGTGAGCATTAACATAACTATTATTCCACTGAGGAGGACCTTTTCCAGTTATGATTCACCTGCAAGTGATGCCAAGGTTTTCCAGCCAGCATCAGAGGAATCTACCTGCCATGATACGACTTAAATCATCACTCAAAACAGATTGCACACAGACAATACTGTGGTTTCTCTCCATTGTCGGGTGATTTTGATATCATCTTACAGACAGTTTGGACATTTTGCTTATCGGGCTGTGCATGGGTTATGTCATCAGTGTGGTAACAATGCAAAATAGTGTCCCTATGTGACTGTTGTGTGGAGGCTGCAGTCATGATAGCATGTAAGAGCACAAGATGATCCTACAATAAACTCTTTCCAACCGCGTGAGCCAAGAAAACAATCACAGATCTTGGCCAAGGTGCTCCTCTCTGTACTTCTGTGAAGCCAAGCTGTGAAGACACTGAGCCTGTTTCCTGTCTTGTTTCTCTAAAACTAATTGGTGACATCCTTCGAGGCATTTTAATCCTAAGGTTACAAGGACTATCACAGCAGGAGGAGGAAATTCACAAAACTATGTCGAACAAATCAGCGTAAAATGTAAAAAGTTTATGGCATACACCGGAGGCTTTGGTGTCCAAAAAATCAGACCAACCTCCTCCAACAGGATACTTTACCAGTGTTACTCAGGCCTGTCTTGCTCCATCTGCTTTTTTTCTTCAAGAAGTCTTCGCAGTTATCAGCAGCAAGGCATCAACATGCTGCTTTTTGTCCTCCAGGGTTTCAGCAGTATGTCATTTTAAGTGACTCCTTTTTTTCTGCTCACATGTTTTAAAAATGATTAATGTGTTTGAAATGCCATAGATACTCCAAACCAGGCCTGCTCTGGTCCCCTCTGGTCCAATTTGAGCCACTTTTGAGGGACTTTTTCTGATGTTTAATCAGCAGCATCGAAAACACTGAAGTCCAGCTGGAAAATTTATGGAATAAATCAAACTGTTTTCTATGAGGCATCGCTTTTTGTTTTGCTTGGTTATTTGAACATAATCTTTCATTTATCCAACAGAGCAAGTCACTTAAATCTCATCAAATGCACTGGTTTATTTTGTGGAGTGCAATGTTCTAAAAAATCAGATTTTGATGTCCAGCGTAAACTTTTCTCCTGAGAATGGACGATTGCTTGAAAACACGTTTGCTGTACAAAGCAAGATCCTGATGGCTGTCTTTCAAAGTAAATCACTCTACACTCGGGTGACAAAGGTGGCTAAAATAGTATCACCTCTGAGCCTCTAAAGTTACATCAAACAAGTCCAATACTTCCTCCCACTCCCTGCTTCAGTTGGTTGTCTATTGTCTCAAACAAAAGAACTTGACACTTTGAATTGGAGCCTGTGATGGATCGCTTTTGAGGTCAGAAGCCTTTACCGGTGTACTGGTTTCATCCTAGCCCCGCCGAGCCTCCAGACTTCATCAGATACCTCAAACTTGTGTGAAGATTACGAGGTGTAGAGTTGGACAGCAAGTAAGAGAAAGGTGGTTTGACAACTTGAATAGGGTGCATGAGTTTGAATGCAGTGGGATTTGTAATTTCACTTTGGATTTGTGGATTTTAGGGATGAATTCTTGAATGTTACTGTTTTGAAGCTGCAGCTAAATTTAGAAACCCTCACATCATGGTAATGTAGGAATGCAGAAACTACAGTTCATCTAAACACACTTCCATAAACTGTAGTTTATAAACTGATAACATCAGCTAAATGCTTCATGTCCAGACAGAAGCAATGTTCCTTCACTAAAAACATTGTTCTCTCCTTTTCTCTGCTTTTACCTGCCTGCAGCTGAAAGGGTTCATTGTCCCTCCACATCTATTATCTATAGTTAATATGAATATATCTTATCCTGATTAGGCCCAAGAATCAAACAAAAGAGCCTCTATTATACTTTTATCACTAACTTTATCACTATGGCATTCACTGCACCATGAGGGATGCCTTTCCCACAGAGGAGAAACAATGGTTATCAGATAGGTTTTTGTTCTAAGTTATTCAGGAATGCTGGTTAAATGGACACTGAAACGCCTCCTGCTCATATATATTTCATATTTGACATAACTGTTTAATTCTCTGGGAAATCTCGGTTCATGAATGCTCCACATTCTCGATTTTTACGCATACAGGTATCACTTTCCTGAAACAGATTCAGTCTTTGATAGTGGAAAAAATACTCCACGTTACCTTTAAACCCTCCTCAAAGCAGACTAACCCTGTTTTTTTTTCCATTTTCCTGCGCCCCACCGCCTCGCAGTAAAGAGGGTCAAGCGCCCAGTTAAAACACACTGTGTATAATTTTATAGGTTTCTCCCAACGGCAATGCTGGTGCCAGTGTCGAGACGACAATGCGCGAGCAGCAGTGGCGCGCACAGATCGGTTTCAGTCTCTGTCAGTCGAGGATAGGGGCGGAGGAAGCAAACTCATTAGAATCCTATAAAAAGAAAGTATCCGAGATCATAAAACAGCCGGCTGCAGGACTGAAGCGCACACTCTCATCCAGACAGAGTGAGAGCGTAAACCTCCTGTCAAGTTTCACTCTGCGCCCGAGAGCATCAGCATTTTAACAGACTCTCTTCTTCATTGTTTCCTCTCCACACTGGGCTCTCTGTGTTTTTCAGATGACTGTGTCGATGGCAGTCATTCCTCTAAATATCTGATTTTCAGGAACAAAACCTTGGCTTCATTCTTACCCTCTCTCTGCTGTTGTCGGGCAAGTGTGGCGCATGGACACTGACAGGGCGCGCACTTCTCATTGAGCGGCGTCATTTCTTTTTGCATCACAAAGTTATTCAAGTGGTACATTTTTTTCTTTTTCTTTTTGAAATTTTAATATTTATTTCTCCAAGGATGTTCGTCTTCACCTGGAATAAATACTGTGTTGTGATGTTTCTCGTCGTCACGCTAAAAACGGGTACATCCCATGGATCAGACGCGCGTCCGAAGGCGAACTCCATCAAGCCGGCTCTTTTGGAGGAGACACCTACACCCGCAACAAACCGCTCTGCCACGGGTCACGGCGGGAGCACCAAGAAATACAACATCCTCACACAGGTAATATTCATCATATCATTGTTTACAAACGTATAATTGAAATTAATTTTACGCACAGCATGGCACCGGGTTTTAGGATCAGCGGAGGTGAAACGAACGATAATAGAAGGTCATAAATACATAACGATTCCTTGGGGTGTTAATTTGTTTTAACAGGCATCTCACAGAGGAACCTTTTTTATTTTATTTTAACTAAATTACCAGTGTGTCGTTGGGTTGTAATTGCGCAGAACGTCTCCGAAACGGTGCAGTATCTCAAGCTGTTTAAGTGAAATATCCCAAAACCTTAAGACGCGCTCACTCACGTGTGAATCGTTATTGGAAATTGCAGGGATTGGACCCCTCATAAACCCTAATTGCCTCTCAGACCTGACGCCACCGCCGGGTTCAGAGCACTTCCACATAAATCATTAATGCCAACAGAAATGTGAGAAAAAGTTAACACTTGGGGTAATTTTCTGTCTGGGTCTTAGTGTCATTAAAGTGGCCCAGACGCTTGCTGGGATTATGATATTCTTACTGTGGGGCCTCCCAGGGATACTCTTACCGAGCACTTAATACCCACTCAAAGAGTTATCAATTCCTGCTGTTTCAACAAAGTGCCACATTTCTATAGCTTAACTACAAACATGAGATCAGACATGTTTAAGTTTGGGCAAGTTTTGTTTGGACAGAGAGGGACAGCTGTGGACTGTATGACCAATTTTTAATAGGTGACGAATCAGAGGTCTATGGTTAATGTTTGGTGGAAAGGAAAAAATGAAATATCTCATAAAATTATGCTTTGGTTAACTTTTAAAAGAGGACTTGAAGATGGTATTTTTTCTGAAATTTGGCTAAAATATTGGTAAATCAAATCTGACTGAAAGGCCTTTATGTGCTGTTGATGGTCACATAGTTCTAAATTAGGAGTCTAATTATGTGCATTGACCGCTCAAAGTATCTTTCTGAGCAGCAGATGGCACTGCCACATCTTAATCACTTCCACCACTGCAGCAAGCGTCCGCACATCAGCTCCCCGAGCCAGCTGCTAACTCTGCTCCTGTCTTTTTCTTTCTCCTCCTCACCTCCATGGCTCTATCCCTCAGATTTAACGCTATGCTTGTGTTTGGCTTGCCCAGCTGTCTGTTTTATCACTTGCAGCAGTGATAGTGTTGGATATCTGTGAAGTGTTGAGTGTCGAGAGCAGCGCTCCGACATCCAGCTCAGACAGGAGAAATTATGGAAAAGCCACTTTCCCTCCCTGACAGAGTGTGTAGATCCAACCTCAGGCAACCCTGCCAGACCTCAATTTGAACGCCTGCTTACATCTCTGCCATTGCAATAATGTGGAGTGGTTTGGATGGGGAGACTTAGGGGAAACAATATTAGTGTGCACAGACCACTGTACCCTCAGAAAAGTAAAATGTCAGAGTATATTGTATGGTGTGACCAAATGAAGATGGCTAATAGTACAAATGTATGTGTGTCTGTGTTAGTGTGTGTGTGTCTGTGTGTGTGTGCTCTGACTGCCAAGAGGATTTTCAGAGTCGTAAAGTAACAGCCACAGCTAAGTCTTGGCCAGATATACGACTTGACACTGGCAAACGAAACGAACTGACCCTCTGCATCTCGTCAAACGTTTTCATTTATGAGCAGAATAAATCAAGGATAATAAATCTTCTTTCCTCAAGACGCTTAAAGGGCTAAATGTGGTATATGCAGAGTTTAGGATTGACATCCAGGAATCTGAAATTGTTCAAAGTTTGAGTTTTTCATCATAAAAAACAGTGCAGCGGTTGCCTTTGTCTGCATTTGTGAGGCAGATTACTGCTGGTTAAGGCTTGGGTGTAAGTTTGGAAAATGGGCACGCTTTGACTCAGATTTCTCCTCTGGCATCTGCAGGGAAACCTCAGTGCTGACATCCTACAAGTAGATTTATGTACAAGTTGTCATGCTGCTGAGTTTGTTACTATTAGTGAGGGATAGCTGGCAGATTTTCGCACCTCTGGAAGATTCACAGTGGATGTAGGATACGAGGGAATATGAGCTTGCCAGCGATGTGAGTGTGAAAATCTCCATAATTCTTCATGAGGTTTTTTTTTTCAAGCTTTTTTTTTTCTGCAGTCTAAAAGAAAACTGAACGACCCTTTTTCGTAGAGTTAACCCGGCCTCTCAGAGCTGAAAAAAAGCTTTCAAGTTTAGCAAATTATTACAGGAAAGGAGTCCAGTTACCCTGTGGAGCAGGAAACAAGGCTGTAATATGTTGTTTCATCCATGAGATTGGAAACTCTGCCCAAAAACTTGCTTATAGGAAGTATCTGACAGCTTAATGTGCCTTTATTTCCTATTCTTGTATCCTTTGGCCATAAGGGCTTAATCAGTCATAGACTAACTAGGGTCAGGTTTTGGCTCCCTCATTGGCGTTAAACCAAGGCAACCTGCTGTGTATGCTCACATTCTTTGGCCAATGTTACGTCACCTTTACTGGTATGAGATCGACAAAATTCAAATCTTACTTGCCGCTGGTGGTTTCTTGGACGGGGACCAACACAAATGGTTGGCACAGCCAGGTGGTGATCCCGCAAGGGCACCAACAGCCAGGCTGGCGTTTACACGGCATGTGTCTGTAAAACTCTGGTCTGCCTTAACTAGTTGCTTTATTTAATTCAGGACAGAGATTACGAGGGCTGTAAAAGTAGAACCATGTCCTTCCTCCCTCTTTCTCCTTCAGCAGGAATCATTGTTCAGTGATCCTAATGAGCTGAGAAAGAAAGAGGAAAGGCAATGAGAGGTGTGTGTGTGTGTGCTTGTTAGCTGCCTCTGTCGCCTGTCCTGTGGCATTTCCAGTCTGTTGGCCCCTTGAGGCCCCTGTGAGGGCCCTGCATTTGGGGTCTCCTGTTTAAACCTTTTTTACTGTTATTCTACCTGTTAATGAGAGAAGAGACCCCTTGCACCTCTAAGTCTTCTGGGTTATTACTTCAACTCCTCGAGCTTTCCCTTTTTCTTTGAAAAGAGCAGCCATGCGCCTCTCTTTGTGTCTGATAAATCAGGTCAACTCACCATGTATTCTTAGCTTATAAAAGGCCGAGCTTTCAGAGACTCTGGGCAGTGGCAGTCAAAAAGACGTGCTCATAAACACATGTGTTTTGAGTGATGAAAGACGCCAAGCTGCGTTTGAAGACATGGTTTGTACAACTCAGTTGTGCGCAGCCATCCCTATGTTATCTGATACCGGCTGTCTGTGCTTTCAGGGCATATGAAGTTTGTTTATGGAGTGACATCGTTTATTTGACTCCACAAGGCCCCTGCCACTCATTAACACCATTCACAGTTTCAGGTTACATGTGTGATCTCTGAAGGTCAAGTGCAATCACGGCACAAAGCTGAAAAAAAGCAGCAAAGAAGTCCTTTCCTTAAGACTTTCACACTTATTTCTTTTCGTACTGGACAAAAAAAGTGTGTGAAGTTTTTCTATTTCTCTGGAGTGGAGTTTTTCCATAAGCCAGGGGGGAGGGTTCAAAGAGAGCAATAATAACCTCAGGGGACTGATATAAGTAAAAACATGAGGTTCAATTCCTCCAACCCTTCCAATAACTCTTGTACTGTTTCTAAATTTTAAACCCTCAGACTTAAACTAAGCACAGGAGACATACCTTATGTTATTTTTAAGCATAACAGGTTCTTCCATCGAGTTATATCATCACATTGGAACGAATCCTTTGAGGTAAATAAGGGACCCAAAGTCCATCGGTGGAGGGTTCAAAGCCCTGTATATCCTGCGGTAAACCCCTTGGAGATTGTTGCTCCCGCACATTTAAGGTTCCTCTTCAAAGCCGAGGCTCTTAACCTGCACGAGAGCAGCACGAGACAGGGCCGGGGGCTTCCCTTATGGCTCCCTGTCTGTCTCTTCCTTTATCATCTCACCAGCATACCAAGAGAGGCTGCAGAGGACACACTCCACAACCCACTTCCTGGGCAGGATCCAGGGCTGGGCTTTTATGTGTTAAGGCTTTCTAGGGAAAAATAAGGGAGCAACAGAAATAAAGATGCGAGATGAATGCGATGCTTCCAAATGAAGCGCCGACTCTCAGATGCTGTGAAAGAGGCGTTTTAAAACATGACAAGATAAGCCGAGATTATCTGCAGAGATTTGAGCGTCAGGTTCGTCTCGCTGAGTTTCAAAGGGTTGTCTCACAGCTTGAACCATGAGGGAAAAGGTGAAGCCTGGTGTGCTTCTTTTGTCCTCTACCTGCTCTGCGATCAATCCAGGCCTGCTGTCCAGTGAGGCAGACAGATATTCAGAGCAGGTAGTATAAAGCACTACCGCACACGGTCAGACCCATTTGTCTTCATAGCAGCACATTTTTCATGGCAGGGGAAAAAAGTCCCACAGCACTTGCTTGAAATTCTCCTCAGACTTTGTTTCCAACATATTTCCCTCCTCAGCTGTGATTATACCAATTGTCCATGGCGATGTAACTGTTTCTCTGAGTGCACAGAAAACCCCAGATGAGGCTGAAATTTCATCTTGGGATGAGTAGTTTGCCAAGAATCCTGATTGTCTCTCTCCGTGGAGCAAAGTCCATCATCTGAAGACTGTAAAAAGTGATTAAAAGCTCTTGAAAATCTATTTAAGAAAGATTGACTTTCTTGTTGGGAGCGGGATGAGAAAATCATTACTGCTTTAATGCTTACACACACACACAAAAAAAGAAAACAGAGCTAGAGCTGGGAGACGATAAGCTTCATTACAGCTACGCTGGCTTCCAAAGGTTTACCCTCAGGGCCTTTTATACCTTGTTTCTTTAATATTAACACACAAAAACAAACAAAAGTCAAATGAAAGTTTGGGAATTTATGGTTTCAAAAACACAGAAGCACAACGAGACGTCTGAAAATGACAAATTACCTTGACTGTGATACTTCGCCTGTTTCTTGATCGGCCAAAAGTTAGTTGGATTCAGCCTTTACAACACAACGCCTGTCGTCCTCATGCATCTTTAGAAACCAATGAGTGAAATCACTAAGTATGTTCACGTTTTACACTGTTTATGAATCACCCCTCACACTCCCCCAACTGATTTCTTTTTACTGCTTTTGCCAAAGGCCTTACATTTGCCAAGAAGAAGATAACAATAGTGTTTTTGATGAATGCTATTTGACATCTTCTATTCAAGAAAAGAAAAGGTTGTGTTGTTAAACTCTGCTGGAGGCTGGGAAATATTTTTAAAAGACATACAAACACAGGTTTTTTTATTTAGTGAGTGGCCATGTGAAATGTACCAGTTAGAAGATGGAGAAAGGATTTTTTTTTTTTTGTGAATAATAGAGTGGACATTTTTGATAGCCTAAAGTTGACAAATAAACCATCATACTTATCATGCATCACCTTGAAAAACTACTGTCACCTCATCAGCGGGAAGGGAGGGAGGGTTTTATTCAAGAATCTGGCCACTAAATATTCCCATTTCTACACTTTGTACCTTTAAGTCATTACGCTAAAAGAAAATAATTTATTTCTGGCTCTCTCTCCATGCACACACATTTTCTGAAGGGCCCTAAAAGTTGTGAACTTGCAAGAGAGGCAAAAATATGTAACTTGACTGGTTGCGAAGCAGTCACCATGATGTGTAAACTGGTTTTCCTGCATATAGTCGGTGGTTTGCACTTAAAAACAAACAAACAAAAAAGTCTCTTTAATATCTTGCGATCGGTTCTCAACACAGTAGAAATTAAGGAATATTCAGAATCCATCAAACATGAGGGCTTTGTTTATTCCATCAACACATTAAGCATCTGCATTTTTTGACTCTGTCATGATGATTAATGAGTATTTGGTTAAATATTCGTTCTCATTTTTTATGTGTGTATCATTATCTCCATGTGTTTCCAGCCTGAGAATGTCTGTATGGCATCAGTCCAACATGTCAAATCTTACTCACTCTCCGGAGCAGCAGAACATCAAGTAACAACATCTAATGCACTGAAATACTGATGCTGTTGTGAGTTGATTTGAACATGTGGTGTACATTCAGATATGCCTGTACTCAAGAGTGTGGCCGCCCCTCTCAGCTGACCTTTGTACCCCAGATGGAGTTTGCTATTTATTATGGTTATAATGACTTTATTCTGTTTTAACCTCTCTCTTGTTCATTGAAATGTTTACTGTTCCATGTTTAGCAGTGGTAAGCCACAATAAATCAGATCTGTCAGTGCAGTGCCAGTTCAATGTGGTTGTGGTGCTGGTGGTGGTGGTGTGCCAGCCAAACATGTTGTTCTAATGTCAGTCTTCACTGGACAGAATTTACTCAGACTTCATCTCCTGCTTATTTTTTCTTTAAGTTCAGCTCGGTGTTGTAATACGGATTTCCTAACATCAGATAGTAGAGCGTAAAATAAGATAAAGATGTGTACGAGTAGAGAAACACTGCTCTGACCTTCATGGAGTCTTGTCCAGCTGATGTAGACATGTGATGGAGAATTGATGCTTTCCTGCAGCTGCTTAAAATGTCCCTCTCCCTCTTGATGAGGTCTGCACACATTTGTGACATTATTTCATTTGTCAGTGGAGCTCATTTGATTTTGAGAAACAATTTATGTAGAACTTCTTTGCTCCTGCTCCAAGTCTAACAGCGGCAGGACTTGCATGTGTAAGGAATTATATCAAGACAGCGGTTCCAGTAAAACTTCCCGTTGCTGCACACACTTGTTATGGAAAAAGTAAACTTGGCCTTAATTGTACTTCTCACTGCTGTGGACTGAGGATGCAATGTTTGTTAAGGTCGTGGTTTTTCTCTAGTGGTCATTTTAGTCCACTTCTGGAAAGGTGTGCTTTGCAAGACAACAGGACAAAATGTCCCAGACTTCGATGTAACAACAAAATCTACTTAGGCAGAAGAAATGCAAAACTGACAAAGAGGTGTCTTGATTGATTTATAGTTTCATCTCCAATGAGATTAGATGACTTAAAAGAGCCTGAACACATCGAGGGAAACTTTTTTTCCCACTCGGAACTTCAAATAAGTTATTTTTTTTTTTTTAGCTCTTGGAAATCTGCGGAAACGAACTACACCTCTGAGATATGCTAATGCCTGCAACATACTGATCAGTAAAACTTGGAAATTTTAACTTAATCTTTGAGTATTTTATATTTATTTATGCTGCTAAGACTTTTATAAACTATCTCAATAGGTGAGGTTTGGTTTGATATCTGTATTTATATCTAGAAAACTCATACAAGTAAATTTAAAACTTTCTTAGTGCCCTAAATATTCAAAGCTTACATTATCTGTTTTTTTTTAGTTAGAGGTCAGAATTGTATCTCTGTTGTTTGTGACTTTATCTCACTTTAAGCTGAGACTTTATTCGAGTCTTGATGCAGCTGCAGTTTTTTTCACAGAAGTCAGACCATTACGTTTTGTTATGTCGTGATCCAAGAACTCATTTGGATGAGAAGGTTTGGTCGTGTTGGGCTCTGCCCTCTCATTTTCTGGTCTTATAAGATTTCTACTCTGAACATGACACGAGTTTTATTTGGCTTGTTAACTGCAACAGTTTAAATTTTGCAACCTCAGGTGCGTGGTGCAAATGTGGTCTGTTGGGGGGAATTAAAAAGATTACAGTCATGGTGTGAGGTCTGGGTAGAGGGGTTACGAATTTTCATTGCCTATGTTTCTGTGTGGTAGGTACAGAATTACAACAATAAAATTAATGCTGAATTTGATCAAATTCAATTGGAGGAGAAAATATATTCATCCACAGTAAAGCCTCTAAAAATGAATCGATGGTTACACCCTAGAACATGCACATTAGATGTATCTGAGCGTCTGGACAATGCAAAGATTTGCTTCAGCTCTGTTCTTCAGAGCATTTGTTCTGTGCAACTTGTTAAAAATTATGTCATATCAATGCAAAGTTATGCAATGAACCATATTTAGCTGGAAGTTTAACCCACTGAGCTTACAAAGTGCCTGAGTTAGTCTGCCATCACTTAGATAAGCTTACCTTAATTGGGCCTTTCATAAGGGCTGTTTACAAATCCAACATAGAATCCATTCTCACCTTTAATATCATAACCTTGTTCACCCTCATCACTGTCAGAAACAAATCAAAGCTTTCCCTGATATTCACCAAACAAACAAAGTAACTCGTAAACATAAACTAGCAGTTAAAAGGAAAGCCAAAGTCATTACAGGCGACCCCACTCACCTCCTGCATCCGTCCTTCCAGATCCTCTCATCAGGCTACACATATGAAGTCCACAAAAACTTGTTAACTATCACTGCAATACATATCATAAATAAATAGGTTAATACAACAATAACTTATGACCTACTCTCTTAACATCCAAATGTCATTTGCACTTTTAATCTTGATTCATAATTGTCCCGGTAATGTCTTTTATTCCTGCTTTGGGAAAATGTTTCTATTGTGTTGTTTGTTGCACCGCATTGAGTCATGCCAAAGACAATTTTCTCAGCAGATGATAAAGTTTTTTGAATCGAAGTCTAAATCCTAGTAAACATGTTTTTGCAATTCAATATCTTTCATAAATCCAGTAAATGTGTTTTTACTCACAGAGTGAACGAATTGTTATCCTCAACAGGTCTACCCATGCAGCAATGACAAGGAGTGCAGTGTAGGAAGCTACTGCCACAGCCCTCAACAGGCTCCGTCTCGCTGTCTCACCTGCCGCAGGAGGAAGAGGCGCTGCCATCGGGATGCCATGTGCTGTCCTGGGAACCGCTGCAATAACTGTACGTACATCAAATCAAAACCAACAGTTTCACTTATGCTGATACTATGTGAATGGATCAGAAATATTAACAGTTACTCAAGGATTTGACACAGTATGCATGGGTTGGCGGTGTTTTCTGTCTTGTTTGACCTTCCTATTTTTCTCTTTTCTCCTTTCTCTCTCGTCTGCAGATATTTGTGTCCCTATCTCAGAGAGTGTGCTCTCGCCTCACCTCACAGCTCTAGATGAGCACAACAAACTCTCCACCAAAGAGCACAACTGGAGGAAGAGTGGGAAAGCACATGCTAAACATTCTCTGAAGGGTAAAATTTGATCTCTCATTTCTGAGTGTATGCATAAAACATGTTCACTGGATCACAAGAAACTAGCACATTTGATTTTCTTTCATCTTTTTCTCTTGTCATCCTCTTTGAATCGAGTTCGGGTAGCTCAGTCTCTCCGTTGTTCACTCTCTGCAAGTCCTACTGAGTTCATGGGCAACACCAGTCCACAAACTATGTTGATAATTACACCTCTGCTCATATGTCAGTGTCTGTGGGCCCAAAATCACAGCATGGGGAACCACAATGCCTGTGCTGTTTCTGCACCTACATAAAGCCATACAAACACTCTCATTGACAGCACACATTATACGATACACAAGTGAAAACCACAGAATGCAGGTTTGGCACCATTATGGCTGATGACTCTCAGAGCCCCCCTGCTTAGTGTTCATGTCACCTGATTTAAAGTCAATGTAAGGGCCTCTATATAAAGCAATGCATTTAATGAGACAATAAAACTCCTCAAGTCTAAAAGCACCCTGAAGACAGAAGACTGTAATACTAAAATCAATGTGAGGTAGCAGCACTGCTTCAGGAGCTATAAATAAGACCACTGACTTTTATGTATGTTTAACTTACTCCCTCTCCTCGAAGAATATGTATTAAAATGTCTGCCTTCAGGTCGCAGCGTTGTGAAAAATGCTCCGTGAGAGTCAGAGGTGTTTAAGAGATCCACGAGCACTCTCTCTCTAAGCAGCCTATTATTATCTTCATAGTTAGAATTTAATTTCATGAAACTATTCATACATTTGGCAAGTGGTGACACATTGTAAAAATGTTTTAGAGGAAAAAATCTGCGTAACTAAATCAAACTAATACTGCGTTCATGTAATTCTTGCAAAGTTCTGCCAAGACGATCAGCCTCAGACCAGATGGGACGATACGGTTAATACGCAGAATTAGCAAATTGTTAGTTTGATTTACATTAAATACTTCATGGATTTTTTTTTGTCCCTGAGGGCCGCATAGAATGCAATCTGAACGGAAACATGAAGAATGGTTCGCATTAAGTTAGCCGTATGGAAAACATAATGGCTTGATGAACTCTAATAACACATTCCCTTTGCTTCGTTTCATTGGAGAACTAAAACTCTGAGATGCTGGATGGTTTATAATTTCACACACTCTTTTATGTCCCTGATGTTGTATTCGTTTCTGTTTTTCAACACAGAAATGCAAACTTAATGTACTGTTTGGAGATGTACTGTAATCAGACTTACCCTTGATCAGAACTGTTTCTCATCTCTCTCGATCAGGCCATGAAGGGGACCCTTGCCTGCGCTCATCCGACTGCTCAGAGGGCTACTGCTGTGCTCGCCATTTCTGGACCAAAATCTGCAAGCCAGTGCTGCGGCAGGGTGAGGTGTGCACCAAGCAGAGGAAGAAAGGCTCTCACGGCTTGGAAATCTTCCAGCGCTGCGACTGTGCCAAGGGCCTTTCCTGCAAGGTGTGGAAAGACGCCACCTCATCGTCCAAGTCCAGGCTCCATATGTGCCAGAAGATCTGAAGCAGAGGCAGCTGCTGTCGGCGTCCAGGCCTCAGTCTCCATCTGCCAGGGAAAGTTTTTTTTTTGTAAAGGATGGGTTGTGGCTGTATTGAAAGGAGTAAAAGACAAAGACTAACAAGAGACAGATCAGACTGCGTGGGTTCAAGCTCGCTTTTCGGCAAGCGGCGAACAAAGGGGGTTTGCTTTTATGTGCCTGCTGTGCGTGGTCCATCCTTGCATCGACATACAAACATGTACCCCGCATACACACGCACACACACTGCTCATGAGTCTGTGAATGTCAGTAATCTTATAGTTTCCTTACTCATGACTGGTACCAAACCTTTTGCATTCTCAAGACATTCAGGGAGCCACAAAGATAGTCGATGTATGTCGTGATAGGTGTGGACTTTTCCTAGATGGAGGTAATAGAAGTAGCGCTCTTTCATCAAGCTTTAGCTTATAACAACACAACTATTTACAAACAAGCCATATTTCTATTTACCGCACGGAAAAAACTCTTTACTGAAGTCCAGAGGAGAATCCGTTTTCTGTCATGATGTTGTTGTCTGCTTTGTTAAAATGCAATATCTCATTCTTCTTGTTGTTTGTCATAAGTCTTAAAGATTTCAGTCATGTTACATCAGACATTTACGACCGGTAACAATGTCCAGACCCATCACAGACCAGCTATATTATTCAAGGAATTAATTGCATAAACAGTTTACTCCAGAGCTTGGCTTGTGTACTGTAGCAACATCCGGAGAGTACAAAAAATTCTCCTAAACCAAAGAATGAAAGAACATGTAGATCAGAGCGATGAGTTTCATCTGGGACATTAGCTCCTAAGTCAATTTTTAGCCACAAGAAGAGAGATAAAGCGCTGTGTCCGTTGTGGGAGCCTCGTTTGATCTGTCAGATACAGCTGCAGTCTATTGTGATACAACTGTGTGGGTTCATACAGTTTGAGCTGAGGTGCTGCTCCGCTGCAGACTCTGTGGTTCTGATACCAGACTGAAAATGGTTCTGGCTGGAAGGATAGGTTGGAAGTGCAATTTATTTTCTATTGACAACTCCAGTAGGAATACAACACAGGAAGATGGATTTGAGTTACCCTAACACCCCATAAAGCTTGTTTTCAAAGAGAATTCCACTTTGAATCGAGATTTTTCTTGTCAGACATGAATGTGTACTCTCCTCTCATGAAACAATACGCAGTTGTTCTTGAGGTCCAGCAATGCCTTCTTTCAGTACAACCTCTCTGAACAAAGTACATATAATGGCACGGTTTCCTCTCTTTGCTTTTAATGGTTTTAAAGCATCAAATACACATATTTTGTACCCATACAAAGCGTCAATAAGCTCTTATATGTAAATAGATTGAAAACAATGTAAGTGTATTTAAGAGTCAGTGTATATCATGTACATACAATGAAAAATATGATGAATCTTAAAGGTTTCAGTAAATGATATAGGTGAGAAGAGTAATGAGGGGTGAAATTCAGAACAATGTAGTGAAAATGGAAAAAGCAGAGTGTACGCAGAAGGAAGTAGGAATACTAGATAGTTTGCAGACTAGATGCATTAAAAGGGAACGCCAAAAGCAGAGACAAGCACATTAATTTCCAAAACAGTTTGTGTAAATGGTGTGTAAATGGTGTCAAGATTTATATCCCAATAAATATTGTTCTTTTGTTTATACTTTGCATTGATTTGTTTTGTGTATTTACTATGATGAATGAATAATGAAAGAATAAAGAATGTATTTTGTATCAGTTGTTGAGCAGGAATGATTATTTTATGTCAAATTCAGAAAGCTGACCCCATGTAAGTTGAAAACGCCTTCATAACACTTACTGTAATGCTGGCATGTCATGAACAAATGAAGTACACTATATAAAAGGAGAGTATGACCTGTTGACATGCAGAACAATGCCACAGAACAATTTGAAAGTGTAAGGGCCTGTGTCCACTAATTCCATTTTTTGTGTGGTGATCTATGTGCAAAACCAACGCAATTCTGCAGTTTTAGTGCCCAATGTCCTTGGAGCAACAATGCACTCACCTTTTTGGACACCTCCCCATCACCATCCAACCAAAACAAAAGAAGTGGTGAGACTTCTTATATCAACTTTGTCAACAACAATGATGGAGGTTTGCAGGAACGTGAAACCAACCAAAAGATTTGAAGCCTCCAATATATGATTCGGTTTTTCTATGTTACACCAAATATGCTCAGTGATACAAACAACAACTGAAGCTGAGGTTTCACTGTTGTAATACTGTCATTATTTAAGATCTAATTTGATTGACACTAACAGGCAACATGAACCTCTAAATGTAAAACTTGAATCTGAAACTTGAACTCGAAATAATCAACAACATCAACAGAACAACGAAGTTCAAATACAAAAGTTTTCCATCAACTTCACTGCCATCAGAAGAAAATTTTGATCTCAAATAAAATCTCTTCTCTTGGAATTATAATAGTTTCTGTTGTATTGCCCCTTTAAAAAGGTTTACAAAGTGCTTAGAAAAAGACAAACTAACACAAATGAATATGTATTTATTTAGGGCTCTTCTAGTCACTTTCATCACTAAAAGGGATTAAGAAATATGGGCCTTCATTAGATATCATCAGTATGGCTGTATTATATCAACATAGCAACAGAAATTCCCTCTGTATGGATTTAAATCATGAAAATCACAAAATAATGACATATTCAAACCAAACCAGATCTATAAACCAGTACGAGCTGCTTGAAGTCCTCAAGCATGATCAACAGAGCTTTAAAACACAAATATATTAGTTAGATTATACGCTGCCATGTCAGCTGGCCATATAATCTGAGCTGAAATAATCATAATTTAAAATGCATTTGGAGAAGGATTGGTGCGGTAAGGGTCACTCAAACCGCCAAACCAACTGTGTCTGCATTTGAGATCTTTTCATGAGTACAAATAAGACTTCATTACAGGCTGATGCTTTGCAGATGTGATCTATAGATGATACCCTTTCAAATAGTCCTCCTTCAGTAAAAAAAAAAAGAGAAGGATATGTTCAGTGAGGTAGAGGCCACTCTTTTCATTGAAGTAAATACACAGAATATGATTTAGTAGATGTCAAAGACATCTCTTTATGTCATCACTGTCCTTTCATTTCAGGCAGTCAGCTTAAATCTCTTAAATAGGCCTCTATGTAACCAAAAACATGATTTTTAGGACATTTTTTACGACTATGTTCTGGTTCCTCTTTTAACTTATCCCCAGAGTGTGTCATTTTTATATAACCCTCAACAGGAGACGTACAATTTGCACAAACATCAATGCAGCAGCTTCATTGTGGGGCTGCTATTGTTCTTCTCAGTGAGAACTTCTTGGCCACTGCAGTTGTCCTCTCCAGATTGTACTTTAACTTTTCATGCCCCTGCCGCAAATAACAGAGATTTTCAATAAAACAAAAGCTGTTGAAAACTGTTGTAGCTGAACTGTCATGCCCCCACTTGCAGGCTTTTGTTTGGGGTTTTTATACAGGCAGTCTGAACCAGATGTTGGGCTCTGTGGCCCTTCAAACCGCTACAGTGCCACAGTTCATCTACTAGAATATTATCTGCGATTTACAAGCAACGTGAAGTCAATTTTACAACTTTAACATTGAAATTGCTGCGCAGGCCCGATGCCAAAATAAGCTCTAAGCGTTGCAGCCAGTATGTAAAAATACTCCAGCCTATACATCTGCTGCCGGGGGGGAGTGAGGAGAGACCCTCGGTGGATGTTGTCAGTCTTTTTCTGAGAGCTGTTTTATAAAGCTGCTGAGTTGGATTTGTTGTCTCTCTCTAATCATCTATAATTATGAAATAACACACACTCAATTTTTCCCTCAGTCATTAGCTTATTTCACAGACTGTGTGGAAAAGTCTGGGAGTGACCTCTTATGTAAATGTGTTCACCAGATGTTCAATACTTGTATTTCAAATAAGGTAGGGAAAAGGTGCCGACTCCTAAAGGTAAAGCCATTTAAACAAGATTCTGCAGATTTTGTTTCCCCTGTTGGTATTATTTTCATAATAGCAGCACAAGTAATATGAAAATACGAACTTTTCCCCCCACTGTCAGTCAGATTTGATCAGTGCTTTTTATTATATTACTTTTATTCCAATTTAAGGCGCTAATAGGCACGATAAATCATTTTCTTCCATTTCTTAACTTCGAAAAGCTGAAACCTGCTGTAATTACTCTGTGCCAAACTCTGCAAATTGCACTTTACTAGATTGTGCTTTCAATCCAACAAGTGTCCATCCAGTCAGCTTTTTTTCCCTCGCGTATGTGTTTGATTGAAAGTTATGACTCCAGCCTACCTTTGTTTGGATAAGGTTTCTATTTACTAAAATACTGGATGCCTTTTTATCTCCACAGACACTGGAAAGGGTACATTCAGGGTGACTGGAGACTGAAGGTCTCCATGGAAAGAAGAGGTAGATACAGACAAAAAGCACTACACCGCTGCTCCAGGCCACCCACAGGCTCTGGAGTCTCCACCAAGAACCTGCTAATGAGAGAGTGACTGTCACTGGCTCTGCACTTTCCAGCGTGTGTCAGCAGAAAATAAAAATGAAGGAGTTTACACAGACAGGTTTGACTGCCCGTGAAGTTGCCAGCTAAATAAATATGTTAAATGATTCAGTGGAAGGCTTTGATTTTGTGCCCACGTTGGCACAGTTAAAATCATAAATGTAATTTGGGTTTGTATGGCTCATATCATTTGCTGTGGCAGAGAAGGAAAGTCCTGTCAAGCAAACAGACTTCATGACTTAATCACACAGACTTCTGTATCTGTGTGTGGCTTTACACTCACACTTGAAAAAAAGCTAATGAGAAAGATGATGGTCATCAGTTTTGGGGGGTACAAATGCACCCTTTAATTGTCATATGTTTTTGTTAATCTGTTTGCCTGTATTGAGTGAGAAAGCAAATACTCGGCATGAGAAAAGCCAGATGAGTCCTAAAAAAAAGACCAAACAAACTTAAACATATGGAGAGGGTTGACCACGGAAAATACATCGTATTGGATGCCTGACAACATTTCACCCGACTGTCACCGGGTCTATAGGTCATTTTCAAAGTTTTCATCTGTTTGCACTCAGTGATCAGTTCAAGAATGCACTTTTACCCATGATCATGATCCAATTAAAGCAGAAATCATGCTCTGCACAAAGTTGTGTAGCCAAATGAATAGTATTGTGTGCTAATGCAATGCATCTGATTGCAACAAAACCCCCTCTGCACTTGCTGTATTGTATTTTGCTTTGGTGGTAGGAGCAGGACAAACAGTCCTACTAAAGAATGGTAGTGATGATAAAAGGTTTGTTTTCATCAAGTAAAGGAAAAGAGGCATCATCAGTGAAAAGAACTAAAAGGATCAGAAGAAAGAGAGAAGATTCCTCTACTGTCCAGTAAAAAATAAAATAAAACATGGTCTCAGACTTGGAGGTGCTACAAACTGTCCCCTGGCAGCTTGAGTTTTGCAATTGGTAAAAGCCAGCAGGACCACATCATCTGCATAACGCAGAAATTCATTTGTGAAACATCACTTCCAGCTGTGGCTTGAAATGAAGTCCATGGCGTTCATAACCAAATAAAGGATGAACCCTGTGGAGCTAAATACCCACTTACAAGCTTGTTTGACTTTGTGACCAGCTGGTACCACTGGAGAGTCCTCAATATTCAAGGGACTATCTCATCCACTGAGGAGCATCTAAACCACTTTAATAACCTAAATGATACAGCTTTCCCCGATCTCGTTTGTCTTAATGTGCATAATGTTTTGGTCTGCTTCTACTGGACCCTACACTGGCGTCAATTTGCTACGGTAGAACTCACCAGGGTCAGAGTAAACTTGAAAATTACTGGCAAATCTTTGGGGTTTAACTGTAACACATTACTTTAGATATACACCAGAACAGTTAAATACTAATGCATCAGCATACATCGTTTGCTAGTTCATCCCCAACCTGTGGATTAGCCTTGAAAACAACAGAACAACTTTGTTTTATGGACTTCTCGTACATCTGCTGTTTGGCAGAAGACTGAATTGCCTTTTCTTTTGGCCCCCAAAATATGATTAAAAGCAGCTGAGAACTGTAGAGGAGTGATTAGTAAAGATAATAACAACAAAGAGTCGTGAAATGAAACAGGAACCCCAGGAAGGAGATGCTAATTTTCATCAGGGTTCAGAAATCCATGTGACCTGCAACCGCCTACTGAATTATAATCGATGTGTGTAATAGTTTTAGCATGTTTTTGTGGAAAAACTCTCAACTTAAAAATAACTTAATCATAAAAATAAATGCAGTAAACTATAATATGAAGTAGTGCAGGTTCTGTAAGGACAGTGCAATAAAATACAAGTGGTAAAAGTCAAATTTAAAACAGAGGCATTTCAGGACAAATCTGTCATTCTCTGTGAAGCAATATTGGTTTATAATCTAGTGTTTTCATTCATGTACTGAGTGCTTTAATAGATTTCTGGAATCAGCCCAAACTATATCAGATACACTAAAAGTGTCTCAAGCCTGAGGCCTCACTCTCATGCGTATCTTTTATATCTTAATCTGAGGTCTGCTTTGATTGAAATAATCATCAGGTTTAGATTTTATCATCGCAAAAAGGTTCAAGGATTACTATTTTCCACGACCAGCAGCATGTGGTCCAACAAATAACTATTTCAAAATCAGAGGTTGTTCAAATAGATGAAATTTCTCTGCCAACACTCAATCCCTGGACCCCTGCCTGTTCGACCACTGCTCTTTGTCAGCTCTCAATATCTCTGCTCCCCTGTTATTAAACAGTTGCATTAGTTGTGATGGAAATACCACAGTGTGTAACAGAAGTTCAATACTCCTGAGTGGCACTGCAATATTAAGAAATGTGCTGACCTGTCATGACAGAGTAAACTTCATTAATGGGACGTTACGTCTTATTTTCAGAGACCAGGTGTTTCTACCACTCAGCCATCACCCGTTTTATAAATAGACTTTTAAATCCTCCAAATCATGACAGTAGATTTCTTCCCCGTCTATAATACAGCTCATTTCTATACTGTTAGTCAGAGGACCATTTCCTCCTTGTCCATTAAAAGTTACAACATCAGCATTGGTTTGTTTGGTCAGTGAGTCACCAGTAAAAGCACATGGTGCTGCTGCTGGGTTTCTTTAACTGTGGGCAGGGTTACAAGTGAAATCGTTTGATTTTTAACATTTTTTATTTACTCAATCCTTTAAATTTCTGCCAAAGTCAGTAAGACAGCTGATTACAGAAGATTAAAACGACAGGCTTTTATTGTCTAAGATTAAAAACAACAACGTTTAATTAAAAAAGACTTTTAATACCCCTCCAAATACTTGTCTTTGAAGGATAATCTGTCTGAGATGGTTAATTAAAATAGGATTCAAAACTAGAAACACTCTTGATCCCTGATAATCTCTGGGCATGACATCCCATGTATTTTTTATGAAAATCTGTTTTTTTTCTTGTTTTGTTTTTAATAATTGAAAGATTTACAGGGAAACACAGAATACTAAATTATGGCTCGTGAGACAATGAGGCTAAAATATCTGTAAATTTCAATCATGAACATTCATATGCATTAACTAATTCACTCTGTATTAATAAAAATGTATTGTAATAATTGTGTGTATTCATTGTATTTTGTTAATTAGGTTTTGTCAAATAAAGTTTAGAAAAAAAAAATCTGTGAAACTCATGACCAATGTTAAAGTGAATGGAATGAAACCCTGCGGCATTACAATGAGGACATAATTTCATTCATTAAGACATCTGTGGGGGAGCGGCTCTTCAGATCATCTGAAATTCGTCGGATCCTTTTGAATCTGAAGGAGGTTTGATCTGAAAGACTTTGGGACTCAATTGACAAATCGATCACAATGCCAAAAAAGAGACAATCACTGAAAACTGTTCGGGACGAAAAACAAAAAAGCCATCAAAGTCCAGGAGGAGGCTTCAGTCTGGAAAAGGATGAGACATTTTCTGGGCTTGAGGATGCCAAAGAGCTGGAAGAAGAAGAAAGAGCAGACAACAACTCCTCTGCTCCATCCCTCTGACCCCTCCTCATCTTACCCATCCTCCTTTATTTTCCAACTTATCCCACTCTCACCTCCTACCTTTTCTCCCTCTTTGTGCCCCGATACCTGAATGAACTGGAGTCTATAAAATGGCTTGAAACCAGTCATAGAAATGCTTCAAAATGATCTCCGCTACATACTTTTTCTTTCTGAAGAGTGTGGCTCAAACACCGGACTACTGCTGCAGTTAAGAGAAATTGTAATAGTGTGATAGAATGATGCAATTAAGGTGAGAGAGAGACAGAAGAAAGACAGGGCTCTGCATCCCAGAAAACATCACATCTGTTTCATACTAAGGGGTAAACGACCAGCCGTAATGCTGCAGAGCTGGAGTGAGCCTTTCTGTGCTGTAAATGTGTCTAAGAATCTGAAACGTAAGTTGGTTGCCCATGGTGTCGGAAATTCAAATGTGAAAGGAGTAGCACATCTTTATGAATAAAACAACTTCATGGCATCAAATTCTACTCATCCAGCCCCAGCTCTAAAGTTTGAGGTTCTCCCTGACATTGTGATGAAAAGAGATTTTGATGGTTTATAAATCATTTACATCTAATATCTAACTGAAAATAGTGTGTGTAGTCTGTGTTCTGCACTGCTACGTCCACAGATACAGGTAAAAAATATGCCACGCAAAGAGGAAACCGTGTACAAACACAATCCATAAATTCTGGTGACTTCTCTGGGCCCTGAGCTCACTCAAGATGGACTGAGGCAAAGTGTCTGATGAATCAAAATGTGACATCCTGTTGGAAAATCATGAACACTGCACCCTCTGTGCTGAAGAGAAGTGGGGCCACCTTGCTTGTCCTAAAAGCACTGTTCAAAGGCAGGTATCTGAGATGGTTTGTTGACACATGACAAAGGTAGCTTACACATCTTAGAAGCACCATTCATGTCAAACAATACAGACTTTTAACAACATAAGCTACCATGCCAAACTATATTCTGCCTGTATTACAGCAGCACAGCCCTGTAGTGGAGGAGTCAGGGTGCTAAACTCGTCTCATCATCGAACACTTTTCGCTGTTAAGTACGGGGTTTAAATGATTCTCAAACTCTCAGATTTTATTACTAATGTCTCACTGGGGAAGGTAGTTACAGAAGATTGTCTAAAACATGTGGATATGGCAGACTGACAAAAGTTCTGTCTGGATCCCTCCGAAAAGTTTCACATGGACACTCTGCGTGGACATAAAGCAGGACATCCAAATCGCAGATCCAATTACTTCATGCAAAAGTTATGAATCAGACAGCACATGCTTCAAGTATTTCTGCTTTTCTCAAGCGCCTCACATCTGCATAACAGCCCACATATATGACATCTGCAGAGTGATGTCTGTATATGTTAGTATATATATAACCTTTTGTCTATTTATTGGTTAGCTTTATTTGGAGCAAGACATGTTGACAGCTTTTGTTTTGTGATTTATTAATCACAAAATAAAGTTCACCTGACATTCATTGAGTTATTGTTTATACCTAACCAGAACTGAGCTCAAAGGGCTAATATTTGAGTTGTCACTGTCTTATAACAGCATTTCCAGAATTGTACAAAACTCATTTACACCTGCTGAGGGCTGATTTCCAGCAATTTTTCAGGGTCATGACTCTTTTCTCTCTTTTAGTCTTGGAACATCTGTTTTGGCTTCCTGTGGCTCTGCCTCTGCCAGACTGCAGTGTTAAAATTTATGAGCAGCCCAGAGGGAACTAGTTGTTTGTTGGTACTCACACTGATTTTCTCTTCAGAAAACAGCATGGGAAATCAAGCCAATTGAAAGAATGAGTTATTACAGGAGAAAGGCCACCCTAGGGAGCGCAGATCTGAGCATTTAGGTTAAATAAGACAGAGAAAAAAAAGAGTCAGGGCCGGTCAGCTTGATTTAGGTACAACAAAATTAACACTAATGTGTTCTTCCTCACTTGACGTCTGTTGTTAGTTAGTAATCATGGCCAGTGTTTGACGCCAAACATGTGTTTATGCGTGACCAATTAGGTTTCTGATACATTTCGCAATAAAGCACAACAAGCATTTATGAGTTCACAACAAACATACAGCTCAAACTTTCATTTTCTGTTCATCTCACTCTTTTTTAAAAGCACTCTGATTTTGCTTCTTATCAATCAACTATTACCTGATGGCAATAAAGACATCTGGCCATATATTGGGGGAAAATATTGTTAGTTAGCATCAGAAAACAGCAAATGTTAGCATTCTGCCACTTCCATGTTAACCATTATATTTAAAAGAAATGACAGATATGATGGTGAGAGAGAAGCAGAATGATGGCCTTAAAGATGGCTGTAAAAGTGTCGATGTTCATGCTGGTGTCTATTTTTACATAATGTCAGTAAGAAAAATCAAATGCAGACATGCAAATTCCTCAGCAGATGCTGGATCCAAAAGACAAACAAGCGTACAGAAAAACAAGACAGTCTGCACACTACGAAGCTCCTGCTGGAGGGCTCATCATTTTCATTCATAAATCGTAAAAATAAAGGCAGCTTCCTGGTGTGTGGATTTTCATCTATAAAATTGCTTATGTAACCTGGGGTTACTGGTGGGGTGAAGAATTCTGCTGCCAAATTAGTGATTATTTCCTGTGCAGCCCTGCGAGTGTTAATGTGAGTAAAACAAAGTGGTACTACTAAACCTGTCAGCGCTGTAACCTGCCAAGTGTTCTAAATTAGTGAACTCTTTGCTATGATTGAAACTCTTTATTCCACCTTCTTGCTTTCATAGAATAAAGCCAGATAATGTTAGCAACAAAAATGGCCTTCAGTGGGCATGCTTACTTATTCTGAGCAGCGGACTCTCTCTGGATTCTGCAATATTGTTTGTTTTCATATAGTTGCCAGAGTCATTTCGATGCAGGTGTGAATTTCATGAAATCCAGAGGTAAATATTCAATTTTGTGACATTTTTTTTTTAGTTTTACAGATGCAAGCAAATGTATAGAATTATCTGACTTCGAAAGCAAGTTGTCTAGAGTGACCATGTTCTGACTTCCCAAAAAGAGGACACGACTACACGGGGGCGGAGTCAGGAAGTCGCATGAAGTTAATTTTGAGAGTTTTTTGGGTCAGATAAAGTGTCTTTATGCGCTTCTAACTCAGTAAGTCCAAGTGACACAAACTCGAAACTTACGTACAAAACCGCAGACATTTAAAGGATTTTACAAACTTCCCCAGACAGACCCGGACAGCCTGGACAGCCCCCCCAAAACAGGGACATGTCCAGGTAAAGTTGTCTACCATTGTCATTGCAGATATTTTCTCAACTCCTTTAACTTTCTGATTATGTCTTCATCTGAAACCAGCAGTAGATTACATGATTGAGTCCTGCTAACTTCATTATAAGAGACGGTGACTTATTGAGCCAAGTTATGTTTAAAAACCCAGATCAAATCTATCCACTTTTCCCAAGAACATTATGATAAGGTAATACTCTTCCGCAGCTTCTTCCTCCCCATTGTCTTAAATCATTTTACATCTTTGGTCCTCTTTGCCTCAGTCATGTTGTTTGATTCTCCTTATGACATTAAGTCCATACAGTATGTTGTATGGGTTTTTGTTGTTGTTGTTGTATGGGTTTTTCAAATGTGGGATTGGTTGTACTACTGCAGTTATCCCTCTGAACAATAGACGGCTATTTGATGTCAAGCTTTTTTGTTTAGACCTACTTTCAACCGTCTAGATTCTGTATATTTTTAGACGGAATTTAGATGTTGCACTTTAACCCATTATTCAATAATTGTTTATTTCAAAAAGCAACTGTGGGTTGCATAACTGATGTCCAAGTACTTAACCAAAATAGTTATGATAGCCGTTGAGCAAAATACAGTGTAGTATAGATACAGCCCAGATTTAGATTTAGTCTAAACTTGGTCTAAATTTAGACGTCTAAAAAACTTTCATTTTTAGACCTGTGGTAGCCTGATTTTAGACCAGTCGTCTAGGCTACATTTAGACGTACATTAGACCTCTTTTAGACCAAAAAATGCTCAGTGGGGTTTTTCTGTGTTGGATTTTGGTGTTTTTCCTCTGTCATTTTGCTTAATTTCCTCTTTTACATGATTAAACCTGCAGAGAAGTAGCTACATACCCTTTGAGATCCTAAACTCACAGGTATGCTAAGATATATTTCACCTCAAACAAAGTGAACGTGCAGTGCTCCGAATGGATTCCGGGTCAAAACACAGTGCTCTGCTTTCCAGTGCAGCATGTGAATGTGTTTAGCCTGGAATGCAGGATATGCCATGTAAGATTCACAGCCCCACTTTGATCAGCGCTCACCCTGATTTACAAGGCCTGGATTGAAGATTTGTGTGCGGTTTTATTGGCGAGAGAGAGTTGAAGATGGCAGCCTGTGAGTTCAAAGGCTTATCTACCGTACCTATAGGCGAAGGCTGTATTGATTTTATGGCCAGGTATGTCAAAACAGGTTAGGTATTAGGTACGAAAATGGGTGTCTGTGTGGGGTGCAGGGCTGTCTTAGTGTCTTGTACTGCTGCTCAGAAACAGTTTGTTGATGTTGACCCTCTTAAATCACTCTTTAGTGCCTGCGTGTGTTTCTTATCTATCGCTAAAGTGAAAGCTGAAGGAAACACACTGTGAGGTCCAATGTACTGGAGTGTGTGCACCATCCCTGGGAGCATGCTTTTGATTGGATGTGGCTAAAAATACATCAATTAAACATCAGTTTTACATTCAAGTATTTAATGACCCCGCCTTTCCTATTTTGCATACTCCATCCTGCTTACAATTACAGCACTGTGAGGCCAACATGCATGTATGAAGTCTCACTTTAAAGCCACTTTTTTGCAGTCTCTGAAACATCCAGTTGTTTAGCATGAGGCTGGACCACAACCTTGAGTGTTTAAGTGACAGTTTGGCGAGCTAATGCCTGACTTTCCAATTTTTCCATGATACACAACCAAGAAATTTTCAACTTCCTACAAAATTTGGGCCTCAGATGCCAATACATCTGTTTTTAACCTGCAGTACACATAAAAAGACACTTACTGTGTTTTTTACATTTGCCAAAGTCATTAGTTTCAAACAACTCTGGTGATTGCTATGAGTCATTCATTTGCACAACTCACGGTTGCACGACAACCCGTGTTTGTATTTTGTTTGACATTGAGTGTGACTAACTAACAAAGCCTGTGTTTATTTTACAGTGGCCGCCTGAAAGTCAAAAGTAACAAGGATTTATTCTTTTGAAGGGTGAGTTTTTTTTTTGTTGTTGCTAAATTAATTTTACAGCAGAAGAGTGTTTGGTATATTTGCCCGCACTTCTGTCCATCGAAATATTTAACTAGCCATTTATTGACATTGAACATTTCTGAATGAGAGAGCCAGCTGTTGGATTCTGTGCGGGGGATCATTCAAGAATTGAGTAACAGTGTCTTATTTTCCTCTCTGCTCTGTCAGAGTACTTGTTTGCATGCTTGCCTTTACATTTTTATAAAAAAAGCTTCATTTTCATTTCCATTCTCTGTTGTTTCTAAGAGATAAAGCTCTTACACTCGCCACGATCACAGCAGGAGATCCATTTGTCAAACAGGCTAACCTGATACCAGGTGTCATTGTGCTCCTTTCAACAGCTCCAAACGGTGACACTGCCCCTCCTACTCCCAAAGGACAAGCTTTAACCCCCATCCCATCCCCACCTCACTGTCATCCCTCATCTCTAAAAGGAGGCTTTGTCACAACGTCTCACTTTGGCAGTTTAACTTGATAGTTACCATTGAGTGCTTGTGGGTGGCAAAGGGTACAATTTCCTCTAGCTAGATAATAAACTCCAACAATTACTGGAAACTTCCCATGGTGGATCCACTGATCTTTTCTCTATCCGCCTGTCCCTCTGTTCTTGATCTCTTGGTTCTCTGTCCATCATCCATCTATCTATTATTCTGAACCTATGGCAATCAGTCTTTGGGTCCCTCCCTTCACTCCATGGTGCAGATAATAGAATATTCAAAGCAGCACTACCTGCGAGGATTTGGCCCCACAACTTTGCAACAAGTGGGAGCCAATGGACTGTAAGCAATCAAGACAATGAAACACGCACTTGCAGAGTACCAGAGTCACGAAATCTCCTCCTCGCTATTTGTTTATACCATGAGATACCTTGGCCTTTGGTTAACATCCTCATGCCATATACAGCTAATTTAGCAGCCTGTTGACATTACTTTTCATTTCATGTTGTAACTCAGTCATGAAAGCTCTCCTATGGTCAACTCTAGCACACAGATTGAAAAGAGCAGCTAAAAATGTTGCTGAATGTTGCTTAAATTGCTTCAGATTCCTCTTGGGGAGTGAGACCACAGCGGGCCAAGGCTGCGCTGCGCCTACAGAAGGTTTCTCCATGGGTGGCTTGGAAACCAACAAGATCCTCTGCTTCCTGGCCGGACTGAATCATTCGAAAACTCACAATTTAATGCACCACAGGGAGATTCAAACCCACGCTTGTGCTTGATCATATATTACACAGTAATTAGCTGTATTAATAGAGCTGAAATCTGCTGCCAACAAAATATTCTGTCTTGAACTTGAGCTGCCACTCAGGTGTTTCAGCACATGCAGAGAATGTGGTTGGATTCAATTTGATTTTGGGCAGCAGTGGTAATCAAGCTAAGAGGTTTCTTGTAAAATAACAGCAAGCTGTGGATGTTTATAAGAGAGGAAATAGCAGAGCATGAACAGAGTGCACCAAAAGGACAAGACCACACAACAATACAATACCATCTATTTATGCATCCATCGTGAAAGCCTTTATGCTGCGAAATGGATAAAAAAAACTCGAGAAAATTTGTGAAATTATGAGAGGTTTTCACCTAATGGTTCCTGGAGCTTTAAAATGTGACGGTAATTGGAAAACTGAACTTTTAATAATGAATATAAAGTCTGAGTTTGGACAACACGTGGTCGAAAAACCTGCAGCAGTAGACCACATGTGTGATCCAAACTCAAGCTGTGTTTTGATGGGAAAATTGACAGCAGACATCAGCATTAACCTGACACATGTGGAGTGTATGCAACGCACTTCAGAGATTTTGATTTTGTAGCTTGTTTTCACCATCGCAATCACAGCTCTCATCTCATTTTTCCCTCCATCTGCACTCTTCCCACTTCCCTCGCTGCTCAAACACACACACACACACACACACACACACACACACACACACACACACACACACACACACACACACACACACACACACACACACACACACACTGTCCCTCGAGGGCGATCCTTTACCAGGCTTCCCTCACTCTCTCTGAGCAGCATGCTCAGCAGGGACCAGGCCATGAATGAACGACCTGGAAATCTCACTGTTTCACATGACAGGTGTGCGGAAGTGGAGCTGCGAGCCGGGCCCATTATGCCTCCCAACATTCATTCACTAAAAAAAGAAAGAAGAGACACACACAAACACACACACACACACACACACACACACACACACACACACACACACACACACACACACACACACACACACACACAAACACACACACAGGGAAAGAGAGGATAGAGCAGAGGTATGGCCCCACCCTGCCAGCTCGTCCTCCCACCCCCACACTAGGGACTCCACTAACGTGACATCATGTCTCTGTCACAGAGCAGACTGCATTGTTGTCAGTGCCTGGCTCTCTAACTTTCTGCACAACCTCTATTCCTCCCTCCCTCCTCTCTTCCACTCCCTCATGCTCCTTTTTTTCCTCACTCCCTCCCTTTTTGTCCTCCTCACTTTTTGTTTTGTTTTCAGGAACAACAAAAGGACGCCAGAGTCAAGACTGGAGACATCATTCCTCTCGGTGCCTTTTAAAAAGGGCTGCTCCCTCCTCTCATCCATCCATCCGATTAAATAGACAACACAAATTCAGATTCAAACCTGCACACAAACACAGGACCTTTATGCCTTTAAATCAGCTTCTTAGTCTCTTTTACATCGTTGCTCACGTGCACACAGACCGCCAATATTCCCTCCTCACTCTTCCACACAAACACATGCACAAGAACAGGCACATCGAGACTCACAACCGCAGCACCGGCTGCACACCCGTCATTTATCAACAGCTTTCTGGGAGGTTTTCTCACACACACTTGAGGTGTCATTGCACTCCTTTCTTGATTAACTGCTGCCACCCAGATTCATTTACTAAAACTGATACAAAAGGTCCTGTGTGGGGTCGTTCACTCGTGGAAAACTTTACCCAAAGTGGTCAGATTACTATGTCCATCTTACATTACATAATATTTGCTTGGTTGGTTATATATCATGGCCGCAATGGTTACAGCAGCTAAAAAAAGTCCAACCATCAAAGGTATCATGGGGCTAAGATTAATGGCAAAACATATTGGAGATATTTCTGTATCAAAGGCATTATACATTTCAGGATTTGCTCCACTGTGTTTATTCCTTCACTCTTTCATGTTCCTTCTATTGTTCTCTGTCTGTCTGGAGTCACAGCAAGTGTCGTCATATCATCCAAGATCGCGGCACTTGTCAGACAAAGTGATTTATAGTTATCTGAAAGGCTTCTCCCAGCAGGAGTCCTTGAACTCAGAACAATAAGCAGTTTAGCAGCATGATATGCCTGAGTGGTTGCACAAAAGAGGTCTGTTGGAAATATTTTCACTTCATTTATGGTTTGACATCTCGTTTCTGTCAGCCACAGAGAAAATTCTAGTATCAAGCTTAAGAACAGTGTTCCTCACTTTGTTTTCACTACTGGAAACACTGTAGAGACATTAAGTGGACTTGTTATGACTCTTGAGCTCAAATGGGTCATTTACTGTCTTTTGGAAATCCACCTTTCTGGTTCCACAATAAATAGAGGTCCATTTAGAGGTATTATTGACACTCTGTGGTACAGAACCAGAAATAACACTGTCTGTTTATGCAGTGCAGCCAAGCTGGAGGTCTATGTTCTCCTGCAAATATGTGGTCCTTGGCAGGTAGACTGATCTTTTATCAGAAACTATATCCTAAACTGTCATAACAGATTAACAGTATTTTTCCCCTAGGTTATTTTACGGTATGCACTAAAAAGAGATATGTAATATCTATAAATGTTCACAGTACATCATGTTGAGAATCCATGGTGACTGAAGGAAACAATACAGTGTAATATAAATAGATGTATTAGCAGAAGTGTGCATCTGCAGGGTCATTAGGAAAACTCCTCATATGTGACATTAAAGAGCCTCACAGGCTTAATACTTTTCCTCGTAAATAATTATTGAGAGCGAAACTATTCGTATCAAGTCCTTCTCCGGTGTTTAGTTTGGACAATAGGTGCAATAAGTGCTTTTCAAACACACGGGTCTCTGCATTTTATTAATGAGCTTTGGTGTTTTCCTCTAGTAACTCTACCCATGCAGAACCAAGTGGAGTGATTGCTCTCCTTTTCCTTGGCTCAGAGTACCTGACACACTTGATTACCACTGAGTAAGATGTTGCAAGATTATATCGTACATATCTGTTTCACAGCGTCCTGATAAAGGCCTAATGGGAATTTAAAGTCAGTCTTCATGTTGAATTTATCTATGGTACAGTTAAAGAGCTCCAGTCTTTAACAAATGTCTTGGCTTTTGCCTCTGTCTTTGTCCACTATGAAGAAAATCAAGCATGACAAATCACACTGTGACTGTTAGGATGTCGGCTGATTGGAGGTCTTTTCACTGTCAGCTTCGGTGCTCTTCAGGAACCAACCTCTGTTTGGGTTGGGCATCAGTTCTATTTTTGTGACCGGGTATTTTTCCTAAAATCTGAGTTACAGAAAACCCTGTGCCATACAGTGAACAGATCTTTTGATTAATAAGTTTGAACAGAAAAAAGTAATGCTTTTTGGAGCTGACACAGGGGCATGGCTAGACTTTTTTGACTGGGGTGGCAATGACTTATGAAGGGGTGGCATCAAGTAAGTGTGCACAGTCACACAAATGAATAGCATCTATGCACTATTTCTTTCTCCACTAATTATACCCACTACTACTGAGTATCTTAGAGATGTTTGATTTCATCTACGCATAACTTTTTATTTTACTTTAAAAGTAACACTACAGATTAAAAACATTTAGATTTTCTGAGCTTAATTCTTAAAGCACTCTTAAGTAGGGTGACCATATTCTGACTTCCCAAAATGGGGACACGACTACGTGGGGGCGGAGTCACGAAGTAGCACGAAGTAATTTTGAGAGTTTTTCAGGTCAGATCGAGTATCTTTTACGTGTTTCTCTCAGTATGTCCACGTGACACAAACTTGAAACTTCCGTACAAAGCAGCAGACATTTGAAGGATTTTATAAACTTCCCCAGACAAAGCCGGACAAGCCCGGACAGCCCCCCAAAAAGAGGATGTGTGGTCACCCTATCTTAAGAAAACAGCAAGAATTTAAAGTACAAAGCAAAAGAAATGGTACATTGAAATGCAAAGAAAGCTACCTGGAGCCTTTAGCAATGCAAGTGAGATAGTTTATCATAAGCAAATCCTACCTCAGACAAATATAATTAAATTAAAAAAAAAGCTCCCAGTGGTGACAATTATCCCCGTCCCCCCCGGCACTTTCCCCTCTGGACACACCCCTGGGCCTTCAAACAGAATAGTATCAAAGAAGTTCAGAATTCAAAGTGAGAAGAAAAATGTTCAATTGAGGCAAAATTTGTGCTGCTCCCAAAAGCCTGATGTAATGCCATTGTTTGCCTATTAGTTTTTCATCTCATATGAGTTTTTTCCATCAAAGCGTTGTTCTCCGGCACATTCATGGTCTCAGTGTCCTACATTACTTGATTGGAAACACAAACATCTGCATAAAAACCCCTGTAATCACACACTTGTATGTTTTTATATGGCTTTGATTTGATTTCTTTCTCTGCTCCTCCTAACTCAAAATAATATCACTCACTTCTCAAACATCTCTACTGGAGGACAAAAGAGAGATAAATCTTGTATGACAGCCTGAAGATGTTCATGTCAGCTCCACCTTAACTCCTTTTCTCAAGATATTGATAGTTTGACTCTAGTTTCCAAATACATGTGTATGATTCATAAGGGGAATTTTCCTTCTGGCTTGGGTGTTTTTCAAAGGTCTTGTTTTTTTTTGAATAGAGGGTTCAGCACGATCAGTGCATCCTGATTTCTACTTTTGTCTCGTTGAAAAACTCAGAAATGTATCGGAAAATATGAGAGTAAATCAACATTTGCATTTAGCAGTTTCTAAAAAATAAACAAAAACAAAAAAGGACAGAGTTCATGTGTAAAATGTTGCAAGGCTGAGCTGCTCAGTGATTCAAACTGTGATTCAAGCATCAGTCAGTGGCAGTCTAACCATCCACGGTGTCCTCAGGTGAAATGCTAAGTGATGACAGTTGTTGTAAATGACCCCTAACTTTTCATAGTTTCTGTTTCAAGCCATGACCCCGTTGACCATCAACTGATAAAGCCAGCCAAAGGCCCCATCAAAAAGAAGCCTCATTGGTCCAGCTGTCTCCTCAGGCCATGGCCAACCTCCTGAGAGCCTCTCTACTCACCCACCTCCAATTATTATATCAGGTCTCCAGGCTTTTGTTTTCAGGCTTTGAAGGATGTTTTCATGTGTTTGTTTGAGAAATTATGGGTGTCCGGTCTGCAAAGAGCGGAAAAAAAATTACCTGGGATAGAAAATAGAGCGACTACAATGCTTTCACAATGCCTTTTGCTTCTCCTTTCTCTTACCAATACCTCACGGTGCAACCTGACTCCTCCTCTATTTTAGCTGTGTGTTTATCTAAGTGTCTCCACGGGACAGACTGATGTGATTCTTTAGTGGACATCCTTTCAGTGTTCCGCTTTGGGAAAAAAACAGGATTCTCATGCTATCTATTATTCTCACATCGCCCATACACACACACACAGCTAACACTTTCACACAGTCAAATGTATAGATAAACCTGGTTCTTCATTTCTTTAAAAAAGTTATCTTAAATATAAAGATGTGAAAATCTTAATACACAAAATCAATCGATGAGCATATTGAGTTTTGTCATTGAAATACTTAAAAATTCACTATCAGTTATATGAAAGGAGCTAAAGGCTGTAGAAAAGAGACGCTTCACTTTACTTATTTAATCTTAATGAGGATGTTAATAAGTTTTCTGTAAGTTTTTATCTCTAGTTTCATCTTTCTCCTAGGATTCAGCACATTGGACAGCTCAGTTTTTAAGTGACTGTCTTTGCTTTCGTGCCATAATTCCAAACATTTGTCCACACATGAACAGATCTGACATCATATGCAAATAATTCCCTTCAAAGTGGCATAGAGCCTCGTCTTGAAAGATCTCCTTCAAGATAAAGACCATGAAAACTGTTCCATGTTCTCTCCCCTGGTCATGAAAATCAATCGCACTGCGAGTGGATCAGAATTGATTTTTTAAGCATATTAAATCTACCTTTGATGAATAAGTCAGAAAAAGTCTGTTAGTCAGAGGAACTGATTTGCATGTCTTTGTTATTGTGTCGGAGAATGGGCCTGCATGGAGCTCCATTTATCTTTGACTGTGACTTTTTTTGTTTACTGCTGTAACATAATCTGAGGCCTCCTGTGAGATAAGATCAGTGGAAGAGACGGCTTTATCCTCCTACGTGACACTAAGCGTATCTCTCAATCAAGTGCTGGATGATAAGGCAGATCTGACTGACAGGGTTTAAGCTGCTGGAGTCAGGGCCTGAGTTTTCTCATGGCAAACCCTAAATTACATGTTAGCACTTCAGACTGTGAGGCTAACAGAGGCATGGTGGTAGTTTGGCATGCGACTTGTGGGTTTTGCTGTGGAGAAACAAGACTACAGAACAGCTAGGCGCTCCAAGAGGCTCTTAAAGGCAGTTGTGTTTTTGGCTAAATGCTAACACTAGCATGCTATTATGCTTTGGATGACAATGCTACATGCTTGTGTTTTGAAAAATGTTAATTAAGTTTACTATCTCTGTTTAAAAGTGAATGATCAGCTTACTTTTGTTAACTAGCTGGGGCTGCTGGGAGGGGATTTATTTTTTAGGTTTCTGGTCAGACACAAGTCCTAAAAAAAGGCAGATAAAAAAATATCTTAATTGAGGTAAAGCACTGCAAGTGTTTAACAGAGTGTGCACTTGCACATATACGGATGTTTAGGTTTTAGGTTCTCTAAAAATGAGCTAAATTATGTGAACAGTTTGGCCGTCTGCATTAGTAGTGCCAATTCTACCCTTGTTTTTCAATCAAGGTATCACCCGACCAGGATCCTCTGTGGGGTTATATCCTTACTATTGGCGAGCATACCTCTAATAGCTTTATTCCAGAAACACCAAACTATACCTTTAAGGTCTAGAGTGAGGAAAAAATGAAAGAGGAAATTACTTTGAGTGATAGCTGGGTACATTACCAGGTAGCAGCTAAGCTACTCCATACTCGGTGTCTTTTTGCTAATATTTTTATTCTAATTTAAGATAATAAGACTTGCTTTGGATCTGTTCTGCTACTTCAAGGCTGTTCTCCAGTTCTCCAAGTGAGTGAAATTCTCCACAAATGTAGCCATGGCAAGTAGCATATACTTGACATAAAGCTGAACACAAACTACAACTGATGTGACACTTTGCTAAGCAGCTAACAACAGTTGGCTTGCTGACCGTCGTAGCTCCTGATCTGTCGTTCATGATTGTTAATTCTCAAGTCATGTCTGAGCACGAATCAAGATTTCCTGTTTTGAGAGTCAGGACTTTGCTCTGTTAGCATGTGGTTTTCTGTCTTGGCTGTAATAGATGGACATAATTATACTTAATATCAAGGATAACTTTATCTCACAGTGTGGAAATACTTTGACCTCCATGGATTTGAGCCTAGTAGCAGTCTGAGGGAAACCGTCTAGAGATCCAAAAAGAGCATGAGGATTGTCACCTTGGAAACATAAATGCTTGTATGAAATTTAATGGCAATCCATTAAACAGTTGAAATACTTGAGCCAGACAGTTGTGGACCCAGGCTGACAGACTAGACATCGCTGCCGCCCCACCTCGCTGGCGTGACTTTAAACAAACTGAAGACAGTCATGGCACTAAACATACAACAGATGTAACTGTCTGTTTAAAATGCCTTCAAAGCAGCAAGTGACGAGATTATTCCTAAAAAGAGAGTATTGCTTCATCATTGAGCAAGAAGCTTGTCAAGCACAGTCATAGCTTATGTGTTTTTCCACTCAGGGGTCTCTTCAGAGCCCACCATGCCCCTCTTGGCTGCTTAGGGGTGTTTGTAACCAGAACACGCACGCAGAGCAGTGAGTCAGCGACATAGCTCAGGTGTTGTTGTTTTTTTTTTTCTGGAGTTCAGCCTTTTGGTCTGACTATTAGGAGACACTGAAGTCATTCCACTCAGTGTTTCCAGTGTCTGATGTTGTGTTACTGGAGTGATACAGAGCTTGAATACTTTGGGAAAACTCATTCGCATTAGTCACAGCTGCTGGGCAGCATGAAGTGATATTCAAGATGGAACCACCTGCTCCACGCCCAAATTAATCAATGATGTCGTGTTCATGAAAGACTGAAACTGTATCAGCTTTTTTTTACACAGTGATATGGAGATGATTTCTTCTACCTTGTCAAAGATGCCAGATGATTTCTAGCTTCATTCTTAAGGGTTAGCTTGATCTCAGTCTAATTGCATGCATGTGTGGTTATTTAGTGATTCAGAGCCAGGATATCAAACCGCTACATCAGCACTTCCTCAACTGTCCGTGAACAAGGGTCTCCCCCCAAATGCTATGGATAAATAAAGCAAATCAACAAACATGAAAACAGGAACGTTATATCCAATGTGGCGACAACAGTCCAAACTGCGGGCACTGATAATGCCGGTCTTTGTTGTTTATACCTAAAACAGCTGTTCCACTGAGCGCGCCACATGTTATTCCAGACAAAGCTGGATTACATGCTGCTTTTCACTAATATCACTATATCGTTTGTCCCTGTCTGGTAATTGACTGCATGTTGGCTCCATCTGCTTTCATGTGAGTCGGATTTTGTCCTTAAACAAAAACCCTGACGAAGCGTACAAAGGTAAACTGATCTCATTCTCGGAATAATAATGCATTATAAGACAACAACCACAGCGAAACAAGAGCTCCTTGTCCAACTCTCTCTCAGTAAATCAAATTATTGTGCTCCCTAATTCGCCAGGTATAAAATTACCCTTACCTTACACTTCTGACTGTCATCCAACATCATACCTCAAACCCATCACCCCTAAGTGGTGGCATAAAAATAAGCCATGGTGTTATAAGCAGGCCATTTAACAAGCAAGAAACCATAACCCAAAACAGCAAAGGCTCTCAACTTCAAGTCTTAATTTGTCAGAAGAGAAAAAAAGCCCTCATTCACATTTCTCTTCCTTGTTTTCTTGGGTTTCACCTGAGGATGCAGGGGACAGTGGTGTCCTTGTTTGATTCTAATCACGGTCCTCACCTCAAAAGTTTCCTCCTGGGAACTTCCCTCCTCCCCCCTCCATGGACACATGCACACTGACTCATTAAGTGTGGTGGAAAATTAAAACAAGGCAGAGCTGTCTGAGAGGCCCGAGTTTCAGCTGGAGACTCTCTCTGTCAATTGTCTTATCTTCTCTGGCAAGCAAAAGTGTCTCCACAAGCCAGCTGACTGATGAGAGACGAGTGAGCTCATCAAGACACCGACTAGACCCTGAGCGGGGTTTCAGTGGTGCTACTCCAGACACTCCCTAAGGGTCAGTTTTGCGTGGGATGTGTTATTCTTAGCCTAGAATTGATTTCAAAGCTGATTGGTGATCTGGTCTTACAAATTTAGCTTGTTAAAAACTGTTTTGAATTAAACTGGTTCCCAGCCTTCTCCTGAGACAAATGAGGTTATAAGAGCAAAGGGTGCAACACAAAACACATGTCTCAGCAGCCTTTTCCTTCTCCATTCTTTGGCAATAGGTCCTGTAATTAGCGCCGCTAACCACATCCTTATTTACTCCCCTCTGATAGATTTTTGTAAAACTTACATTTCTGCTTACAATATTGCCTTTCAACACAATTCTATGCGAGTTGATAAGAAATGGATGGCAATATGTACCAGCCCTGTATGGATCAGATAAGAACAAACAAAAGATTTCCCTCTGATGGATAATTATACAGTAATCTAATACTTCCTCCTGCTCTGCGTCTCCTGACACATAATGCAGCAGTGAATGATTCTGCGTGAGCAGGACTTCGCTCCTGCCACTTCAGGTTGGCTGAAACATCAACGAAGGGAAAAAAGGCAGCTTTCCACACGAAAGGTCAGCTCAATCAAGCCAATTGAAGAGTACAATGAGACACACAAAGCTTATTCTCTTTGTACACTGGGGATGGTAATTTAGTGGTGGGGCTCTGCCCTCCTGTGGTCAGCACAGCAACTCTCAAGGTGTCAGAAGTACAATAAATGATCCCCCAATTGTGGTTTTTCTTCTTGAAGAGACACAGAGTCTGTGGTTACATAAAACCTTCCCTTGGCATTAAATTTGTCAGTTTTTCAGCCCAAGTATAAGCCATTTCCACAGAGGACATGAATTTTCACAAGAGAAAGAGCAAAGGTGTAAATGATATAGTTAATGATGGCTTTTCCTCATTTATATGCTTCACTTTTAGGGTCCTGGTATCATGAAAAAAGGCTCATCTTTATGTATAAAACCTGAACTTTTCCCACAATGACTAGACAAAATATTTGCTTTGAAAATGGCACACGATGAAGAGATCAGGAAACATGCAGGAATCTTGATGTCAAATTCTTTGACTTTTAAGACCTTTTTACAGATTTAACCAACATATTTTGAGACTTAAATATGACTTTCAGCCGTAACTGCATGCAAACAACACACGTTTTACTTTCTTTGCTGTATTCTGGAGCGTTTACAGGGTTTTTTTAACCATACATTTTTTAACAGAATGGGAAACCTACTGGACTTAAAGCTACTGTGAAGATTTTTTTTACCCCCTCTGGACAAAGCAGTCATCGCTCATCTTAGTGTCTTCATGCTTAAGTTAAAAAAAAAAAACTCATCCTGACAACTTTTGACAGGCGACAGTATCATTATCAGGAAATCTTAAAACAGGACTGTTTCTTTAGCAGCTTGGCTGACACCTGTCCCCTCACACTGTTTTCAGGCTTTAAAAATTTCAAAATAAAGTAATTAATCTTGTTGCTGATGATTTTGTTTATGTTTGTATATCATAAAAAAGCATCAGCATGACTTTCAGCTACTTTCATGTGTGTCACAAATTGACTTGCAGGAGCTTTAAGTTTGTGAAAACTCAGTCAGTCAGTGGAACAGTGGTATATCAGTGAGTACATTACATGTTTGACCTGTTAATATAATATTGAATTTTTCAAGGTTTTACTCTAATTAAAACAAATGAAAAACAAAAAAATAAGTATGTATAAGTTAAAACTTTTAGTGAGCAGAAACTTCTGACAAACACCAATTTAACAACTATTAAAAAAAGACTAAAAACACCAGTGCCATTAAAAGCAGTTGCTCAGATGTATAGCTACCTGTGCATTTACCTTTTTTTGCTTGACAGATGTAGGCAGTCAACGACATGGACGACCTCAGACAACATGACGCTGTTCCCCTAAAAAAAAAAAAAAAAGAAAGAAAGAGTTGTATTAAGTCTTTGGTTCTCAAGAAAATAATCTATCCTTTGATTCCTGTCGTTGTATTACTGTTGCCTTTGATAACAAAAAAAATCACAGCAATTAAGTAACAAGTGAGAACACTGAGCAGGACTTTGCTCACTAATGCTACCAGCTGGAATTACAGTGGCTCTGCAGATTCCTCTCAAAACACGTACTCCACCACAACCGTGTTAATTTCAATGTGAGCATGGCTTTTAAATGTCCAGCAGGGCTCATAATGTGGATGATGGATTTCCTGCAGCTGAAAGAGAAGCTTGGATAATTAGGTTCATTGTGAACACTGATGAAGCATAAAACCACACACAGAGGAGCATGCGAGAGCTTCACTTTCAACTGCAGCCAAAATATGTCTGAGGAGGTTTATTTCACTCTCCTCCCCTTTGCTCACTCAACAGTCTCTTTTCTTCTTTATCATAGTCCTCCACATCTGCTAGTTTTGAAAAGAAGATGTTGATTATTCTAACTTGTAGTTTGCCTGTTAATGAGCGATTTCGATCCAAATCCGGATTGGTCACACTAAACGAATCCCTCATTACAGAATAACCACCCACACTCAAGAATCAGAATCAGAATCAGAGAGGTTTATACATATTCACTTCAATCTGATGTGAAAATCGCTGAAACTGGAAGATCTCCAGCAGGTTAAGCAGCACATAAAGAATATAGTTTAACTGCTAACAGATCCACTAATCTGGATCTTTTAATATTGGTAGGAAAATGATTGGTGTGCAGTACGATAAAAGTGTGGCACAGCCAGAGGTAATCATCACCTGACTCTGCAGCTTTTCCAGCCTGAGAACCGAGTAAATCAGGGACTTTGTGTTTTATTTGCTCTGGCACACGCATGTGGTCCTTGGCCCAGTCAGCCAGATAACAAGCCCACCTGGTCAGGGCCAATCTCAACAGTTAACTTATAATGGTGCCAGTGTAATATGATAAATCTATTGAGATTGTTTTAAAGGCATTTTAGATAACAGAAAAGGTGGCCAGTCACTAATGCTTCTTGAAAAGAGATTAGACAACAGAAGTTTCCAAAGTAATGTGCATGAGAGTGGATCTGGGCTCTTCTAGGCCTTTTAATCTAAGATTATAACTTTGGTTGTCCAACCTGAAAACCTACCACTATTTCCAGTCTCCCTTGGTGGCATTTGTACTTGTCAGCTGAATATTAATCAGACAAGTTTGTTGTACCTAAAAGCAACAAACAGATGAAGTAAAAATAGTGAGATTCTAGTATAAATGCCTTAAATCTACTGAGCTTGATGCCCAAATGTGTTTTTTAATCTATTTGAGTCAAAACTAAAAATATAGGATACATGGAGAGTTTAAAGTAACATGAACAAGGTAACTAGACACTTGGCTTTGAATAAATGTTACTACATTTCCACTACGCCAACAGTCAATCTGAGGTCCCATACCTGAGGTCCCACGAGACACCCATGAGGAGGCAGAGGAAGATGCAAAGTGTCGACATCAACATCGATCAGAGCACTCAGGTTTCTCTAGGCCACACGCATGTTGTCCCTCCTCTGGACCTGAGACTGGTGTAGAGAAAACTGTTCAGTAGGAGTGATTGGAAACCTGACCTCTTCTGGCCCCGACCAGAAACTTTAAATTGCAAAGTTCGAGTTTGTATCTGTCAGCATTGTAACCATTAAAACTCATTTAGTTAATGTAGCTTTCATGATTAAACTTACTTATCAGTAGGGGTAACGTGACTATTTACTGATAAATGATAATTAAAAAAAACATTTGCAGGCCTTTCTTTGACTAAAAGACTACTTACAATGGTATGGACAAACCATGGTTTATATAACATTGCCAAACTGGATCCCTTTTCATTAGTGCATCATTGCAGGATATCTGTGCCAAGTAAAAATAAAAGCTTGGTGTGGCTCTTGGTTGTGACCGGTCTTTAAACACAAACAGTCCTGGTGATAAATCAGACAATGAAGAGTTTGGACAACAAGGCCAACCCTAAATAAGAAGCAGATAAATGATAGTGATAAATGGTAAAACCTCAAGATTTTAAATAGTTTTACTAAAGCATGAAGACTTCATTTCTAATTCCACTGACTGCATTCAAGGAGCCGAAGTTTTGAAGAAGTTCTTGGTTCGAGTTACAGCGAACAGCTACTGTAAAACTGTAATATATATTTAAACATAACTCTGTTTTCATTATTGTGTTGCACAAAAGAGGGATATGAGGCCACTGTTGATCCAGCAGTTCAAACTATCTTGCGTGGGGAAATTTTATTGCTACATAACAAACATGATGAAATATATCAGCAGCTAATGCGTCATTTAAAAGCGGAGAATTGGGGGGGAAAAATCAAAACAATAACACATTTATCAATTTGACAAGGCTGTACACACATCCAAATGGTCTTGAAATAATCAGGAAACACATCACGTTTTGATTCACACCAAAAACAATCCTGCTATGCAAATCTTAATCCAATATAAACCACGACTTTGATGCCAGAGGTCTAGATTCTTTCATAAAGACCTGTCATAATTTGACTTTAACGCCTGGACACAAACTGACTACTTGGCTGCAGAAATGAGAAATATATTTCTCGTGGCCCCTGCTGTTTCATGATGTTCTGGCTATTGGGTCACACTTTGGGGAACTTTGAATCAAACATTTAGAGAAAAGTACTATCAAATGTTCCTGTTAGTCATAGATACTGACACACCAAATCCTGTTTTCAGATGGCTGACTTAAGCTCCATCACATCAAAAGATTTGTTTGGGTTTTTCCAGAATTTCCCCTCTCTTTTCCCCATATGTTCGTTCGTGTTTGGAGGTGTTGCATTTATGTGTGTCCACCTCAATACAGGCCTCCACTCAGAATTATTATTTTTTTGCCGAGGTCACGTTGAGTGTAACCTAGAGGATAACTGATGAGGTGGGAATAATAAAGCAGCAACACCTACAGGTCTTCCCTGTTTTCATTTTTGGCAGTGCTAAGCAGACACTATCGGAATATCTGGAGCAACAATGGAGTTGCTTTTGGACATAAGAAGTATAAAATTTAACACAGAGCATGTGTAAAGCTTCAACCTGCCATTTGTAAATGAACTCCAACATCATTACCACACCCGATTTTACAGACAAACTTGTAAACTTAGAAATAAAGTGGCCTGAGAAATAAAGATGCACTGATCAAAACCCCGAAGCTCTTACCCAGATCCCACACAGTGTCTCCGTCAGGACTGAATATTTGACTGCTTCAAATAATGCAAAAATCTGCAGCTGAAAATTCAATTAGGAAACATGTTGTCAGCAAATGCCTGACTTAAAATAACCTGGAATGAGCTCTCTCTCAGGTTGCAACACTCCTTTTGGTCCCATAAAACCTGGAAAGAACAACGTGGTTAGAGTGTGAATATGCTTCAGGTCACTTTCTCGAACTGCCGGTGTCGTCTTAACCAAAATGAGAGGTTTTCCTCCTTAAAAGCTATAAACAGTTATTTTCACTTCAGTTGTAAAGAGAGCTGAAAAAGGAAGTTTTAGACGTTTGAAAGAATGTAATCACCAGAGGATGCTATTTAATCCATCACATTGACATAACTCCTCGACTGGGAAATGAAAATACCATTTTGATTAGGGGTTGGACACATTATCAGTGCAGCAGAATACTCTCCTACCAACTCAAGCAATTACATTACTGAGTTGCTTGTGCAGAATGTTAGTTCAATTTGAAAGTAATTGGGTGCTTTAGAGAGAAATCCTCACCTATCTGATCACACTCGAAAAGAACTCCATGCCTCCTCTCGATGTCTGACTTTAATTCTGCTCATCATAGAAGAATTACTGTATCATCATATTGTCATTATGGGCAATGTATAAGGAATTAACTTTAGTGTAAAAAGGCCGCAGTGACATTCTGGTGAATAAACCTAAAAGATGAAGTTAACTTGAGTGAATCAACCGCTGTGTAATGTCGTGTATCTCCTTGAGTTAAACTGTTCATTATTTACTCTTCATGGTGGTTTAATCTCATCAGAGAAGCTCAAAAATCTTGAGTTTTTTCTCAGCTGAGCTCAGCAAAATTGCTAATTGTTTTGTACTGTTGCAATATTGCATTTCTTAGCACTTAATAACATATTGACTCCAACTTTTACACAACTGAATGCTTTTCCAAGAATTCAATTCACTTTTATGTCTTTCCTTTATTTGTGTTACATTGCTGCTTTACCTCACTAACACCTACAAGCTGACAAATGTGTAACCAGTTATTTAGAGGCTTGCTTTGACAGTTGTAGTGCTGCAGGACACTTGCTGAAGTGCCTCATACTTTTTTAAAACAGTAAGCAGACGCTCTGTGCAACGGCTTTGACCCCTGACAGATGTTTTTGTCGAGAGGACTACCTCAATTACCGTTATTGTAACATTAGAGGCTCCAGTGAACGTCTCCCTGTCGGTCTCTTTTGTGTTGTTTGATACTTCCGTAGGTGGGCAGAGCTTTTCTTTCAAGAGGATAATAAAACAAAGCTCATGGTGCTGACATCACAGAGACAAGATTAAGATACTTACAGTGAGCCAGAGGATTGGAGAGAAGTGAGCACTAGCTAAATAGCCTCTCCAAAGAGCTTGGGAACCTGATCTGTTTTTGTTAGGCTTTTAAGTATTACATCCCTGTTTGATCTCAAGCTAATTAAAATGCCCGAGACTAGATGAAGCGGAAACCAATAGCGCTTATTTAAGTCCAGTACAGAATGTCCTCTAACGTTATGACCTCAAAATCAATTCACAATCAAGCTAAAGTGCCTCTGGGGAACGTAAGCAGGAACACAATTGTAATGATTAACTCTAATTCACAAACCAGGGCTGTGTATGATTTAGAGCGCAAGTGAAAAACAAATTGTTGCTGAGAAATTCCTCGGACACGACTAAAACGTTTCATTTTAAATCCCTTTATTGAGTATCTTCAAAAGTTGTTTCTTCAATTCATCACCTTCCATGTTTCTCAACAGCACCGTGGTCATCGCTGCAGACGACTGCCAAGTAAACACTCAGCTACTTCATTCAGCTACTTGATTCCGCTGTTGCTCATGGTTTGAGCTTTGCAAACTCCCTTGCCGGAAACTTCAAAGGCTGCCCCCTTGTAGGTCGCGACACACTGGTCATCTGTGCGCAGGTCTGGCTGGACCTGCTCCCACACCTTCTTTTTGGGGTTGAGTTCTTTGTCGGGTTCACCTGCAATCAAAAGATCATTTTTGAGGCATTAAGAAAATCCTCCTGCTCTGCGCTCATCCATCACACATGAAGGATTTGCAGGATTTATGGATCGGAGATTGTTGTTTTATGAACTTTTGAAAACGTGTCATGTCCTTGCATAACCTCCTGAAAAACTGTTTTAATATATTCATACCATGACACATTGACAGATGGCTTTATGGACTCTTCTTATTCATCATACACTGATACCATCTCTATTGTAAGACGAGGCCAGAACATATTATGATCAAATGACTTCCCCTTACAGACATGATTTATCTGGCGTATTCTCATTTTATTCCTCCCTCTCCAATTGTCAGCAGTTTGACTTACTTTTGTGTTCTATCAGAGCATCAGCTTCTTCTTAGCTGTAACTCAAAACATCTTGACCGAGATTCTCAGAATCAAAACGTGCGTCCATGGAAAACAATTAAATGAGGCTCTCTTTGTTTTTGATGTTGCTTGGCATAAGTGAAAAATCATAGCCTGTACTGTCTGGCTTCTGTCCGGTGTCAACTTTTTCCTCTCTCTACAACCCTCTTATGGCATGAGGACACAAATGTGTTTCATTTCCCAGAGCTGCCATTTCTGCTGGTTTACAACCCAAGAGTGGCAACGGTCCTTTTTGATCAGAAGCGTGAAGGAGGTTTTGATGAGCAACTTGTGCACATTCTTAAGTTCAAGCTGAAGCACTGGACCCAATTAGTTGAGGACATGTGGGCCATTACAACCATGTTTTCACACTAGCAGTGGATTGGCTGAAACTGAATCTGTACTGTGGAGCTTTAAGGAGGGACAAGAGGGAGGTATGGAAAGGGACAAACCTCTTTCACCTCTTATTTTCCATATTTTCAAAGTCAGAGAGCTGCTTCAGTTTTACTGTACACCACAACAAATAAATCCAACAATTTCACCTCTGCTCTACGCTCTCTTCTTTTGGTTCTCCTGAGGACTATTTTTTCCAGAGTATGGTTAGAGTCTTTTTAATGTAGCATCCATAAAAATGATTCTGGCCAAAGAGATTTCTCATGAATAAGGGATGATGAATAAGGGAATAATGGAGCTTTTAGGAGTGGCTGGGACATGTGGACAGCAGGGATGAAAAGCCTGATGCAGCTGGGATGTGGGTAATTGGACCACAGATCCACCTTCATCAAAACCTCCCTGTAGTTTCTTCTCAGGGAACTCCCCCTTTTTATTGTTCCCAAAGAAGACAGGAATAACAAGATAAATCATCAGCTCAGCACCAATATTCAGCTTTGCTGACTTTATTATAAATGTGAGTTTTAAAGCCAGGGACTGAAATTACAACCATGCTGTCTTGTTTGGTGGCTGTTGTTGAATTTAGGACAAATTTAATACAATCCCCCTGATGAATACTTCACAGAGAGGACTCTAGTCTCATATCATAATTCATGCTTAATATAACTCCTACACTTTTTGCTTCCAAACTCCTACGTCTGAGGAACTTTACTACATAGTTTGGCACTTTTTACCAGACTGCCTTAAGGAAACAAGAAAGTAGGTTACATTTCAAGCAATATATCCTGATTTTTTTCTATTAAACCGCCACCAAATACAAGTGAGGAGCCGTCCAATGACTGGTAAGTGTGTCTTTAGAGGAAAACATGCAAGAACTTAAGTTTTATATTTTGTAGCAGGTGTTAACAACTTCATCTCCGAGGGACAGAGGCTCTTTTTGAATCTGGGAACACAATCATGAGAATCTTACTGGCAAATTCCTGATGTCTGTGATGTTGGTCATGACCTTAATGTTTAAACCTTATCCTAATCGTAGATCTGTTTCTAAATGAACAGTTTTTGGGTTTTCATACCTGGGAAGCCCTGGAAAGTAATTCTGTCCCCAGGAACTGATCCACTTGGAGGGTCCAGGATTTCCACTTTCTCTGGGGAGCTGGCACACATAACCATGGCCTGGGACACCACTCCTCTCATCTTGGCTGGCTTGAGGTTACACATCAGGACTGCCATGCGGTTTTGCATCTGCATGAGGGACAGAGGATTCAATCCATATTTGTGCCCATACACACAAGCTACAGAGGAGAAAAAACGTTTTACTTACAAAGAGAAAACACCGTAAGAAAAGACACGGACCTTCAGGATTGAGTTTAAAGTTTACTGCCAATTTCAATCAATCAATTTCGAATGACCGAGTCCAGCGTTTTTGGTTTGTTTGCCTCATTTCAAACACCAGAGAGAGCAAACACAAAACTTGAGCCTTGAGACCTCTGTGGTTTACCAAAATTTGAAAAAGAAGACCAACGGCAGCTTCTGCCAAGAGCAAGCAAAGAAGACGAGCAATCCAGCATTTTATGAGATGATGTATACCAGACCTCAGAAAATAATCATACATCTTTTTTTACAAACACATCTTTAAGAAATTGCTACATAAATCCAAAATCCTTCATGTTGCTTGGACAGGGGTGAGATGGTAGTTTCGTTTTTCATCTCTTGGCAGTTTTGGCGAGTCGGGGTTACTATGTTAATGTTCTGTAACTGTATTTACATAGCAAGCTGTCAGACCACAGCAATATTTTTTTTGCAACGTAGACACTTGTCTTAACAGTTATTTTCTGATTAGCTTGTCTCAGACTCCCATTTCTGCATGAAGCCTGTTATTTATCCTCACATAGCAGACACTCAAGAGTGCTGCCACGGGACCCATAATGTATTTCAGCAGATTTTTCACTCCTGCCTGTTTGATGGCTTCAATAAAACACTTCACAAGAAAATATTGTGTTTAGGTTTATGATTTCTTACCTTTATGAATAACATGGACTTTCTATCTGCGGTCACAGAGCACTTAAGGCCTTAAAGCTTACAGAGGCTAACACCTAATATTTGAACAAAAACGTGGAGTAACTGTGGTCTTTTCCAAGTAGTTTTGGTTAGATATTTAAGTACTGTCTATTTCTTTCTTGGAAAAACCCTGGAAAGGTTTGTTACTGATAATTACAAGCATATTAGTTCCCATTTAAGTCACAGACTGTCAAAAATTTTAATGCAGAGGTGTAATGTGCAAGGACTTCCCGTCTTATGAAAAATGAACAGGCTAGCTACAAAGAAATCTTGACTACCATAAAAGTACCTACTATTTTCTAATTAGATTAAAGTAAATTTAACAATTAAATCACTCTAAAACTATCAATTAAAGTGAGATTAATGAAAATATTTTCTAAAGATCCTAAATAAGCATCAACATTTTTTCTGAGGATAATTAGTAAAGACTTTGCTTAAAAGAGCCATTAAGCCTACTAAATGACCCGTGGATTTATCAAATATAGAAAGTGAACTTAGAAATCACTGCTTATTTGTAAAGCTGGCTGGCTTTCTCAATCTAGGATAGAAATGATATGGGGAAATACTTGTGCAGATTAATCTGGGGATTGTGGAAACTTTACGGTGTATCAAGGTTTGATTTCATTAGGGGAACAAGAAATAACTTAGTTACAATATAAACTAATACACTGTCATTCTGTGGGAAACACGGCTGATCTTAGCAGCATGAAAAATAATATAAAACTGCAGTAATATACATCAGAGGAGTTACTTTCAGTGCTGTGTATCAGACTGTTTTTGTTGGGTTTTCAGTGTAAACTACTAAGTGTTAATGAGTTGTGTGTCATACTGTACCTGGTCCACAGGTATATGCTTCACTAGCCCACTGACAACTGTTCTTGGAGACGGCTCTCCCACGTCGACCTGCTCCACATACAGACTGTCTGCATCAGGGTGCTTCTCTGCTGTGATTATACGGCCAACGCGCAGGTCCAAACGAGATACATCCACCTTGACTTCTTCTTGGCTTGGAGCTGCCTGCTTCTTCTCTGCTTTCTCCCCTCCTACAGAAACCAAAGTGGTGATAAACTTTGGGACTCATATAGATATTTAACACCGTTTTAGTATTTCTGAGTCTAGAATTGGTGAATCTGAAATAGCACTTTAGTTGGGTGTTGGAAGTTTGGTTGGGTGTACTGACAGCACAAAAATTCAGACAGTAGCTATTCGCCATGTGTTAGGGAGGGTTTGCTGAAAAGAAGCATCTGCGAGAGTTTTCATGCTTTTATGCTAAATGTGCGTGACATTATAGGAAATGTTTGTTTAAAAGGCACCAAAGACGTTTCAGCAGACTGGTATCTTTCCAGGGGAAATTATAAAAAACAAATCATACTTGAAACGATACTGGGCATCTGTCTGGAATCTGATTTAATTTCCTCTCATAAATAAAAACAAAGCTCACAAATGACAGGCCCCGGGGGTTGCATGCATGCATGCGGGCCATGGTCATGCTTTTCAAGTGAACCATAAGTAAATAGTGTTGAGAAAAATCAATCCTTTGACACTCCTTCCCAGAAATGTTGAAAACACCTTGACTAAACGACAATACCAGTGCCCCTTTTTGGCTGTGAGTGCTACCCGATCAAGTGACAGAGCAGAATAGCAGATGCTTCCTCCCAGGAGACGGAGTACTTTTCACTGGCCTGGTTAGCTTACACACATTCACTCCAGTGATCAAATGATCACAGTCTTTAATCATTCCTCTGAGCCCGTACAAGTGCCAAAGAATATGAAGTCCAACCTCTGCCTTTGATATTCTACATGACTCCTCTGCGCTCAGCTGTGATGACAAGACAGCCACGTCATGCTAGCAGGACTACACAAGCGTTTGTACAATAACAAGTGATGACTGCTGGCTGAGGTGAGAACACGGCTACTTATAGCCTTTGATAGCCGGCAACAGAAGAAAACCTCGGTCATTAGTATCCTACTAACATCTGGAGTTAAAAAAATGAAATTAAATCAATGAATTTGTCATGGTCTTTCTTCTCTTTCTAAGTCACCCCCCTCCCCTTCCCCAAACACATGGAGAGCTAATCATTTCCAATCAATTCCTGAAAGTTGTACTGATCAGTCTACAAAGCTTTGGTAAAACAAAACCAAAACAGTCTGATTTTCTGTAAATACACTGACAAAGATTTTCTGATGCTCTACGCTTGACAAAAATGTCGGAGTGTTTAGTGCCTGGAAGTAGCCTGTAAATATCTTTAAACTAAGATCCATACTCCAAGCATCTGATATTAGGAACAAAGACTGTAAATAATGCAAACAGGATGTCTGTTTACATAAGAAGAAAAAAGTGATCTGAAGCAAAAATGTACAGTATATGAAGAAAAACTGCTTGGGAAGGCATAAGTGACTGTTTATATTTAAAAATTAACATGAAAAAGAATGACACAAATGTTTCTGTGTGACACAAAGTTTCCCGAAAACTTCAAGGATTGAGCATAAAATCATGCAAAGTACCTTACTTCCCACCTCTGCCATTACCTTTTTTCTCTGGCTTCTTCTTTTTACCGTCCTCTTTGGGAGGGGGACTCTGGACAGCAGCAGCAGCAGGTGACGGTCCAGAGGGTTGAGGGGGAGTGGGCTTGGAGGTGCACTCTACAATGGCACCAGTCGATGGCATCGCTACCTCGAGCACTACAAGATTGACAGAAGGAGGAGTTGGGAGAACAATTATTAAGGAGTCGTGTTGGAAAGACATAATAGCAGACAGAGGTTACCATCTGATGCCTTTTCATGTCTATTATTGCTGTTATTTGATGTAGTTTCCCCAATGCTGAGTTTAAGTACCAATCACAATAATATAGAGCACTGCCGTGATGAAAACTACTAAAATAATAAATACACAAATGCACAGAGCACACCACTTACTCAGTGTTTTTCTTTTTGTAGCACTGAGCTGGTTGCACAAGATGAAATGTTAAAGGGGATCTTTATTTACCCTCCCAGGGAGAGGACTGCTCTCCTGATGCAAACAGTTTAGAAGGGAAAATGACACAGTTGCCAAGAAGATGGAAACAAGGAAGTGGAGCCATAAAAGCAGGGAACAATGTCCTGCAATAGCTCTCCAGGAAAAAGTAACCCCTCATTTTAGGCGCCTGATGTTTGAATTCCTACAAAATCCAGTGTCTGTGTCTGACAAACATCGGTCTGCAGGCACACCACCGTCACCATAATGCTTTTAATTACCTTAATTCTATGGTAGGACCTGAGATCGAGATCTTACCAGTTTACCTTGGAATTACAGGCAATAAGCGCTTAACCCCTTGACATGCCCCTTAGGTTTACTTTTGAGGTTTCTCACATGTCACATGGTCCTTAAAATGAGCCTCTCTGCTGCTCAGTTATTTGATTTTAATTATTGTGATTCACATTTTGTGTGTTTACCTGTGGGAACATTGGGATCTTTGCAAGAATTTTGAATTATTGCTGCATTAATCAATATTTTGATGTTAACAATAACTCTGGGTGATGTTAGAGTGAATGCTGACAATGACAAACCCACAGAGAATAATCACACACAAGTCCCTCTTGAGCTCTGCCGAGGTCTTTAGCGTCTTGTAACACAGAAAACAGCTTGACAAATACTGGAAAACCAAGTTTGTCATAAAATTCGATGAGGTTTTCTGGATTTGAAAAATGCTTATCTGGAAATTACAATTTGCAGAAGTCATCCATGAGTCCACCACAGTCAAACATTTTTGGTGTTGAAGAATTCTTTTCTCCTCGACAAGAGAAATTATGCTTTCGCCAAGTGCTATTACGGTTGTGTTCCAATGTTTATATCTCTCATCTCACGAACAAATTACAAAAGCCAACAGAAGTTCCTTTGAAAAACGCACATATTTATCCTTTGTTTTGATTGGGCTATTTTGTGCCACCTTAAAGCCATTGATAGAAACCGCCCAAAAATAAACATCACAATTAAATATAATGCGTGGAAAAACATAGCCCCGGTCGTATTGGAACACATTCTTTTAGGGTTCAAACACTAACATATTGAGCTATTTTAAATAAAGTTTAGTAGTTTATTTCTTCCAGCTTTCTCCATACAACTTCTTTCTGGAAAACATTACGTGTGTGTTAATGATCTGAGATGTTTGTCCTTGGATGTCAACGTAAGTCAGACATACAATAGATGACAGACATGTTGCCCTCATAGCTCTTATGAGGATTCTTGGAATACAATGGTTGCTTAGAATAAAACCAGAAAAAAAAGGAAGAAAATCTGGTTATAGTGGGCTGAGGCGAAAACACAAAAGATGTTATCAGTGATAGTACAAACCAAACAACGCTGTAATGAGCAACAACTGACATCAAATGTTCCTAAATCAGGCCCACATAACTATTCCTAAAACTAGATAGAAAAGGATAACAACTTCAAGGGGTTTTCTTAAGACAAACAAACATACATATCAACTTCAATGGAAGTCTTTGCTGTGAACCAAGCTCAACATACCTCCCCTCCTCCTCTCTTTTTCCAGCAGCTGTTTTTTTAGCTCCTCGATGTCATTGTTCAACTTGGCGTTCTCCACCATCAGTTTCTTCTCTTCTCTGATGCTGGCCTGGACCACTGCAGCGGGAAAAGTTCTTGTTACCTCTCAGCACTGGGGTAAAATTTCACTCACTCATGGGATATCTTCAAATCTGCTCTGGAACTGTTGCAAATGTATTACAGCTAAAATGTAAAGACCAACAACTGAAATCTATATTGTGTCTTTTTGGAGACGGCAAACTCAATAAAGGTTTCACTGATACACTTTGTGGATTTGAACAGTGCAAATCTCTATTTTATTGGCCTTTTAGAGCTTTCCTGAAGCCCTAATGATTTCTAAAGTTTTAATCAAACAATGTTACTATAGTGATACAGATGATCTCCACTATTCAGGTTATTCTCATTCAGATTAAAACAAAGAGTGGCAGAGAGAGACTTTGAATCATAGCAAGACTTAACCCTAAACCCTCAGCAAGAAGTTAATCTTTTTTTTTTTAATACACACTGCCAGAGCGGAGAGTAAGAACTTTTTATCTTCTAATGTAGGCCAAGTGAATAATTTGGAAATACAGCTTGACATTACTCTAAACTGTCCCACACAGGTAGTTATAATTTTAGCAAATTTGTGGATCAATGTTTCAAAGTCATCTACGTGTGCATGTGTGTTTGTGTGCTTCTTACTGGCTTTCTCCTTCAGCAACTGGACTTGTTGTTTCAGGAACTCGATGATCTGGTCAGCCTCGGCTGCTCGCTGCTCCAGCCTCAACAAAGGATTGTGACCTGACATCTTGAACCAGGAGCGAGCTAAAAACCTAAACGACAAAAAAACAAAAAGCATGAAATAATTTAAAATAGTAACACAATTATATCTGAACATCAAGAATTATTATCTGCTGATTAGAAATTTGAGGCTTTGGGCTATCAATGAAAGCTGTTTGTTTATTGTGGTTGCATGAATCTGGCACACAAGGCAAGTGAGAAATCATATATTGACCTTATTTCATTTAAGTTTGCTTAACTGACACACACAATGTGAAAAGTGGTGGTATTTGTAAGTACAAAGCTCAACTACTATGGAGATAAATGTTTGTCAGTTACAGGGTTTGCATGCCAGAACAGCTCCACCACAAACAACAGCCTCCATGATGACCAGTGGGTAAAGTAACTTCTCTGTGACAGTCTCATAAAAACAGAAAAAAAGTTTCCACAGAGGCCATAAATGTTTGAGAAGCTTTCTTAGAACTGACCTACCTTCATTCTAATGTGAAATATACTTTGTACAGCTTCATTATCGAAAACTGTTTATCCCTAAATCACAGTTTAAACAGTGTGAATGTTATACTGAAGAATCAGAATCACAATCAGACATGTTTTCCGACATATGGATCCCTATGCTTCCAAATTATGTGCAAATGGGATTTTCATGACTGGTAAACTTTGGCGGATTGGCTTCGGATGACTCTTGTTGAAGGATAATCATTAGAATATGTGTAATTTTCATGACAAATATGCATGACAAATAAGCAAATCTCCCTGCATTTCAGTTTTCAGACACCTCATAACTTCCCTGACAAGTTCGAAGAAAGTGTGTGCACTGTGCAGGCAAAGTCTTGGATGAATTTCTCTCTCTTTTATAGCGTTAAGTTTGGATAAGTGAAAATAAGCCAAAACAGGCAGAAAATGTGTCCTTTACACCATTATTAGCATGAACATCAAAATCACTTTTGAGAGATCAATTTCAGTTGGACTGCTTCTCTTGAGTTTGAGCTAATTCAACTTTATCATGTTAAGCTGGTCAAGTTACTCCTTGAGGAAAAGAGGAAAAGAAGGATTTTTACAAGGCTGAGGCATGGAGAAGAAAACTTCTTACACATATTACTGGGAGGTGCTGGAAAACAACAGCTGGCCCGAGATGAAAACAAAATGTTGGGGGACAAGGAAATTAGAAACACAAAAGAGCTGGAGTTGATAAAATCAAGGATCAAAGCATTGTTTTTGGAGAAACTGAATTGATTTAAACAGGACCAGTGGTAGAGTAATAGCAAGAGCCACAAAAAGGCTGATCTCATTTGGATAAGCTCTTAAAATAGGTCCTGGGGCCAGGGAAGCATAAAGACATAAAGAGGCACTTTCAGTTCTGGATTTTAGATGTTAAATAGTTAAAGTGTGAACATGGTGACATGGGCTTTCACCAGCCTCTAGGATGCCTTGTTCACCTGTCTTCACCGAGTAGAACTTACAATACTGTGATCATGTTCCAGATTTAACACAATCTGCGAGTCAACTATGCCAAGCAGGGAATAACTGCAGCTAATGAGGCATCTGGCTACACTCTGTCTTATCAAACACCTAAAAATAGACATGGCTAGTTTGCTAGCTCATATAATTTTAATAGTCCATGCATACTTTATACTCATATCTATTTACAGACCAAAAAATCAAAAGACAAGACTACATATCTATACAATGATGTTTCAAATTAAGTCTGTGAATCTTTTAAATTTAATCACAAGTCATCTCTGGTATGATGTGTACAAGTGTTTCCTCTTTTCATGCTTTATTGACAGCATCAGAAAGATCAACTCAGATTAGGGAAAATATTAAATGAGATGGTATCCCCCAACTAGTACTCATTATATAATGTATGTGTGCATGTGTATACGTGTATTTATTACTAAGATGCACACAGTCGAAGACAAATGTGAATGAGGGAGGGACAAAAAAACAAAATTAAAGACTCTCTAGGTATCTAATAATGGCATCAATAGTAATAAGATGTAGGCAAGTAAGTAGATGCTGTATTTAGTAGTGAAATGCACTGCCATAACTTGAAGTGCCACGCCAGAAGCGTAGAAATTACACTACATAAACAGAATGAAAGCAGGCAGCCATGACAAAGCACTGTACTTATTATGGCTCTAGTGCACTTGATAGAACTTTCAAAGGGATTATTCCCAAAAACTTATTTCAAACATGTTGAAGAACAGCAACCAGAGTTAGATAGGTGTAATTTTTAGAGATAAGTAAACAAATCCTTAGAGTGCCTCTAAAATCAGGCCTTGAAAATCCTTGATTAAAAAGTCAATCTAAAAATCATTACTGTGGTATTTTGACTAAAAATAAGATTCAAGATGGTTAGAAGGTATTAAATAAGTTTGGGTGATTTCAAAGTTTGTGCTCAAGTGTTTAAATGGACTTACTCTTCAGGCCTTCTACCAAAACATAGATTATCAAAGTTGCAGCAGATCCATTGTTAAGTTTTCTCAGCTACGACAGATTTTTCTGTGTAAAGAAGCAAAATCCTAGCACTTGTTACCTGATTACTTAGAATGGATTGGCAAACCTTTAACGCAGCTATTAAATTCTGCACATTTCACCAACAAACCTGTAATCTTATTTGCTCCTCCTCTGTTAGAGCTAAATGTGTCTTTTCTTGTCTTTGTTTTCTGTTTTTATTTTAACTCACCATTTTAACCTGACATGACATATTTATCATTAAATAAACAGTGATTATCATGACAAATCCTGCCTAACCCTTTATTGTCTTTTGTATCATATTTGATATACTTTTATGATGCTTCTATCAAATCAATATAATCATCAAATTACTAAAAAACACCTTAATACAGTCTTTTAAATAATAAAAATGTCCTCTTGTGGTTTATCAGTTTCCAAAAACATCTAATGTATCAAACAAGATAAATAAATATATTTGTTAAATTTTAAGGACATTTTGATTTGTTTTGGTTTCCAGTAATAAGTGAAATAAACATTTCAGCTCCAAAAACATGTGAATTTTCTGGCCATAATTTGTGGTTCCAGGCATTAAAGGGATAATACAATGAACTTTTTTGTTTTCCTGCGGCATATCCACAATATATGGATACAAAATACAACAGAGCACCAACTTATTTGCAAATTAAAGTCAGTCAATCAACAGTACTGATTCTATTTCATACATTTTAAGTGAAAAACAGGGCTTAGTCGAGGAGTGTCCCTCTAAACGATGAGGTATCGATCATAAGTAAACGCTTTCAGTTCATAAGTAAGCTATTAGCCAGTGCAGCTCAACAAACCTGGCTCGTTCAAATGAACTGAGACCAGGGAAATTAGCTTAATGCTAACTGCTAACTAGCACTGTTACGCTGTCAGCCAGACAATTTTACACACTTTGTTCGTTCTTTGACGCAGTGAGACAAAATATAGAAAGTAACGAAGAACTTACATAGACCTTTGGCAGCGACCCCAGCACGTTTCAGGCAGGGGGCTTGACAGCGAGCCGGCTAACAACTCGATAAACAAGTTTGCAGGCAGGCAGCTCGCTGGTCGCCGCAAACAGGCTGATTCAGGACCCCCCGCGGACTGATTTATAAACAACAGAGATGGACGCGGCAAGGCTGGATTTCTCAGGCATATTGTTTACATATCAGATGCTATTGCAACATTTAGTTGGCTAATGTTTTTGCCTGTGTGGAATTATTTTAATGCAAAGTGATATCGCTCGAAACAAAAGAAACCCGTTTGATAAAAAAAGAATTACTATCATCTGTTTTGTTTTAGAAAAAAGCAACAACACTATTTCATATCACAATGTAAGAAAATAGCCTCTGTGCACTACTTTTGTCGCACAAATTGAACGTCTGTGGTCATGCTCACTCTCAGCTGCTTTTCAGAGACGGGAAAAGGGAAGGATCCAGTAACACACATCAAACCATCAGTAGAGTTATTTCTATCGGAATAAACATGCCGCCTCTTCACTTCACGTGAGTTGCATTTTTTGGATGTTATACACATTATTCAACATCACAAGTGTTATGCTCAGGCTATGAGGCTAGCGAAATAGAAACAGGTTCTACACTGCAGCATCACAGTGTAAACTCACACTGTTTTGGTTTGTTTTTGGTCCTGATATTAATGCACAAGCAGCTACTTCTTGTGAGTGTATTTCTCGTTTGCTCCAGGCATACCCTTACCGTAACAAATGTCAACAGTCACTTGCAGGGTTCAGTGTTTTAGCATTGAATACTATATTTACACCCATACCGTTACAGTGATAGTGAATGGCATGAGCGAGAATGCGCATTACCACGCCGATATTCAGATTGTCAAAGTTACATGATACTCGTATATTTATTGTATGAACTGTCAAAAACTCCTTTTCATCAGGGCGTAAAGATAGAGGGAATATGAGGCCCCTCAAAGACGCCCAGCTGGGGGCCTTCACCTTCTTTGCTTCAGCTCTTCCTCATGATGTCTGTGGGAGTAATGGCCTCCCTCTCACCCCCAACTCGATCAAGATCCTGGGACGTTTCCAGATCCTCAAAACCATAACTCATCCCAGACTCTGTCAGTATGTGGACATTACAAGAGGAAAACATGGTATGGCCTTTTATATTGCCTTCTGCAAGAACTAGGTGTGATGTATTTTGGTCTACCTGTCACTTACATGCAAGCAAATTGACCTATTGGATTCATATTTAATAATAATTTTGCTCATTCCGAACTCAACAAAAAAGTTTACTGAAAAATCAAGATTGACATGTCATGTTTCTGGATGTGTCTGTAATTTCTTGTTTGGGGACTCATATTGCCTCTAAATCTGCCTAAAATGCTGCTGCGGGTATTTGTGAATACCCCTAATTTAGGAGCAGATCCATTACTATGGTGGTAAGAATATCATCTGCAATAATGCTGTATAAATAATACTCTTGGCTATCATCGCCAGGAGAAAGTGTAATGATAATCTGAGTAAGACAAAGACAACAATGCTTGCTATATCCACCTTGGAGCTAGTTTAGAAAACATTGAATATCTCCTGTGTGTCATTGTAAACCAACACAGTATCATCACAGGCTACAGTCCACAGTAACCACTAATTGGTGAAAGCCATATTAAGAGAATTTGTATGGTAGAAGTGTCAGGTTTGTTTGTTCAAACTGCTTTTATTGCACAATTTGGAGTAAACACATCATAACTCATTTTAAATAAATACTGAACATTTGCCAGCTCATTCGTTAATCTGCATCTCTGCTACTTCTTCCTCTCTTTGCTCTACAGAAAGGCTGATTGTTGTCACTGAACATTATGAAAGCAGTTTGAATGATTTCCAAAAACAGGGAAAAACAGCAAGGTGAGATTTTAAAAAAGAACCAGCCTTATTTTTGTTGTCCCATTATGTTGTACCTGATGAAACAAGTGTTATCTGCTCCTGTTATTTCAATAAAACTTGATTTATTGACTTGACCTTCAAAATAGTTTCACTAACTGTTTTTGTCTCAAAATTTTCAGTCCAGAAAAGGTGCTGCAAGTTGCCTATGAAGTCCTTGAAGGTCTGGAGTTTATGAACAAACATGGCATGGTGCACAGAGCCCTCAGTGCACACAATGTGCTCATGGACTGCAAGGTAAGACTGACCTGTCATGTATGTCTATCTTGCCAAGTTTTTCTAAAGCCAATGAAATAGTTTACAAAATGTACTGCTGTCAGTTAAGATAGATGTTTTTCCTTTGTAGGGAAATATCAAGCTGGCAAAGTTTGGCCTTTATCATATGACTGATCATGGAGCCGATGTAGATTTCCCCATTGGGTATGTCTTTTTCTCCTCATTCATCACAGTAAAAGCTCCATTAGTGCCTCTCTGGAACTCCTCAACTGGTGCGACTGAGCTATGTGAGCTGTCTGTTCATGGTCAAAGGCCCACTTGTATCTGTTTGCTGTTAGTCAAATCAGAAGAAAGGCAATTGACCATAACATTGATGCATAATGGTCTATCGTTTCATGGAAAACAGGCTCAGAGGGCATCAAAATAGCTTCCTGGTTGAAGAACTGAAACAAATTGCTGGGCTTTTATCCTAATCCAAAGGCCCCTGTGATCTGCAAAGCATCTCTGTGTAATATCCTTTTGCAGACCGAAAAGAAGAATGATGGCAAATGCCCATGACTTTCAATAAAACATCTGGATAAAAAATGCAATGAATTTAACTGTCTAACAAATATGCAGGTTGCTCCCGGGGCCACTGAATATACAAAACCTGACAGCAAAGTTTGCTGTATCATCACTTTGATGGAGTCATTATGTAGTTTTTCAAGTCAAAATTATTATTTTTACGAGACATAACTCACAGATGAGTAAAAAACTACAAGGCTGAATAAGTAACCTCATAATCTGTTCGTTTAACACGACCTCAGGTACCCATCTTACCTCGCACCTGAGGTGATTGCACAGGGCTCCTTCTACCCCAGCGACTCCTCTCATGATGATGCCCCTCTGCCCTCAGGGCCAAAGACTGATGTGTGGTCGCTTGGCGTTCTGCTCTTTGAATTATGCGCTGTAAGTATCCTCCATTCATTTCTTGATAGAATAATGAGGCGTTATACCATGCTGCGATGCCTGAATGCACCCTGATTAGGTTCTTTTCACTTTAAATTGTCATGCTGTCCCGTATTACAGGGCAGGAGACTGCTGCAGAATATTGAAATAAGTGAGAGGCTTAAATTCATCCTGACCTTGGGTAAGCAAAAACGAATATAATTACCCGAAGTACTGAACCATGTGGTCTTAAACTCAATTAGTCCTATACTGCTTTTTTGAATTCTCAGGTTGCATGGACGACATTGTCACTGTCCTTGCCGAGGAACATGGTTGTCTGGATACCATAAAGGTAGACTCATAGTCATGTATTGACTTTGGCTTATTCTGGAAACTACTTAAAGGGATATTCCAGCTTAAAATCAAGTCAGGGTCAAACACAGTGTAACGCCAAGTTAGACACCCCGTTGAGAGATGAATGTTGCCGACTGCTTGCTCCTCTAGTTATACCAACTTTAGTAATGACCGCACGATAGCAATACAGAGAGCCCCACTCTCAACCAAAAATGCCACTCTATAGCCACAAATAATGCTCAGCACAGCACCTAACTTCATCAACAGTACATATAGGTTCTAGCAAAAGCACTTGCCACCAAACATCTTTTTAACTTTGCCTAATTTCTTAAGCAAAGAGACTAAACACAACTCACCTACTCTCTTCCAGCAGCTGCTTGTTTGTAGCGAGACCTCGACTGAGCCCATCGACTGCAGGGGGGGGACGCAGCTCAAGAAAGAACATTTATGATCATAACTTTATCATTTCCTTTAAGTAATAATCATCGTATTAATCAACAGCAACATTCATTTCTCAATAGGGTGTCTAACTTGGTGTTGCGGTGTGTTTGACCCTGACTTAATTTTATGCCGGAATATCCCTTTAATACATGAGCAGTTTCAAAATGTAATATTTAATGGTGAAACAGGCTGATAGCCAATCTTGTAAACAAAAACAGTTAACACTATTGGCACCACAGTAAGGTCTCTGATATTTTAAAAGGTTTTCTATAAAATTGAAAGAAAAAAAAACAACTACAAAAAAAAAAACTGGGGGACTAAATTACTCTGTCTTTCTAGCCCCTTAGAAACCAGTTGTTTGAAATAAATAAATAAAAAGTCTTGGTTTGGTAAATACCCAATGAGTAAAAAAGCCTAATACAGTAAAAAATGTAATGGTTGTAGTTTAAGAATTTAAGTTTGACAGATAGTCCTGTAATGATTCCATTAAAAGCTCATTAATGTCATGTTTATTGAAATTCCTGTTAGTATGTGTCTTTATGTGTGTGTATTGTATCTAATGTGTTTTTTTTATAGGAGCTGCCTGAAAATGTGCTGGAGTTGTTAAGGAAATGCTTGACCTTTCTCCCATCCAAAAGGTAAACAGAGGGTCTGAGGGGATCATATTTTCTTGGAGCAGATAAGCTATTTTGTTTGAAAACACATTGGTCACACAGCTATTAAATACCAGCATGCCAGAAAATATATCAAAATAAACAGTTTGAACTTATTGCTCAACGGTGAAATAAAGAATTTATGACTTTAGGAGCTCGCTGTTAAATACAATCCTGAATATGATGAATGTAACACAATTTCAGCTCTTGATGGCACATTTGGTGTTTGTCACTATTCCTCTTTTTTGACTTTTTCTGTATTTGTATTTGCCCTCCAGGCTGACCCCTGCAGAGCTGCTGGGAGACCCTGTGTTTAATGGCATCTCCTGCCTCTATACGCCCTTCCAGAAGCCTGTTAGCCTTTTCTCCTCTTCTCTGCGCTGTGCATATCTGGAGCTCCCAGAGGACATCAGCGACCTTTGCAAAGGTCTGCTCTGAATGATGCACAACTGTTCAGCCAAGCTCACACGAACACAACTGTAAAATTTTAGTTTTGACTCGCACAAAACTGAATTGAGGATCCTGAGTTTACTCTTTGTCACAGACACAGGCAGCTACCTAAAACTTGCTTTAGCAGCAAATAGAAGTGTTAAGCGTGAAAAGAGAGTCAGAAAATATCATTTACAGTCCCAAGAGGATCTTTTTTGATATTTCAAAAGTTTAACATCCATTTTTTATGCTCTCAAAGGTCAAGTTTTGTCTTTCTGTGTTTTAAGCAGAAGAGTCCTGTACAGGAAGATGATTGTATTTTAAGTACGTATCCTGTTTCATCTGTGTTTCATTAGATGATGATGATGACTACCTGTCAGAGCGGGCCATAGATGAAGTGTACCATCTGTGGTGTCTGGCGGGGGGAGACCTGGAGAAAGAGCTGACCAATAAGGAGATCATTCAGTCAAAGCCTCCAATCTGCACAGTACCCAAGTACATCTTTAGCATTTGCATGCTAAGACAGGCATTTAGCTTTTCAGTAATATCTAGAGCTGGTAAAGACTTCTCCTCTTTTCACCACCGTGTTTTTTTATAGCTTTGTCCTGGAAGATGGGGAGACATTTGGCCAAAGGAGGGATAGAAGTTTCTTGCTTGACGACACAACAGTGACACTGCCTTTGTGTCAACTCAGAAACGTAAGGCAACAAAAGAGTAAAAGGAATTCTAGTTCAGTGTTGTGTAATTAAGTGCATCATTCATAAAAGAGCGGTTTTAAATACGTCTCCTTCATAAGGGCCTCTCTAACTGCTCACCATTCTCATGACTGAACTCTTTCGCCATGTTTAGAGACAAAAGATCAGAAATCATTTGGAAACTGTTAAACTATTTAACCCAAAAGCTGTAAGTGCTTGTTTGTTACACCCATTTGTGCTGTTTAGAATTCATCACTGAGCTATTTCTTAGGTAAAATGTGCCTTTACTTTTGAACACAGCTAATCCAGATGGTGACTGACAAACACTGCAGATTTAAAATACACCCTTGCACTTGATTTGACCTCTAAAATAAATGCATCTAACAATTTTCAGAGACTGAAAGATGTAGCAGGAGAAGCCTATTACCCTCTACTGGAAGACGAGTAAGCAATTTCCATCCATCCTTTCCTCCCCGTCACTATTTTTCACATCACAGTCATTTATTTTGGCCTTGGTAATGTCATCCTGCCTTTTGCTTCTCCCTCCTTCAGACAGTCAAATCTGCCCCAGTCCAACAGCAGCAACGAGCTGTCGTCCACCGTCAAGCTGCCGCTCATCATCCGCGAGAGAGACACCGAGTACCAACTCATCCGCATCATCCTCTTTGACAGGCTGCTCAAGGTCCGCGATCCATACAAATCCAGACAGTCTCACACATGAGGACACAAGCACAAGGGTTTCTACGCACATCAGCGTGTCTTTCCCAATTAGACAGAATATCTAAATATGACAGGGCCTGCTGAATTTTCGACAACATTATTCCCTGTACTTGTGAAAGCTATTCTCTGATAAGGCTGTTGTTCGATAAGATTTGGGAAATATATTCTCTGTGTCATGTTTATCCTCAGGCTTATCCTTACAAGAAAAACCTTGTGTGGAAAGAAGCCAGAGTGGATATTCCCCCTCTTGTTCGAGGATTGGCATGGGCAGCTCTGCTGGGCATTGAGGTGAAAGATAAACAGTGTTTTTTCTACCAATCCTTCTCTAAATGAACACAAAAAGAGTGAGCAACACAGGACCACTTGCATTTAAACTCTCTAACTTCTTCACGTATAATGAAAGTTAATCGGTGTAAAAACAGTCGCCTTGCTCTACAAAGTATATAAATAGCTCTCCATCTATTCCAACAAATTCACTTTTGTTAATATTTACTGAACATCCTGCCAAAACTCTAATCAGACCCTCTGAGGTCTTTTGGTTTCATTGCAGGCAAGCCCTGAATTTTCTCTATTGTTTGCAGAAGAAACATATTTACTCTTAATATTTCCTTCTTCTGTGTGAGGTTATGCTGACACTGCACTTTCACTAACAGAGTTATTTGCTCAAGCACTCGTCTTTCGTACCTTTACACAGGGGGACATTCAAGCCAAGTATGAGAGCATCGACAAAGACACTCCCATACCAACGGACAGACAGGTATGATACTTAAAACTTGACAACTTCAAGCTGCTTCAGGCGAATTATTTTATGTGTTTTAACTTCATTCTTCTGTTGTGTCGCCTTTTCTGCATGTGTACAGATTGAGGTAGACATCCCACGCTGCCATCAGTACGATGAGCTGCTGTCGTCTCCTCAAGGCCACGTCAAATTCAGACGAGTTCTGAAGGCCTGGGTGGTTTCACACCCTGAGCTGGTCTACTGGCAGGGTATGACACAGAATTGTAATACTCACTATCATACACAAGATGGCGTGGTTGTCTCATCGTTCTTGCCTGCCTTTACACCAAAGCAACATTACGCAGCAGATTAACGTCTATTTCTTCTCAACATTTCAGGTTTGGATTCTCTTTGTGCCCCGTTCCTCTACTTGAACTTCAACAATGAAGGCAGGAGTTTGATTTTTTTTAATTCTGCTGTCACTGCTGAGCGTTATTTTCTTTTGTTTTCCTTTTTAGCATCCTTACATACTTCTGTCATTCCCTTTACAGCCCTGGCTTATGCCTGCATGTCTGCCTTTATCCCCAAATATTTGTACAACTTCTTCCTGAAAGACAACTCTCATGTCATTCAAGGTGAGTAACACGAAAATAAACACGTCACAGTAAAACTGCTCTAAGTTTAGTGGTTGAACAGTTTAGTGGTGCATTTCAGAGTTCAATTTTTTAGTTTCCTCTTGAATTTGGTGTGAATATAAATTGAATTTTTGAGCCACTGTAGTAAAAAGCCACTTCAAGTTAACAAACAAGTATTTAACGTGGTCAAAGCAGAATGAAATTATCATCAGCTGCCACAAAGCATTAGCTCAATGTCAATTAACTTCGGGCTCCATGTTGTTCCTAGAGCTGTGCAAACTAATTCCACTGCTTCTTAATGGAGTTTGCAGCTGAGTCACATCGTTTGGAGATAGGGAAACAAATGAAACTACAAAAGCCTGTGGAGAAATGTCGCACACGATTCCTGTGTGACTGATAAACAGCTACACAACACACCTCTTGAACTCGGTGGGGAATGTGGCTGTTATCCTTTCTCTTTTCCTGCTAAATGCCCCGGAGAAATAGCTAATGTTTATCTGCTCCTTTTGTCGGCTTACAGTGTGAATAATGGTGTTGGTTCAGCACTACAACACTTTAAGTCTTCATAACTCGACTGACAAAATTGAGTTTGCCTGCAAATTTTTTTTGCTTTTTGTGGCTTTTGATCATTTGAAACCTCAAAGACAGTTTCTAAATTTCCCAGTCTTTTATTTTTGGGTTATAGTAGAACAAAATGAATCTATAAATCTCATTGGTTCCTAAGTGTTGTACTGGATCCCATCATTTATAATGTTTAAGTTCTCTCGAATAATCACTGCTGACTGTAAAATCTGTGTGAACTCGGCTTTACTGGGTTGTACATAAACCTTTCACCCTTTTGTCTGTGCTGCAGAGTATTTGACTGTCTTCTCCCAAATGATTGCCTTCCATGACCCTGAGCTCAGCAACCATCTGAATGAGATCGGCTTCATCCCTGACGTAAGTTACGAGTTGCTTAAGCGCACAAGTCTTCTCAAACACTGACGATAAATACAGAGCTGGAGGACATTCGAGGATAACATCGTCGTCTTCTGTAGAAAATGAACTAAAGTGTGAAGTCAAAGATAATAAGATAAATTTGTAGTTTGTGGCATGGCACCAGTGGCAAGGAAAATGACCGTCCATGGATCACTTAATATATCTTTCATTGTCAGTGACATTTCTCGTTTCACATCCTCCTTTCCCGAATTTGTGCTGAGGGTCAAGTTGTCCCTGTAGCCCACTGCTGATGATTTATACAGCGACTAATGTCTGCTAGGCAGTCTTAATGATTGTCCTCTGCCAGGCTTACCTTATTTCTCTTACTCTGTGCCACCTCTTCCTGCTCTTCGCTTTCCTCTTTACGTCTCAGCTCAGACAGTGACAAGGTTAAAGTCTGTACCATCTCTCTCTGGGGTTTCAGTTAGCACACTGATGAATGTGTGTCACCTGTGGACCGGCCTGTGGGACATTACCTAATGAAAAGTGGGGGTTTTATCACAGAGGAGTCAGAGAGTTAAGTTTCTTTCACCTCTTCCTCCTTCTCCTCCTGTTTCTCCTTGCTGTTTTTGCAGCTTCTTTCCAAAAGTGGTACAAATGAAATACACAACTGTTCTTTTAGATGATCAGGTACGTTATAAAGTGAGAAAGACAAGGTAACATTTGAAGAGATGGTCGTATGAGTGTTTACTGAGCAATAGACGACTGTTAGACGTCTAGTTTCTTTAGCCCTAATTTCAACCGTCTAGATTCTGTATGTTTTTAGACAGAATTTAGACGTTGCACTTTTACCCATTATTCGATAACTATGTATTTCAAAAAGTAACTGTGAGTTGCGTAACTTAACCAAAATAATTATGATAGCCACTGAGCAAAATACAGTGTAGTATAACTATAGCCCATGTTTAGACTTGGTCTAAACTTGGTCTAAATTTAGACGTCTAAAAACTTTCATCTTTAGACCTGTGGTAGCCTGATTTTAGACCAGTTGTCTAGGCTAAATTTAGACGTCTATCAGACCTCTTTTAGACCAAAAGATGCTCAGTGGGTGTTTACTGTGGGCATTGTTGATGTTCTTTTTAATCACTTAATCTGGATGAGATGTTGAGGTGAGATTATTTTTGCATGCTGCTGGTCTGTTGTCTGTTTGTTCAGACTTGGCTTTCTCTCATGGCGTTAGTTATCTCAACACTGATTACATGTACACCACTACCAGCAATGACTTGCCTTTCAGAGTTGGCATTGTATGCCTGTTCTCATTGTTAGGCCATGATAATATTGGAACAAGTGTTGTTGATGCAGCTTTCACACTTGATGTCAATCCCAGTAATTAGACTTTTCAGTCCATAAATCCCCCTTTTCTTCCTATGAACTTAGGGGAAGACTCCAGATGCTTGTTATACCGAGGCGCTATAAATCCATCAGCTCTAAAAGACCAAATGTCACCGCAGCATGAAATAGCTTTGATTTCCTATATATGCATACCAAAATGGGCCCAGCTAAGCAGTTTGTCTGTCAGAACAAGACAAATCTTTCGAGAGCTTGCAGAAAACCTCAAGTAATCTTGGAGATGTCTTGTTGTTTAAGGGCTTGACTTCAGAGCTTCTTCAAGCCAAAGATAGAGAACCAGCCAGTGGTTTAACTCATTTTGACAACATCTGCTTTTCTGGGTCAGCCACTTAGAACTATAGTAATCTATTCTGTCCAGCAGTGTTGAGTTATTAAAACTGAGGTAAAGACTCAGAGCGCAAAGGTTTTCTTTCCTGTCCACCCCACACTCCTGAGCACAGAAAAGAAATAATGAACATTCACCAGCTCCACCACAATTAGCCGTCTATTAGCTGCCTTAGACAAGCTCCAGCTCTCCTGCACCAGGCGCTCTGCCTCTGAATAAAACAGAGTCTCTACCACCCCGGCCAGTGATTAGCAGGTGTTATAACAGGTGCTTAATGGCGGAGTCTGTGTATGTGGAGGGCACGGTCCTCCATTTCAATTTCATGCATTTCCCTTGTGGGGAAAGTATGGAGTGATTATAGTGGAGTAGGAGAGGAAGGAGGGATGGATGACAGATTGGTATAATGAGATTCATTGTTAGCTTCCTCCCCACTGATTAATAACCAGAACCTGCCGTTTGCTCTGTATTGACTTTTGTTTTGGGAGGTTGGCGAGATATGCAGCCATTTGTGCTTGTGCTTTTCTTAAAGACAGAAATCTCTCTTGGGCTCTCAGTTATGTTTTGACATCCTGAATATCACGTTCAAATGAATGCTGCATTATCTCAGTAAACGTGCTTATATTTCACATCTCGTCATCTTTTCTTTCCACACAGCTCTACGCTATCCCCTGGTTCCTGACTATGTTTACACGTAAGTGGCTTTTCTTTCCACAAAGTGGCACAGTGCATAATTCAGAACTTTCAAAAGGGTATTTGTGTCTGCTTCAATTAGAGTATCAATGAAAGAGAGAAAAGGTTGGCAGCTCTGGAATGGACAAGTTCTGAAGGTTTTTGCGTGTTTTTTTCTCCTGTTGACCTTTATACTAGCTGCTAATTAATTCCTGGCCTGAAGGGAAAAGACTCGACCGCTTAGACCCTCTCCAACTCTGATTTTCATTAGCATAAACCATCCTTATTTTGTATGCATTTAAAAACATAAAAAGGTACTACATATGACTGCTAAAGCAGCTGTGTGCAATGACTCTGTCTCATAAAAAAATCGTCATAAAACTGGAAAAGATTTTGACTTTGCGTTCAAGATACTCCAGAAAAAATAAGGGTTTACCACACTTAGCCAAACAGCCTGATTTGTTTACTCTCTATTTGGACTGCTTGGTGGAAACTAAGCTTTAAAGTCTACATTCCCCTATAGGTGTAATCGAAATTCAGAAGGGTGAAGATGTATAACCACTTAAATAGAATGCTCATTCTGTTCTTGGTAACTTAAACCGAGGACAAACACGTACCATACGAAGATGAAGAGAAAGAGGAGAGAGGTTGTTGTGTGCAAAGAAATTATATTGAAAGAGGTTCTTGAAGGCTTTAACATGACAAATGGAGGATCATGCCGATCATTCATCACAGGAGCCTCTTGTCCTGGAAGGCCACCGTTGCTTCACTGATGGAAAGGCAGAGCAGGGACGTGTTTCAATATAGAGTCTGACCGCTAGATACTGCAAAACATCTGGAACAGGAGGGTTACTTATTATATATGAAATCTGTACTTTCTTTTAGTTTTGAGGTGCTTTACTTTTTAGTTTTTGCAACTTTACACTTTTATTCCAACAAATGTCTAAAGTGGTGTTAAACTGTCCACCAAGAGATGAAATAAACATTAAAAAATGACAATTTCATATCAATGTGAAGCAGCTGTTTCTATTAAACCACCCACAAGTGTCACCCTTAAAGCAATCAACATTAGTTCCTTTTAACCAGATAAAAAAACTGTCTTATATGTTGTTGTATGAACATCAATCAATCAATCAAACTTTATTTATAAAATAACCATTAACTGATGATAGCATTGTATAATATAGAATTAAGTTACATAGCATAAAACAATAGACCACAGCACATCACAGCATCAGCTAAGCCTTTCATAACAGACCAGCATTGTGTTGTGTTTCCGAAAAGCGTGGGTCTTTGTATGCAGAAATGTGTCTGTACTGAGTGTCACGTCTCTTTGTCTTGGTGACTAAACAGAGCTGATCTGTTGACTTTAAAAGCTTATTAAAGCACTTCTCATGGGCCAGCCTGCACTGTTGTCTACATTTAAGCAGTGACTCACCTAAACTGTCAATGCACTGCTGCATTACAAATTTAACACACAGTTGTGCCTGAGATGTTTTGTTGGATCTAGCAGGAAAGATAATGTGGCTGTTGGGGTGGATGTTAGCACGCAGCTTTTTCAGGAACATTAAAATCACTGTTAGAGAGTCAGAATTAAACTCAGAGTTATTGTATTCAAGGTGCACCATAGTAACTTGAATGGAAATGTGAATACAACAATTTTACTGTGTTGACTGTCTTGAATTAGATTTTTTGTACCACATTTTAGCAGAACACCAGCTTAAATGTAAGTGTCAGTAGTAGGGCTGGGCGATAAACCGAAAATTTACCTATACAAAAATTTACGTCAATAACCGACATCATTTTGCCCATCATTGGATGTGTGTAGGTAGGCTATGGTCTCGTCCCTTTTAAGATGCTGTCCTACGTCAGAGACGTGACTCCACCCCATCCAGTCCGTAACAAAGAGGGACGGACAGGTGAGGAGATGGAGGACGGTTTAAAAGTTGGAGCGACTAGAGCGGCGGCTGAAGTAGACGAAGTTAATGTGGGAGGGGTGAGCAGCTTGTGGAGTAGTTATCTTCCATTTATCGTTATTGAGGTGAACTGCTGAATATATTGTGATATTGATTTGAGGCCATATCGCCCAGCCCTAGTCAGTAGATTAAGACACTTGGATTGGTGTGATCATTTTCAGGTCTTAGATTTGCTCTGCGATCAGATGCTGCGCGCTAAATTTGCAACACATTTCAATAAAACTGCCGGTTCATATATCAGTGGTGTAAAAATGAATTTGGCAGATATGAGAGTATTTGCATTACTGGCTCAAGTGAGCAGTGATTTCTAACTAGTTGAGTAATGTTGACAGATGTGATGCACAACAATAATAAGCAGATAACCAGGAGACTCTGCACAAAGTTTACGGCTCCCTAAATAAATGTTACAGATTGCAGCAGTAATTGCCGTTTTCTCTGCTTCAAAGGAAAAAAAGAAATATGTTGATTCTATTTGGCGTCCATTTATTTCACGAGTCCTTTCACCTTCTCTGCAGTGTTTGGGGTCCATAAAGCTTTTTATTGGCTGCTTCTCAGCATGCAGTTTGTCAGTTGATGGCAGTATTACGCTTTTATCTTTCCGTGGAGCGCAGTTTGAGTTCTGAAATACGAGCGTATTAGCAGGGGGTCTCCGATCATTGTTACAAATCAAAAGATATGCAATTAACCTCTGTGTCTTCTAGGTACAGTCCCACCACACAGTGCAACTGTTTGAATAACTTTTGGCCTTCTTCATATAAATTAGAAAAGTTGAATTGGAACTCTGCTGGTCTGCAGGCTTACATGAATCATTGCAAAATTCATTTCAGTTCAGGCCTTTGCATTGGTTTAATTCATTTTTAACCTCAACACACACATACACAGTCGCAGGCCACTAGTGGTGGTGGAGAGTGTGAGATGTGACCCTTTTACCCCTGATTCCCCCCTGAGGTGGTGAGTGAGTCCAGTATTCAGGAGAGGTGCCCCTCTGACTGCTAATGTCCCCAATCCAATATAAGACAAGGTTGGAGGGTCATCTTCTATTCACCCACAGCCACTCATACACACACACACACACACACACACACACACACACACACACACACACACACACACACACACACACACACACACACACACACACACACACACACACACACACACACACACAGCTCTCTGCTCAGCTGACTGCTAATGTGGCACGGACCCTCTGAGGCTCTTTTTACACACTCAGCCCACACACATCTCCTGCCTTGTATTCCTCTTAACAAACCCTGGGATGATATAAACAGGTGGAGAGTTTTGCGTCTAATGCATGAAACTCACTGAGGAGGAAACATTAAATTCCCAAATACTGAGAGCAATATGACTGTGATGATAACTGCAGTGGGACGTATTATCAGGATGTGGTTTTGTTTGGCTTTAAACAACCTGTGCAGGTCTCTTTCTCTAAAGCTCCTCAGCCCCCTGATGTTCCTCCTGTCATTTTTCCGCAACAACACCCACCTAGAAACATTTTCCCAGCTGCCTCCCCCTCATCAAATATTCCTCCAGGCGCTCTTTCCAATGCACAGTGCTGCTTTGTGAGCTTCCCATTTTAAAACCATAGAGCCATGTTAAGTAAATGCACTATGCAAATCATACTCATTATGTACAAACTGATTCATCATTTCTTACTGTGCGCGCTATTGTCCTGTTAGAAGGGTTTTATTTTGCATTCCTCGAGGGATTTGTCTTTTCAGCCACTCTTCCAGTCATTCATTCTGTGTAAAATCTCCCTCTTTTTGTGTTTATTTTTCTTTTCGCGATGTAGATGTGTTTCCGTTGCACAAGATCTTCCACCTGTGGGATACGCTGCTGCTCGGTAACTCCTCGTTCCCCTTCTGTATCGGTGTGGCCATACTGCAGCAGCTCAGGGACCGACTCTTGGCAAACGGCTTCAATGAGTGCATCCTACTCTTCTCTGACCTGCCAGGTATGAGTATGGGCTGATAGAGTTCATTTTTTCTATCTTTACAACATTTTCTTTCATTTCTTTTCACTCCTGCACCTATGAACAAGTAAAATCACAAAAACCCTTCTCTTCCTCCCTTAAACCTGACTTAAAGATTGTGTATCTATATCAGCGATTGGCCCGGGCAGATGATATTCAAAGAGTTAGCCACTCTGTGCCCCTACACTGACATACTCCCACCTCAGTGTGCAGTAGGTGCGCCTCGCTCTGCTCTACATTTGTTCAACAATCACCTGCTTCACTCAGGGAAGGACGAGTGCGACAGACTCACAACCAAAGTGATTTTCCAGCTCCATTTCTCACCATCTTCATTCACTGCTTAGAGTCCATGTTTACTCTCTGAAGGTTGTTTATTTGCTTGTTTTATCATCGAATTAAGTGGTGGCTGATGGGTTTTCAGTGCTGTCAGACATGTACCAGAGTGGCTAAGTGGCCTTTTTCAGCTCAGCACTGTGCATTCAGAGTGCTCATGCAAGAGAGGGAGATACAGGGTGACACAAATAAATAAAGACAAGGGTTATTACAAGAATGTAAGGCTGAGCCTGAATCAACTATCTATTTCCCTGGCATTATAATATGCATATATATTTATATCAAAAAGGCAGAAGGTCTTACTGTAGTATTAAAGGAGGAGTCAGAAACGGATTCTCCAGTACATAGACACAATACATTTACATCATTATTATTCCTGTGACAGTAAGTATTTAGTTTTTTCTTTTTTCCCAAACTTATAACAAGTTCAGACACATACTAATTTCAGATCTTAAACCTCTCAATACAAAAGTGGCAAGTTTCTGTTTTACAAAACAAGGCATGAGGTGGTGGGAAACTATGGTAGCTTACATTTAAATATAGCCATTTGACTCGTATATCTGTTAGACCCCGGAGGTTATAGTGCATAATGAGCTTTAGGAGAAATTCAGGAACTTAGTATCATTCCTTCATGAATATGCATTATCAGTATCCTTGCTCTGTTGGTTACATGTACTTCTTTAGCACTTCTGACAGTTGAAACACCCAGGCTGTGGGGTTTTTAATGTGATAAAAGGCAAGCTTGCATACATTTCCCCTAGGACTTTGATATATTTGTCGACTGTGTATGCCACAAGACAGTAGACTGCTAATGGTGTCCCTTAATGCGTGCCCTCTGTACCGCTTCTTTTCAGTGGCACAAAATGGTTACTTCAGCAAAGTACCAGTGACAAAAAACTAAGAGTGGCATTCATAATTTATGTCCTCAGATTGTACCTTTTGCTCGGGGAAAAGTTTCAAGTATTTTCCTTAAAACTCTATGTCCAAATTTTGCTCAGCCCTCTTTTTTTTTTGCTCTCACTGAAAGGTAGAATGACATTGGTGTTTTAATACTAACACGGACAGGGGCAATTTGTCTGAAAGGCATGCCGAAGCGCTCTCTAAACTAATGCCAGCAGCCTCTCCTTCAGCCTGATTTCAGTGTTGCTGTACTTCACTGTGTTTAAATGCCCAAGTCCAACAGATTCATGTGATGAGGGGAAAGGAAAAAAAGGAGAGCCAGTTCTCCTTATAAAGGTAAAATATGTTAGACTAGAGCAGCAGGCGGCTTCTCTGGCAAGGCTTCCTGAGAGTGGCTGCCGCTGCCAGCCAGTTTCTGTATATCACAGTCAGCCTCATTATCGCAGCTTGTGTATACCAGGGTAGGTGTTAGCCTTGCAGCTAAAGAATCAGCCCTTTTTTCACAATTTCTACAGGAATATTCACAATATTTGACATGCTTGTCGGTCAGAAGTCAGCATGATCAACTTTGAAAAAAAAAAAAAAAAAAAAAAAAACTGCTTAAGATTTTATCCTCCACAGGGGGCGCCAAAATTGACAAACGCCAGAAGTTCCTAACAAAGACATAAAAAAAGATTTAACCTCTTCGGGCTTTTTAGCCTGGAACATGCAAGTTAATCTTTTAAATACTTTTATTTTTTAGTCATGGGGAAGCTCTAGAGATGGCAGTGACTCTCTGCCTTGTAAGCTAAACCTTAAGCTGCCTTCGAGTTACCTTGGAAGTCAGATGTCCGAGCTGGAGATGACGTCACTCCTGAGTTACCAGCGTTTCAGTTACCAAGTCTGAAAAAAGCAAAATCAGAGGCGGGAACAAGATGGCTAGATCTATGAAAGTTATCCCTAGCTTACATTCGGACAAGGCAAGCGCTGAAATAACTTTCATAGATCTAGCCATCTTGTTTGCGCCTCCGATTTTGCTTTTTTCTGACTTGGTAACTGAAACGCTGGTAACTCGGGTGTGACGCCATTCCCAGCTTGGACATCTGATTGTCTAGGTAACTTGAGCATTCGTATATATAAGCTGTATTTTTGTTAGCATTTCAGCATACTTTTTATTACATTTAGCTCAAAGCACCATTGTGCCAGCCATTTCTCAGGAAAGCTATCATTTTCCAACCTTATCTCGTCCTCATAACAAAATCTAAATAATACTTAAAGTGACTGACCTTTATGTTTTATGGGTTAGAGTAAAGGTTTAATCGCAGACTTTAGTTGTTAGTCTTTGTTGAAAGCGAGGTTTAAGGTTTTCGTCCGTACCCTGCCTTTATACATTTGTGTAGTCACAAACCTACACTTACACACAGTGCACAAATATTGGGCCATGAGTTATGGTGGATACCCTGTGATTTGTGGCTCACACCTGCTCCTTTCTACTGTCAGTCGTGCAGAATTGATGTCCAGGTACACCTGAGGCCAACGTTCATTTGTTTCTGAACACAAGCTCCGCATGCCTGTTACTACATGAGCTGCATGCGGGGTACCAGAGAGAAATATACCCTGATGTCAGCTGGACTCCACTACAGACAAAGAATAGACCCAGCCGGCCTGTAAAGCATTATGCATTTTCACTCAAAGAAATGTCTGAACTTTAAAAAAACGTATCGGCAGGTTTGACATTTGGTTGTGAAATGAAGAAAAGTCTTTCCATTTTCAATTCCTGTCTGCAACTGTCAGGATAAAAGCTAACAGTCGAGATAACGGTGCAAGACAGAGGCTCTTAAATGGTTCAGACACACTCTCCTCTTTTCCCTCTTTCAAGGCTGTAAATGCGGCCAGTGACAATAATTCCCAGTGACAAGCCTATTACACAAACACTCCGAAGTCTATAGTCGCCAATATCCCGACGAGGAGGAACGAGTTTAGATTTAAAGGAAGTGTTACGGACTGTGAGGTCAAGTTCAACCACTGGTTCCCCAAACTGGCCTTAAGTCAAATGAGTCAATATCTGACATACAAGTTTCACAAAAACATTCCTCACATAATCTCACTTCTCTAAATTATCACACATGGGAAAACAGAAGTTGATTTTTATTTTGTTCTGTGTTGTGTGTATTAAAGTCTGAAATAAAACAAAATAGGAAACAGGTGAGACCCGTGCTGCAACATTTTGCCTTGAAGCCAGCAATACATCTCGGCCTGCAGTTAGCTGCCAATTAATCTCATTCTGTGATTCCCATTTGCTTAGTCCCATTGCCTCAGGTAATCCATAACTTTCTCTTGTTTGGAGACTTCATTGATTTACAAAGGTCCACAGAGACTCTCCGCCTGACAGGAGCCGTGTGTTTACTGATGATGCAGCGGCATTTGCCTTCACGGGACATTAGCATCTGTCTCAATGAGCAGAGCGCAGCACACAACTGATGGGCTCTGGTTGTAGATGTGTAGTTCTGAGAAAGACAACCATGAGCTGTCGGAGGTGCTCGAGGAAATGTTGCACGCAGGGTTACCCGGAGTGCAGCAGGAGGAGTAGTGGATCATTGATGTTCAAGGTTTAGTCTCGGGAGTGCGTGACAGATACGGCGTAACGTGTTTCATTTACCTTCAGGAATTGGTTTGATTGTGTAGTGTGGAGCATTTTGAAAACGAGTGCAAAAATAAAACTGCAACACGGCCCTGGGTAAGGTCTATGGAGTCATGGTGATATGGATTTACGATCTCATTTTTGAATCCTCTCAGATTTACTGTCAAGTCGTAGTATGAGTTTAACACAAAACTCAAATAGCCTGACCTCTGACCTTGGAGTAATTTTTCAGTTTCCCACACTCATTTTCATTTGAGAGTAATTGACACTGAGTCATTGATGGTATTCAGAGCTGTACATTACATTGATAATATCATCTTGTAATTTAATAAAGTGGTTTTGATGTGCAGTTAATACTTTCAAAAGAGTGACATTCACAACTTCATGCAAGAAAAAAAACTGGACCTAAAGTGATATTGACTGTCGGATAAAATACTTGTGCATGGAAAAGTTCTAAAAATGTATTTGACATGAACAGATAAGAGTTTAGCACAGATTTAATTTGGAGCAGCAAAAATAAGCCGACTGCAAAATGAAGCTTCATCTTACTCAGTATGTCAGTTGGGTCTTTTGCCATCTTATTAAAAACTCTAAGCCTTCAAAACTCATTAAATTGTTCGAATGTCATAGCAGATATAAAAAAGTAAGATTTGTCATGTGTGCATGCAAAAACCTCCCTCTTAATCCTGTTTGTAATAGGATCATTTTCCGAGAATAAGAACATGAATGGAATGATTTTACTATTTAGAAAGTGTGGTGCAACATACAATCTCAGAGAAATGGAAAATCATTTTGTTTTTGTTAACTTAATATGAGCCTTTTATATCTGCACGACAAAGGGGTGCCCCTCTTAAAGAGGCAAGTAACATATCTGTTTGTGTTTGAAAAAAGAAGGAGAGGGTGGTTGTTGATGTGCACAACTTTTTTTTTAACTTTATTTTTATGAGGTCATTCATTTTTTTCAAAATACTTAGAGAGAAAGGGAAAGAATTAGAAAAGACCAAGAAAGAAAAGGCACAGATGGAAAAGTATACATGCACACATATATATATTATTACACAGGGGAGAGAAGAGTCACAGTAACAATGCGTACGTTTCAAGAGGTAGGTCCAGGGTTTAGAGATATTTCAGTCACTTTTGTTCCGTTTGTCCATAGTCTATCCTTTATATCAAAACAGGACAGAGGCACAACATAATTTTTATTGATAGACGTTTGGACTTAAGAAATAACCAAAGATTTTTCCTGTCCAGAAACCAGCCTATTAGAGAATGTCAGTAGCTAAAAGTTAGCTGTATCTCATCCATCTTCATTTTCATCTTCATCCTTTTTATTGCCTTAAATTCATGCTGGCATGCAGAGAACTGCTGATTCAAAGGAAAGCACAAGTATTCATCTTTTTGACAAATTCTGTTTTCATTGTCAAACATGAAAGAAAATGTCAACTGCGTGAGAGTATCACACTGTCTGTGGGAAAAAAAATCATCAACATGCATTTTTAAAGACAACGTTCCAGTGACATTTCTCAAGGGGCTCGGAAAGACGGCCTAAGAGGGGACCAGCAACAGCAGCACATAGCTCATGTATAAACAGACACAGAATAATAAATAAGCAAAAAAATGTCAGTATCAGACTCAGTAAGTGCCTGCATTTCACAATCAGTGGATCTCAGGCTATAAAATCCTTGAGCAATGACTGATCACTTCAAAAGGAAGAGTGTTCAGTCATTGTGGTCGATTTTTTTTTTTTTTTTTTTTTTTTTTTCCAGTGAAAACATTCATCACCTACATTACTTTTTAGCAGCATGCATCATTCTTTCAATTTAAGTTAAAATAAAGTTATTATCAGTATGATGTTTAAATGTGTTTAAAATGGATGGGTGGCAATTTCACTCCACACTTCCACCTGATGATATCTTTAGTGCGCAGTTAAACAGCTTTTCTAAAATCATTACTTACAATAATAAAGTCATAATAAAGTAATTACTCAGGAGAATAAAGTCCTTGTAAAGTAATCACTTATAAACGTAAAGTCAGAATAAAGTCCTTATATTCTAATCTGTTTTTTAAGATGACAGTTGTTGAAATGAGAGCCATGGAGCATTTTGTGAAAATGAACTTCAATGTCGGTTTCTCAAACAAGGAGATACTTAATCTTTTGGCACATGAGCATTACATTATCATAAGTAACCTATCATAATGATTTTAATATGACTTTGTTCTCTGAAGTACTGACTTTATTCTCGTAAATTAATGACTTTAATCTAGAAGTCTGATTTTTTTTTATATGCCCCTAATACTCTGTTGTACTTTTCCACCATTAAGACAGGATTTTTTTTACTAAGTACCTGTAAATTCAAAGTAGTATATGAATAACAGTGAATTTTATGCTGTGTTTACTCTTATATTGGAGGTTGGAGTATTATACTGCAACAAGTTTCATCTTTTAAAAAATGCCCCTTTTTTTATTATTGTCAGGTTTTTCTTCTGTTGCAGCAAAATCCAATTCCACAACCCCCCCACCACCCCGAGTTGTTCTTAACTGATCATGCTGTTCTATTATTTGTGGCAGCAAGTCACAGCATACAATCAACACCTATACATAATTACTGAAATGTAATTTTGTCTGACTAAAAAGAAGAATTGCTCCTTAATAGAATTGGCTGCATTAGAATTCCCAGCTGAGCCCAGGGCTTGTTAAAGCCGCTATCAATCTCCTCTTCCTCATTCCTGCCTCTTTTAGCACCAGGAGTGATTGCATACAGCATTCGCTGCCCCAGGGAGAGAAAATGTGTTTCCCTGAGCTGCCTGTGAGCATGCCGGCGAGGAATCCTAGACCACCAGTGTGTTTTTCTTCGGAATCAACCTTGTCACTGAGTCAGTGAGGTCTGGGCCCGGGAGACCCGACAGTCCTCTAACCTTGACGCCCCTGTGGGACAGACTGGAGGAAAGATACCAGCCTCTTATATTGTGCCTGAGCCAGGAACAGGTCATTCTGAGGAACACTCATTAGCCTGACTTGCCTATTAACTACAAAAAAAAGGGCAGTGAAAGAGAGAGGCGGTCAGTGTGAAAGGGTGTGAAGGAAAGAATTCCTAATTTACCCAAATCCTCGGCTAATCCAGTGAGTCCCTGTTCCCTAATCCTCTCTTTTCTCAAAGTAGGAAGCAGGAGAAAGATGGAAGCTGCTCGAGAGGCATTAGAGGAAAGATTTTGCTTTGCACTAAAAACATTTTTGGGGGCAAGAGCTCAGATAGGGGACAGCAGCTTTATGATGGCCAGTTATCCTGAAGAGCCACTTGTACTGTAGTGGACGGCTACTTAAGATTATTAATGGCAGCAAAATGCCAAGGTCAAGCTGCTCATGTCTGTAACCAAACCTCCCACAGTACTAATCTCCTCTGATTTACGTTTGACTCAAGAGAGGGAATTTCTCTGTTCTCCAGCAGCACACTCCATTTATCTATTCATTTCTCATTCTCACACAGCCGTGAAATCATTTGCGAAAGAGAAATGTTGCTATGGATAATTGAATAAGTAAGAGATGAGCACATGCCCTCAGTCGTTTAAAATATCTTAACAAATATAAATTACCTTTAAACAATCCATCTTCATGTTCTTGATCTTCATGCCATACTGAGGATGAAATCTGATATCTTCAGTGATCCTCTGAGATTTCATTTGGCATCACCATCGGGTCAAAGTGTTTATAAGTCCAAAGCTGTTACGTCTTTGTTGGCGTTGATTGGCTGTGTTCTTTTTTGTCTTCGCTCACAATACTCGTCACGTAGCTACCTGATGATACATTATTCATATACAGTCATGCTAATGTTAACATTTAGCACACTACACGCCTTTTTCACACAGCTGTTAGCATGGTAATGACAGTTGCGAACCGTTTTTACACACAAACACTGCACCCATGCTGGAAAATGAAGCTCTGCTGTTATTCTGCCCCTTTTATCTTTACACAGAAGTCGGTGCTGTCTCCTGTAAAGGGGAGACATGAAAAGACAGCAGTAACTCCACATGCGGCATGCAGGAATGAAATTTTACACAGATGCTTCTGTTTGGCAAATTTTGTTTTTGCAGCTGTCTTTTTTTAAAAACTGCTTATTTTCACTCTTTACTTGCAGTTACATGTATCTATGATGGAAATTTGGTCCAGGCTTCCGATTAAACTTGAGTTAACAAAGAGAAAATCTTTCAGTGAGATTACCAACATTTTGAAAAGTATCAATAAGGTCATCATTGGGCTTCAACAAGTTTAATTTTCTGTCTTTATTGTGTCACAGAAATCGACATTGAGCGCTGCGTCCGAGAATCAGTCAACCTCTTCTGCTGGACTCCAAAGAGCGCCACATACAGACAGCACGCACAGCCACCAAAGGCCCCCGGTGAAAACGGATTTGGAAAACCAGCAACATACTACTCTTCAGACTATCAGGACATGCCAAAGACAGACCTGGTGAGTGTCATCACACTCACAAAGAGACATATGCACACTTAAACACAACGCTATAAACCTGAACTTTACACTTGATACTGCTGTTAATGTAAACAACTATCGCATTAAAGAGCTATAAACTGGCTGTTTATCCACTTGAAACTTTTCCCTCTAACTGCCCCAGTAGCTGTGAGGATAATCACAATAACACAGTTTCCCTGGTGTTCTTTCTCTGGAGATCTGTCTTTATTCTGCATCCTCTATTCTGTTTGTGGGAGGACTTTGCTCCTGGTGACTAGCTCTTAAGAGATGAACGTATTTAGTATTCAACACACTTAAACCATCGAAGGTTAAACCAATACAGCTTTTGAATGTTTGTTAGAAAGAATAAACACTTTTCCTGGAACCTTCATCGCCATAGCCTGCAGATAAGCTTGAGGATAATGTAAGCCTTGAACTAGCTCATTAATCCTTAAATCACAGTTTGGTAAAAAATCATTAAATTATGGTTTTCTTTTTTTTATATAAAGGTGTTATTAAACAAAATATAATTTCAAAAAAGCAGGAAAATTTGCTTTTCTCAAATAGATCATAAACTTCAAATTTAGCCTGTTGAACAACTTAGAGAAATATAAACTGATACAATTGCCGGAATGCAGAGTTTTGATATTATTGATAAAAGTAGTCAATAACTAAGTAATTATCGGTAATTATTTGCTTATGTGTATTGAGATAATTAGTATAATTTGTCCTGCTGAAACTAAAATAAATAAATATTCATCAAAAAGTAAGTCCAGATGCACTCATGAATGGTTGAAGTATCAACTTTAAGAATATAAGTTTATGTTTTGCTGTTGATTTTTATTTAAAAGTAGATCAATAGCAAATAAATGATTTTGGTAACACTTTATTTGACGCCTATCTCTTTAACCCATTATAAATATATGTAGAATGCATTATAATCATGTTATAGTACTGTATAACTATAGTTATAAACACTCATAAATGATCATAAGGCTTTATAGCAATAATCACAACACATTATAAAGCATTTTATCATGACTTACAAGGTCAGATATTATAATGTGTTATGCTTATTGTTATAAAGCCTTATGATAATTAATGAGTGTTTATAAAGATAGCTATACAAGTTTATAAGCAAATTATAACACATCATAAATATATGTATAATGCATTATCTTTGAGGGTATTGTCAGTGAGTCGTTAACAGTTATAACACATTATGATACCTGACCTTGTAAGTCATGATAAAATGCTTTATAATGTGTTTTGATTATTGCTATAAAGCATAATGATCATTTATGAGTGTTTATAACTATAATTATACGGTGCTATAACATGATTATAACGCATTATACATATATCTATAATGCGTTATAGAGATAGGCGTCAAGTAAAGTGTTACCGTGATTTTATATTGTCCGTATGAGCATAATAAGCCTGTATGATATTCTGTACAGCTTGTTCAGTGCCTTCTATGCTCACTGGTATGAGACCAACCTGAGGGGTGATTTTGCCTGCAGCTTTTTTCAAGTTTTATCAAGTGTGTATTATCAGAATATATTGAGGTTTGAGATAGATCCAGACTGGAAGAGCTTTAGGATTTTGTCATCTCTTTACTCTGCTCCGTTCGAGGATTTAAATGACCTCTCCCTGATTTGCACAGATTGACCGCCTGCGTATTAACCCAAACCCGCTCATTTCAACAGTCAACACCTGATGGTGAAACAGTACAGCGACTCCAGTGAGCCTGTTTAGCTGTATTGATTTTTTCATGCCAGATTGAATTCCTCAGAAAACAAAACTTTTAATAGTATACACTGAGCCGAGGTTTTATTTCACAGAGAGGCCAAATATTGATCATTTCTAAATGCGCTTGCTTTATGAACACAAATAGTCGCCCAATTCAAGTCTGTTTCTGCGTGAATGGAGTCAGTCTATCTATATGAAATCCTTGTCGGGTTCAGATATAAACTGCGTTGTAATAAACAAAACAGATTTGTTGTGTAGGTGCTTTTTTACTTCACAGCAAGTCGAAGCGTTGCCAGTTCTGTTTAGTCCCATTTTCCTTAGAAACAGCAATAAATGCATGTAAATGTATTCTTCAGTATTGTCAGCTCTGAAAGTGTTGGCAAACACGTAAATGGATCCCCGATGAAAGAAATAGATGTATAGAAAATAAGCATGTACAAAAATGCAGGTACAAAGCTGTTCATACTTAGTTTTCAAATGAATTCATTGATGTCTGCAGTCTTCAACAAAGGCTTTTTGTTTTGTGCCTCAACGCTGTTTGTCTTTCACACCTGAATGCATTGTGTCCAGAAAGCTCACAAGCACTCTTGTCAGCCCTTATCTCCTGTGTGCCCAAGTGATTGCTGTAATCTTTCTCATTCAGCTGAGGGTGAATGAGAAATGGGTGGGTGGTGGCATTGATCCATGGCTGCATCTATCTGCGCCCCTCCTCTTCCTCAGGCAGGAGTGCAGTGTGTTATAATGTCACTCTCTCAATCATGGTTGACCACAAGCATACAAATACAGCCATACAAAAATGATTACACAGTATGAATGTCTGAAGAAATCTACGTCATAGGAATTAGGAATATCAGTAAGAAAATATTAGGACGTAAACTACTCTCCCACTGCACTGTAGTTCTAGATTGTTTAGTTGTACATAGCCTTTTATACTTATTGCACATAGCATTGTACAAAACCTTTTATATTTTTATACTTTATACTTTATATATTCCTTGCATGCTCTTATTAGTTTTTATTCTAGTATTTTAAATTTCTCTCTGTTTATTGTTGCACCATCATGCCAAAACAAATTCCTAGTCTGTGAATTCTGTTCATCGACAATGGCAATAAAACCCCTTTTGATTCTGATTCTGATTCTAAACCTTTTAAAACTTTAACTACTGCAACACTGTAGTTAAAATTTTACACATGCATTCTCCTGTTGCATAAATATCAGTAATATTTATCTGCTTTAAGTAAGGTGGAAGCTTTGGTAATAGTGGATGTCAGTGCAACATTCATCGTGATAATGATACAAAGTCATTTCTCTCCAGTTCCAGTGCAAATTTCTTGATCGAGTTCCTCCAAAATAATAATTTTACTGCAAATGCACACCTCCATTTTTCTCAGAGGAGTTCTTATTTATGTTGATTTTCACAGGCCCTGTGGACAAGGCTGTATGTTTCATGTCTGTAATGATCTTGTCCTGGTAAAACATTTAGAATTATGTAAGAAAAAACCTCATCCAGCCATGTTAGAGCCTGATACGTAACAATGACCTGAAATGTTTTAAAAAATAAAGTAATGAAACCTGAAATGTAATCATTTGTCAATAATGTAACAAAGGTGTTGAGCCTGAAATATGATAAAAATAATATAACAAAACCCAAAATGTAACAAGTTGCTAAATTTGGTCAAAAAGATATAATAATTTGGGCTCAGCATTTTATTGACCAGTTATTGCCTTTTGGGTGTTATAATTTTTTATGTAACATTTTAGTTTTGAGTCATTATTACATATCAGGCTCTAACAGGACTTTGTCCCACAACTATAACAAAACGATCTAAAAAAAATAATAAAAGCCCTCCCTCCTCGTGTGCTTTGAATCACAGTTTCTTAATCTGACCGGTGACAGCAGAGCAGGCTCAAAATGTTACGCTGGAGATAGTGTCAGCATGAAGCCGACGGTTTTGAAGTCCTCAAAAGACATCATCTTGAAAGACTTTTTAAAGTGACTTTAAAAAGTTTTACTGCTGGTATCTCTTTATGACATCGTTTTATGTTTCTTTTATGCGGCAATTTAGTTTGAAGTTAATCTTTAAAAGACTTCATAGTGATTTAAAAAAGATTCAAACAGACTTAAAGATAACATTGTAAGGAATCAGGAAGCATTATTGAAATTCATGTACATGAGGAAAATCAAGGGAATAAATGAAAGGATACTTACTTCAAGATGTGTTAAAAATGTGTTGGTGAAGATCAGATGAAAGACGGTGCTAATTAATCTCACATAAGGCTTTAATTAATTTCAAAATGAAGGGTGTCGAACAGAGCAAAGAATGTCATAATTTAAATGAACCAAGAGTTTAGCCTGGTGAAAACTTAAACAAGAAAATTACACAAGACTGTAAAACCCTGGTACACTGTTCAGTGCACGACATCCTAATGTCTTAATTCACCATAGCATTGTAAACAACAGACTGTAAACATACTGATGCATTGACTGTGCTACATGTTTGTTTGTCTTGCTTCTCTGTTGCCTCTCACCCCTGTGCCGAAACAGCAGGCTTCTTGTGTAGATTCTCAGCCCTCAGTGAGCAGACATCCATCTCACTGGACAGCTGCTGCTCAGTCTGCCCAGCCTGATGGAGAGAAAAGGAGAAAACAGGCTCCCAGTCAGAGTAGAGCAACTCCTAGACAAAAATAGTGCTAAAAAGCCAAACACATCACATACAGTATATGCACAAGGTTGTCCATTTCAGTGGAGCCAAACCCATTAGAGTCGTCATCAAGATCTGCAGAGTACAGGAGGGTGGAACTTTTTTTTTTCCTGGTGTTTTGTCTGTTGAAAAAAACTGGAAAACTTTGAGCAAAGGGAGCGTTCCCAAAGAGGCAGGGTGGTGGATGAGAAACCTAAAAGAAACCAGTCAAAACCTTAGTGAAGACCATCTAACTGTTCATAAAAAAAAAATAAAATCAGAAATAAGCAGTGATGCATTTAATGACTACCAATTTCTTGAGGCTACTTTCTGATGGGGTGCCAGACTCCACGGTTGACAGTGCGCCGAAAAATAAAATGCCTTTTTACTTTTCATATAGAAATATTCAGTGTCTGCTACATTTGATTGTTAAGGACAACAGGTTAAGATTTTTTTTGTCATAAACTGCTGATAAGACACATACAGGGAAAAATCAGCAAAAGGATAAGTCCACAGAGGGAGTCAAATTTAACGCCAAATGCTAGTTTCACTCAGAGGCTTCAGATTGGTTTTGTCTGTCATGTATTTCTGATGTTCACTTATGGGCTTGTATATAGGACAGTAGATGGAGTAGGAAACTCTGGGGAAAGAGTGGAGCATGACATGCATTATAGGACCACAGGATGGAGTCAAACCCCGGCTGCTGCCTTCATGTACTGCAGACAGTACATGAGTCATGCAGTTTAACCTTCAGTGTTATATGTGAGTTTCTTTTACACTGCCAATAGAATTTTGCAATTTTAATGAATTTAAATTATTTTTTATTCTTATGTAATTAAAAAATATATTGTAAGGAATTTTAGTGCACAATTGTACTGAGGTTTGATGTAGTAATTTTGATTAAGTAAGTTGAATCATTGCTCTGAATTATAAACATTTCAATGATGTGTTGAGATTGGTATGTGTTTGGCTGTGTTGGGTGCCCCAGCAGGAAGTCTGCAGCTGGACAGGCAGTAGGTTTTTGCATTTACTTTAGCGCGCTAATTCTTGTCCACACAGAGAAAGTAATGATTCAATGTAATGGACAGACCCAGCTCAAAGTGTGGTCAAGACTGCCCTGAAAGAGGTTTCTGGGGCATCTTATGGAAGAGAGTGCGACATAGACGGAGCAAACTATGAGCATCAATCCAAAAACAGGTAGCAATACAGGTGAAATGAAGCAAAAGGGTGTCACTGTAAAATGCCTGAATAAAATAGCTGTGTGTATAATTACAGTGAGATTGTTCTGTGTTACCCATAGACTGTATATTGAATGGACACCATCTGCCTCCTCGCTGGGTGAAGCAACCCAGAGAATAGCACCCTCTGGTGCTGCAGTATAGGTTATAAATCCCGCCTCCTCCAGCGATGTTGACATGTAGTTACTATAAGACTGGTTTGTGCTCAAGTCCTCTTTTTTCTGTACAACTTCTTTTTTAAAAGTTATTAGGGGGTTCAAGTTTTCTATGATTGATCACTTGATACAACTTATGGGTGCATGGAGATTGCGTAGCTCACCCAGGGGATACGCTGTTTGAGCCGAGTGTCATTTCTGGGACTTTCCCATTGAATGCGTACAATGCTACTGCGCAATGTTGGTTTTAGGAAATGGAGAAAAATTGCGGAAATACCGAGAGATTTTCGGCTTCAAATCCGTATACAGGCAGAAGGTGGAACCAAGTTGTCCATAGTATCTACAGTCTATGGTGTTATCACATGTTGCACTGGAGTGAAATCTGGATGTAAAGAGGAGCTGATGTTAGAGTTTGTTTTAACGCTGTTGTACTTACCTGGAATTGCATGATGTGTGTTGTGTAACTATGAATATCCTAAAATGATTTTCCCCTAAAACTTTAACTTTATGCTAAGCCTGAACACATCACATTTAAGCATATTTAATGGAAAGCTAAAAGCTGAGTTTTTATGGTTAGCCAAGATCGATGTCCAACACAACACTGAGTATTATGCTGTGCATTAAATGTCAATCCTTTCAACCCATGAGCCCTAAAAGTGGCTGAAATAAGTAACAGGGGGTCGCAGAGTCCTGAGGTAGAAAAACGAGCGTAAACATTTCGAGAGAGCCAGAGTTTGAGCTGCTTTACCTTGGTGTCAAACAAAGAATCAGCCAGGAGGTGTTGGGTTCGATTAAAATGCCACCTGGGAATTTTGCTGTGAAGATTTTCAAGGCAAGTCAAACTGAGGGAAAGTGGGTAGACCCAGAACTTGCAGGGAGAACCATTTATCTCATCTGCCCGGGGAACGCCTCAGGATCCCACAGCAGTAACTGGAGAATGTTGCTGGGAAGAGGGACATCTAGAAAACCTTGCTCAGCAGGCTGTCTCTGAGTTCAGATCCTGGATAAGTGGAGAGAAAGGATGGATGACTGAAAATTATGAAAAACTGCGGACTCACCTTGTCTGTGGGCATTTGAGTCACTAAACTTTAGTGCATAGAAAGTTGCTTATGAAACACTAAGGCAGCATTATATTTCACCCACTGTATCCCAGCTGTCAAAGTGCACGTCTGGGCTCCAGTTCTGTCTTTTGTCAGCAAAAGTAGCGATGAATTTTCATTAGCAGAGCCCACTCTGTGTGCCCTACCGAGGAGAAATATCATTCATGTTTGAGCAATAATGGAAACAGTTTTGTGTCAAAAACACACACAGTGAAAATATAAAGCTGTGTGTGAGGACTATTTGCTTAAAAATCCTTCTCCATTATGAAGAATTGGATGTCTGTATTTATGTGTGTGTGTCAGCAGTGAACAGAACTCATTGTCAGCATTTTTCTCAGATCATGGCCTCAATTATGCTGTTCTTCTCTTGTTTAACTACTGAGTTGGCAGATAGAGCACATTCTTAGTCTGGAAATCGTTCTCAAACACCTCATAAGTGCTGTTTGATATATGGAGATCTCAGCACAGTGGAAGGACAGGCGACATGAATGCACTCTAAATGAATCGGTTACCTTCTCCTTAAAGGGATACGCCGGCGTAAATTAAGTTGGGGTCAAACACACCGTAACACCGAGTTAGTCACTCCCTCGAGAGATGAATGTTTCCAACTTACTGACTAATACAGACTAAACACAACTCACTCACTCTCTTCCAGCAGCCGCTTGTTTGTAGGGAGAGCCCAGATGAGTCCATCACTGACCGCAGCGGGGTGACGCAGCTCAAGGAAGAACATTTATGATCATTACTGTATCATTTCCTTAAAGTAATAATCACTATATTAATCATTTTTGCAGACGTGGTAGTTCTTCTGCCTTAGCGTCTCGGTCTGATTGCATTTCCATGAAGAAATTATCATAAATGGCCTTTTGGGGTTGAGGTGTGCACGTGGATCCATAAACCGCTGTTTATTGCTATCATGCGGTCGTTACTAAAGTTGGTACAACTAGAGAAGCAAGCGGTCGGCAAAATTCATCTCTCGAGGGGGATGTCTGACTCGGTGTTACAGAGTGTTTGACCCCAACTTTACTCTACGCCAGAATATCCCTTTAAGCTTTGTCCAGCCCTCCAAGTTCAATACAATAATAATGATAATGATAATAATAATAATAATTACTATTTATATAGAACCTTTAAAAACAGATGTTTACAAAGTGCTTTACCAGAAGAAACAGACAAAAAAATTGACAGTTTAAAAAAAAATGGACAGTTAAAGATCGGCGGTTGGTGGTCGACAGCATCGACAACATGTTCAGTGAACTGGGTTTTTTTTGGCAACAGTGTGACAGCAGCGTTTGTTCATTAGCTTGCATACTGACACAATCCACCATGGAGGATGTGTGTCTCTTGGTGGATATGTGTCTCTTGGAGGATATTTGTCTACTTATCAGCAGCTGCAGTTGAGCCTCGTCACTGTCAGGCCAGTCAAATGTGAACGTGTCATTACTCTACATCAGCAAGCACACACTGCTCATCATGACATTTGAGTTACCGCGCAGAGCTCCATCAGCCCAAGGCGCTGACAGGCTGCTCATTCTGACTGTTTCTGCCATGATACTGTATATGTATGAAGGCATTTATGCCAGTTTACAGCAGGAGAGTTACATCATGCTTCGCATTGCCTCTCAACTTTTCTGATCAGCACACTGAGAAATTAGCTTTTTGTTTTCATTCCCATGTGTGCTTTTTTGAAAGAGTCCAATCAGATTGATTTTGTGATAAAAGACTGAAACCTAGCTGATGACCTTTCTCAGAAAATGTCCCAAGTTTTACTTTACTAAACACAATGTGTTTCCTGAACACTCATCCATCAGTGTGTTATTTTTTTAATGATGTGTACAAAAGAGATTAGCTTTGGGCGGTTGTCATAACAACTGCTTATCTGTGCTCTTCTGTTGAGTGTGTACCCCGAGCTTGAAAGGCATTTTTCTAACTCCTGTGAGTAATCTTTTAAATGAATTCCCTGAGGGCAGACATAGTGACCCACCGTTATTTTCACCACCCTTTTTTGTCTCGATGATGTTTATCTACAAATTGCCAAAGAAATAAGGGGGAAAAAAAGAGGGAAATATTTATGTATTATGCATCCAAATGGTTCTGGTCCTGGAGCAATAAACTGGAAGAGCATTTGTTATTAGTAACAAAAAGTGCTTGTTCTCTTCCTATTGCTGTACTTTTTATAAACAGCATCTTTACATCTCATTAGCTGTTAATGAGATGTACTTAAACCATACATGTTTTTAATGACCCCTTGCACCAGTGTTTCTGCTGCATGTGATGGACTTAACGCTCCGTGGACTTGCTGTAATCTGAGTGTCCAAGATGAAGAATTTGCTTTAACTTTTCCTCATCACCCTGTAGAAATGAACCAGCTCAGAGGGGTTAAGACTTGCCGACATTATACAAGCTGTATCTCTTAAGGACCCATTTCGATGAAAATCATGTTTTTCTTGGTTTTTATTTGTTCTTATGGCATTTTTTTGATGCTACAGGACATATCATGAGAAAACTATATGCGAAATTGCTTTTCTGAGTATTTCTGCATTCGAATCGCTGTGAATCTCTGGCAGACCCAAACAGCAGGTTCAGAAACAGTGAGATTTTATACGTAACCAATCCAAGCTCTGCCCACCGAGCCCCGCTATGCTGACCACACTCTGCATATAGAAGAGAAATACAGAGGATGATTGGGAACAAGCGTGTGGGTTAGCGGATTGCAATGTTTGTAAGAAAGCTAATTATGATATTAGCTTTCATCATGCCTCCAAAAGCATAAGTGTCTGAGAGCTGAATAGCTCCTATGTTACCTGCCACTCCTGCTACACCGACAATATTAGGCTGCAAGCTAACTCGAGGAGAAGTGTGCAGAGCAGCGCTGCCTCCGCCCACGACTCAGAGGTGAATTGCTAATGATCTACTCTGCAGAAAAAAAATCCCTTGAAAATGACACAGGTAATGTGATTTTGGCTAAAAACTTAATAATCACAATTTAAAGACCATTTAGAACAAAACAAATTTAAAAAAAAAAAAACGATCGGAGTGGGACTTTAAGTAACAAAACCAAACAGCATTTCACCTTCTATTAAAGGCGGCATTTAGCAGCACAGATTTGATAGAAATCGAATATAATTTTTAAAAGTATGTTAAAATTACTGTGTAACACCCAAGGATTATGCATTCTGTTTTTCTTAACATGGAATGACCCTTTTATTTCTACATAGAAGGGAGTTCATGTCCACAGAGGCTGCTATCCTGTATCACCATGTGTCTACTTTGGCACTGAACAAACAAGTATGACGTGGGTATTTTTGAATGTAGTGCAGGTCCAGGCAAAATACACTGTTGCGGGAAAAGAAGGTAGAAAGTGGTTGTAGATAGATGTCGTAAAAACTATACGCAAGAAAGGCCATACTTATTATGTATCACAGGGGCTTTTTATCCTTAAAGCCACATCGCTTCACCAGAAGCATCATGATCTAAATTTGATCACTACATATTGTGTATTATTCCCAATTCTACTCACTGTGCCTTCAAAAATTTGGTTCATGGTTTGAGTTTGGATTTTATTTCTTGTTGTTTAACTATGTTTTCCAAACACAACTTACATTCAAAATGAATAAAATCTATTTCTCAGAAGTAAGATTTTAGCATTTCCTGGAACCATGACCTTCTGTTTTTGGGTCAGTGCAGAGACAATGCGAGACAAGCACAATAGGAAATCTGTATTATTGGTGTAAACTCTGAATTAAAGCTAACATTGAAGTAAATACACATTTTTACTGTGGTTGTAGATGCTGCATTAGTTAGAAACATGTTTAAAACAGCTTGCAGAAATATTGAATTATTACTAGTCAGAGAAACTGCATGAAATTCAATAAAAATACAACAGCAGCTCAGCCATCTTTGTAAAGTCAGCACTACAATACAGCCCAGTAATGTTTTTCGATAGCTTACCATGCCGAGAAACTTTTACATGGATTTGAAACATAAAAAAGGAACATTTCACTGTTTGTCCATTGTGCCTCTTTTCTTTGTTTTTTTTTTTCTTTGTGCAACCAAAGCCCGTCACTTCACATCAGCTCTTGCAAAATATGTCTAATGTCAACATGGGTTCCCGTCTAAATGAATGACTTTACGGATGGTTTACACTTGTATGCTATCCCTGCAGAGGCAAGTTTTACCCAGCAGGTGTGTTGAGTCACACCCTTATTTACTTTCGGATGAAGCTTTGTCAGCCTTGACTTTTCATTTACTTTGCACGCTATTCTCTTGAACCTTGAATTCTCCAGAATTTTCCTTCAAGGATAAAATAAAGTTATTCAGATTTTTATTCTTAACTGTGGGTCTCTACAGGTCTTGAACAACCTGGCAATTAGAAGTACAGTATTATTAGCACTCTGACATGTCTTTTTTCAGTTCCAGTTTTCATGCGTTTGCGCAGTATACTGTCTATCTATATTTGCCAATCTTGGAGAGAAGTTCTCCCAGTTGTGCTGTGATATGTCTTTATCTGACAGCAGCATGACTCAATCCAGGATTGATCAGCAGAGAGAACTCCTCTCACCCCTGCTGCTGCTGCGTACCTGTGCGCTCTGCCGGCAACAAAAGGTCTACTGCCAATCATGCAGTACAGAGAAAAACACACATGGAAGAAGAGCTGTTCATGTTCCTCCTGTAAATATTACCCTCCACTATTGTCCCAGCCATTTACAGTGTCATTTAAAAGAATGGGTTCAAACCACAACTTGACAGGTTGTTAGAGTCATCCAACTGTTAGGTAGCAGTTCAAGTTTAAAGGCTAATTCAGTGAATTACTACTGTATATGTGCTGCAGGTATTTTTTTTTTCATGCTGCCATATGAGTGAGTACCAGTCAGCGTCTCTGTAAACTCAGCACGGATGACATGTAGGTTTGTCTTCTGTCATGTCAAATCTTGTAGGAAAAGCTCCTGTTTAACAAGTTGTCAACTTGCCACAGAGATATTGAGTCAGTTTGCTGTAAGTTGTTCTAGCCTTTTGCTGGTTTGTCTTGATTTTTTTTGCTTTTGCTTTCTGCGGTTTTTCTTATTGTCACCTGGCTGGTTCACTTAAGTTCAGCTAATTGTCATTGACATTTAAAAAAATTACTACATTAGAAGAATGACATATCACCTCTCAATAAAAAAAGATGGATTGTTTTGTATTCAAAAGCGAACACACACCGGATCTTTTGAGTTTGGCTTTTGGTTAACTGGTTACACAATCTGACTGGATCATCACTTTTACCAAACATTTACCTGATGGAGACAGATTTTAGGAAGGTATTTGATCCTGCAGGTCAATTGCATTAAAGAGAAGACTATGATAGAACAGCAAGTAGGGCTGGGCTATAAAACAATAATGATATATATATCGAAAATTTATTTCACTCAATATCAATATAAAACATAGTCCTTTTCGATAGTCGGCATTCTGCCATGTTTTGGTAGACTAAACAAATAGCTAATAAAAAGGGGAGTTGCTCCGGGTCCACTTCGCGCTGAACCAATCGTGCTGAATTAGAATTAAGTAGCAAACAACTGCATAGTAGCAGGCTGCAGCTACATGCAACCAGAGCGTTTTAACACGTAAAGCCGACAGTTGGTGAGAAAAAAAGAAAACAAGTGCTACCCCTGTCAGAAATGCAGATGAAGGCTCAACAGATGATGGACATCGTCAACAACACTGCTATGAAAACATTGGTGGTGTGGAAGTATTTTGGTTTTTCGAGATCGGACATGAAGCAGAGTAATGTGCACTGCAAATTATGTTGAGTACATGTTCTCTTAAAGTCAGGGAATATCTCAAATCTTTTTCACCACCTGAGCAGTGCCATGCTGCAGAGCACACGCATTGCAAAAGTTTACAAACCCTGAGCAGAGCAAGGAGCCCATGGCGCATGTGCAGCCGAAACAGCCGACCATTCAGCCTACTTTCTCTATCGCAACGCCTTACAACAAAAAGTCAAAGTGACACAAAGATCTCACAGATGCAGTAGTTTATTGTATTGCAAAAGACATGATACCAGTAAGCACTGTTAAATGTCATTTTTATATCATGATATATAGCGATATCGACTGATATGAAAGAAATATATCGTGATCAACTTTTTACCATATCGCTCAGCCCTACTAGCAAGAAACACAATCCAAAGTTAACATCATGCATACTGAAGTGTTTACTGGAGGACAACCATACACCCTAACTTTTTATTTAATCCTCTCAATATTCATGTGCTCACCAGCAGTTGTTTTACATTAGACTGAAAATTGAGAATAAATCCAAGAGTCGAGAGACTGCCTCTCAACAACGAACCAAACTGTCGGTCATGGTGGTGTGACATCTTAAATATGCAGATCCTATCTCTGCTTGTGCTCCCTCGTGTTGCCTGGAACAATCGCTATCAAGCTCTCTGATGAAAATTCAAAACAGCAGAATAAAGTTTTTTTTTATTATTATTCTTATTGAAAACTCTCAAGTCTTCTGATCCTACTCTGATTCTCTGTTAATGCAGGAGACTGAAGCTGCACCCTTCAGACATATCCATACAGATTATTACTATAGAGAGTCAAAGTAATAATTTTGCTGTCCTCATATAGAAATGAGAAACCTTTGAGGAAGTCATGCAGAAATATATCACTTGTAGATTGTTTTTGAGAATTTTTCTATCGATATATCTCTCAATCTATCTATCGATCGATCAGTCTAATTTATCACACACACTTTTGGATGGACACTTTATGCTTGGAATGGTTTCAGGACATTTATGAAATGGGGTGCGGTGTGCCTGTGGAGAGCAGGGTTCGGTCCCCTGCAGCCCTGCCTCTGGCTTGGTGCTTTAATGAATTGATTTGGCAGTTTTGGAAGTGCATTTGGAATCTGGAGAAGGACCATGTTCTGGTCTCTACTGCTGCTTTCTGGGCTGTCATACAGATTTTTATGCTAATGCATAATCTAATTTTATTCTCCAGCTAGTCGTTCATACCACTAAAATGGACAGAGTCAGATAATTCATTAATACAGAGAGAATTTAGTCAGAATACATTCAGGCCTAATCACAGTTTTCCTGGTTTTAAAAGAATAATAGTATCCAACCTGGCACTGGTCTTTGTGTCTCTCTTGTGTCATTTTCCAATGACTACTTATCCAAATTGCATTATTCAAATGATATTCAGAGTTTCTTTGAAAGCTCGCGCTACAATTTTCTGCCTTTCAACCTATCTCCTGTGATTCCCTTTCTTGTAGTCTCGGGAGCCCCTGGCACTATGTGACCTGAAAGCAGAAGTTTCCCCCAGGATCTCAGCCGAGGACTTAATCGACCTCTGTGAGCTGTCTTTGTCTGGGCCCAGCAAAAGGACCAAAGCTGGCAAGCCCAAAATCATTGCTGTGGACATCCGCAGTGTCGAGGAGTATCCTTTGCAGTCCTTATAATGTTATTTTTAAAGTTCAAATAAATAGTTCTATCTTTCTGTGGTGACGCAAATTTGAAAACTGTGCAAATAGACTCAAGTTTGTGTGGACATCCCTGGATTGTGTCCAACGAAGCAAAAACAACAAATGATCTGCTGAGATTTGTGCTCACATTGCTAAAATATGCAGTATTGGCAGACCCAGATAAGGATTGCTTTTAGAAGCATTTACTTCAGCAAACCTGCTCGGACATGAAGCTTTACTGTTACATAAGCTGTATAAATATTATGTTTAACGCTTCATCCCAGCACAAAGTGAGTATAGGAAGCACTTTTCTTCTGTTTCCAACCAGACAAGAAGAAGGCTTGAGGAGTGGTCTGATGCTGCCGTTTCACACTGACAGTTATACTAGAAAAGAATTGGTTTCTGCAAAATGTTGTCCCACCATGTCTGAAATCAAAATAGTTTATAGTCAGTCTGATCGGCCATGCTATAAGGCTGAGTGAAAAGCTGGCTGTCCTCGAGAGGAGAGAGACCCCATAACGTTTAAATATGGGGATACTGCCCAGCACTTTCAGACCGTCTCCCCTGGATGACATTTATGGCTCTGCACTCAGCTGTGTATTGGAAAAGCGATGGAAGTAATTTTGAAAGGAACAAAAAAAAGGAAGTCCAAGAAAATACAGAGAAATACAAGTCCTGGTATCTTCCTTTTCTCTGCACACTCGGCCATTCATGCTGCGACGGTGGGTGTGAATTTGAAACAAATTATAGAAATTGTCCGATGTCAGAAGAGTCTGGGAAGAGGGGTTTCTAAAATACTATTATACTGGCATTGGCGAGGGTGTCTTTGCCAATGCAGAGAGCAGCACAGTTATCAAAGTTTCTCACAGACTACCAGCAGCTATACACACAAACATAATTGAAGGTACAGGATAACACATGAAATATTACAAGAAATAACATGGGTGAGGTTGTAGACATAATTCATGGGCTCTTGAAAATACATCCCTGGTCTATAACGGTACGGCTTCAAATGCAATATTTAAAGCTCCTGTGTGGATTTTTGTAACTGGGTATGAAAGACTGTTAAAACTGTGTCTTACAAAAGCAAACGGGACCATCAGAAAAGATGAACTATTTCTTTGTGGTCATTTCTAACACATGTAACCTCTCCTGCATTGTTGGTGTTGAAACAATACTGAAACAGCGTTTGTTGATGTTTTCAACAACAAAGATTATTGCTGACTATTACAAATAAGACAGATTGTTTTTTTTAATTAGAAATCCTTACTGATGCTTTTACGGGACAAGTTTAGCAAAGAGATGCCCAGAGACGGTACAAAATTCAGTGCAGATCACAAGCTCCACTTACTGGCTTTGAAAAGCTCTAATAAAAGTCTTGTGTTGCTCAGTCAGTTTGATCACGTGACAAAACATTTTAATTTGAAAAACACTGATTTGAGTCCAAGTCTGGGCAGCTAGTTATGTGTCTGGTTGTATTAAATTGGAAGTAAAATAATAAATATCCCACATGGACATTTGACTGTAACTGTAACTGTCTGAAGCGAGTACAGCCTGGACTCGATCTCCTTTACTACAACTCACCCAAAAAACGTAGAAACTCTTTGTAACCTGAGATTTATTGTTTTTCTGCTCAGCTGTATAGGAGAATGATTTAGATTTATAAAATATACCGCAGGTCTCTGTAAAATCTGTGATCCATGCTTCACTGATTCACTACAGGTTGTTTTTACACTGTATCAGTACATTCATGCTCTGACAAGTTCAGGACTGTCTGATAAGGGAAACTTTGTTCTTTGATGTCGGTGATGGAGAGTAATGTCTTAAATGTTCTGTGGTTTATATGAAGACGGTTAAAAGGTCATGACAAAAAGAGACTTAGTTGGTGTACACTGTGAAGAGTGACACATTTGTAGGTATTTAAAGGACAGATACAATATTATTTGTAGATGAGTGTAACAGCCAACACTGATGACACAGCCTCTTTATGTGTAATATAACATCTGGCTGACATACAGACACACTCCTCTGCTTTGCATGAATGTATTACAGTTCACAGGTGAACCTTTCAGGTTCTCATTGGATCTGAGTCCAAGTCCTTAAGTAGATGACAGTTTTCTATTTATTCAGAGCATGTTTAAAGAAAAACGGTTCCTTTTTGGCCTAAATATGTCATGATATCTATATCACACCAACACCCTGTCTCATTTCTTAAACCCTCTTTCAGAGCTAATAAGAGAAAATGTTTTATTTGCTCATAAACTATTTTAGCACAGTAGAGAAAGTCATGGATCACAGAAACAGAATTTGTATGTAGTCGCATGTGTGCATGCCAGAAGCCTTTGTCTCGACTCCTCAGTGCCTCTGATCTCCTGCTTACCTCTTGACCCGCTGCCTGTGTTCTGCAGAGGTTCGAAATTAAACCAGAAGCACAGAGAGTAAAACTGTAAGGTTCCCATCCAAGGCAAGTAGGGGCAGACTCAGGGTGGATGATCTGCTTCAGTTATCTGCTGCCAGATTCTGCATCACTCAGTAAGGCCCTTCTTATCCACCCAGGCTGCCCCTCCACACACACCGCAGCCTGAGATTTAGATGGTGGAGAGAGTGGAGATAAGCCTGTGAACCCAAGCAAAAAGCATCCTTCTAACTTTTGGCTACAACTTAAACCTTTTCTCTGGCCTGGTTTATTTTTTTCTTCTTTTTTTATGAGAGAAAGTCTGTCTGGTCAAGGTTTAAACCATCTGATAATCACAATTGAAATAGATAAATGTGATGTTACATTATTTTGTATAAAAAGCTGCAAACTCACTGAGGGAGCTCTGATGCTTTACACCACATGAATACACCGAGTAAACCTCGCCTTTGCGACAGCTGACTGTATTTGTGGATCTGTGCAGAGGTTTACTGTTTCAACACGAGACATCTCTGGAAGCTATTTTCAGTGTGCCAAAACGAAGCAGTTTTTAGTTGTTCTTAAATCAATCAATCAATCAAATTTTATTTATATAGCGCCAATTCACAACAGTCGTCAACCTAAGACGCTTTCCAAAGAGAAAGAGCAGGTCTAGACCACGCTCGTTGTTCGATTGTTTACCATCCTTCCTGTTCGACATCGCTGTCTTTCGTAGCTTCGACAAGTGAAAGCGTAGGAGTTACATGATCGTGAAAGGGCAGCAATGTTACACAGATATTAGCAATAAGCCCTGCATATGAACCAGTTACTTGATCGCCCCTTAAATACTAAATTAACATTTTTCCTGCCTGCTTCATTTAGAGTCCTCTTCATCTACTATTTTAAGACCTTGCACAAAATCACAGTTTTGCAGAGAGAAATCCATTCTGCTTTTCCAGTCGGGCGGATTACACTGAGTGAAGGAGAATGAGAAAATGTGCTGAGGACCTGAGGGAGTGAGCCTCGGCCCTCAGGTCGTCAGTGGAATGATAATGGTAATAAGGGGGTTAAAAAGCCATTAATCAATAGGGATTAGTGAATATAGCGAGGATTTTGCTAAATTCCTTCACTTGACTGGAGCCTCCTGATAGACAGAGGCTCCTCAGGCTAACCCTAATTCACAAAAGGGATTTGACCACTTTCACAGGATTTGGCAACCTTTGTTCACCTTTATTATGATCCTAGGCAAAGCTGTGTTGTGGGTGTCTGCGGTCACAAAAGTGGATTAGATTAAGCTTCCGTGGGCTAAATCACTGTGATCTAGATTCAGCTGTCAAGGTATCCGATGATTAATGTCTGCTGCAAAACAACTGACATGTGCCTCTTGCAGTTCATTGGCTGATTCTACGACAATAGGATATGTCAGCTCGTGGGTTATGTAATACACCGACTCTTTATGTCCTTGTGGCAGCTGATGTGATTCAGTGAGCATAGTAATTTAAGAGAGAAAGAAGCTGAGCACCACTTATCGTAAAGTATGTCGCCATTACGCCAATAGCTACACTCTCAGAAACAGGACAATCTCCTTTTCTGGAGAGTTATCTTTCAATTATATTGCACTGTCCCGTCTTTATTTCCTCCTTTTTTATCCCTTTCTTTTCTTTTCTCCTGTCTTCTCCCTTGTTATTTCCCCTATATCTGATTTTCTTCCTTTCTTTCTTCCCTACAGTTTCCCTGCTATCTTGAAACTAGTCCAACATAATTTTTGAATAGGGAGTCAGTCTGATAAGCAGTGTAACAGGTACTTCGATTAAGATGTTACCATCAATTTGTTTTCCCACTGTGCATTGTGCCATAGAAAGTTCCAGTTGCTATGAATTTCAAGGTGTAACTCTGTAAAAATAGGATTCACCTCCATTGGTCCTTGTCCCAGGCAGGTGTTTTACCTGTTCAAAGCTTTGCTCCTTAACTCGTCTTTCTCCAGCTTCAACAGAGGTTATATATCCGGCAGCATCAACATTCCCTTCAGCTCAGCGTTCGGCGCTGACAGTGAGCTGGTTCAGTGTCCTGCAACAGGGACCCTCCAGAATTACAGAGGACGTGTCATCGTGGTCATCAGCCACATCATGAAGAGTGCTGCTGTGGTGAGGAAAAAACAGACACACACAAACACAAACCACACAGTGTGTAGTCATTGACAGAGTTCACTGTGATATTTATCAAAGACTTACCTGCCTCTAAGATATTATAAGCGTATAATATGGTACCATTATTGTTGGAGTAGTGGTTGAAATTTGAGTTATATATTTAATTTATGAATCGTCATTGAGAGAAGAGAGAGAGAGAGGAGAAAGAGAAAGAGAGAGAGAGAGAGAACAATAACAAAGGCAGGTCAAGATAACCAAGGGTAACACAGCACTTCACGCTGGTGTTAAAGTGCCCTGTGGTCCTTTTGAAATCCGAAACCTCCAAATCTCTGACTGTTACTTACAGTTTCGACCAACCTACCACTACATTTTCAGGGAAAGAAATCCAGGCCTGTTTGGTTCTGACTGAAATATTTCAGCTGTTAACCAGGTTATCATGAAAACAAATGTACAGATAAATTGAAAAAAATCTACTGACTTGTGTGTAACCCTTTTTATTACAGCCCTTTTTCTGCATTATGTGTAGAAAAGTAACACTCATTCATTCTGTTAAGCTAATTTAGCATTTGTCTTTCCTTTATGTTTGTCTTATTTACACAGTATTTTTTATTTTCATGTAACACATCTTGCAAACCTTATATGTCAGGTCCATCTCATTTGTGACATGCTTGCATTCCTATTGTCTTTCCCCAAGTGCTGCGATATTTGATTTCACCTCTGCTTACCTCACTGGACAAACAGTTGATTTTATTTTTCCATTATCATGGATTTGACTTCACATTAAAAATTTGTTAAAAAAATTTTCAAACAAATTAATACTTGGTAATCACTGAGAAATAAAAATACGTGATCTTTTGTGCAAATATTTTTTCTCCTACCCTCTAGTTTATTATTAGATAAAAATACTATCTCTGGTCAGTATCTTAGATATTCTCTGTTATTACCTGATAGTCGATCCTGCTTTTTTTCTCTTTTGCAGTGCAGGATGCTGGCAGAGGCTGAAAAAATGAGTTTGCTTTAAAGAGGCTAAAAATAAAACCTCACAGTGCTCACAGAAAAGACAGTTTTCAGCCTCTTAAAGTACAAGTCTCCTGCTTTTTTGGTTCTTATGTGTCCATCCATGCAGTGCAAAAGAGCCGGGGGAGCGGGATATAGATTGGAGAGTGTTGGAATCAACAAATACCCTCTTGACAGCCAGTCCCCTCATTTCTGTTTTGCTCTGAAAAGCCACAACACCATGATGCGTAACAACAATAGCTCAACAAAGAAAGACTTGATTTTATCCAGGAAAAGAACACCATGTGCGTAACCAATAGCTAAAGAGACTTGAAATCCAGGAGAAAGTAAAGAGGAGGCTCACTGTATAAAGCCAATGAGCTGTGTAGGAAACATCTCCCACGTTAACAGACTGATTACTAAGAAATAACAAACATGTCTGATGTGTGTGGAGGTTTTGTGCACTGTATTTAAAGCCTGGTGTGTATTGTTTAATGTACTTCTAAAATAGATTAATGTGCACAAAATCAGTCTTTTACATCTACATAGGAGAAGAGGAAACTTCCCTGTTTCTACTGTAGTACAGAAACTACTTCGATAAGCAATCTTACATTGTGCGAGAGGCTATGCAAAATGCACAAGCTGGAAGAAAAAGAGTGAAGAGAGTTGTTGTTGTTTTGACGGCAAAATGGAGAGTCATACTTTTGCATCACAGACCCCTTGGAGGTCATTGTCGCTTCAATGACAGGATGGGTGAGGAAAGCGTCTACTGTCATTAAATTTAAATAACTATTGACATTAAAAATGATTCTTTTATGCTCAGCTTTTTAACGGCATCTTTTTGGCATTTAAAGAGAAAAAAAATTTACCTGTATTACCAGAAAAATAGACACACGTCATTTTGCCCGATATTAAAAATAAATTGAAAAGAGTGGCAGAGAATGTTTTTGCAGGTACATATTTTTAAGGATCATATTTTTCTTTCATTGTTATTTTCTGTTTCATCATGCAGATTGAGGAATAATAGCTTTGTCTCACTGAAAGAAACTGATCTGCTAAATATACTAAAATTCATCAGCACCAAAGTAGCAGTTAAAAAAAAAAAAAAAATCTTTCATGGAGAAGCTGTGTGAAAAATAAAATGCCTTGTTAAATAAAAGATTTCTAAGAAAAACATCCAGACCTGTTCAGTCATCCACTGCAGTGTGAATAACCAATTCTGTGTAGCCCATATTGGTATATTTGTGTCATCAAACAGTCCCTCAGGGTCAATTATTATTTAGCGTTTAAAAATAATATATTGTGTCATCTGAAAATAACTTTTTCCTCAGTAACAGTGAAGTCTGAGAGATATTAGTTAAATTTTTTATTTCAGGCAAAAGTCTAAAGTGCAAAAAGAGCAGAGACAGAGACAGACAAACTGAAAATGGACTTGTAGCCTGTTAGGGCTGGGTGATATGGGAAAAAGTTTACTAGATTTTTTTTTTTATATCAGTGAATATCAATATATATATATCACAATATAAAAAAATCTCTTGTCAAAATAAATGTTCCCTGTTACTCTTAAATCAAATCTAACAGTGCTAATTGGTAGCATGTCTTTTGCAATACATTAAGCTACTGCATCTGTGAGGTCTTTGTGTCTATTTGATGTGTTGTTTTAAGGCGTTGGGCTGGAGAAAGTGGAATGGTCAGCTGTTTCAGCCGCACAGGCGCCATGGGCTCCTTGCTCAGCTTCGGGTTTGTAACCTTTTGCATTGTGCGTGTGCTCTGCCGCGTGGCACTGCTTCAGGCGGTGAAAAAGATTTGAGGTAGTCCCTGACTTTGCGAGAACATGTGCTTGACATAATTTGCAGTGCACATTACTCTGCTTCATGTAGACCTTAAAAAACTAAAATACCTCCACACCACTGAGGTTTTCATGACAGTGTTGGCACGTACCATTATCTGTTTAGCCTTCATTTGCATTTCTGACAGGGGTAGCACTCATTTTCTTTTTTTCACGGACAGTGCTGTCGGCTTCACTTGTTAAAGTGCTATAGTTGTGTATAGCCGCAGTCTGCTCCTACGCAGTTGTTTGTTACTTGGTTCTAATTCAGCACATGATTGGTTCAGCATGAAGCGGATCGGGAGCAACTCCCCTTTTCATTGGCTATTTGAATAGTTTACCAAAACATGTCAGAATGCCGACTATAGAAAAGCATATGTTTTATATCACTATCAAGGGAAATCAATTTTTGATATATATCCTTATGTTTTTATCACCCAGCCCTATAGCCTGTATATTATACTCTACTTTCTACCAACATCTCCTGATGCTCACCTGTTTTTGTCTGTTTTGTTTTCTTGCTATACACCTAAAGGTCCAAATTTGAGGTAAAAACGCTCATTAAATAGATTTAATGGGATACAACAGAGAAACTTTTCAGAGTCATGCAGAATGTAGTCTGTTCTGTTACAGTATAATACTATGTATGAGCTGGCACCTGCAGAGGCATTAATAAAGCATCAACTGTAACTCAAATGCAAAACTGGAATATTAGTTTTAGACCCTCATGGTTCATTTTTTATTAAATGAATAAAAATTTTTCTCTCACCGTCACTTTGTCTGTGTTGAAAGCCCTGACGCTGACATACCTCAAACATGATGAAATCCACTACAGACATCCATGTTTCACATTTGCTAATGACTCGTATTGCAAAATGTTAGAAATCTCCAAACTCTGCAACTGCTGTAATGTACAGTATTAATCACAGGAAACTTGTTGTTTCAGGTGATCATTGATTGTAATTTCTGCTTTTCTTCCTTGTCTCCAGTTTGCGACACACCTAGTCAAGGTGAATTTCCCACGGGTTTGTATCCTGGATGGAGGAATCAACAAGCTCAAACCCACAGGACTTCTGACTGTCCCCTCCCCCCAGATCTGAACTTGTATCTTAACCTTACCTTGGATAAAGGGATGATAGAAAGATCGGTAGATATTAGAATGAAGAACAAAAGTGTTTGCATTATTTTACTTACACTTTTTTATGTGTGTGACATGATTACACTTAAGAAATTCAGTGAGATTAAATCAACTAATAAACTAACAGAGCTTGTGTTTTATAATTTTCTGTTTTACGATCAGATTGATTTTCCCTGATACGACTGCTTTGCATGTCTGTACTGTGAAGATTGACACGTTCTGGGTGCGTGCTCCGTTGACAATACACTTGGGGCAGAACGTAGACACGCTTCTGGGAAAGAGCAGAGCTTACACTGCAATGCAAACACGCATACCGGACGTTTTGGGCTTTACCCTCTTTATTTTGAGCCACTTGATCATGGGTAATTTGTACCAAACTCAGTATCCTCTTTATTTGCTGCACAAGTACAAATGAATGCAATCCAAAACAGCTCTCCTGCCTTTCAGTTCGTCTGCTGATGTTGTGTTCATTTTTTAACACCTCTAAAGGAGCAGTCATTCAATTATGGCAGTTTGTGCACAGTTATTATGATTTTTATAAAGTACTACTTGCAATGATCTTGTTTACATGTCCCTGAACTGTCTGTACTGTATTTTGCGATGTTATAGAAATGGGTTAATATGTTACTTTTTTTATGATTAAACAAAACCATGTCGGTGAAATTCATTTGTCTTTAGTTTTATTCTTAAAGCTAGAATTCAGAGCTAGATGTGATGGCTCACACTGCGTCTGTTGAAAAGACCATTAGGGTTACACTACCGCCTTAAGATGCTATCTGTACCATATTTCTGTGGTTTGGCAAGAGTTGTAAATGTTTGTACATGCCCGGCATTCCATCATCAGAGCTGACTATTGCTTCAGACTACACACCCACAAAACTGTATTTAAAGGGAGTCCGAGCTGTTATCATAAGAACAGTTAGGCAGAGAAACTTATTGGCCTCTCTCAAAGGTAAGACAGGTGCTTCATTTAAGTATTTCAGATACATTTACAGTGTGTGCATTGGAAAAGACTTTGAATTTAAATTTTTGTGGTATTTTTAATTTCATTGTTTCCTCGTGTTGGTCTACTTTGAACCTGAAACTGTTATTCTTCTCTTCACACCAGTTTTCTCCTGCTTTCCAGAGGGAAAATGGTAAATTATGAAGTGACTGTATCCACTGCCTCGGTTATTGGTGCCACCACTTTTAATAATGTCTTCATTAAGCTGGTGGGGACAGATGGGGAGAGTGATCGCAGTTGGCTTATAAACTTAAAAGGGGCTCTAGCCTTCACCACTGGAGCAGTAAGTCTGAAATATTCTTTAGGATGAAATGATTAGAAATTATTCTGATAATAATTCTGAAGTAAGACATCTGGTGTGGACAACTTAAAGTATTTCTGTTGCACTTCAGGTGTCAAGTTTTAATGTGTCCTGCCCCAAGTCCATTGGAAAGTTGGTCCTGATTGAACTAGACAAACAGCGGCTCCCGCTTTTCCCTCAAGACAATTGGTTCCCTGCCAAAGTGGAAGTGAAGTCCCCTGAGGGAGACATCTACAACTTTCCTGTCTACCGCTGGATCGTTGACAAAGAGGTGGAACGCTTCAGAGAAGGAAAAGGTATTTGAAATTAGATTTTCTGACATTTTGCAAGATGTTTAGTGACCAGAGAAAGTCGGTGTAATCTAGACTAAGACAGCTGGGGTAAATTAGTGCTCTGTTACCCCGTATTCCTAGATTATTTTGAGTATTTTTGTGTCTCCTTTGGTAGCTCTGAGAGTCTTAGATGACAGTCATCATCTTGGCAAATACACTCGGGAGCAGGAGCTAAAGCAGCGAGAGGAGGACTACCGGTGAGTGCTCTGAGCGTCTACACCCTGCTTCCTAAAAGTGATACGACATTAAACCTGTAAAACCTGTGGTTGAAAATAACAATTACCTAAAACAATCATTGTTTGACACTGATAAAGCTGCCAACGTCTTACAAAGATTCTATTCAAAACAACATTTACTTATGTGGGTATGGATTATTATTATTATTTTTTTAACTGAGGACAAGTTTCTATGAAAAGCACTGGGAAGGCTATGGCAGAAAAGTCCAAAAGATGTAGCCCAGCCTGCCTGTCTTCTGCTCCCTGTATGGGGTCTGCAAAAGTCAGCAATCAAGAATGACTCAGAAATAAAACCTGGGGAATTATTAAGGACATATCTAGTGACGCTTTTCATTGAAAACATTCATTTGATGTTGGGTAATAATTAGGGCCAAAATCAGGAAATGGATTAAAGGAAGTACCTGCCTTGGTGTTGTTAACCAAGTTTAATCAATATAAAACTTATAAAACCTATCAAAGGGAGAGAAAGCACAGTAAATATACATCTCATTTATTCTATATTGCCATTGCAAACTAATAGCTATTTTGGCAGCAGGCGTAGACTCTTAATTGAATTGCAGTGTAGCGGTGTGCTGTAAGCTTGTTGCAGTTCTCAGAATGGCCACTGGTGTCTTGCTACTTATGTGCCAGTCAAGGATATGTTGGCTTTCATAATCTCATGTGTGAGTAACGTGAGCTGGCTCCTATTTGAGGGAAAGTTGTGCTTTTAACCCCTCATCAAATTGGAATATTATTTAGCAGTGCATTGCAGTACTGGAAAACGTGTCGCGCATATAATTTCTCTATACCCCAAATTAAAAGTAGAAAAATACAGCTATCCTGATTACATAAGCTTTCTCACTTTGATCTCTCTATATCCCCAGCTGGGATGTGTATGCAGAGGGAATACCCCATTCCATAAAGGCAGAAAACCCTCTTTCTCTGCCTTGTGAGGTCCGCTTCTCCTTCACCAAGACTACTGAGTTTCTCTTCACTGCAGCCTCAGGGTGAGGTCCTTACATTCTATTCATTGCCTACCTGAGCCTGGTCCCCCACATGGTAATCAAGATTAATTCTAACACCATAACTGATTTCTTCTTTACTTCCATTTGTAGACTGACTGAGCTGCAGCTGAATGGACTGGCTGATTGCACAGAGAGCTGGACTGATATTGAGGACATCAATCGAGTGTTCTGCTGCAAAAGAACTGCAATATCAGGTTCGGATTGATCATGGTAGTTCAATGGAGTATTTGATACTGCATAAATTTGACTGCACTTCTTTCTACAGCAAATTGAATTGTGTTATATGCTAACAACGCTCTCAATATTCCTGAGATAAACCAAGGTTTTATTATGTTCTCAATTATGTATCCATCATGTCACTGATAATAATAATAACAATGTTTCTTTGGGATGTGCCACACCGAAAACTTTGTGTTCCTGAATTATTAGCAGTTTGAAGTTTTCAGGTTGAAGTTCGACATTAAAGTTCAACTTTTTCTTTTCCAGATTATGTCCAGGAACACTGGAAAGAGGACGCTTTCTTTGGTTACCAATATCTAAATGGTGTCAACCCAATATTGATCAGGCGTTGTTCAGCTCTGCCCAAAAACTTTCCTGTCACCAATGGCATGGTTTGCCTTCCTGGTCAGTCGAGCTTGGAGGATGAAATGAAGGTGAGTGTCTGAACTGTGATTAATCTTTGTATCAGAAATCATTTGGAAAACCAATTGATTAACCATGCATGTTTTCCTGCTTACTGACTATATGTGTATTTCACATCAGGGTGTGTGAATGAAGTCTTTCCTCATTTTCTTTCATTACAAACAGAAAGGCAACATATACCTGTGTGACTACAAGCGTTTGGATGATGTGAAAGCAAACACCATCAATGGGAAGCAGCAGTACCTGATGGCTCCTCTTGTCCTGCTTCATAAAACACCCGATGACAAATTGATGCCAATTGCTATCCAGGTGAGATAAGCTCTCAAATATAGCTGACAGTTGGTCTGAATCTTATGACACTAATTTAGATGGCTATGATTCAGACACTAGGGGGCATCCACGTAAGAGTGTTTTATTATTATTATTATTATTTTTACAAAATGTGGACCTCTTTGCAGGAAGCAGCCACAAGTGTTAGTTGAGACATGACAATCCTGAAGTTTCCTCTGCTGAGCCCTTTTTCGTTTTTTAAGCCCAGGCCTTGAAAAATAGTTTCTCCTACAGGCATCAAAGTTTGAAGGACTAAAATTGTTCTTTAAAAGAAACATACAGTCAAGTCAAATGTTTTTTGCGCTAGCTAAAATCTTAAATATGCCTACAAAGGCTTTTGTAGATGTGAATTTCAGATGTTCCTTGGTTGTGGGATTGCCTTTTAAAGACAAACTGAATTTGCATAATGCTCCAGTACAATGGGGATACCAATAGGAAATTACACAAACCATAGTGCAATAGGTTGCCATTCATGGCATTGCATTCAGAAACTTCTGCCTTTTGGAGTTGGGCAATTCCTGAGGTGCTGCATGCAACACTGTCCAAAACCGCATTATGGCTTCTTGCAGCATTCACATGAATGACTTATCAGTTTGATTTGAATTGGACACTGTTCTCCTTTAAGTCCTCAGACATTTCCCCACCAAATATTGTAGAGAATCAGATTAACTGTCCTTAAGTTACTCACAGTACCTTGTATGACTTTATGTGTACTCATTTTAAGATTTAACTTCTTTCTTCTCATTTGGATGAACAAATGATCAGCCATCTAGACATCATACTTACAGATGTCCAACAATTTTAGGTCAGATGGCACAAAACCTTCTGGGAGTAGGTAACTTTTGTGTAATAAGCCAAGCCGAAATTATAGAAAAAAATAAACATTTTGAAGAGCAGAAAAGGAAGCATTTAGAAGTCGTTTTTTTCCACTCTGTTCCAGGATTGTTCTGTTCCATGTTTTGTGAGATTAAAAATTGAAATAATACGTTCACAAAATGTTTATATACTGGCATGCTCCTGGAGTGGATCAGGTGTATTGATCAATCTTGCATGTAATTTGCTATTTCAAGATGTAGAAATAACTTGTTTAAGTCATGGCATGATGAATGAGTTCAACAAACTTTTTTTCATAGCTGAAGCAGACTCCAGGAGACGACAACCCCATCTTTGTCCCTACTGATTCGGAGTACGACTGGTTGATGGCCAAGATTTTTGTGAGAAGCGCAGATTTCAGTGAGCATCAACTCAACGTTCACCTGCTGCGCACTCATCTGCTGGCTGAAGTTTTTGCTGTGTCTCTGCTGCGCAACATGCCTATGGTGCATCCCCTGTACAAGGTAACTGGAAGAGAAAACACTGAACCAGAACCTTTTCAACTCCCTGATTCTTGTTTGTAAAAGTTGATAAGCCACAGCGATTTGATTAATTATGGTGTTTGGGAAAATCTTTGTTTAAACAAGTAGATACCTCAAGCAAACCTTCAAAGCTCAGCAGTACAAGAATATTACATTTTTGACTTTGTTTACAGGTAACAGTGTTGCTAATACATTTTCATCTTCCTCTCAGCTCCTCATCCCTCACACTCGCTACACCCTGCAGATCAACTACTTAGCACGACTTCTGCTGATTTCAGAGACTGGAGTCTTCACAGAGGTAAGAATATCAGCAATACAGATCATTAGACATTTACCCAAAAGTTTCTCTTATTCCGAGTATTATATTTTAGTTTTTTCTCTTGTAATATATTTTGGTTTTCTGCTTTTTAGTTTGCAGCTTCTGGTGGAGAGGGCATGATCACAATCTTGAAGAGATCACTGTCCTCTATAACGTACAGCTCGCTCTGCATACCAGACGACATTGCTGAGCGTGGGCTGGAGCAAATGCCCAACTACTACTACAGAGATGATGGACTTAAACTTTGGGATATCATCCAGAGGTACACAGCAGATTCTGTTTTGCATTATGTTCATCATTTATACCATCTTGGTAGAATTTATATCTTTGTAAACTTGCAGCGGCACACAGAATCAACTCTTCCACCCCGTCAAAGCATTCAGAGGCAATAAAACACTTTGATGAACAAGGAAACTTTAGTGGTTTGCTAGCATTAAAGAAAAAGGATGTTTGTTTGTTTTTTACCTAAAATGCTATGACAGATAAAAGATCAGCTGGCAAGCACAAAGGTTACACATATATGTCAATTAGATCGCCATTGCATGATGCCCTGATCCTCACAGCAGAGCAGCCTGACAATGAAGGTCTCTCAAAGAACCTAACCCAGTATCCAGACTTATAACTGTTTTTATTACCAATGTAAAGTGAGTGGACTCTTCCATAGCTAATCACAAGTGACTGAGCTATCACTTTTTGTGGTAAATTGCTGTACAGGAAGTTGCTGACAGTGCTGGGTATTCATTTTAGGTTATTTTGATGTACACAACTATTTTTTTTTGGTAAAGAACACCTGATGTAAGGCATTGGTAAATGGTTGGTGATCTGAAATGTTTTCTTTTGCGAGTATTAGAACAAAAACAACTTCAGTTCCTTTGCATAAAGCTTCTATACAGGCTTCTGTACAGTTCACCTTCTTGCAACCTCCCCAGTTTATGTTGAAACTCATACTGCGCTGTTGCATTTTTAAGAGGTACTGCTCCTGTTCTTAAAGCACAGCTAATTGTCACTCAACTGGAGCTTTATGCTTTGCACATATGCAGGAATATACAGTATATATACGGGTATATATACCATTAATCCATCCATCCTCATTTCTTTTGTTTTTGAGTATTTCATGAATATCTAATGCCTAAAACCAGAAACAATCACTTGATATAGCCTTGAAAGAAACCTATTATGTGTTTTTTTTTTTTTTTTTTTTACTGTACTGTGTATAAAACGTGCAAAAACACAATCTTCTCTTCTTCTCCACATTTCTTCAAGGTTTGTGCAGGGAATCCTCAGCTTCTACTACAAGACTGATGCTGAGGTCCAGCAGGACTCTGAGCTGCAGAGATGGATTTCGGACATTTCTGAACACGGGTTCCTTTCTCAACCATGTCCAGGTGGGTTTCAAGATAAGTTATTTCGTAATGATTTCATAATATCGTTAATTTTTTATTGGAGACAAATTCAAATTTCAACGACCGTGTAAACATCTTTAGGTGATGCGTTTTATCTCCTGTAATTCTCAGGAATTCCTCAGACGTTTACCACTTTGGCTGAGTTGGTCAAGTTCATCACCATGGTGATCTTCACTTGCTCAGCACAGCACTCAGCCGTGAACACCGGACAGGTGAATGCTTTATATCTGGAATGGTTCACTGCAGTGTTATTAGTTCACAAAATCAGTTCACAGGTTTTCGTATTTGCTTTTTTGGACCCTGATGCTTTGAGCCGGGTGATGAAATGCTATTATATACTAAGAATGCTAACATGCTGACCCCTGGCAGATAAAACAGTTTACTGAGATCACAGCCCTTGTTTGTCATGTAAGCATGCAGACATTTATACAGTAGAATAAAACAGGTACAGCTGAAGCGAATAACATTACTGGGCGCCCTTTAGCTGTATAACACAACTGTGAAAATAAACATAAACAAACTAAAAACTGAAAGCATTTTTTCTTAACCAGAGTAGAAAAATACAAAAATATTAATATCATTGTGCTAGATAAAATAGTCAGATGGATTTCAGAGTTGTTGCTTTTAACTGGAACGTGACACAAATGTGAAAACTAACCGCAATGGCAACCCTGCTGAAAATAATGAAACATTTCCCAGAGGACTTCAACTTTAAAGTCACTGTACTTCATCTTTTAGGAACGGGTTTAAAGTGTTTGAGCGAATTGTTCTTATTATGAAAACTCTCAACCACCATTTACCTCAACATTTTTTCAAATATTCCAGCTTGGACTGAAGTAATTTGTCTGACTGACAAACAGACTGACATGGCTTGGATTCAAAATCTTACTAATAGGTCACCTGTCAATCCTTCATCTATCTATTACAGTATGACTATGGTGGCTGGATGCCCAACACTCCCATCTCTCTGCAACGTCCTCCACCAACCACCAAAGGAACAACAAGTGAGGCCACCATGCTGCAGACGTTTCCTGATGTCAATACAACAGCTCAGGGGATGGCCACCATGTGGCTACTCAGCAAGCAGTCCTCTGACTTTGTGAGTCCAAGTTACTTCATAAAAACTATGTAAATCTTATATTTAGTACTCACTGTCGACGAATGTGTGTCTGCAAGGTTATATTCGATAAACCTTCACAATATGTTGGTAAACAAACTTTAAATATGTCATTGATTATCATCATCAGGTCCCTCTTGGTCGGTACCCTGAAGAACATTTCAGTGAGGAGACTCCCTGCAAACTAATAAAGGATTTTCAAGGGGAACTTCAAGGTCTGAGTGAAGCCATCAAAGCCAGGAACAAGAACCTTGAGGTTCCTTACACATACATGGATCCAGCAGAGGTTGAAAATAGTGTTGCCATTTGAATATCTGATGGTGTGACCAAATTCAGCACTAAAACACTGAAAATACAATCTCAGCATATTCATATGATAATGCTTAACTCCATAATTGTAGTAGGTTTGTGAGGATAAAAAACATTTTATATGTGAAATTAATGACGAATGTGAAATTCAATGTGAAGCAGCTACAACTGTGTTACTTTCATCAACAAAGTACGACTTTAGTCAAGGGTTTACCAGCCTGTGTGATTTTCTGCTTAAGAAAAATTAAGTTTGTTGTTGTAGTTGGTACAATAATATTGCAAATACATTACATTGACTGCTAGATATTATTTGCTTTGTATCCTATGTGAACTACTGCTTCATCTACAACTGAGCCAGAATTATGGACTTGATTAAAAGAGAGAGAGAGACTGAAAAAGATCTCAAAACTTAGTTTGTATTGTTGCCTCAATATCTTACTCGCTAAGACACTTTCATCATTGTTTTGGAACAACAACATGTGCAGAGGAAATAAATACAAATAAACTTAGGTTTGGTCAAGTCATTTTAATTGCAGGGATGTTTCCATGAAATAAGCCTGGGTGGCCTTCATTCAACACAGACACAAACAAATTCAATGGAGATTTTCCCCTTAAAGGTACACTTTCAAAACTTTTGCAGTTGCCCTTTTGACCTTTGTCGTCTGGCTTCTCTTTATTCTGCTGTGAAACAGAATTGTGACCAAAATTATTCACCAAAATAAAGTGTTGGTCCTGTCTGTCTGAGAGAAAATGTTATGACAGAACAACCTCTGATATCATTCATGGTTTCATTTATGAAAACTGTAATTATTAACTAAAACACCCATAACGATTCACAGCTGTATCATTTTTTAAATATTTCCTGGCGTGAATGGGATAACACCAGCTGTATCCTTCCCCTTTTTTCAAGAGTCTAAGGCAAGACATCAGGCTTCAGGAAATGTTTCACAACAAAATATAAACACTGAGAAGAGAAGCTGTTCAATGCACTCTTTCAAGATCGGGTGAGTAACAAGAAAATCTGTGGAAATGCTTGTTACAGGAACTTTTATTGCTTATCTGTAAGACAATAAAAACAGTCTGGCTTCTGTCAAAGGAGGAATCATCTTAAACCTTTTTATCTGCAAGGTTCAAGGTTTAAGGTAGCTTTATTGTCAGTCCAAAGGGTTGAATTTGCATCACTCAGGGGCCAACAATGCTAGGTTAAACATTCAGTATAGTATAGTATAAAAGTATGAATCAAATGTAAAAATATCAGGAGAAAAGAAACATGTGTGCAAAAAATAATCAAAAAGTACCAATGCGCATAAAAGGCAGTGTGGAGTAGGATGCAAATAGTACTCCCAATGCTGCAAAAAGTGGTGTAGTGGAATCCATACGTTATGTAAAAGCCATGTATACGTGATTATCATTTATTAAGGATTCAGAAACATGTTGGGTTAGGCCTGGTTGTGCAGCCTGAGGTTGCATAACCAAGGCTGCTTTGCAGGGACCAAAAGTTATTGGGTTGCCGAAACACTTAGATAATTTCTGGGAAGTCCAAGGATAATCTAAACAAGTGTTGAATTTCAGAACATCAAGATATGTCCTTGGATGACGCCTGGTGATTGGACAAACGACGGAAAAAGTGCCTCTAGTGATTGGATAGATGACGTGAAAAGCGTGCACTTCAACACATACACATTAGGGTTACAGAGTTGTAAAACTATGCAATACACGTATGAGGGACTTTTGCACTTTTGCAGTACACAAGTAACACACAGTCATTGTATTCAGACACACACTCAGCAGTATAAAAGTGTGAGCGAGAGAAGCCTGGGGCTCCTCTCCTTGGGTTTTGCCAAGACTCAGTTTGTCTTCTGGACTAAATGTACAATAAAGACGCCCAGGCTGCTCTTCAGATCTCATCCTGTCGCCTGTGCATTGCTTTGCTGTTTACCATAAATATCTGCCACAAAAGTGGCTAATCGAGGCTCAGAGTCCAGAGTTTGTGCGTGCAGAGGGCAGAAGGGGAAGAGAAGGCAGCGCAGGTAAAACACAAAAACATTTAAAGGCCCCTTGTTTTCCTTGTGAAGGATTTCACAACTTGAACAGATTTTTCTCTTTCCAGCGTTTTACTTCTAACTGGTCAACATGCACTTGTGTCCTTTTTTTCATTTTGTCATTACTTTTTTGCCTTGAAGTGTTTTCATTATTCATTTCTGCTGTTGTATATACTGACTGTTTTACTCTGCGTTCCCTTTTACCATCGAGGTCACAGTTCAAAAGTTTCTTTAACTGTACACCAAATAAAATCTCATCACTGTGTTACAAACTCATCAATCCTGTTTTAGTTGTGTTAGAAATTCTCCACCTACTTCAAGGTAATGCTGACAAAGAGTTTTCATGTTGAGACTTATCTTTGCCATAAAATCTGAATTTAAAAAAACAAGTCTCCGCCCCTAGTCCTCTATCTTGCGTTAATCCAACCCCCTTCACCAACCATTTATCTTTCTGAAAAATAAAGCAGTGGGCGGAGAGATTGGGGGATGAAGTTCAACTTATATGAACTCCAGATGAACATGAATCACAGACACACCCCTGTTACAGCTCTGCATGAATAAAAGTCAAGTTATCCTCTGCAGACTTCTTTTCACCCTGAGTGAGTCGGTAAGGTAAGAAGGCAGATTATTTTCAAGATTCTTAATTTGCTGCATATTTACTCAAATTTTCAAGCATTTTTACATTAACTGATGTTTGTTTCCTTTTTGTAGCCTCAACGAGAGCTTCTCCTCAAAGCCAACATGGTGAAATATGAAGTAATTGTATCCACTTATAACCTCGCTCAGGCCTCCACCACGAATAATGTGTTCATTAAACTGGTGGGCGAAGATGGGGAGAGTAAGCGCACATGGCTAACAAGCATTAAAGGATCCGCCACATTCTACCTGGGGGCTGTAAGTCTGGATTATCACTGGAATTCTAGTCACACACTTTTGAAATATTGAGCCTGTAGTTGTTTAATATGCTGCAGGAACTGAGATCATAAATTAGCTAAACCATGTAATGGATTCAATTTACTGATAACTATTTCCCATATTTTTGTTTTGTTGAAAGATGTATAAAAAAAACTGGGAACAGAAAACATGGACAACGATAAAGATTTATTCATTATTCATCAATATAACCCTTACAGACCATAGTTTAATGTTGTTTGTTTTAGATAACTAATTTATCTTAATTAAAGATCTAGATTGATAAAAGGTTGAAGAAACTGGGCGGAGTTTATCAGTCTGTTTTTGTCAACAACAAAAAAAGGCTCTCTGTAATCCTGTTTGCAGTTTAAATCTGGACTTTACAGGTTACACTTAAAGCGCATACGGTTTTGGCTTACTTCTGAAACACTTACATTAACCCTCTTTTACCTTCTTTTTGTGTGCAGGACTCCAAATTTTCTGTGTCCTGCCCCGTCTCTCTCGGAAAGCTGGTGCTGATTGAACTGGACAAGAAGCCCCTACCAATGTTTCCAGAGGACAACTGGTTTCCCAGTAAGATCAAGATTAAATCCCCAGAGGGAGACACATACAACTTTCCCATCTACCGCTGGATCGCCGGTTGTGAGGTTCACCTGTTTAGAGAAGGGACAGGTTTGTAGAACCGCTCTGGATTAATACAAGATCGGTGTTCTTTGACTGCACCCCAAGCAGGAAAGGCTAAGTCATAATATTTTCCTCAGCCCTCAGAATCTTTGATGACAATCATCATCTTGGCAAGTACTGCAGGGAGAAGGAGCTGAAGCTGAGAGAGGAGCAGTACAGGTGTGTTCATGTTTAAAACCAGAACCCATTATACCGCTCCTGTCAGACCCAAGCTTTCTTTTGGGTTTTATGTCTTTTTGATATGGAGTCCAAAATATATATAGTGCTTGTTTATTGACAACAAATTCCATTCATGTACGAGCATGCTCTTTTTTTTCCTAGATGGGATGTTTATAAGGAGGGACTACCTCACTGCATGAAAGCCTGCAATCCTCTGTCCTTGCCTTGTGAGGTCCGCTTCTCTTTCACCAAGGCTAAGGAATTTGTCTTGACTGCATCTACAGGGTGAGCACCTTGATGTTATCAGAGGTCGTTTTTCATAGCCCGAAGGTTAGTAATCTTTAAAGAACCTGTCCAAACACTCTGGAGGCTAAAGAGGTGTCATTAAGAACAAGGTTGTCTCACTAAATGTTCTTTTATGAGCTGGATAAAATACTAATACATCATATTCTGGTGACCTAGACTTGCAGAGCTGAAACTGAAGGGACTGTCAGGTAGCAAGGGCAACTGGTCCAACATTGACGCAATAAAAAAAGTGTTCTGCAACAAAAAAACAAACATATCAGGTACAACTCCAATCCCAAATACTCCAAATAATATAACATTTTAAAACTTTTGTCTTCTTTACCCTCCCAAATATGGAAATGTTATGTTTTTTATGAACAATTAGACCTTGTTTTTCTTACAGAATATGTTCAGAACCACTGGAAGGACGATGCTTTTTTTGGCTACCAGTATCTGAACGGTGTCAACCCCAGTTTGATTCAGCGTTGTTCGGCCTTGCCTGAGAACTTCACTGTCACTGATGAGATGGTGTTTCTTCGTGGTGGAGGTTCTCTGAAGGATGAGATGGAGGTTTGTTGACCCCTTGATTCTGCTGCCAATCAAAAACTAGCACACCTGCGCTTTGTGTGTATGACCTGCAATAAGCGTTCGACAAAGAATGCTGCACAGTGATTTAGAGATTTCCATTAAAACAAAGAAGCTGCAATTTCAGGAACAGCATAAACCAAATAATGTTGTTTTTAAAAACAGAGTGCTTCAAAAAGTGATAGAAAATGAAAATGAGAGCCATAAGAAGGATAATCTTTATTTTCATTACACAAGGTGCAATGAAAATTCCATTGTGCTATGCCTGAGTAGCAGAAACACATGCATGTACACATTTACTCACACATATAAAGAAATTTCATTGATAAAAAAGGATAATCAAAAAAATATATATACATGTACCTATACCTATGTATCTATATATATAGATGTGCATACATACCTGCACATAAACACATATATACACAAACAGAACCATCGTAGATTGTGTATACTGCACACACCCGTTAATTACACTAGTTAAGCAAGGATAAGAGTCCCATTTATTGCCCTTGTTGACTCGCTTTATTACCGTCAAGAAACTGGCTCCTCGGTTCTTTGTGCCAGTGCAGGTGTGTTGCAGTTGCTTGGTGTGTTGGAGCCGACACACACCACATATTTTAAAAACAATAAGCAATGGACTTTGCTGACTTCCTGTGGCCACAAGATGGCAAAAGGGGGTATTCAGCCACAGTGGAGTTCAAACTATACCGATCTTTTAAGATGTAATTCTGATCCTGTTTGTTTTTATGCCGACTGAGCCCTACACGAAGGTGGTGTTGTGACTTTTTAAAAAATGTTTTGAATATTTCTCTTCAGGGAGGGACCGACGATTAAACTTAGAGATATAAGAGCTACTACTGAGTCTCTCCACTAGGTAGTGCAATAATTATGATGACAATACATCTATTGAAGCAGCACCCTAATCATACCTGTGAAATTGAAACAGATTGAGTTGATAGTTGATACAGGCTGTCAATAGTGTGTTTGATATATACATTGTGTTCAGAGTGGCACTATTGTAATATCTTTGAAATCTGTATGAGTTTAGACCTTGATGGATAACTTCCTGTTTTATGGATGGTTATGGGGGGTTAAGTTCAGTTCAGAACAGGGGATTTGGAGGCATGTTGAATATTTTGCCTGGTTTGGTTTCAGGTACCATAGGGCTGACCCACCGAAACCCCCACTCAAGCCTATTTGTTGACCCCATGCTCACTCTATGGACACAACCAGACTTTTGTGGTTATGGTGGCCCAGCTAGGGCATTGACTTTTGCAGAGCTTGCATAAACTATATAAGCAGAGATGAATGAATGAGTGTCTGTTCATATTTATTGTAACTACTGACATTGAAGTATCATATAGGTTTTGCAAATTTATATAAAAAATCACAAGTTACAGTGAATTATTAACTGAGGGTGTTCAGATCCAATCACAGTTCAGGGTTCAGAGATTTCCTCTTGGGTGGCCTTTTGGATCTTGGTGGGCTATGGCCACCTTCTAGATCCACACCTGGTCCGCTCATGCCCATAGCCCGATGAGAACAGCCTCAGAGCAAACTAAAGCTGATTGGATCATATATCACAGCCTGTCCAAAGGTAAAATAAATCACTGGAATTCAGTTGTAATTAAAGTAGGTTTCGTTTTTATTTCATCAAAAGGTTTTCCCCCGGTAGATTGTGGTGCAAGGCCCCAAGATTCACTTCTTTCCTTTTATTTTATTTTCCTAAGTTGTGGTTTTAAAATGAGTAAATCATTGAGTTCAATGGCTGGTCTCTTTCCCGTATGCAAAATAAAGCTATATCATCCAGCGCCCCCTGTAGGCCTTCTGTTGTAATGATTAAATAACCAGCATTTTCTGATTCAGCTGATCTTTTGGTTTGAGAGTTTTTGACTTCGCATTTTATTTGGATTTGCAGTGAATTTTTTAGTGATGCATTTTTTGGCTCTCTTCAGAGCGTCAGTGTTTCCTGAATGCTTTAATTGTGGTATTTGTTTTGGACTTTTATTTGTTTTGAATGTTCATTATCAGAATCAGAATACTTTATTTATCCCTGAGGGGAAATTCTGCAAATTATGTATATAGATGTGATCCATTTCCAACTTCTTAATGGAAATCTCTGGGCTTTTCAGATGCATTTACATGCAGGTGCCACTGTAGCATTTTATTTAAGCCACACTCAGCTCTTTTTTTCTTGAATGAAAATGAATTAATGTCCTAAAATTTCATTTCAGAATGGCAACATATACCTGTGTGATTACAAGCGTTTGGATGGAGTGAAACCCAACGTCATCAATGGGAAGAAGCAGTACCTGATGGCTCCTCTTGTCCTGCTCCATAAAACTCCTGATGACAAGCTGATGCCGATTGCAATTCAGGTGAGGCTGACCTACAAATAAATAATACTTAGATTGAACATTAACTTGATAAGACACGTCAGATTTGAATTTGATTATCATCAGATGTCATGAGATTTAGACAAAATGAGTTTACTGTTGGTGAGACAAAGGGCTTTTACTTTTTCCTGTAGTTTCACCTTTGATTATCAATATCTAATTCTCCATGCAGCTGAAGCAGACTCCAGGAGACGACAACCCCATCTTTGTCCCTACTGATTCGGAATACGACTGGTTGATGGCCAAGATTTTTGTGAGAAGTGCAGATTTCAGTGAGCATCAGCTCAACGTTCACCTGCTGCGCACGCATCTGCTGGCTGAAGTTTTTGCTGTGTCTCTGCTGCGCCACGTGCCCATGGTGCATCCCCTGTACAAGGTGTGCATATTCAACTGTGAAACATTGCCGCATAACTATGGTATTTCTGACAATTATTTTACTGAGATGAAAAATGTTTAATCTTTTTTCTTAGCTCCTCATCCCTCACACTCGCTACACACTGCAGATCAACTACTTGGCTCGTCTTGCTCTGATCTCAGAGACTGGAGTTTTCACAGAGGTAAAAAAAAAAAATCAACATATGGTGGCTGACAGGAGCAAACTGTTCCCAATAGCTTTCATGATTTCTTTCATTGAAAACTGAACTATGCATGGATTAAATAAATAATAATAATAAAGAAATGAAATGGTGAAAAAAGTTTTTATTACAGTAGTCCTTTGGTGAACTTAAATGTTCATAAATTGGCATGCTTTCTGATTGTGTAGGCCATGACTCAGCTATGTACATGTTATTTACAATTCATGTGGTGCATTCATCTCTCTTACACTAATCTTTGACTATTTTCTAGTTTGCAGCTTCTGGAGGAGAGGGTATGATCACAATCCTGCAGAGATCACTGTCCTCGATGACATACACCTCCCTCTGCATACCTGAAGACATTGCGGAGCGCGGTCTGAATGATCTGCCTGACTTCTACTACAGAGACGATGGACTCAAGCTTTGGGATATTATCCAAAGGTACGGAATTCAGATACAGCGCAACAATATAGATTTTTTTTCATGAATACACATATAACATACTCTTTTATATTATATTTGTGTTTTTAATTATTGTGTTTGGGCAAGTGAAAGAAATGCAAGAAACAAAATGAAGCATTTATAAAGTTAAAAATAATTATAGAGTCCAAGCTTGGCTCTTTTCTGCAGCTAATGCCAGGCACAGCCGGAGCCAGAAAGTCTTTACAGTGCCAAGGTACCGGAGATGTGATGTGTTTTACATATTAAAGAAACACACATGTAAACTGAGCCAAGGTTTGTGGGCTGTTTTAAAATGTAGTAGGCAGCTCTGCAGAAACTGGCCTCACTACCTTCAACAAATAATGTTTGGAGTGTCAAAGTGCTAACCAACAAAATAAAAAAGATTCCTTCAAAAACAAAAAAAAGAAGAAGAGGAAGACAGCACTAGCAGCAGAAACAGTGATTACATTCTTAATAATACAACAACACCCCAGCCTTGACCTCCAACAAACACTAAGACCGGTCCATCTTTGAGTACTTTTTTATTCCTGCTTCATGCTGACATGTTGTTTGGAAACAGCAGGGGGATCTCAGGAGGAGGTTGTCAAGTCAAACTGTCATTTTATTTGTGGACAGATATGAGTGATCCTAAAGCTCGTCAAAGCAATGATAACAAACTGTAAGAAGGTGTAAAAATAAAACTTGATCCTGAATGGGTTACAGTAATTTTTGGTGTAAACCCTGCTAAGAATTTGTCATGATGTTATGGATTGGCTTATAAATCAGAGTTGTGCTCTCCTCAAAGGTTTGTGAGGGGAGTGATTTGTCACTACTACAAAACAGATGCTGAGGTTTGCCAAGACTCTGAACTGCAGAAGTGGATTCAAGATATTTTTGAACATGGATTCCTCTCACAGGCGAGCACAGGTGATAAAGTAAAGCTGATACTTTCCCAAATTCTCACATTTGTTGTGCAAAAAGGCTTCTTTACACTCTGGTTATGATTTTAATACAATCGCTTTTTTAGGAATTCCCCAAAGTTTCAGCACAGTGGATGAGCTGATCAAGTTTGTCGTCATGGTGATTTTCATCTGCTCAGGCCAGCACTCAGCAGTCAACTCAGGACAGGTACATGATTTTGATTGATAAGCAAGTGTTGTTAGAAGAAAATCTGATTAATTTGACATCTTGAATGTTATAATACATGAATGCTTTCTCACCAACCTGTACTTCACCCACAGTATGACTACGGTGGCTGGATGCCCAACACTCCTATCTCCCTCCAGCGTGCTCCACCAACTACCAAGGGGTCATCTAGTGAGGCCACCATGCTGCAGACTTTCCCTGACATCAACACAACAGTTCAGGGAATGTCCACCATGTGGCTGCTCAGCAAGCAGTCCTCTGACTTTGTGAGTCACCTGGAGAAGTCTCTGGGCTTTATTTTCCGTTCTTTTGAAGTTTCATTTTTCTTTCAAACTTCCAAAAATGGTTGAATCTGCGTCTTTATCTTACTGACTCACGTCTTTTTCTCAGGTCGCTCTCGGACAGTACCCAGAGGAGCATTTCTGTGAGGACGTTCCCTGCAAGCTGATAAGTGAATTTCAAGGAGAGCTTGAGATTTTGAGCACAGTTATCAATACCAGAAACAAGAGTCTGGAAGTCCCATATACATACATGGACCCCACAGTGTTGGAAAACAGTGTGGCCATATGAGCAGTACAGTGAACGAAAGTGACCTCCTGCCTGATTGTTTACGGACAGTTTGATGATAAGGCATCTCTCTCCACACCCAGAGGGCTGGAGTCCTCGTGAATCCTGATTAGCGTAGTTAGTTTCTAAACTGTCTACTGATGACTTTTTACACTGCGCTTGTACTGTGATTGTGTAAAGCTCATTTCAAACCTTCTCATGGCAACTTCGCCACTGGGCAAACTTACGCAATCAATCCGAGGCATTTGTATGCTCAACACAGCTCTGCTCAACACAACTCTTACTCTCAGGAAAGCTTTACTCAGCTCAAACACAGCTGTGTTAGCAGTGAGCAGATTTAACAAAGTAACTCTTTTAGCAACAGTTTCGTTCAGTCAGCCGACTGGAAATATTTCAGTCGGAAATATGTGGTGTGCATCAGCCCCCAAAAGGCTCATATCTTAAACTGTAATGCACATGTTGACCCAACTAATCAGTGTGGTGCAGCTCTCTTAACCTCATTTCACCTTTTCTATGGCTCAGTCAGTGCTGCTAAAGCTCTGTTTTTCTGCCAGTCATTTAAAGGCTTACACCCAGACTATAATACAATATCGATATTAAACTTTGTCAATCTCTGCTTTTATCTGTAAAGTGACCTTGAGAGTCAAGAAAGGCGTTTATAAGTCAAATGTATTATTGTTAACAATAAAGTAACACATTTGTGCCACTTTGAACTTAAGGTTTGGGATGAAAACTGCAACAGAGCTGCCTGAAATTTAAAGAAAAACTTACTTATAGTGGGAAACTTTGCCAAATGCTTTGCACAGTGATCAGCAACAAACATGAAATTTTATGGTAGTCTCACTTGACGGCTGTTATGTTGTTTTTACAGCGAGTGTCCAGCTTGTATTCTGAATTCATGTTAATCAGAATTGAAATTAGATTGCTTTGGAGCTGCTTAGATGCTCTTGTGCTCAGAATGTTTGATGTGTATTGATTGGTGTTCTCTCTACAGCAATTTAGCACTTACAGGTGTTTTTCTCCTCTGATGACAGTGGAGACACATCTGTGCTATTAGGAGTATAGTTAGTGAGTTGGCTGAAACACTTTGTTAATGACAAGGACTGATTGTGGCTGCTTCCTCGAGATGATCTATTGAATGGAGCTATTCTCTTTTATTATGCTGTCAAGGTTTGGGATTCATCCAAAGTTAGGGACATTGGTGATAAGTTTCCTAGAAACTTTATTACCTGGCTTTGTTACTGAGCTCTTAGCTGTGTTAAGTATTTGATTCTGATTGGCCAGAACCCTATTAGTGCTGAATAAATAGAGGAACACCAGATGACTCTTATCATATTAAATAAATCTCCATAAGGGAGTGTGGTGCATTTATCGTGAAGACTTGAATATAGGATAACTATAATTACTAATACTTTTCTTATATCTTTCAGAAACATACTCATGTGCATATTTTTGGACTTTCTTTTCAGGCTCATTATCTTTTGACATTGTGCTCGTGACACAATATTTCTTGACAGCTTTGTAATGTCCTTGCTGTACTAATTAAAGCTCTCTAAAATATGTGACGATTCAGTTTCTGGTAACTTGCTCTGATTTTGTGCAACTGTGTCTCTTCATCTTTCATCCCCCTGGCATCCTAGTATAATGTGAAAGCTGGCTTCAGTCATAAGGGAACATTTGCTTTACAAATAAGTGGCACCATCTTTTGATATGAATATTAGCAGAATGTGCTTTGAGTGATTTCCATACCTCAAATATAGACAATCCCACGATTTAAAAACATATTTTGATGAAAAGGAAACATGAAATATTTCACCTTGTCAAAAATGTTGCTAATTGAAAGATATGTTGACCGGATTTAAGGACAAAGATATGAGGTAACCACAAAGCACAACATGGTAGGGACTGTTTAGAGAGCTGTTTACACCACAGAAAAGTCGCAGGGTCTTGGACCTCACTGTGATGCTGCTGTTATTATTTTTGCATTTATAAAGAACAGACAGAGCAGACAGAGAGACATAAATGTTTCGACGTTATTGTGAGTGAAAATGGGATATTTAATGGGATTTATAGCAGTTCTGCCGGTTAATGTTAACACTTGTGTAAGTAAATCATTTATAAGTCAGTAAAATCATCTTTAAATGTTTGTGTCTTCAGATGGTTGCCAGATAATTAGGGTTATGATGAACAGTGAGACAGCGAGATAATGGTTATGTGAAACAGAATCCCATTAGGGTAAGGAAAGAATCCTCCCCACACCCACATATTAGCCTCCTCGCTGCATTTAAGGCCATGAAAATGTCACAGGAATCTGGAGTTAGCTTTATGTGGTCGGAAGCAAACCTACTCAACACAGCGTTTTATAACCTTGCCTTTGCAAATGAGCACCTCCATTTATATAACCTGCAACACTCCCCCCCACCCTGCACTGTTTGGATGGAGCGGAGACAATAGTGTCAACAATGGCAGCCTGTCAAATCTGAAACTGTCTGCATTTCACATCCAATCTCATTCACCCACGCACACGCAGACTGTGGAGCTTTTAGACTTTCTTCCAAAAAGCACTCAGACTCTTCCAGACTCTTATCCAGAGGGCATGTCTTACAAGCTTCTAACATGGATGACTTTCAACTTCCAACTGTTTCCTCAATTTATTTTTGCATTTCTTTGAGCACAAGAGTAGGTTGTCTGCTCTGACAGCCACTTGGCTCAATTTGGAATATCTTTGGAGAGACAGAGATGAGTAAATCTGTGCATTGACCCATTTGTTTTTCACTAAATCCATCTTTATATTTGCTTATAAAACGAGTCAAAATAAAGCTAAGACTGATCAGATTAAAATACTAGACATGAGGTCATGTGTGAAATGATAGAGAAGACGCACTGTCATTGAATGTTCTTCACATTTCAATCTCACATAATCTCTAGCACTTCAATAATGAGACTGTAGTAGATCCAGTTTTTAATATAGTGAGGCTCTGCTTTTAAATCAAACACATCAGGGTTTAAAGATAACCCTTGCTCGTCCTTGTTTGCCTCGCTGCTGTGCACCATGAAGGACATCAATACAGTGTAGCTCTGGGAGCGATCCCTTATGTTCCACTTCATCATCTATCTCCTCTTATGACAGCCATTAATCTGACATTAGCTCGGATAGATTTCTTGTTACCTTGTAACAAGCGTAAAGGGGGAGTGCAGGAAGGTCTTCCTCCTTTACAGAGGTTTCATGTGTTCGCCTATCGACTGAACAGACGTTTGATTTTTTTTTTCTCTGATAATGTTCTCTGCTGATTCATGAGTAAATGTGCAAATTTCTGAGAAATATCAAAGGAAGATGGCTCATTTGTTGCTATCTCCAAACACAGTTAAATAGGATCTATACGGAGGACAACACACACAAACAAAGAGGCACAGGCAAATACACACATTTGTGTTGGATACTGCCTCTAGCCTTTGAATCTCTCGCTCTGCTTTGGTGGTTTATCTTAATAAAGGGACTGTTTGCTCGCCCTTTTTGTCCCAAATATTCTGCCCTGAGGGGGAAGTGATGTTTTTTTTTGTTTTTTTTTCAAGGTATTTCATCACAGGTCAGTGAGAGGACTTTGGAGAATCATCTGTTTGAAGGTTGATCTAATATCAGACCTTAACTCTGCAAACAAAACTTGATTTGTTTTCTATGTTTTTGTGCAGATGTGTTTGTGTGTGCGTGTGTGTGTGTGTTTGTATGTGTGCGGCGGAGTCATGGGAATGACAGACAGAGACAACAGACATGGTAACTGTCCCTTTGGAGGTCATCATCATTTTTACAGTTGGCTTGGAGCATAAACTCAAACCAGAGTTCACCAAAGATGAACTTAAAAAGCTTCATCTAACATCAATGTAACAGCAGAGTGAACCTCCACTGATTTAAGTGTTCTCAGTCCACACAAAGATATATCTGCAGATATGAAAAAGGACAGGGTTAGAGTGAAGAGCTCATCGAAGTGCTTTCTTTATGTTCAGACTGTGCACTGAAGAACAAAGGCTTTGTGTTTCTATCAGTTTGACCCTCAGAGGTAAGAATGAACAAATACGATGTGAAGAGTGTGTCTCATTGTTGCATTTTGCTCTAAATATTCTGCACAATCTTTTATACCTGTGAGTGAATAACTGGAACTGTATGAGTTTTCCTATTCTTTACCACTCACCTGCTAGCCTTCAAACTAAGTATGAGACTCAGCTCCTGTTTTAGTGTTTTATGGTTTGTTTTTAGTTATTTGTTTCTATGTTTTTAAATTAGTTTTTAAAAACATTGAAGCTATATTTTATTATTAATTCTGCTTTTATTTTATCCATTGTTTTGTTTCTTGATTGTTTTTTATCTTGTTGTTTTTGTCCTGTTATGTACAGCACTTTGTACAGCTGTGGTTGTTTTAAAGTGCTCTACAAATAAAGTTGAGTTGAGTTGAGTATGCACCATGGCCGAAGAATGAAAACAGGTAATGTATCTCTGAAATTCTGTAAGGAATATAAAACGCTGAAGCGAAGTAGACATAATTGTGGCCACACCAGCCTGCAGATTTGAAGCCGACTGCACTCCAGCATCTGCTTACACCCGGTGTCTGCAGAGGACATTTCATCTCTACCTTTGTATTAAAAGTTTTATCGGCTGTGGAAACTTCTATGCTCTATGCGTGGCAACATTTGATTTCTCACAAAAGAATAAAGCATCAGATGAATTGAGGAGACTTGATTGTTCAAACTCTAAATCAGCAAACCTGAACCAAAACTTTAACCAAAATGCAATAAATCAAGCATCATTACCTTGACTGCAAAATCCTTGTCTCTTACTCTATAACCCTAACTTTAATCTTCTGTCACTCCTAACCCCAAACCCTTTAAACTTCAATCCAAATCTCACATCTCTAATGCTGAGATTAACTCTTTAAACCAGACACAGAATAAGGAAAGTAGTCTGGAATTGAGGTATATCATTTAAAATATTCCTCTGAGTTTTCTCTGTAAAATTGTAATTTAGTCGGTCATCACAAAACTACACTATTTAACTACATGGTATGAATTTTGAGGATTCCTATGTACTGGAAAATCTACATTTCTCTCCCATATGTATGCAGTAAAATATTTTATTCAATAGGAAGAATGTAAATGGAAAAACTGGTGCAATTCTTCTCACAGCAAGCAAAAAAGCTCTCACGAGAAAATGGCTGAAATCTGACTCACCCATGATTGATGATTGGATAGAAATAATCTATGAAATGTATGTGCTGGAAAAACTGTAATTTTCTCTCAGAGTCAAAATGGAAAGATTTCACAGGATTTGGACAGACTGGACCAAATGTGTTCAACCTATAAGGCCAGACTTTGTATGGCCAATCAGGATGAATGAATGAGATTATGTCAGTTCTTGCATCAAAAAAGTCTGTGCTTTCTTTATTTGATTGAATTTTTTGTCATACTTTTTCCTTTACCCTTCTTTTACAGAAGCGCCCCATGTTCATTTGTTACTAATTCTAGCTAAAGTATCTAAAAAGAAAAAAAGTTTTTGTGGAGAGCTATATCATAAAAATGACATATCTTGTGTAATGTAATCTTTTTTTTTTATTTTGTGGAAATGTGAATTTACGTAACCAATAACGTAAACACATTATGTGTTAGTGTAATTATAGCAATAATATGTGAAATACTGATAAAATATGCTTTTATGAAATTAAAAATATTAAAAAACAACTTTTCTTTTGTATATTGGTGGATTAACATCCATTACGGCATCACTTTTGTCTATATTTATGTGCTCTTTTCGTCCATGTGTGCCGATACAAAGAATGCAGTGCAAACAACATGAGGATCAGTTCATCAAAACGTGGCACAGCAGCACCACATGTGGTCAAAAACTTTCTGTATCCCTTACCTGAACTTTCCTTGGAGTCACTTTCTGGAAAAGACATTCACTGACATATCAGTCAAACGTATTTTATTTACATACGGGTCTAAACAAACCTGAATCTGGTGAATGCACCCATGCTTACAGAAAACCTTAATATTCCAGCCGATGCCCTTCATTATCACAGCATACAGTACGCACATGTGCTTGCAGGTTACAAATGTAGCATTATACCTTAACAACTGGACAACACATCTGTGCACTTTAAACACAAGGTTTCCATCTGTATACATGTTCTTCAATTAAAATGAACTAATCATTTTGAAATCCAATCAATACTCATGTTTGAAATTACATAATGTATAAACCACACAACAAATGGGATTGTAGAACTTTCGATTATGTACACACAACTACATTTACAATAATACAATTTGTGAAAGCCTAAAAAGTTGTTGGTATTGTCTTTGTAACAAACTGCACTTAATATAACAAAGCACATACTGTATAATAGAAAGTAAGTGTCAATTTATATGTGTTAAAAATCAACACTGATTCTGTCTGACGTATTTCAAGTATCTGAAAACTATGAACATGAGAGTTAAAACAACTTTAGGCAGCGTCAACAAAAGACCAGGGTTGGAAAAATAGCACATTTTTTTACACTTTTCCACCAAAAAGATCTTTAAAATACTGTGACAACAAAATTAAAGCACCTCTGCTTCAGTCAAAAACATGGAGTAAGAGCTGAAACAGCAACAACAAATTAAACCTGCCAAAAAAAAGAGCAAAACTGTCTTTAAATTTTGATTTTTTTTCTTGTACCTTCCAGAAGAGTTTGTCCTCGACTAGGACAAATACAAATGTCTCCTATCAACTCTTACAAAAAAAAGTCTAACCCTCAAAGAAATACATATCATCGTGATATTTTGCTGTTCTTCTAACACCGAGTAAATAAAAAGAAAAGGCTTGATGTAAAATGAAAAAAGTAAAGAAACACATATTCCTCTCTGCAGGAAGAAATGAAGTGAGTGTGGGTCTCTCAGCTGAGTGGCTGGAGGGCTGCCAGGCTGTGTTTGGTAGAGGACATTTCCATTGTAAGTGGGTACATGCAGGTTTCAGAGTAACAAGATGATGGCATGAGAGGGAGGCAAAGAAGATGAGACTGTGCTGCTGGGACCCGACCATGACATTTGATTCAGTCTTTTTATTCACGGTCGGTGTAGATGGAGAAACCCACTGTTCTGCAGATGCATAATTTTGGGGATATCGTTCACACGACGGAGGGGATGAGCTGTGAAGGGTAGATGTAGGCAGAGTGAGGGGTTGTCACAACAGAGTCAGTTCTCTTTTTTATCAGGCTTCAGTCAGTCAGAGTCTCCTCAGATTGTGCTCCTCTGTGCAGGAGCCTTTCCTCAGAGTGATGTCATCCACCGCCATCTCCCCGATCCTGCCCCGCCCACGCTCCCCCTTCAGGATGACCTGGAGAACAACAGCAACACATACATAACAATCAACTACTCTGTGATAAAAAGTTACTCAACTTGGAGTTAACAATCTTAAATAGACTCTTTGAAATGATGGCTGCAACTGATTTACTTCTTATAAACAGTGATAAAAACAATTCCCTTCTCCACTTTTTAAATCAGAGTTACAAATCTTCAGGAGCAAGTGAGCTGATTCAGTGAATGAGAGAGGGATAGCAGGTCCCACAGAAGGACCTCAAATTAGATTTGATTATTTTTGATTAGATTAGATAAAACTTTATTTATTCTTTGTGAAAGTTCCTTCAAGGAAATTATAAAGAGCAACTATACTTCCATTTTATTTTAAGTAAATGCCAGGAAAAATGAAATACACTACCATTCCATTTGTACTTTTTAAAATCGATTTTATGTTGACATGTTATTATTTTTCATGAATATTTTTGATCTGTAGGGAAAATGAAGTAATACTTTTCACAATCCACTTCATGCATCTTTATAGTCCAGAGGGTCATTTTGAATCTTGTCACGGAAAGTCATTCAACATGAGTTCAGACTGAGGATTTACTGAGCAAACTGTAGGTGTAGGGTGGGTGTAAGCTTTTAGCAGATAACAGCACATATTTGAGCTCTTACTTCAGATCGTACAGTCTAGTGTTGAGATTTCTCACAGTGAAATGCTCAGTAAAATGTTCATTATCTTATTAAAGTTAATCACATTTAGGACAAACCATCCTAAGGTACAGGCAGAATGTTAAACAAAAACAAAGGGCTAAAATTTTAGACCTAGCCCAAAGGGCCTGTAGAAATACCAATTTCCACGACATATCCTCTTTTGTACTTACACTTTCAAGCCCCGTGCCCCATAATGTGATCTGCGTATGCCTCCAGCCGTTTCCACCCGTCCGGCCCCACACTGCAGGACTGTACTGCTTCCCCTTCTTGACAAACACTTGCAGCATGCCCATGTGATGGCCTGCCAGCTTGTGGCGGAACGATAGACACAGATTGCCGTCGTTCCAGGGTGGGGTGAGTGGGAGGACTAGCCGAGCCCCTCGCCCAGTCCTCTTGTTGCCCACTTCAGGGATGGTGAGGTAACGTCCACCTGTGGAAGGAACCAGCAACTATCAATATCAGCGAGTTCAGTACATGAACTGAATTTCTTTATTGTAGACACTTCACTCTTTATAGAAAAATGTGCGCTAAAAAAAACATTTAGCTTGCAGCATATCCTGCCACCTTGAAAACATTTTATAGTGCATGCTTGTTGGTTGTTCTGTTATATCTCACTGTATTAATTGAGTGAATGGAAAAATATACAGGAATGTTTAAGAGGTTACAAGACTGGACAAAAAAAACTGACCACTTTGTTGAATTTCAGGTATTGTAATCATGACTAATCCATCCAATAAAGCAGAGCCCTAAAGCCCTCATGAACATTAAATGAATAATGCAGGAGTCCATAAACATCATTAATAATAAATGAGTCGTGATAAATCACACATCTTGGTTAATGCATTAGTTAATGTAATGTGTCAACATGAAGTAAGGCATGAGATACTGTAAATTCATGTGAAATACTGATAGTTCATCTGATAATTCAGACATGATTTTATTGTTTTCTAACTCATGATTATTCATGTACCCTCATTATAAAGCGTTACCAAAATAGTAGTACAGGTTAATGTCACTTGGCATTTCTTTTTGCACTAACCAGACTTTACACAATTGTAATTCTTGATATAGTTTGAGGACTGAGAAGAAATGGAAAAGGGGACTATTCTAAATTGTTTAAACTCGATCAGTTTGCCCAAACAGATAGACTCACTATACAGTTATATATCAAGGTGTGCATATAACCCTGGTAGTTATATGCTTATGTATTGGGACATGTCATTTTTAGAGTATTTTCACAGGTACCTAGGTAGAGGTTGGCAGATGTATTTCTATTTTGATGCATGTGGCTTTTGGAAAATAACATCTGAAAAACAAAACAGCAGCTTTAATCCCTGGTTTATTTCAGATGATTGACAGACCTAACTATTGACACTTTCTACCTCAGGAGTCGCACTTATGCAAACTGTCAACAGCAACGTCTGTGGGAGTGGGACTTGGCTCCTGAAAGAAGAGGTTGCTTGCAAATATAATGCTTTTAATCTTTTGCGAAGCAATATCCCACTCTTCACTTTATTGTATCTGGGTGCCAGCACAACCAAAAACCAAGTGAGCGAATAAAAATTAATCAATAAATGTATTTTCAAAAAACAGAAAATAACCACTATAATAAAAAAAAAACCTTGACCCACTTAGGAATTTTTGCCATTAAAAATACAGTCTGTTGCCAGAAGCGAATTGATTTTTCTTAAATTAATTCATGCATAAATTAGTGATATTACGGCTATAGTTTTAAAATTTTAACGGTGAAAGTACCCCTGGGTAATGGTTGATTAATGCTGATGCATTTTGCTTACCCAGCAGACCTGTATATGGCTGCGGTTCACCACAGGGGTGTTACACCAAAAATCCGCAGGCTGCAGAAGATCTCTGCATAAGTTATAAAACGCCTCCAAAGCTGTGCCAAAACAAGGCAGTCTGTCCAAAACACCTCACAGTAACAAACAGTAAGTAGTGACGTGCTTTTTGTGTACACATGGGGTATTAAAAGTTACATAGACACCTACATTAAAACTCAAGAGTTGTGATAAGCTGCAGGCCACTAAAAAGTGAAAGCAAACGTGTATCTTTATCAAGGCTTCACTCCTCATTTTCTGTGATTTCTGGGGGATTTGAAAAGTCTGTGCGAAAATGTGCTTCCTCTAATGAGTGAGCAGGATCTTGGCTGAAGTGAAGCTAAATGTCTGGAAACACACTAGCCACAGCTCCACTACGCCAGTTGGCAGGAGGAGCCAGATGTAGTTAGTGTTGCTTAAACAGAGCCAGTCGAGCACTGTTTAGTCTTCACACTCTGTTAACTGAGCCCTCTCTACATTATACATCACATTTCCTCCTTGTGTGAACCCCAAGAAAAAACAGTGTTGTGTTCCCTTTTAATGCAAGCCACAGGTATCACTGACAGGCTGCTTAATCCGCTACTCATTTGCAGCGCTTTGTAGGGCGAGGCACTAATCTGCACAAAAGACAAACTACTTCCCTCGAGTCATTTTGACCTGACCTGTAATTGAATAGAAGAAAATTTAACCGCTTTGATTGTCTGCGCATGTGTGTGCATGTCAACAGAGGAATGCAGCTCTTCTCATTTCCAATTACTGACAATAAAATCAACAGTTTTTCCTGATTGAGAACCGTTGACCCCTGCCCTCAATTACCTGACGGATCAGGCGTCGTCTCCCAGTGCAGGTCTCCATCTTTGTCCCTGATCCAACCGCAGAGACCGTCATCAAAGGAGCAGCTCAGGAAGCCAGACTCTTCAGGGAAAAGAACAAGATTTTCAGAGAACACACACACATTAAAAAAAAAAAAAAAACGTGAGTCTTTTCTGTGTAATGCTTCACAGGAGCCCCGCTGCGTGTCTTGATACATGACTGGGAGCAAAAGGACTGCTGAAGCACCTTTTGATGAAACAGTAAAAGAGTAAACATTTGTACTAATCTCTGAGGAGAGCTGTCGCACTGAGGGAAAATCAAGGTGGAGAGGAGCTGCATGAATCCTGAGTGGAAAGGCATTCATGCAAAAAATCATATGTTTGCAGGAAGATGGGTGCTACCTGTGTGTATTTACCTCTAGACATATAGACCACTGAATCATACTCTGCACTATAATGAAATGCACTACGGATAAAACAGAGACTCTTAATATCCAATAACTTGTGATTTTCATCCAAGCATTGATGCCGAGACAATAACATTAAGGGAATGCAGGCAAACTAGTTGTAGTATCATCCATGCATCGCTGTACAAATTGGTTCAGAGATAAGAATAACATCCATCACTTTGTCCCTGAAACAGTATTTCCTGAAAACACTTCTCAGTTCATTTTCTGAGCCAATGAAAATGCTCCCTCTCTCCTGACAGCGCAGAGCAAATGATGTGAACCAAAATAAACACGTAACCAAATCATTAGGCAATTTAATCTGCATACCACTGACATCAATAAATCAAAATGAGTAAATTTGAGAGATAAAATGCTGTCTCTTCACAGAAGAAATCTTTCACTGGAACTCATCATGAGTTTTGCAGGGCGCCAGGAGAAGAGAGTTGATGTTCCCAAAAATACCAATTCATCATTCAAGCAATCAAAACAGCCTAATGTGAAAAGTGGGAAAGTCTGGCTTTTATTTCTGGGCTAGGAGCCATTATTTACAAAGGTTTGGCCAGATGTCATGCGTCACCTCCTGGTGAAATGCCCATCAAAACACATCTGGTCACTAAAATATCTCCGCCACAGCAGGAGCTGATTGTCACTTTCATTTTGCTCGCTGCAAATGTGGCTCGTCTGTCATCGTTTAAGCCCCGCAGTATGCCAAACAAGCCGTGCTGCTGCTGATTGTCTCTGTCAAATGTGTCGTGTTTACCTGGGTCGTCCTTGGCTTCATCCGCTGTGTTGCCAAGCTCAATGTCAAAGTCAATGCCGAGGATGCCGTTTTGCCCGTGGTTCCTGGGGACTGTGAGGAGAGAGAGGAAGACAGAGATGCGGGGTTTAGATAAAGGATTAACAATGGTGTTATATTTGCTCAACGGGACCCCTGCCTGTGGCTGTTGTGTGGCTTTGTTTAATTCATCTACTGGAGAAGTGTAACAAGGTGGAATCAATGCCATGGTTTAGTGCTTTTGTATCCAGAGACAATACACTGGTTTCATAAAAGGAAGGAGCAGAATACTTGAGGAAACCTGTGGAGACAACAGAGCGATGTTTAAAAAATACTTTAGACCTGTCTGTAGTTAAAAGCCAGAATTTATCTTTTATAAATCTAAAAAAAAAAATACTGAGTGATACAAAGCATGAAAAAAACAGACACTTCACCCCGAGGCTAGCTCAGGCCCAAGACCAGTATTGCCATGGTAACAATCCAGTAGTAACACAGCTCTTGACCCCACTCACTTTGCTTCCCCCCATCGATTTCTTGCCCAAAACAGAGCAAATATCACCTGAGCAAATTTCTGTAATTGAAGCTGTTCCTCGTTCTTTCAAACACCCTTTCTTTGTGTCTTTCTTCTTCTTGTTTTTGACCTGTCGTTCAGTGAAGACTGCTTATTGTTGTTTAACTCCTTACTTCATTTCTGAAGTGTATGACCTGCCATTACATTTTTCTCTGAAGAGCCTTTTAAATCATTCAGTTTTTGCTCGGTTGTTATTCCATAAGAGTCAAGAACCAAACTGCTTTGTACAAGATAGACGTCATCAGAAATCTAAGCTTTTGTCTAATTGTGTCGTTCTGAAGTCGCCAAAGGAATCAAATGAGAATCTAAACGGGGAAGAGGGCGTTGGTTCATCTGATGCAATGCAGATGAAAATGTTGCCGCCAAGAGCTCCAGCTCATACACACATACAGTAGCTGCTCCTGAAATAGTCTCTTTCCTTCTCCAGCGGGGTCACGCTGCCCGAAATACCAAAAGCCAAGCTGTCTTATTAAAGGTCAACAGACAAGTGAAGCATAGAAAGTTGTTTCTTTAACTTTTACAGTGATGGACCTTTTGTAGTGGAGGATGCGTTGACCCTTTGCTCCTTTGCTCTGCGAGAATAAAACATGTCTCTACTGGTTTTAAAGTGCCCTTATGAGTACATTTTCCCTGAAAAGGTCAACATTTTTATGTATTACTGCACTCCTTATTTGGACAGGCCAGTGCAATTTGATCAGACAAACTATGAAGAAAACTATTTCCTGTAGTCACCGCCAGATTCTTGCTCTTGTGCTATAATTGTGATGTAACCTGCGCTTGAACCATCAGGCCCAAGAATACCAGACATCATCCCCCTCAGGTCCTCTGAGAACTTGGAGGGTTGAACCCCACACTGGGTCAGAGCCACCTGGCAGACTGAGACGCAGTCTGACGGGCGAAGGAATCTGAAAGTGAGGAGGTCACACTCGTACAAGGCTCTCCAGCAATCCCAGGCATCCAGGTCTGTATGTTTGTGTCTGTGTTTGCACTTTTTAGGAATGAGGCCCTCTCTGAAGTCTTGTGTCCCATGTAGACTACTTCTACAGTGATGACGTGTCAGTTAAATAAGTTGAAATTCAACATGTATGTCTGCGTAGGTTTTCATTCATCCAGGTCAGGGTAATCTCGTAGAAAGAGTAACTGGACTTGTTTGGCCTCTCTTCCAAAAGGCTTCTTCAGTTCTAAAGTGACTGGGGCCAAAGTTGGAAAAACAAAAGCTATAAATTTTCAACTCTGGCCCCACTCACTTTGGAACTGGAGAAGCTTTTTGGAAGAGAGGCCAAACAAGTCCAGTTCTCTCCAAAGAGAACATCTTCAAGAACCTCAAACAAGTCCAGTTACCCTTTCAACGACGAACTGATTCAACAGATATGCTGTTTAACCTTTCTCACATTACAGAGTGGGATTATTGTCCAGCAACCCAATAAACTAAAACAAACTGAGCAGTTATTGTTCTTCCGACATTTTAACACCATGCAGTGACATTATTAAAAACAGTTCAGTGATAATCCTTCATCCGTTCTTTCAGTTTATAGATCTTAAGAGACATTTTTCGAAGGGGCACCAGCTCATCTGTTTCTGGTGAGTCTCAGTTTCACCATTAAAGGGATAAATTAAATTAGAATCAAACACACCATAACTCCAAGTTAGACACCCCCCCGAGAGATGAATGTTGCTGACCTCTTACTTCTCTAGTTATACCGACTTCAGTAATGACCGCACAATAACCTAACTAAAAGAAACAGATTTCTTCACCTAACATTGCTCTTAATTTTGCTAGGATAACATAATAATGCTGATTACAATAAATTAAGAATACGGGCTATGTCTGGTCCGTCCTCAAGAGAAAACAACGATTTAAAAAATGCTTGTCTGAGGGCTGGATGGATTATTTCAGATGCAGTCCAGTCAAGTGGTCCAGATGCTGATTTGCTTTTGCTCTACAATGCCAAGCAAATTTTTCCCTTCTTGGACCATAAATACACATAATCCAAAACATATTTACACAGAATCTGTAAAGAGATGCGTTTCCATGAGACTCTGATGATACAGAAATCAGTTCAAATATAAGTTTTTAAGAGCTAGACCAAAGGATTATCCTGAGTGAGTGAGTCTCTCTAGCCACAAATCTTTTCAGATCTGTTACCCTGATTCCTGGGGAGATTAGATTGACGTCTGGGACATTTTTAAAACCTTGGCACATACAACCAAAAAGCTCTATCTTTGTAGAAACCCCCCTGTAAAAACAGGGCTATATATGAGCAAACACTTCATAGAAAACTCTCACCCTTGTTTTACCTTTTGAGCCTGTGCTTGATTGATCCAAATATTTGGAAGGTAAATAAAAGCTGCTCCAGGGGGATTTTTATGTGCTGCCAGAATATTGAGCAATAACCTGTATTTCTAGACACATAGCCCACTGAATATTTCATCATTTCATTTTTCAGAGGTAGTGAGACCAACTTGTCTTTGTTAGTTTTCTGGTAAATGATGAAATATAAAGTATGTTACTTTTGTCAGTAAAAAACGTGACTAAAATTTCTATGGAATAAACAGCTTTGTTTTCAGCTTCATGAACGTCAGACACAAAGAAAAGATGCGGAAAGAATTTTTATAGCCTCACATGTCTTACTGAGAGTTACAGGAGGATTTCATTGCTGTTCTTATGTTTGTGCCTTACATCTACAGGTACAGCCTGGAGGTAACTGTCATAGCATAACATGGGGGAGCAATTGTCTCCCAAGTTGCAGAATCTACTGACCTGATTGGTACCTAAATGGCACCGCTTAGCTTGTAGAAAGAAATCCAACAATCTTGGTCCTACTCTGCACAAACTCAGAACACAGACAGTGTTTTTGTCTTATTTCTATCACTCATGAGTCACATTCACCAGAGAGAGCCAGATAATCATCTTGTTTCAGGATATTAAAGTAGCTGGGAGACACTTTTGGTTTGAAATGATATCAACGCCGCCTGCAGACAAAATGATGACTCCTGTCTCTTGTCTTGGATATGTAAAAGTGATGTTTTTAAAGCAAACCCTCACCCTCATGTCTTCACACAGTGAAATAAATCACTCACTGTAAGTATTTGCCACGGGAAGAGTCAAAACATGCAGTTTTTTAGCTTGCTGTCAATCATCATGTTTGACACCTACCCTCTCACTGTAGTTTTAAGCATTAAATATTACTACAGTCAAATCCTCAGCCTTCTTGCTGATAGTCTCTGTGTCTTTTGAAGGTCACAAAGAGGCTTCAGTATCAGTTTCAGTCTGTTTCTCCACCAGTCAAAAACTTGGCATAGTGTTTAAAAAGCCTAAAATAAGTCATTATGAACATTAGTTAAATTTTTCTTTAGTTCAGGCAGACTTTTTTTAAACTCATTACAGTGATTCAGTTCTTATTTTTGGCTTGCAATATTTTGAAATGAGATCTTAATTTGGACTTTTCAGGTGAATGTTGTTTATGTTCCATTCAGTGAGACATCTTAGAGATTTTGTGCTGAAAATATAGTTTCCTGGGAGCACTGACAAACTGCTATTTTGCGTTGTGATGAGGTGGGGGAATATTCGTTAAAGATACAGATATATATCCAGAATGCTATCAGTCTTCTTCACTAATTCCTGGGTGGAAATAGTCTCACATATTTTACTCTTCCTTAGAGTATTCCTGCAGTGGGAATACAGAAAAACATCTACATTCAGTATTATACCTGGATGCAGTTTCTTCAGGAGTCCAGGCTAGAACCACTTGCTCAAACTGAAGCACACACCTGCACCTGAAGCACAGTTGAGTTGTTCTTCATCCCACAAGACGTTTATTCAAATGATTTCTATTTCTGTCTAATTATTTGAATAATCACTCAGCAGTATCTTTGCTACCTCCCACTCTCATCTTATTCAAACCCTTTTCTGGAAGCTGTGATTTGTGAAACGACTCTGCCACGGTGTGAACTATTAGATTGATGTCTCCCTCAAGCAGTGCAGACAGGTGTTAATGTAATCCTCTCTTCCTTCTTTCCCTTTTCTAATTATGTGGTGCCATCTGGCAAGGTGAGTATTTTCCTCTACTTTTCTGGAGAATCTCAACAGACATTTCTCTGTCAAAGGAGCTTAATGTAAGTTATGGTAAACACTCATTTTTGCTGTGCCTACAAGTGAGCATTGCAAGAAAATATGAGCAGAAAAACACTCCTGTCTCGGTTAAAGTTTGGGCGACATAAAACTGTTGGTGCATCTGGACCAAACGGTGCATTAAATTGTACCTTCTGCTAGATATGTATATGGTGACTTAGCAAGTGAAATAATGGAGTGATAAGATAAGAAATTTGGTTTACTGTAGGTCGAGTGATTGACGTGATAGACTAGTTTGCAGTCCAATCACTCTATTTGAAGTTGGTTGTGCTTGAAAAAAAAGGTAATATTTGAGGTTATGTATATAATATTACTTTATTTAATAACTGCTATTGGGCGAAAGCTTCGTTCTTAGGCGCTCACTATGCTATGTACTTGTTATGCAAATTATAGGACATTGTAGCACAGACACTAGTTCATTGCCCTTTGGCTCAAATGAAAACGCTGAATACAACTTGATTGAATGCCTTTTACCTGCTGATAAAACTGGCACTTGTTAGGCTGCTGTGTGGTGGCCAAACCCCAACTGAAACCACAACAAGACCCAAATACCTGCTTTTATTTCATGGCTACTGACATATCTGTACATGTGTTTCTATTCAACCAGCTTTCTACTTTCTTTGTCATACAAAGGATTTAGCCCCAAAGAGGTAAAGTGTCGTTGAAGTGGGGTTGTATGAGTTACATGTCACTGAGTCATAATAGAGGCTGGTCAGCTTTACCCCTTTTAAAAGAAACTGCTGGAGAACTAGCATACAGCGAGGCTACAGTTCTCTGCAAATGCTTCCTTATTATTCAGGAGTTAAATCAGAGCAGACTTGACACAATCTGCGAAAAACTGTAGCCTAGTTTGTTTACCAGCTCTCCCATCAGTTTCTCATTAAAAAGGCAGAGTGGACCAGCATTCATTGTGGCTGATACATAAACTCTTTACATGGTGTCGGGGCTGACACTGCCCACTGAATCTTGTCTATGAGTCTATTCCTATTATAACTTAAGCAGAAGGAGCACACTCTCCTCTGTTTTTCTCTCTCTTTGTGACAGCAGCACCCTAAATCCTTAACTCAATCTAGTTTTGGATGGTTCGAAATAAATGCCATCACTCTGTCCCTGATCGCTTCCCGGGTCTTAAAGTTGTTGTTTTTTTTTTACTGCCAAAGTGGCAATTTTAAAAAATGGTATCATCAATATCCTAAAACATTTTTGGCAGGTCACTCAGGCGGAGATATCTAGAGAATTTATCTCAGCTATTTTCAGTCTCTAAATTTTAGCTGTTACCAAAACACAGAACAAAGCAAACTGGAATTTGGGTAAAATTCTCAGCTGCATTTTTCAGATAGAGTTCAACCTGAATTTCAAATAATGGTGCGCAACCATGTATATTGTTTTTTTTTTTCTTTCTTTCTTTTACCGTGGCACATCTGCATTTACTTAAATACGATGTATGAAGGCAACTTTTAGGGAGACAGTCAAAGAGGGAGAGTCATTGTTGGATTAATAACAGTTTCTGGACATTCATGAAAGTTTACTGCACAGAGAGATCAGTGATATGGGGATATGGGTGTACAGACAATACTTGGTTTACGAACAGTTCATTGTTGGTTTTGGTCTTTTCAGAGGATTTAACAAAAGACTAAAGAATAGATTTCTGCCGGCCTTATCCATTACATGCCAGAACAAAAATTGTTAAGCTGCAGACAAAACATCCATTAAATGAAGTGAGTTTGGCCCCAAACTGAATGTTTCGGGTTTACAGAGTCACATGTCACAGGGATTATCTCATTAAGAAACTATTCAGTGTCATGGAGCGGTGCATGAATACGACACTGTGAGGAGAAAGCAGCAGATGATTGCAGCGATTACTGTCTTTGTTGGAGCAAAGAGAAACAATCTCACCCATGTCTTGTTACCACGGTATTTTGAATAGAATCCTATTATTAGTTTTTTTTCTATCAAGAACGTCAGACTCAAACAGAGACTGCAGATGCTTTCTGAAAGTAAACGGTGTCAAGGATAGATGCTTGGCTGAAAGAACAGTGTAGCATGTGGATAAACAACAGTCAAGAAGGGGACGCACAAGTGTTTGTAAAATGAAAGCCAAAAAATAACTAACTCTCGATGAAAATCTTCTAACTTTGACATTTAGCCTCCTAGAGCTGTTAGTAAGAGTTTTTTTTTAAATAGGAGAGAATAATGTCTTTTCAATCTGGCAATAATAAAGTAATATGAGGGTGGATGAAGCTCAATTTACATATTTAAAATCTACTTTTTAGAAATGCGGGGGCTGTATTATGATTAGTAAACTACCTGTGGTCCGTCTTTTAAATACTATACATTCATTTCCATCCACTTTCACCCACAAACATCCGAAATATTCTCCTATTTCTTGCCAAATGTTCGGTATTAAATCTGTCATGTGTTAAGCTGGCAGATAAACTGTGTACACATGGGAACTGACTGCCAACTGCTCAGATAGTTTACACCCACATACCCGTGTGTTTGAATACAAAATGAAAATGATAACACACATCATCTGTCAGGTAAGCAGCCGTTCTGATTTCCCTCGGTATGAAATGTTTCACAACAAACACAAAGTCTCAGGATTCAAATCAAGAAGTATGCAAATTTACTTGAATTTGGATTGGGGAGATATGTCAGAAAACTGATGAAGATGATACTGTGAGAGAGAAAAAAAAGTCCTCTGATGTCAAAGTCTTGGACAAAAAATAAACAAAGGGTACAAACGTACTTGTGCAACCTGGGAGCAGTTTGTTTGTGTTACTCATGTTTGCTGTCGGCAGTGATTTGTTAACAGTGTGTGGTTCAGCTATTTCAAACCTGACTGACCCGAGCGCGGTTGATAAAGCTCCTTCATTCAAAAATAAAAGCACAGGTGTTTTTTTTAGTGTTACAGGATATGGAAGATAGGCCTATGAGCTGATGTCGCTTTCCTTCAGGAACTGACTCCCTCTGTCAGATTGAGAGGTAAACCATCCTGCAACAAAGCTGCCCTCAGAAAGGAAAAACAACAGAATAAGGAGTGAAATAGATGAAAATCTGCTGAAATTAAGAGCAGCAGGACTTCAAAGATATCCCTTAACTTGACTAAATACACGGTTGTCATTGGACATTGATGTGGGCAGAACTCTGGTTTCATGACCATAAAATGTTCCTAATTTCAAAGACATGGAAGTACATGAAAGGAAAGCCTAAAGGTTTACAAAAGCCATCATGCTTGGATGTGGCATTAGATGGGATTTAAAGGGAGAATCAAAGAGACAAGAACACAAGTTCAATATAAAGCAGAAATTAATGCAAGTTTAAATATCTGGTTACATGTAAATATTTAGAGAGAGTTTTTAATTTTGTGTTAGGGCTGGGCGATACGGCCTCAAATCAATATCACGATATACTGAGCAGTTCATCTCAATATCGATAAATGGACAATAACTACTCCTCAAGCTGCTCACCCCCTCTTACATTAACTTTGTCGACTTCAGCCGCTATAACTTCTGAACCGTCCTCCATCTCCTCACCTGTCTTTCCTTCTCTGTTACAGACTGGATGGGGTGGAGTTACGTCTCCGATGTAGGACAGCGTCTCAAAGGGACATGAGACCATAGCCTACCTACACACATCCAAAACCAACCTTTATCTATTCATTTTTTTTACACCGAATATACTGACATGGGCAAAATGACGGTTATTGTCGTAAATTTCAGTATCTGTAAATTTTCGGTTTATCGTCCAACCCTATTTTGTGTTTTCATTTAATAAAGGGGGCACATTCTGTTTCAGGTCAAAATAAAAAATCACACCACCTTGGATTTAGCTTGAACTCATTATTTTAAAAAATAAGTAAAGGGTTGCAAGAATGAGAGCCTCATGTATAAAATTAAGACAGAAGGGAAGAAAAAGCGAGTTCTTACTGTGTACATCTCCTCTCTGTCTGGTCACTTCTTTCTGGATACTGTTGTCCACTGGTGTAGCAGGTGGTGGAGGTGGAGGGAGTCTGGTGGGTGGAACTGGCCTTAGTGGGGTGCGCGTGGGAGTCGGTGGCTTCCTTGTTAGGATTAAGGGCTTCTTGGTGGGAACAGCGGGCTTACGTGGTGATGAAGGTGTCTTCTTTGGTGGGAGAGGAGCTTTGGTCTTTGGTTTTGATGTTGTCGTTGTTGTTGCCTTTGTTGGAGCGGGTGTCGATTTGGGAATGACAGGGAAGATTCTCCTCTGAGTCACGGGTGGGCGGAGGGTGGTTGTGGTCCTCCTCTGATCTATATCGGGGATGCGGTTGTGATGATTTGGAGGCAGTTTGCCCGGTCTCGGGGGTTCGATCGCCACCTTTGGAATGGCTGGAAAAATAAGAGGATGCAGATGGAGCGCTGAAATATGTGCACTTTAAAGTTAATGAGGCATGGAATTGCAAACTAACTGTGATGATTAGGCTGACTTTTAGAGAGGAGGGCTTTCTTTCATCCACTGAGATCTCAGATATCTATTAACTAAATGTTAGCATGCTAAAACAAATTGGGTGCCTCGAATCTAAATGAAGTTTGAACTTACGAGGGAGACCATAAAGTCTGCAGCTTCACATTCACTCATATCTCAACTTTTTACGACCATTATGGACGTATTTTCCTCAATGGGGGTGTTAAGAGCGAAAATAGGGCTGTTTTTTTCAGATACAAGACATGAATTTTGGCTTTTTGTGAAATCAATAATGCTCGACTGTGGCTTTTCTCCCTTCGTGCGCATCCTTATTAGTTATTCTTTGTGTGTGCGCAGCCAGAGGCCTCGAAGCATCAGGCAAAAATCTGCTTTCATTGTGTGTGCGTGTGAGCGAGTGTGCTGAATGATCTCCGCGTTCAAACAGGCTGCAGCGCCCTGGAGATCACCCTCACCCTGCTGATGTCATCAAAGCTACACCTCCTCTTTGTTCCTCCTCACATTCTTCACGTCAGGAGCAGGGACGGAGATGTGGGGGGTTGGTGTGATGGTGTTGGAGTGCCGGCGCTAGGCTGGGGAGCTCCATGAGGGTTTCATGAGAGAGGAATGGGAGTGGACAAAGCCAAGCGTTTTGAACTCTGTTATTGCCTTCTCAGGTTGCAGGCGACTTTGATATGTGACACAGCGATAGGATATTGCAACTCGACTCTAAGAGTGTTCCCTGGGGCGAGCTGTGGGTTGTAGTAGTTGAAGCATATATCACTGAGGGGCATCTTCTCTGCTCTGTAGACTCGTACACCAGTTTTGTCTGCAAGATGATTAAATAACTATGGAAAATAAATGACTTTTCGTCCACTGAGCCGCTGTAAAAACTGCAGACACACACAGACTAATGAACTGTGTGTCAGCAGACAAAACAAGACGAACTGCCCAGAGGAGAAGTATTTCAAATTAGACAACGGCTCTTCTTTTTTGGCTGATTAAAATGGCCAGATGTCAAAAATGGACCCAAGGCTCACTCTTGGCCCACATGATAAGGGAGCAGAGTGATTTAAGTAATGACTGACAGCCATTACAAAGAAAGGAATTCAAGTCGGGGCCCTCTGCGCTCACAGCTACTGCTCCCTCTCTTTTGCTTTCTCGCTTTTTTCAAAAACACAAGGAAGAAAACAAAAATGTGAGGCCCCCATTCCTCTTAGCTAGAGTGCACATCGGGCTCCAGTTTATTTTTTTGTTCTCAGTTCTTACGTTTGCAGTCGTGGCCCATCCCCCTGTAGCCATCTTTACATTTGCACTTGTACGAGCCCGGCGTGTTGTAGCAGGCGGCGAAGCTGCTGCAGTGGCTCTGACCTAAGGAGCACTCATCCACATCTGAGGGAAAATTGAAACATAACAACATTCAGCCATGGGCTGCAAAAAGCTTCAGACATAGCAGCAAAATATCAAAGGCTAATTGTACCTCCACTTCAAGGCAACTCAAAGTTTATCTCAAATGAACTGTTAGAGAAAGCATTTAAGTGAACAGTAATCCCTTCATGACTACCTGAGCAAATTCATTAAAAGGAGGTTGCTTGGTAAAAATCCTGCCTAAGAGAAGGTGAAAGGTCAGAAAATGCCCCAAAAGCTTTTACTGCTCCAATATCTGCCCTGAAACATGAGTTATGGAACATGGGTAACCAAAGATGGAGATGGTGATGCTCCTGAAACTCAAGGTAATTGCTAGATAAATAGTAACTGGCAGATGTGCAATATGTGAATATCTGATGTTGAAAGTACCAAAGTGGAAGCATCATAAAAGGAATAAACATATTTAGCTGGACTAAAAATGAGTTAGGACGTTGATGTTGGAGGCCTTTTTGCCATAAAAGTTTGAACAGTACTGGACAGTTTGTGATTGGACTGGACTTCTACTTGTTCGGTGTATTTCTTGTGTTACTGGCATTAAATTCACCCTCACTAATGGCAGGAGATGCTGTTGTGGGGGACCATCCATATTCACTGATTTCATGTCACTGGGATTAATATGGGGTTCAGATTCTGGCTCACTTTGGAATATGTCTGCAGGCGCTGGGATCGTTTCACCAATCTTCTGATTGAGAGGAAAAGTTATCTACATTTTTCACAGTGAACAAGGACTTTCAAATTTGACTGACTGCCAAGGTTCTTCTTCACTCGCTTGAAACCGCTCTTTGTGGTTTCCCAAAAGTTAAAGAGAGTAGTGGTGCCTTTTGGCTTTGAATAAGGTTCTCAATAGTAAGCTGAATATATGAGTAACCTTGGTTTAGTTTAATGTTGCCTATGGTTGTAACTTAAAGGGATATTCCCACGTAAAATTAATTTAGGGTCAAACACACATCATCAATGTTCTTCCTTGAGCTGCGTCACTCCGCAGCAGTCCGTAATGGACTGGCCTGAGGTCTCGCAACAAACAAGCGGCTGTTGGAAGAGAGTAGGTGAGTTGTGTTTAGTCTCTTTTCTAAAGAAATCAGGCAAAGCTAAAAACATGTTTAGTGGCTAGTGCTATGGCTAGGACCCTATATGTACTGTTGATGAAGTTAGGTGGTGCTCTGAGCATTATTTGTGGCTATAGAGTGGCATTTTGGTTGAGGTTTATTTATAGCCCCCCAGACCGCCGTGTACTGCTGTCGTGCGGTCGTTACTAAAGTTGGTATAACTAGAGAAGCAAGCGGTTGGCAACATTCATCTCTCGAGGGGGTGTCTAACTCGGTGTTTTGGTGTGTTTGACCCTAAATTCATTTTATGCCGGAATATCCCTTTAAGCAATATCTGGGATATAAAAACACCAAACATGTAAGTAAATACTAAGTATGTTTGCACTGTTCAAGTTGAATGAATGCACCCAGTTAAACACTGGACTCAAACACTGGGGACAGTGAGCCAACATAAAGCCTGCTTTGACCCTCAGCTGGAAATGCTGCCAACACTAAGAAGGAAGAACCTGAGGAAATGTCAAAGAGAGGACTAAAACCACGATCAAACATGAAGGGTTAAGAAGGGTGAATACAGCCCTGTGTGAATAACTTTTTATACTAAAAGTACATTATGTGGGCAGAGTTGACAGTAGGAACAATTACAGCGAGCATAAAAAAGTTTCTATGCACATGTTGGCTCTTGAGTGTTGCTTTGAAAGAGAGATTTATATAACGGCAAACCTTTGATTTATGTACATTCTTAATAAGTCTGCTTGTGTGTATGTATCTACCACAAAAATAACACCTACATCAATAATAATAACTTGGTAATAAGTCAAAGCACTTCTCTGACCTTTTAGAAGTTTTATCTTTCAAAGCCTCCCTGCAGAGACCTGTTGACAGTACCTATGCATTGGTATTTCCCGTTGATATATTGCAGGTCGAAGCCTTCATGGCACTTGCAGATGTAGCTACCAAAGGTGTTGATGCATTTCCTGAACCTGGGACACACTGCTATTCCTGCTGCGCACTCATCCACATCTGCAAAAGACATTGAATAAACAGGTTATTTTTACAAGGAAGAAAAAAAAATCAAATTAAAGATAATATATTCATCATTTTTCAGCAGAGAGCCCTTTTAAAGTTGGATACATACTAAATTTAATGCATTCCAAACGAAAAAACTTCAAGGTTAAGAGCCGTAATTGAATCCAAAAGTAAACAAACGTTTATATTCATACCAGGCGACTTTTTCACCTTCTACAGTTAGTATTCATTTATGAAGAAAGCACTTTATGCACTCTGTTCAGTGAGCAGAATACAATACACACTGGCTTGTTCCATTATTTAAAGACCTATTTCAAGAGTCTCTGATGTGTTGATCACCTTTGCCTGCATGTGGCCATTAATATTTAGACACAGGGATGCTCAGAGCGTTTGTCTTAAAATCTTTAATTTATCTGCTGAATAATGCAGTGGAGACACTGCGGTGCTGCTGGGATGTTGTCTGAAAAGGTCCTGAACACATAGACACACCTAGACCATCGGGGAAAACAAGCAAGTGAATTAAGTGGGCAGGACTCCCTGGTCCCTTAACAACAACTGCTGAGGTTCTTATCAGCAAGGCACTGTACCCCAAACTGCTGCGCTGAGGCTGCTTAATACTCACAGCTGAATTATTCAGATACTGAAAGAGCAGCGGTGAATTAATCTGCTGACAGTCACTGTGTCTGTAAACAAAATATGACATTGTTTGCTTGCTTTTGCCCTTTTTACGGATATTAACATCTGTCTCAGACGGTTCAGACTTTTGTTTCAAAGGGATGAATATTTAAGGATGCAATTCAAATCTACAGCCGTGGATGCATAAACATATCAGAAAATATGAAGTGCTAAAACTGTGTTTACTTGAGAACTTGTCTGATGTATTTAGCAATTTCTGAGAGAAGCACTATTGAAATATTAAGTTTTCTTCTTCAGTAGTTCAGCAATAGTACAGCAAACTGATGCTCTTCATCATTAGCAGAAAGTTTTCAGCACTTCTATGACTTTGCAAAAAAAAAATCAATACTTTCCTCTTGTGGATCATCAGACAGGATTTTCTAGTCTGATCTATTCAAATAGAAGTTGTTAAAGATTGCTGTAAAAAGTGCAATCTTCCTAAAAGTTTTTTTCTCAGTCTCACAAATCAAGAACTTTATCTCAACTGGATTCGTCTCCAGCAAAGATCACGTTACTGCTTCCACAACACTTGTTGTCTTTACACTTAGGAGTCTTTTCCATCACACCAGCAAAACACTTTGGTTACCTGCATAATAGTATGCCAGTGTTCTCTTTAAATGTATGATTTAACCTATAAGAGAGTGCAGCGTGTCTGTACCCTCAGTAGTCAGTACATGCCGCCTGAAGATATTTCCATCAAAGATTATCAGTCTGGTTTGAGAAATGTTCAACAGGACATTCAACAGGAAAAGAATAAAACTGAATTTTTTCTCTTTTTTTCTTTTGAATGTATTAGACAGGCTCACGATTCAAATAAGGCTGGTATTGAATTGGTTTGCAGTATATATCTATGGGTCTTCATTGTTGGCCTCTTTTATCTTCCTTTTTTGTTATTTGATGAATCTGATGAACCTGGTGTGACAGCAAGAGAAGTTTGCATTCCATTTTCCATCGTAATTTCACATATAACGATTGCTTTAAAGCCTTATAGATGAATTTATGAGGCTTTAAAGATGAGATTGATGCATGTACAGTTTTACTAGAGCTATTTTTATAATAAACACTTAAAAATATTTGCATAAATCTTAAAAAAAAAACCTATCCTTCTGTAGGGCATATGTAAGAAAAACCCTTGTCTCCGATTGGCTGTTTCAGCTCAGTCTGAGTCAGCTGGACTCTTCTGTAAGTCAGTGTAAGTTTACCGATAAAGCGTCTTATCTTTACACTCTGCTAAGTATTTATTTCTGCTGAGTTTCATAAATATGTGTCCAGTCTACTTATCAAAATAAAAAATGTGTTGATACATTTGAATTCACAACATCGTGAAGTGTGAAGAACAGCTCAGCATCTCTGTAAAGTCTCCCATCTAAAAATCTGCTTACTAGAAAAAAAAAATCCCCTCCATAAATGTGATTAGAAACCGTTCATAAAACTCGCCATAAAACGGCAGCTTGCAGAGACATTCTCTGAGACTGTTGTAACACCTGTGGCAGGAAGCCTTTCCTCCCCTTCTCTCCGTCACTTTTCATGATTGATGTCTGTCCTGTTTCTGAAACCCGCCCCCCCATTAGGCAGCCTGCAGTTAAGTGGGACTACAAGGCAGCGTGGAATGGTCCGGCGTCCAAAGCCTGTATTTAAGGCTGACATGGGTTAACTACCTCAACCTTCCCCTTCATCTGCTAGCTGCCCATCTGAGGACCCGTGCCACATCATAAAAGAAGAGGGCAGGACGGAGAGTGGGGTGGGGGGGCCCCCCGTTTTTATTTGTGTTCTGGGGGAACAGCTGGAGCAAGTGAATCAAGCCACTGTTTGGTCGACAAAGACTGTTTAATGCTCTATCAAAGAAAAAAAAAGGATGAAATGGTAAATAAGTTGGAGGAATTACAGCTTAACGCGCTAAGTGATTTTGTCTGGGTTCCCAAACTGCATTCTTCCTGCCAGGTTTTCTTTCTTGCTCTGCCAAAACAGTGGCATTAGATTATCATTCAGGCTGAGAAAAGTACATAATAAAACAAAACCTCATTGTTTGTGACTTTTTGCATGAGTTTGTCCCGGAGAAGAGTAGCAACTTAAAGGGATATTCTGGCATAAAATTAATTCAGGGTCAAACACACCATAACACCGAGTTAGACACCCCGTTGAGAGATGAATGTCGCTGACTACTCACTTCTTTAGTTATACCAACTTTAGTAATGACTGCAGATAGCAATACAGAGAGCCACGCGCTCAACTACAACGCCACTCTATAGCCACAAATAATGCTCAGAACAGCACCTAACTTCATCAATAGTACATGTTGGGTCCCAGCCACAGCACTAGCCACCAAACATCTTTTTAACTTTGCCTGATTTCTTTAGCAAAGAGACTAAACACAACTCACCTACTCTCTTCCAGCAGCCACTTGTTTGTACAGAGACCTCTGGGCGAGTCCATCGACTGCAGTGGGGGGACGCAGCTCAAGGAAGAACATTTATGATAATTTCTTTATCATTTCCTTAAAGTAATAATCAGCACATTAATCATTTTGCACTGCAGAAACAGTAGCTCTCCTGCCTTTACGTCTCGGTCTGACTGCATTTCCATTAAGTAATAATTATAAATGTTCTTCCTTGAGCTGGGTCCCCCCGCTACAGTCAGTAATGAACTGGCCTGAGGTCTTGCTACAAATAAGCGGCTGCTGGAGGAGAGTAGGTGAGTTGTGTTAAGTCTCTTTGCTAAAGAAATCAGGCAAAGCTAAAAAGATGTTTGGTGGCTAGTGCTGTGGCAAGGACCCTATATGTACTGTTGATGAAGTTAGCTGCTGTTCTAAGCATTATTTGTGTTTATAGAGTGGCGTTTTGGTTGAGCCCGTGGCTCTCTGTATTGCTATCTGTGGTCGATACTAAAGTTGGTTTAACTAGAGAAGCAAGCAGTCAGCAACATTTATCTCTCGAGGGGGTGTCTAACTTGGTGTTATGGTGTGTTTGACCCTAACTTAATTTTACGCCGGAATATCCCTTTAAGGCTGTGTTTCCAGGCGTGTATGGATATATAAAGATTAGGACATACCCACGCAGGTTCTTCTATCAGGGGCCAGCTGCAGCCCGGGCGATGGACACTGACAGCGGACCTCTCCTTTCAGCACCTCGCAGCCATACTGACAGTTGGCCATCCCACAAGTGCGAGCATCTGATGGCCACAAGGGGAAAACACACAACACTTATTAACAAAGGGAGAGAGGAGAGGCAACAGATTATACAGCTCACACGCATTCAGGCTCACACTTATCCTCCAGCACATGTGTGCGCAGCCTGGGATACTCTGCTGCATTTTCCGATATTAGCAGATTTGACCCTGAGGTGCAGACAACAGAGTAGAGCACACTCTGTTATTATTAGATTCTCTGCGCTCACACCTTAGCCCACACAATCCTCCCTCACCCACTTTCATCCTTTCCTACAACTACACACTCGTAATCCTCCTCTGGCCTGTGAGCTCGCAGCCCCTCTGTTGTTGAGCCGTGACGGGCAGATCAGGCCCCCTCCAAAATAATAATATAATGGAACAGATTTTGTTCAGCCTCTCTCAATAACTTTGGACCCTAAAAAGGAAATTAAAAGTGAGGCTCATGCTGCTGCAACTACTCCAGGCACCCTGGAGTACGGTTTGATGGCAGAGGCAGGCTGGGCTGATTAAATGCTACAGTGATCTATCGATCAAAGCACAGGCTGGGGAGAAAAAGAGAAGCGGCAAGGTGTTTAACACTATCATGCTATCATCACACAACAACAGCAGGAGCAGCGTGAGATTGCCGCAAGTGGTGAGCAATTCAAATAAGGGGGAAATGATGAAAATAAGTAATTAAATCGAGGCACGGGATGTTTCTCCTTCAAGTAGAAAACGGTTATCAGGTGGGAGGCACAATTTACAAGGGGACATGTACAGGCGTTAACTTTCATTCTGTAGGATACCTCAGGGCAACCAATAAGGGCTGCACATTTACTTGAGGGCTTGAAGATTGTGCGTCTTTCACATTTTTTCTTTTCCGTCGTCTTTACCGGGATTCTTCGGCTGTAGAGCCGCTGTAACGCAGCAGATCAACGCAGGGCTTCAATCAAACCACCTATCAAAGGAGTGCGAGGCACACAAAAGGGAATACGTGTCTTATAATAGAGTTCTGCTTTGTGCAGAGATCCAGATGACGTGTGAAGTCAAGAAAGGTTTTAAAGGATCACACTCATGCTACAAAGCAGAAAAAAATAGGTAAGGAAAAAGACGTGAGGAAGAAAATGTCTCAGGAAGAAAAATAACCCAGTTAATAAACAATACAACCAGTGTGTACAATCACAGGTATGTGTTTGTGTGTGTTTGTGTGTATAAGAAACAGACTCACTTCCACAGGTCCCATCAGGCATCAGCATGTAACCGTTGAGGCAGTAGCACTTGTAACTCCCATATGTGTTCATGCACCTGTGTTTACAAGGCCGAGGCTTCAGCCCACACTCATTCAGGTCTGCAAACACAAGGAGAGAGAGGAAAAGAAAGACACAGAGAGAGAGAGACAGAGACAGAGACAGAGAGAGAGAGAGAAACAGAGAGACAGAGCATAAATGGACTGGAGGACAGAGGGACAGGGACAGACTCTCCTGGAATTAGTCAGAGGGCAAAGGTGAAGAGGTCAATCACGTCAAACCTCACCCATCCATTTATTTGCGTTTGTGTGTGTGTGTGTCTGTCTGTCTGTGAGTGTGTGTGTTAATGTGTCTGTGTTTTGGTAAGGGGTTGGGGGTTGTCTTCGAGGAAGTCAAGTGTCGCCCTGTTCTGACAAGCCTGCACCTCCCCTCTTTGATGGTTTAACAGGAAGCCAGTGTCAGCTGTCAACCTGGCCATTACCTGCGAGTGATAAAAGATGTTATTATACCCTCTGACTCACCAAATGTTGGTCTCTGCACCATCCAGGGCCCTTTGATAGATATGTATAATTCCAGTGGGTTTTTTTTATATAGCTGTAAAAGTAGAGAAATCTCACCCTCAGCAGCCAATGAAAATCTTATTAGAAAATGATGCTGTCTTGACTTTAGTGCAGCGTGGGCTCCTGGGAAAAAAGAATTACCCTGAGCTCAGCACCTGTCAAATGCTTATGCAAATTCGGGCAATTATACGGCTCTCACAGCAGACATTTTGACAAGTCAAACGCAGGTGTAACTAATAACATTATTAATGTCTCAGGTATTTATTCCCATTGCAGCGCCCTTGTGTTGTGTGTATTGCCTCTCTGTCATCCCTTAATGCATTGGGGACTAATGTGATTAGGCACACCTGTGTACTTTCTGCTATGAGTCCTCAGCATGAAAGGTTTTAGGAGGAAAAAAAAAGGTATGCATTTATTTTTCCTTGTTGCAGGCTCCACTAAAACCTCATCTTCAAAAATGCAACTGATGAGAGACTCACAATATCAATGAAGAAGCAAAAACTGCTCTGTAGTGTTTTATCTGAGCAGACCTTTCAACATGTTAGGGATCTGTCTTACCTGGGATGACCTAAAGGCAGTTTTAAATGTCAAAGGAAGACCTCCCCCTTGTTATTGGATATAACTTTTTACTCTCCGCTGTGGCAATTTATTCCTTTTTGTGAAGGATAACTGTAAAACTAACTTGTTTTGTTTGTTGTAAATGCCACTTGGCAGTTTTTAAAGGTGCAATATAGATAAAAGTATTGTTACTGTGATTGTATATGCTAGGATTCAATCCTGCTGTAGATAATCTCATGATAAATCATTCAAACTGCAAAAATGCATGTAAAAGTGTAACCAAACCAACAGCTGCTAGGCTAATCCTCAGAGAGTTGCAGGGGTCTTGAGCTTATTCCAGCTGACATTAGGTGAAGGGTAAGGTGCACTGTGGTGAGGCTGTTAGTCATTCACAGGGCCAACAAATACACACATAATACCTTTCAAGGGAACCAGCGATTTAGATTTACCAATTGACCTTCGCCGCATGTTTCTCAAACAGTGGGAGGAAGTCAGAATACCCACAAAAAAATATTATGTGTTACTATACTGAAGAGCTATTTTCTTGAAGCTTCGGGTGGGATGTTCAGTTATGTTATTGGCTAATGGTTGTATTTGTGGTTTGCTAAATCAGAAGTTGTATTTAAAGCATAGCAGCTATTGTAGACATCTAACCAGTGTCTTACTAACATTTTTTTACTCTACTGAAATAGGCCCTACCTGTCCATCGTGAAACACAATTCAGTTGTAATGTAAGCTAGAAAGTGGCTAAACTTCAATGAATGTTATTTTGTTGAGATAGTAACTGTTCGAAAGCAGGGAATATAATTAAATAGTCACCTCAGTAATACTTTATTTGATGCCTATCTCTATAACGCATTATAGACATATGTATAATGGGTTATAATCACATAATAGCACTGTATAGCTATAGTTATAAACACTCATAAATTATCATAATGCTTTATATCAATAATCATGACACATAATAAAGCATTTCATCATGACTTACAAGGTCAGGTATTATAATGTGTTCTTATTATTGTTATAAAGTATTTAATCATTTATGAGTGTTAATAATGATAGTTATACAAGTTTATAAGCAAGTTATAACACATCATAAATATATGTTTAATGCATTATCTATGTGAACATTGTCAGTAAGTTATTAACAGTTATAACACATTATAATACTTGACCTTGTAAGTCATGATAAAATGCTTTATAATGTGTTATGATTATTGCTATAAAGCATAATGATCATTTTTGAGTGTTTATAAGTATAGTTATACAGTGCTATGTCATGATTTTAACACATTATACATATATTTATTGTATTATTTGAAAAAAAGTATAGTGATACCAATCTGATCAAAGAAAACACAATTTATTTAACACTAGACTTGAACCACTCCCTATAGCTAGGCATGTTAGCTATAGGTAATAAGATTGCTTGAGGTTGAGGTTACTGAATGCTATATATAATTTGCTTTGTACATTTTAAAAACAGAACCCCATTTCTTTCTGTATGCTATGTTGGTCTGGTAGTATCAAATTTCTCCTTGGGGATAAATAAAGTAAGATTCTACGGAGCTAGTACCAATAAATCCCTTTAGAGGTTTAGGTTGGAACAGGCAACTAACAAGCTAGTTTTCTGTTATGCTGTGTGATCTGCAATAGTTCGCTGCCTTCAATCTTATGGAGCTCTTTTCACCTCATAAGCATCATTTAGCGTTACTATTCTGTGTTTATGTGTATTGAACCATGTGTATTTCAGCTTGGATGTGTGACTGTGAGCGCCTGAGCTTCTGCTGAAGCTATATAACTGAAGATTTACTCCATTATCCCAAAATTAAATTGATCACAGCAACCCTTGTGAAAATATCCTGATTGAATGTTTTTGCCTGGACTCATCTTCTTGGATAAGTCACAGTGTCTGCTGTGAAATATGTGTCCTAGAGGGAACATATCCCTAATAGCATATTGATCATGCTGCCAATAGATCAAGTGGAAGGTGACTAATCACTGTCATTACTGAAATTGAGAATCTTTGTTTTGTATTTTCTGTCTGAATACACTCCATAGTTTCTCCAAGCCCATTTTTGATTCTTCCTACAATCTTTGAGAAAGAGTGATTTGGAGGTAGCCGGAAGTTATTCTTGTCTGACACAAAGGTGAAGCCTTTTTCATTTCAGTTTCCCTCAAGTCTCTTTCTCCTCCTGAAGCAATGTTCAAAATGAAGTTTTTGTCATAGAGAAAAATGGTGTAACATCCCTTGCAGAGACAGTGAATTGAAGAGACACTGGATGTCATTGTGTCTGGTTCTGGTTAAGAGATCATCAGCCTCACAGCCCTGAGAGCATTTTCAGAAGAAACTCTCATGTTTTATTATCTAATGAAAAATATCAGAACTAATAAGTTAGAGGGAAATTCTAGTGATGTTTCCAAATGCTATCAGACACTGAATCAGTGAGTCTGAGACAACAATCATTACAAATATATGTGATACTAATTCATATTTCTTTTCTTCTTTATTCCCTATTTACAGGCCTATTTTCTTCCCTGATCTTAGTACAGAAATACCTATTGAGGGGGTAAATGTGTGTCTAAGATTAAAATACTCATCGATGTTGATGGAAAGCTTGGCAGCTATTGGGAGGGAATGTTTAACTTGCTTAAAATTACACATATTTAATCTAACTCTCACTCTTGGGGTCCTTTTTGAGTGTTCCAGTCCCAATAGGGGAAAACCCAGTTTACACAGGAGACCATCAGGCAAGAGTGATGCAACAAGCTCCAACAAATAAAAATAACAGTCACTATGAATATCAGTGCCTGGTCCACGGATACAGTAGGATATCACAAATAGATCTGACTGTGGGTCACATGAGGGCTCGTTTTCATCTTGGCCGAGGGCTTTGTAAACGGTGCCGTGTTTAGCTTCTGGTATAAGCATGGAGCATTTTTGGAGTGCCACTTACCGCTAACATTAAACAGATGCCACTGATAAATGCGGATGAATGACAGAGCAGATGCCCAGTTTGTATATCTAATACACCCTGTTTTCTATTACTGACAGCATCTGACCTATATAGAAGGACATGGCTGGAATTTAGACCATCAACTTGTTGGATCTTCCAACTGCCAATTAGCTCGAAGTCATGTCCCTAAACTATAAATTCTTCTGGATTCAGACGTGTTAGCTTGTCAGTGCAGTTGTTACATTACAGCCACCATGATGGAACATTTATAAAATGCCTTTCCTGCATTGGAGAGTTAGCATAACAAGAAACAAACATAAATAGTTGCTAAACACAGCACTGTTTTCTTTCTCTAAATGTTGACATGCATGTCATACAGGCTGGAAAATGATCTTTTAAAGTTCCTGTAAGGATTTTTTTTTTGGTTTGTGTTGAATATGGCGCCTCCTGGACAAAGCAGAATGTCTTATCACTTTGCTTCTCTAGTCTTTGATATGTTTAAATTGTGTTTTTAACAGATTAGATATATCACTCTCTGAGCACCTCTCTCATGGAAATGTCCAAAAAGAGTCTTTCTGTAACATGCAGCTCAGTTTTCAGCTAACACTTACTCCTGCTCTACAGTTTGGAGCATCAATGAAAATTATGTAAATTATTCGTTTCAATGCTAATGATCTCATTTGCTTTACTTAACCGTATAGAGGTATAGGCATGCATTTCAGACTGTTATATATATTTGATTAAAAGTCCTCCTGGGAGCTGGAAGGTGGAAAGTTATGTTGGTTACATTTACCAGTAAAACTAAAAGTCAGTGTGTAAATACAGGTCCACATTTCCCTGAAATATTGTCGGAACCTAGGTGCAAATTTATGAGGGCCTCTGCGTTTGCCTTTAAAAGCTCAATTATTTTCTGTTTGCATAGGTAGATTGGTTCTCAGATGGAATTGCAGGTGCGGAGTAATGACAAGATAAAAACGGAAATTGCTATGCTCACATTAAACTCCTCTTGTTGCCAGATGCTAATTTCGATGCAATTGTTTGCCCTACTGCTGTTTTGCAGATGAATGTAAAGGTAGAGCTGTGTTTTTAACATCTTTTTGAAGACAGCTGAAAAAAAAAGACAGTTTTTCCATTCCTTGACAAAACAAACCTAGATTAATTTGTCCTGTCCTTGTCAGAAAGCTAAACTCTGCTCATTTTCAGTCTAACTCCAAAAGCCTGAAAGTCCGTCCTTCTACAACAAGATAATGTCCCCATCCATAAAACACACACCAACGCAAACACGCACACATTTGCACAATCCTCACATTTCACTTTTTTAATTAGCGGTGTCAACCCTGTTTTCCTTGCCAGTTTTCACAGTAAACAACTGGCATTCTCATTACTGCGATTACAGAAAAACCATAGCAACATTGTCCATTGTCAGCCTGGCGGAGAAACAGGTCTCCACTCGCCCATTGCACTGAAAAGGAAAACAGCTTAAAAATGTAAATGAGGGATTATTGAAATGGTCACATTCTCAGACAGGGGCAGCTCTGTGAGCATCAGCACATGCCAGATGCAAGACACAGCAAGGACCTTCTCTGTGTAGGAAAAAAAAAACAGCCATGACAGAGAGAAGACACAAAGGAAAGGAAAGGGAGAGGACATGGAGGGATGAAAAAACAGAGACAGACATGACCAGCGATTGACAGCTCACCAGAGCCTCAGGACTGCAGAGACCGGTGCAATAGCAGAAGGTGCAAGACTCCTCCGGGCAGGTTCACTGTACGGTAAATGAACTGCTCAGACATATCCAAAGTGATGCAAAGTGGAGTGATTTATTGGGTCAGCTCCACCGAGGTATGCTAGGTTACATTCCCGACACGCCTCCATCACCGACAGAGAGATTAGCTGGGGTGCTTTCATGAAGAGAGGCTTGTCTCCAAAGGAGATAACACTCGCCCAGAGAACTTAAGGCCTTGTTCGAGCGGCAATAGAGGAGTCATGAGTGCTGAGTCCGTGTCGATAATGGTATTTGAAGGGACAAGGAGTTTTGCTCTAAGTGCTCAAAAATCTGATAAAGAGAGCAAGAAAAAGGAGCAGGGATTTTTTTGGTGGCAAAAACATTCGTGGGGCAAATAGTGAGAGAAAAATAGATTTTGACTGGCAAAAAACTGTGACATGCTTAGCATTCATGCTGGCATTTTCACGAAAAAGCTGCTCTCTGTGGTGTTTCATAGCAGGAAGAGAAAGTTGAGAGTGACATTCACTCCCTCCTCAGTCCGCACAGTGCAGCACCATACATGCTGGGGAAGAAAAGAAGCTGCAGTGGGGGGTAAAAGTTAAATCTCACCCTCCATCACTACTCTTGCTGGCTGGTGGTCCATGGGGAGAAAGAGGGGAAGGTGACTGGCCCACACTGGTGGGGTTAAATAGTCCAGCTCTTCTTCTTTAGACAAAAGGAAATGGGTTAGAGGGCATGGGGAGGGAGGGGGATTGATAAAGATAAAGAGTGAAGATGGAACGAGAAGGACAGAAGAAGACAAACAGACAGAGACATATTGAGTATGGAAAAACACCAGCAGATGGATTATAACCCCTTTGACCACATCACATTCCTGGAAAGTAGAGAAAAGAGGATTACATTTGTGGGAATTAGACATGAGCCGAGTACCTGAAACAGAAAAATCTAGGGCACATGAGAAGAACAGTGAAAGTGTTTTTGCACCCGTCCCCTTCTGCCTTCCTCTCTAGTCTGCATCTTTTTTTGTCATGAGAGTGAAATCGGAGAATTACAGGATGTCAAAGACTCAGAGGATCACTTCTCAATTTGTATCAGGAGCTTCAGAGGTCGACAGGAGTTACCATTTAAAAGGCAAATCATCGCATGACTACAAGTACTTCAGCCTCTAGAGTTTCAGCTCCTCCCTCTCTGAGTATCCACCGACCCACCCAGCAACCTTTCCTCCGGCAGTCTGCTAACAACACCTATTGTTAAGTGACGGGAAGATGATACAGCCACCACTGACTGCTTTGCACGCTTCGAATCATTCAAGTTTTCCTCTATTTAGGGAAGCTCCATCTGAAACTAAGAAGTTATGCAAGAAATGTGCATCCTTGCCAACTCTTCCCAGTGAGAAACACTTGTCACACGATTTATCTGTAAATAGGCACCATGGATGGATGTTACTAGAGGAATATTTAGCACTGCCTAATAAAGTTTCTTCAGAGATGAATGTGTGTAAGCATGCAATGATAAAAAGGCGTCAAAATTACAAGATTTCATTAGAATTTCTTTCTCTAAACCCCCAATGAGCTCAGGATAATCTTTTTTTTTTGTATGTATACATGTTATACATGTGACACCAATCTGCCTTATCATCAGCCCTGAGCAGTGTCATAGTCCAACTTGAACTAGAGCTCTGAAAACCCAGGTGTAGACTCTAGCATTGACCGGTTTATTGGGGCTGAAAAGAGGATTGGCATGTATTTACTTGTATGCATGTTCACATGCCGTCTTGTTCGGCTACAGTTCCTGTCGAGATATCTAGAGAGGAGTCCTGAACTGTGTGTTAAATGCAAACAAGAGAAGTGCAGCATGTTCAATATATGAAAAAGTTATCAAGGAAAAGGCAGGAGTGATCTCTAACTTCGACAGACATCTGTGCATCCAGTAAAGTGAGAGAGATGTTTTAGTGAGCCTGTTTGAACTACTGATTATGTTTCTGTGAGCAAGTTAATGGAGATGTTATCAGCTCAACTACTGGGTCTAAGATGTTTTTTTTATGTCCCACTCATGTTTATCCAGTGACTAGTTTAGAGCAGCTGTCCTCCTCATACTGAATAATAATTGCAACAGTGAGGACTTGACTACAGAAATATATTAGAGGGGTGGGAGAAAAAATTGATTCACATAAGTATCCCGATTTTTTGTTTTACAATATTTAAATAGATTTTTTGTCCAAAATGTTCAAATTAAAGAATAAATCTTAAAAACTGACTCATATGTGATGTGTATTTTGGGGGGAAATATGGTTCCTGGAATAGTCAGTAGACAATCATAATTATTCACTGGTGTTAAAAATGAAAACTAAAGAACGAGAAAATCAACAATATTGTAGAATCCCAATTTAAATGGAATCAGCATCGTAAAAATCTAAGAAGAATCGAGAAAAGCATATCGTCCCAGCTCTAACATATAACATAACTTCAAGAAAACATTTGGAACGACAACATAGTGTCATGATATAATACTGTTACACATTTTCATATAATGACTCTTTGTTAACACTAGTTCAGCCTTGTTAGTGGAAGACTTATTTGAACTTCACTGTGAAAATTTAACCCTTTGTTGGACCATCACTGTTCCGCTCAGTCGAAAAATATGTCTCTTTAATTTTAGTCTTGGTTTTCATAAAGGCACTGGTCAAGATACGCTGACCACGGGACCTGCAAACAAATCGTGGGGGTAAAGAACCACCTGTATGGGTGCAACAGCTTGTGACCCAGATTAATGACATTAAAGATTGATTTGACTCAAGATTCGATGAATTAAATGAATCTATAAAGATTCTGGAAAAAGATAATCAAGCTGTGTTAAACAGATTGAGCAACACTGAAACAAGTTTTAGAGAAACGAAGAACCAGCACACCACAGACAGGAAAGTGAAGATCCTACTAAAGATGTGGATTATTTGAAAACTTAAATGATGCTCCTGGAGTCTCAGCTCAAAAGAAATAACTTGGAGGAATAAGGCCTGCTTGAGACAGCTGACCCAAAAGAGGTGGAGAGACAACTTTAGAACTTTCGCAGCAGCCATATTTTATACCTCTGTCGTGTGTGGAGGATCGTAAAAACATCCTGCAAGCAAGAAGCGCTTAGTCTAGGAGGGAAAGCCTTTTTACATCCACCAGGATTTACCTGTAGAGCTTCAACGTAAACGAGTGGAGTATGCTGATATCAGGGAAAGACTCTAGGGCACAGATTAGTGGTATGACATACTACTCCCAGCAAGGCTTGTTGTTGTTACCATTGATGAAAACAAGCATATCTCCAACACCTCAGAGGAAGTGTCTGCAGGACTAAAAATAAACATGCCAAACATCTTTAGATGAGTAAGAGACCTGTCAGAGCGTGCTCTGGCAGACGGACATGAGTTAGACTTTTGGTTAAATAAAAGGATTACCTTACAGTGAAGGACAGATTAAGATTGACTGTTTTATAATATACAATTCTCAGAGAAAAATAAACAATTATTCATCTATTTTTTGTTTGTTTCTGTTCATGTGGCATATTTTAGTCAAGTGCAGGGTGGTTATTAACAGTCCTGATTTCTTAATACACAAACATCAGACACATTAAATTTAAATGATTGGCCAGTGTGACTCAATGGGTGGATAATGATTCAAGTTTTTGTTAATCATGGCACACTTAAAAACTGATTGCGCCACCCTCACCATTAAAGATCTTAATTGCGCAGAGACCTGAACCCATTCGTTTCCTTTAGATTACAGATTAGAGACTGACATGGTAGCCGTCTCATTTCTAGTTTTGTGTGTATTTTCCTTGTGGCGTGTATTTGTTTTTCCTTCACGTACGATGTTAGGCCTCCAGACATCATTCCCAATCAAATGAATATTTATAGTCTATTTACACACGGGTACTAATGCAATCAAACTGGTATCATGGAACATAAATGGGATCTCAAATCAAGTCAAAAGACATAAAATCATTTCACACTTGGCATCTCTAGCATGTGATGTGACGATGTTCGAAAAGGCATACCTTAAAGAAAACGAAAGACCAAAATTAAAACAGAGATGGGTTGGACAGGTGTTCTCTTCCCCTTGTGCTGGTGCAGCCAAGGATGTTAGTATTCTTATTGCAAAGAGATTTTTTTTCAGATTCATATGACAAATTTATGACAGAACATGGAGATATATTATAGTTTCTGGTTTCTTACAAAGCCAAAAGTGTACCCTTGTTGACATTTATGCACAAAAACTGCTATTTTAGAATCATCACTGGATCTGCTTCTGGCAAAGAAAGCTAAAAGAAGGAATAGGCTGAGGCAATGCTTATATGTCACCTATCCTGTTTACACCAACAAATAATGCTTCACAGCTTCACATTACAGTTTCATATACAATCAAACATAATATAGACTAAAGTTCAGTTTTATGTTCTCATCCATGGTTTTGATAGCCATCGATCCTTTTCTGTTTGAGACATCTTTTAAATGTTGACAAGGATGTACATCACTTATATTCTTCATCAAGTCCATTCCATAAATCAAAAACAACCCCCTTTTTTTGTACAGTATGCCAATAGATTTTGAGACTTTGCTTATTATATGTTTAAAATGTGATTTCCAAGACAGCTTACTATCTATGATCACACCTAAAAATCTCGCCCTCATGTACTCGTTCGATTTCTACTCCATTCAAATATAATTTTTCATCACCTACATTTCTTTCACCTGAAAATATCATAAATTTAGTTTTATTTTAATTAAGGGATAACTTGTGACCCCTTGGTTGACTGTTCAATGGAAGAGGACTGTAGGATAACTCCTTTATGTAAGCTTGTTGCAACACAAATGCCATCTGTACCAATGTCTCTCTGGTATTCTCTTTCTTTAGGTGAAAATAATAAAAATGTAATTACAAAAAAGATCTTGCTAGGAAATATAAAGAAGATACAACAAAGAAAATGTAGTGTAATTGGAAGATAATTATAGAAAAATACACAGTTTGACGACATGAATGTCACACTGAAAGTACCTACAGCTGTTTGAATGTGTTTTACAGGCAGAAATCCAGGGAAGAAAACAGTGACAGAGGCACCAGTTTCTTTACTTAAACTAAAAGACATTCGGAGTTAAAGATGAAGCAAGGGAAGGTCCAGATGTTTGCTTGTATTTCAAAAAGGGATCATCTAACCACACTATGAGACAATAGTGCTTGATGTGCTATTAATTATACAGTTGGTTGACAGACGAGGGGGTAAAGGAAGAAAGCAGCATCTGGAGCCTCTGCAGCTGTATCGCTTCTGAAGGCTGAGACACTGTTCCTCCAGCAGAGTATTTTAATAGTGTCTTAACAGCAGGTCAACTACACCTAATTAAATCCACCTGCACTGAATAATCATCTTATTAAAATGATTGGATCAGCAGGGGGAGAGTGCTGCCAAACTGTTAAACAGATTATCCCTTTAATGAGTTTATTTGTGCTGTGTATTCGTCTCTCCACACCAAACCGGCTGACAGATACAATTCTCCTCAGCAGCAAAGGTGGAGCTCTTTCTCAAAATGAGCTATTGGCATTCTCCGAGTACTGGTTATTATTCTTGACAGCTGAGTGCCTCTTAATTAAATGACGAACATTATCTGATTCATCCAGAAGACATCCAATTCAGATGTGGAGATTTCCCGTAAAGCAAATGTGATAAAGGTGAAAAAAGCATTAAGGTAAGAAAAGTCGGAGCAAAAAATGACATGTAGTCCTTTGATTATACATTTTCAATCCAGGTCCAGCTGATAAAAGTTTGACAGAGTGAAAAATTGCTCTGATTCAGTGAGCGATGGGATCAATATCTGCCATGCTTTTGTTTGGTGTAAACATTAAAGCTTCCTCTGCGGTTTGTTTTTGTGTTGCTGAGGTGTTAAACACTCTTGTTAACTGGAGTGCCTCCAGGGTCACACAGTCTGTCCACACCTCCCACTTTTCCACAGGAATGCGTCCTTTTGTGTGGATATGTAGGCAAAGCCCTATGACCTAATACAAGTCCAAAAATACAGTATATTGTTCAGCATATGAATCACTGAGAATCTTCTTTTGGGGCATTATTGTACAAGTCTGGAAGTGTCTTTTTGCTTCAGTAACAAAATCAGGGAGGTCTTTTAAATCCTTAAAACTAAAACACTGCTGGAGAGTTTGCTAATGTTATAGACATATTTTTTTTTCTGATAACTGAATAATATCTGGTTACTCTCAGCAGGATGGTCAGTCAATGAAAAGAAACATTAATGCAGAGTGAGTGGTGCATATTTAAGGCTTTAAAGTGGACTAAAGTTGAGAAATCTTAAGTTTGACTAAATCTGATAAAAACGACAAATTACACTCCACTCCACTCCACTCCACTTTACTATACTAACCTATGATATACTAGGCTATGCTGCACTACACTGCATTATACTATGCTATGCTATACGATACTATACTATTCTATGCTATACTATACTATACTATACTATACTATACTATACTATGCTATGCTATACTATACTACACAATACTATACTATGCAATGCTGTGCTATGCTATACTATACTATACCATGCCATGCTATGCCACACTTCACTACACTACACTACACTACACTACATAATACTATACTATACTATACTAAACGAAACTTCACTAAGCTACGCTATACTAGGCTAGGCTATGCTACACTACACTACACTACACTTCACAACACAATACTATACTATGCTATGCTGTACTACACTACACTATACTAAACTATACTATACCTTACTACGCTACACTAGGCTAGGCTATGCTATACTACTCTACACCACACTACGCTACACAACACAATACTATACTATACTATACTATACTTCACTACACTATACTACAATATACCATACTTTACTACACTACACTACACTATACTATACTATACTATACCACACTACATTATACTGTACTATACTATGCTATGCTATGCTATACTATACTATACTATGCTATGCTATGCTATGCTATGCTATGCTATACTATACTATGCTATGCTATGCTATGCTATGCTATACTATACTATACTATACTATACTATGCTATGCTATGCTATGCTATACTATACTATACTATACTATGCTATGCTATGCTATGCTATGCTATACTATCCTATGCTAGATTTGACTAGACTTTTCTGGTTGTCTTGTTCCTCATCTCCTTTTTGCAGATCAAACTGAGGAATCATTATCATTTCAAGGCTGTTTTATTTCCTGTCAGAAAGACTCTTCAGTGTGTATTTAATCACAACAGTTGAGTTGATTTCGGTAAATTGCTGTATCATATTGTACACTGTATCAGGGTCACTACTTGACCTTCTAGCAGAATCTGTGTCAAGAAAACAGCTCTGGACAAATGAGTCCTCTCCCACCGCTGACTCCAGGAGATGAATGAGGAGCCTCACAGGGACAGGATATTAGAACGCTTCAAAACATCAGCCACCTGACACATCAATAGTAAACCTCAAATCAATGTTTAACGGAGCCTGCATTTAAATGAGAAAATCCAATCTATTTCCTCTGCATAATTGAATTGGTTTCTATAGCACGTGCCAGCTACAACTGAACCCCAAGGTTATCTCCATCTAAACAAGCTGAAAGGGCAAGTCTGCCACTCAATGTCGAGTGAAGTGGTGAGCTCCGTCAAACGTCTGGGGCTTATTGGACAAACAGAAGGTTTGACGGACACTTGAAAGTACAGTTTCATCTCGAAAGGTCCTGGAATCACATTTGTCAGATAAGCCTGTGGTCTGAATGGTTGGCAGTGAAGGCTATTGTAGTTGGATATGGGACGCAGATCCTTTTTCCTCCCCGCTTTGTTGCAGATTAAGACAAAGTAGAGCCGTCTGGCCGGGTAGACAGGAGCCACCTATAGCCTCCAAATGCAGGATGAGTCATTTGGAACATTCCGGAAAGGATTTCAACACCCACCCACACCCCCTCCTTTACCCCCACCTCCACCACCCCAACCCTTGTTTTTAATTACACACTATCCTATTCCTGTCTGAGGGCGTGAATTCCACAAGTAGTTTCAGGCTGCTTGGACGCATGACAACTTTACGCATAACTGCGAAGCTTTAATGCTTTGTAACATGTCCAATCAGTCAACAATGAAAATTCACAAAAACCTGAGCTGACACACACACACACACACACACACACACACACACACACACACACACACACACACACATGAATGCACAAGTGCGCACACACTTTCAATAGCATCCGTAGCACTCAGTCAGGCCAAGTTATCTCAGGTCAGTAATTGAGATGTTATCTACACAGGAGTGGATGCACTCCTGGGATCATTCAACATGGCCTCACCAGTCGTTTCCATTCACGCTGAATCAGCCCTCTCTCTCCTTTTCTCTTCCCTCTCTCTCCACCTCCTTCCCTTGTGATTAAAGCCTCTCACTTCTCTCAGTGTGATGGCAAGCCAGCTTCCACTTATGGAGTAAATGGCAACTTTAATTCACCAGTGTTGTGCAGGAGATCTGGCCATAATAAACGATGGTTACTCCTCCATCGCTCACTGCAGAGGCTTGTCAGCAAGGGTGTGTTTTGCTGTTCGAAGTAAGAGTTATTCCAGTACTGATACCAGCATCGGAAAATGCCTCCAATGCCATCAAAAACACAGGATTGGATATCAAGGGTATGTTAGTCTGTGAAGTCAACTGAACTCCCTAGTTAGTTGGTGCTAAATCAAATCGAATCAAATGGATTTAATGGGAATAAGTTTTATTCACAACAACCAAACAGTGGTCAAACAGAAAGCTATGCTGTGCTGTAGGCTGACTTGTAACTTTAGAAAAGCAAAGAAGGACTGGTTCCTGGTCGTTTATCTTGTGACAACAGCAAACGTACAGAGAATGTAACATTAGTCAAAGGTGAGCTCAATATTTCTGTTTTACAGCAAAAACAAACCTTTCCAGTCATAGTACACTGAAAGTTTCCTGACCCTATATTTTAGTGCATTACTTGTTTTGAGGTCAGGATTTGTCCACAGCCCCATAAGCTTCGCTGACGGAGGCAGGATTTATGACCTTTACTGCAGCCCGTCACCAGAGGGTGCTGTTCTCGGAGGGGCTTCACCCAGCGAGGAGGCGGACGGTGTCCATTCTATATACAATCTATGCTCATACCAGGCTATTGGAATAAATACTGGGACAGAAAAACTGGCGTTGAAAGATCTTAGAGCAATTGCATCCCCCCTTTTTTTGTGCAAAAAATATGTAAGATATCAGCTTACCTATCAGCTGGACCTGATTAAAAATGTATACTCAAAGGTGGTTTGATGTAAGATCATTAACAACAGACAGATCAATCTAAAAAGTGACTGCCAGGTTCCAGACGAGAGCTCACCTTGGTTGCAGGTCTTGCCGGTGAAGCCAGGGTGACACTTGCACTTGTTGGGTCCCATGCAGTCTCCGTGCTTGCAGCCGGGCTGACACACAGCTATTCAGGGAGGATTCAAAGAGGAAGAGAGAGATCAGCACAGAGCCCTGGAAGACGACTTGTTTAAGATCAGGATGACAAAGCACTTAATCTTGCCGCTTCTTCGCTTGTCAGTTTACTACAGCAATGAGAAGAGTGTAGTTTTTTTCCTATAGGGGACGTGTTTTGTTCCTTCTTTGTGACTGTGTTAGAGCTTTTATCATTGGCTAATCAGAATTAAAGCAGCCTTTTTCGGCTAAAATGTGATCCTCCTCGCTAAAACAGCATTTTTTCATTTTGCATGTTACACAGAAGAAGCCTGGACACCGTAAACAAGTTAGCTTTGGTTTTTCTGCTTCTGCTTTGTAAATGCAGCACTGATATTGAAAGTTGCATGCAGCCAACTAGATGAACCTATGCAAATATTTTCCCCCCTGAGACCGATGCTGAAACAATTGGAGCACCAAAACAGCAAAATATAATTAGCGCCTCACTAAAGCACTGCCCTGCAGATCATCCACAGTGAGTGGATGATGATATTTTGGGTGCGTTCAGAGACATACTACCCAAATTCAGCAGCTCTCTGTGCTCTGTCTCAGTGAGCTGGAGGCTTGCCCCGCTGCTTATCTGACTGCACTCACTGCAGCCTGCTGCTAAGCATGTCTGATACACTGGGCCTCAGCCAAGTGTTACTAATTTTCATTAAAAGCTTCATTAATTCTGTCATAATACAGTGCAATCAGAGGACTTAATTATCGCTGCGGTGGAGGAGGCAGAACATACATGTGTGTCTGTGTGTAAGAGAGATATAAAGAGAGGAGTTGCTCCCAGCATATCTGGCGAGGTCTGATGGTGGTGTTTTGTTTGTGGCCATGTTCTTGTTTTGTTTACTTCATTGTTGTATTGGTGTTGCTTTACAAAATTCAGACAACATTTTTCTTGGAACTGTAATTTCAAACAAGAGGGTTTTACTTTTGGTGTGACATGTTTTACTTTTGTAAGGAGAGTAAAAAAAAGAATAGACTCAATATTTCAGTTACATTTGGTGGAAAATTGAGAAGCCTTTTAGTCTGAAAACCACTTCACTGAGTACTACATGTGCTTTAATTTGCTGAAGCCTTTTTGCTTCCAAATGAAAGAGGAGTAATGATTTTTTCTTCCGGCGACTTTGTGTTTGTACAAGGTCCTAAATTTCGGTGTGGATCTCGCCACCATGAAGAATTTATATTCCTTTTTGTCCAACTAAACTGAACTAGAGCCAATTTCCCAGGCTCCTTATTTCACAAATGAGGACAGACATCATCTTTGGGGTCTGAACAGATTTTACATTATGTTAACTTCTTTACAAAACCCACTCCACCTTTAGAACTTAGACTCGGATGAGCCCACACTGCCATATGGTGGAGTCTGTTCTGTAAACTCTTGACCAGCTTGTGCATTCGCTATAAAATTTCTACTGCATGCATAATGCACCTATCATCTCTTCTGCGAAACTAAGTGGTTTTGAAGTTTGCATTAAACCGTGAAAAATAAGTGCTCCATGTTTTCAACTATAATCAATTTGGTGAAGGCTTCTTTCATAACGCTGAGGGACACAGAATAGAAAGATTGAATAATACTCTATTTATAAAGTGCAGTCTTTCATAAATTTCTACTCGAGAACGTACAGAGAAGCATCTTTAGCTCCTCGGGTTTCAGTCTGCAACATTGTTCAGATTGAATTCAAAGGCACAAAGGTATGTGTTGAATCCTTAAACTGGAGTCGATAACATCTCCAGACTCATTCTACTTTATTAAGCTTTGTAATCTAATAGAAAGAAAGGATTGTTAGCCTACTTTGAGAGGCCTGTGATATGAGCTTTACTGTGAACACTCTGAACAGACAGAGTTTGGGAGCAGAAATTAAAGAAGGCAAAATATGTTGGAGGAAAAGAGTTGCACTCCAGAGGAAGTTTATTGGCGCTCGCTCTGGTCTGGAGATAAAATGAAAGCCTCTGATCTTGTTAGTTAGTGGGCAGCTGCATGGACTTCTTTTTGTTCCTCTCCTACATAGCGAGGGTTTGATTAGCAGGATCAGAGGCGGATATCAGCAGGCTCGGCCTCTGAGGGTATTTTTAAGCCTCTGGTCTGGCAGAAAGAGAGAGAGAAGTTCATTAACGGCGGCAGAGGACACGCAGGACTAAAAATGGTCGTACCAGCTGGATGGCCAAACATAGCACACATGTCCCTCATTCGTTCCTTAAATGCCATCAAAAGTTGCCAAGTGATGACACATTTTCTCTGTAGTTTACATCAGCCGATCCTCAGGATAATTTAGCGCTGCTGACACAGATTCTTTTGATTTACTGATGGCTCATTGGCGCCTTATGTTAACACAAAAGACAGTATTCTCTGTAAATGGATAACAGTGCATTGCATTCATTTATCAAAAGGAGCTGGGAGAAGCATGCCTTTGTTAATTACAAGTTGCATCATCTCACAATCAGCAAAGCAATTACCTGAGGCTACATATTATGAATATTTCATCATGAGTGTATTTGATTATTATATTTTCAGCTTAATCAAATCATTGCTCTGCCTGTAAAATAGATGGAAATGCTCGGAAATGATCATTTGTCAGACCATTATCCAAAACTTTTAAGTATTTGTCAAAGTCAGAAAAAAACGAATGCTAAATCCATATTAATGTATTTTATTCTCAATTAATAATGCCTTAACATAACTTAGCATATCAGCTGATCAATTATTGAACACATTTGAGACTAATTTTCCTGTTTGAAGGATGGATCATCTGTAGTTGAACTTGTGTTGTTGTAGTTTGTATGCAGTGAGAATGTCACACATCAGCTGCATAATGTCATACCAGTGATGAAGTGTGTTTGCATGCTCCATCCTGCTCCCGTTTTCCATATGTTTATGTATGCAAAGCATCTCCAACCACCGTAAATACTTAGCTTTTTACACTGCACTGTACAGATGGATATATTACTGATAGATTAATTAAAAAACATTATGGATTTCAGCTCCAGGGGTTTCATTATCATTCCAAAGGGGTGGACGAGACGGGCTGCTGAATCTTAACAAGACACCAAAGAGTTTCAGCATAATTCATGTTCGACATGGCTGCAGGTAAAACCAGGTCTGCAGAGTGAAGGCTGTTTGCATTTTTCTATAAGGCCAGAGGGAGGAAAGTGGCTGCAGCCGAGGGGCATGAGGCATTTTTAGTGATGTGTGTGTGTGTATGGGTGCCCATGTGTGTGTGTGGAAAGGGTGGGTTTGGGTCTATAAATAAGTAAGTGAGCTCAGGATTCAGAGGATATGCCCCCAGCAATACATGTCCAGCAAGATTATTTGAAGAAACATGGTGAGCTAACCTTGGGGCTGGCACCTTATCCCGGCTACTCTGTGAGTTAAGGCGAAGAGAGCTGCAAAACAAATAGCCAAACACACAAAGGTTGCAGGCATTGCTCAGAGTGTGAGAGGAAAAAAAAAAAAACATGAACATGATGTTAGAGGGCACAGCCAGGTCATTGTGACAAGCAAATGTTCCTGGGGATTAAAAAAATAAACACTCAAAACACACACTCATACACACACAAACACCTACTGTACATACAGGTGCATCTCAATAAATGAGAATATCATCAAAAAGTTCAATTTCAGTGATTCAATTCAACAAATAAAACTCATAAATTATATTGATTCATCACTATCAGACTGATATATTTTAGATGTTTCTTTTCATTTTGATGTTTGTAACTTACAGCTGATGAAAACCCAAAATTCAGTATCTCAGAAAAGCCAATTTAGGGATTTTAAGCACATAAAATGTTGGACTACTGAAAAGTATGAACATGCATAGCCATCGATACTTGGTTGGGGCTTTCTTAACGTGACATGGGGACCATCAGTCTGTGGCTCTACTTAGATGTTATGGAAGCCCAGGTTACTCTGATAGTGGCCTTCAGCTCTTCTGCATTGTTGGGTCTGGGGTCTCACATATTCCTCTTCACAGTACCCCATGGATTCTCAATGGGGTTTAGGTCAGATGAGTTTGCTGGCCAATCAATTGAAGGGCTACCACGATTCTTAACCCAGGTAGTAGTACTTTTGGCAGTGTGGGCAGGTGCAAAGTCCTGCTAGAGAATGAAATCAGAATCTCCATAAAGCTGGTGCGGAAGTGCTCTAAAAGTCCCTGATAGATGGCAACACTGACCTTGACAGTGGAAGCCCATGTCCCTTGAATCACTGACACCAGCAGCAGTCCACTTCTTGTGAATTTCCCTGAATTCTTGAATGGGCTTCTTTTCACAATCTGCTCAAGGCTGCAGTTATCTGTGTTGCTTGTTCACCTTTGGCCCCCTCATTTTTCCTCCTATTCAACTTTCCATGAATGTGCTTGGATACAGCTCTCTGTGTACAGCCAGCCTCTTCAGCAATGACATTTCATGTCTTACCCTTCTTGTTCAGGGTGTCAGTGATCGTCTTCTGGACATCTGTCAAGTCTGCAGTCTTCCCCATGATTGTGTGACCTATTGATCCAAACTGGTGGTCCATTTAATGGCTCACTGCACCTTTGCAGGTGTTTTGAGTTGATCATTTAATTACAATGTGACACCATAAGTCTTCAATGTTGAAATTCTTCACATATTCAAATTTTCAGAGATACTAAATTTCGGGTTTCATTTGCTGTAAGTTAGAATCGTCAAAATGAAAAGAAATAAACACTTGAAATACAGATATCTGTCTCTGTGTGATGAATATGAGTTTCACTTTTTGAAATGAGTCACTGAAATAAATCATTTTTTTGACAATCTTTAGATTTATTGTGATGAACCTGTACATAAACACAATCTGGAGTTTTGGAGTCACACATATTCCCAGTTGCCTCTGGAAAAAGAGGTCAAGTTTGGATGTTTCATAATTCGGTTGAAATTTAAAAAATAAAGTACCAAAGTTCACTCTGTTTTGGTATCAATTATAAGAAATGTTAATGGATATTTAAGAAAATGGAACAAAGTAGTGGAGTTGATGCCATAGTTGTGTTGCCTGAGAAATTGCAACAGAGCTCACCTATCAGTCAAACCTGCCCTGACTCTGATTGTGCATAAATATGCATGACTTTGAGCTTTAATATACACAAACCCAGTAACAACATACACACCTAATGCTGAAATCTTTAATCCTGATGTTCTGCTTATTGTTCATAGAGAGTGAGAGCAGTAGCACAAATCTAACTCATTATATATCCCTAAGAGAGAGAGAGTGCAGTGCAGACAACATACAGCAGGTGAAATCATCTGCTCCTCCTCATCCTCAAAGTTATACAATCTTTAAAAACAACTGACCATGACTGTGGGAGTTGCACCATCAGACGGTGCAACTACTTACATATAAGCAGTACATAAGCTCTGTCCTAAATAAGACACTACATCTAAACTACAGTTGAACTTGTGTACAGCTGGTGCAACCCGGTGCAGAACAGTTCTGCTGTAGAGTTAGACATTTTAATGTGGGGCCAACTGGGGTTTTTCTGGCACCGGTCTAAAGTGGACATAGCAGTTTTTGTTTTTTTTTTGCACTTTGCATTGGCTTCATTTTTCAACACAGCAAGTTGCTGCTTGTTTACAAAATTATTCAAATGAATTAAAACTCACTTGCTTTGATATAAAGATAAAGGCTGCAGCTTCCTAACTGCTGACGGATTGTTTTTTTTTCCCCATTTAAATGAAGCACCATTAGAGCTTGAATTACATCAAGTAACTCTAAACCCGTGCCTTTTATTTCTGTTTATATCCCCTCTAATTTCTCTAAGCAAACCCTCCCATTTGTTTTCATCTTATTAGTGCATGCAGAGGGAAAGGCTCACATCCACACAGGCCTTTACAGCCCAGTGGTCATGAAAGAAAACCAAAGTCTCAAGGAGACGGCGCAGACTGTCATGATAGAGTGAATAACTTAAACTGAGATATCACTTCTCCTCTTTCATCACTGTCTTGTTAACTTCAATTACTTATTCAAAAGTCCTGCCTTAATCCTGTCCTCACCATTTGTCTAAACAAAGACTGAGCTCAGTCACAAGCAATCCCAGCTTCAATGGATTTTAAACCCACCAGGAGCTCTGAAGAAATTATAATGCGTGATCTATCTAATATGGAGGTGATATTCTACCCGGTTCCTTCACTATGCAGTCACTATTCACTCTTCTCTTTGTAAGTCTTTCAGAAGACAAGAGTCAAACAAAACCCCTTTGAGAAATTTCAGAGTCACCTAATGAATCTTTCAAAGGAAACCGCAGGCCAATTCAAATCTTTTCATGCTCTTATCCCTGTTTTTAAGACGTGCTGATTACTGTCTCATTTTATTCCCAATTAGAGTCCAATCAGAGTTTTGATATTTATTTCTGTGACTACAGTGTCAGTCCACCTTGTGTGGGGGTCTGATCTCTTAGCAATGACTCCACACATGGCCATAGCAACAACGCAGAAGAATCCGTAGTTGCTATACAAAAAGGACCACTTAGAATTCAGTCATGAACTCAAATTCCATCTAAATATCATCTTATTGTCAGATACAACTGGAAAATGAAGTCTAACGAGACGTCAATGAAAGACATTGAGATAAGTTTAATCAGTCTTTTCTCTTATCAAGAATGTCGATCCCTCATGTGCTGGCACTTATAGAGAGGCTGCGCTGATTTGATTTTAAAAATGCCTGCAAACTCATTAAAAAGAGGAAGATTTGATTTTGATGTTGATATGCCTACAATTTGTGATGCTCATCCGTCATCGTCAGGGTCAAACATCTTTTAATGATTATCTATCTTCTTAAATTTCTCTTAGCTGAAGTCCTCTTGAATTTTACTTAACACACATGCACACAAATGTATTAGGTCTGTGTGTGTGACTATTAACTCAACAGGGTGGTAATATTTCAGTGAGCTGAGCCTTATTTTCTCAGGGCTCCAAAAGAAGATATGGGTCCAAAGTCACACCACAGGGCTCTATATTTGGCGCAAGGCTAGTTTGGTATTTTGGTAGACTGAGGTGCATTGAGGTGCGCCAAGCTGGGGGTGTCGGCGCAGTAGGGGGAGGTCGATCTAATGTTCTCACATCCTTAATATTCAGCAAATAATTGATTTATTTTGTGATCTGTGCACACAACCCAACTTTGTCTTTGGGGTTTAAATATATGCAACTTGGTGTGATTGTCTTTATTTGTGGAAAAGGTTGGTTGTCTTACCAGTGGGTCCAACCTTCCACCCATCAAACCCCTCTGTGCTTATTTGTGAGTGCGGAAGACACCCTCCACAGCGCTTACCAAGACACTTGTTGAGGGGCTTCGTCTTGTCGCCATCTTGTGGCGTTGCTGTCTTACGCTATCTCTTGATCTCTCAGACTACTTCACGAAATTTGAAATACACCTTGCCGGTAATGGAGGGTGAGGAGAGGAGCTGATGTGATTGGTGAAAATAGGACTCGACTATGTTAAACCCATTCCACGCCTTCTCCCCTACCTCTACCTTACTTGTGCCGCTGGGAGGAGCTGAGTTAGAGAGGGGGGCTACTTGCGCCGCTCACCAAAATACCAAAGTGCGCGTGGGCGTGCCTCATCGGCACAGCAGACCCGACTTAAGCCGCCAGCGAGGCACAAAAATAGAGCCGTGAAGTACTTAGTGCAAGCAAACTCCTGCGCACTGTTAGTGACAGGTTAATTGGCAGCGTTTAGGTGCTGAAATGAAGCCAGTGAATGTGCTTTTGACAGTTAGACAATGTGCAGGCGTTATCTTGCCATTTCTCAAGGACTGATTCCTCTCCTACATATCTGTCTTATGAAACAGGTGAGTCTTAAGAAAGAAATCTTACATTAAAATTCAAAATGACCTTCTGTACTGACTACCCGCTGAAACAGTCCAAATTGCTGGTTTTAATGTCAGCCCTCCTGGACACACCCTGGACAGACTGCTTGGCACAAACACTCGTGGGATTGACCTGTTGATTGGTTGTTCTTTGTTTTCGTTGGAAGTGACTAATTACTGGATTAAACTGGAAATACAATTGATGAACAAACGCTCAAATTGTCACACTGGCAGTAAAAGGAGCCCGATGGCAGCTGGTTAGAATCGGTTTGGCTCTGCCTGCCGGATGGCCTGTCAGAACATTATGAGTGGAGCCTCAGTTTACTATAAATCTACAGCTCCCCTCTCTGTCTCCATCTGCCTGATTTTCTCACTCTCTCTCTCTCTCTCTCTCTCTCTCTCTCTCTGTCCTGATGTCACACCCCCGCTCCAACAGTAATCATCTCTAACTCCTGTAACCTCTACACTGTTTCCCTTACACTGCAGGATTTTCACTTTCCCCCTCTTTTGGTCCTTTTTTCTTCCCTCTTTTCGGTTTGTGAGCTTTGATTGATAAAAAAAAAGGAACCAACTTGATCCATGGCGTATCGCATTCTTTTGAGGATAGTCTGATACAACTCCAATCTAAACTCTTTTATAGCCAAGATCTTGAAATCGGTAATGACTGCTTCCTCTCACACACATGCAAACAAAAAGGTGCACACACACTCACGTATGATTGCACTTCCTTTCTTTACCATACCTTCCAGCGCCCGCCCTGAAGGTTTAAATCAGAACCTCCCTGACTTGATGGAATACTAATTGTGGTCTCAAGTGAGTGGATTTGTGCTGTGCACCCAGTCAGGAGCATTTGAAAGCATTAAGGCGAGCACTCAGCCAGTGATTTAACTCACAGCGCAGGCATGATTTTGTTGAAAAGAGGAAAAAAAAAAAAACAGAGCAGCGGCTTATACTCTATAGCAGATTGATGTGGTGGTTAGGCACAAAATTAGCAGTTATTTTTGGGATGATGGGGAACATGTGGGACTCCAGAACAACAAAGGGAAAACATGTTGACACACTGCTGGTTGGCTGGTGGAGTAATTGATGCAAGCATTTTTCTTTTATCTGACTCTGCTTAATTTAGTGTCAAATACACAAGACCAAAGCTAATAAATGCTGTGTTTTTAGGAGCTATGAAAGCAAAATGAAAGCGGGCTGCTGCTGCGGCTGCTATCTAATATTTTGTTTGGATTTAAGTAAGTATAAAATGAGACCATGAATCTTGTCTTATTTCATGATCCAAGCCTCTCTCTCTCTCTAATGAAGTCATCCTTGTCTTTCTTGTCCTGACCCCAAAACCCAAATCTAGTCCAACTTGTATTTTCTGAACATGGATGAGAAGCTTTAAAGGCACAGAGCCCGGCACAGATGCACTGGGAGACATTGGGCACTGAGATGTCTGACTCCTGCCAGGATTACTGCTGCTCCTGGCCCCGTGTTAAAACAATACTATCAAATGATACATTTGAGCTGTCTGGGTAAAACAATGGGGATTTTGCTGAGATCATACCAGCACATATTGTGTAGTTAAAGTGTCAAGGCCTTGGGAAAAGGTAAGAGAGTTTTTAGAGAGGCCAGCTATCATAGAAAAACAATACATAGCTAAGATTAACAGCCATAAAATCAGCCCCCGTCTGTCCCAGAAGCCACTGGCATAACTTGTTTTCTGACTCCAAGTGTTTATACAAGAATAAAATTATCATATTTTGTTTCTAGTCGTCATGAAGCAGAGGTGGATAAAAAGCACATTTGTCTAGCAAAGACCTAAGGTTAATCTGGCTGAGCTAAAAGGAATACAAAACACTAGAGCCGTGAACTCAAGTGAGCCTGTTTGTGTTCTCCAGAACAAAATAAGAAATCTTCCAAAACACTCCGACATGAAGTGAAATAATGGCACTCTGCCATTTTTACACAGAATTGGAGTGAAAAACAGCTCCTGAACCCCAGCAAATTCAGCTCTCTTTTAGCCGAAGCAGCACAGAGCTCTCGGCCAAACAAGCAGTGTGTGACATATTCCCCACAAAAATATACAAAACACAATGAGTTAAACAAAGGTCAGCTTAAGCACAGCACAATGAGCTAATACACAGAAGTACATAAATCAAAGTATGGTAATTTCATTAATGAGGAACACAAAGTATTAATCAACAACCCTGAGCAACATGCATCTTCATGAATTTTCATGTTTAGGTCTTTTCTGCAGCAGCGATTTCACAACCCATGACCTGGAGCTTACAGTAAGTCCCATCTATAAGACCTCAGAGGGATACAGTACCATGTTCTGCTTTGTGTTTCCACTATACATGCTTCCCTGAACTGTTTTGTAGGGGGAGGGGCTGCTGTGAGATAGGCAGCAACAGAAAAATGTGACTTTAACGGGAATAAAAGATGAAAAATTGGATCCCTGCAAAGAGAGAAAGAACTCCAGAGGAGGATGGGGACATTCAAAAGTAGGTAAATAAACTGAAGGATGAAAATTAAGTTCCTCTTAGCTTATCTTGTGTTGTGCATCTCCATTTAAAGCAATAAATGTATACATGGCAGCTGTTCAGTCTTCCCTTTTCTATTCTATAAGTGGTCGCAGTAATGAAACGCACTTTGCTGCCTACGTCTTGTGTTTGTCGTAGTCATGGTCTGTTTGATCTGATGACTAATGCGCGTTTCATCTCGAAAAACTCTGCCATCACCCTGTGGCGGTGTCTGAAATGTCAAACTTTTGATCAGAAAGCCCTACAAGGCAGAGATGACTGATTGAAAGTAATTTGTAGAGGGAGTGTGACGCCGAGCAGTGGAAACAAAAACAGAGTCTGAGTTAATGGGTACAAGATAAAGCAACAAGAGCAATACTTGATTTCTCTCCTGCAGACTTAGATGAGGAAATCAATATTAAATATTAACTAGCATGCTGGATATTAATGACAGTCAATGGTCAATTACAGACGGCCATATTAGTATCTATGCCTCGGTCTTTAACAGAAAAAAAAGCATTTAAAGTAGTTCAGAAATTGTGCCATCTGCCAGTTTTATCAGCAGTGATCTTTCAACACTGTTTGCAGCACATAAAGCAGACAGTGAAGCACGTTTACATGTAGTTTGGTTGAGCCATGGTTATATCTTCATCAGGCAGTCTAACGGGACTTCTGTCTGTACCAAGGACTGATTAGTTGTCTGAAGGGTGAAAACATGGACAACTTTACAGCTCTGGAACTTTAATATATATATGATGTGACAGCTGCGTCTTTCCGGATTTCCTCTCTGTCTCCTTCGGTGGAGATTTAGTTTCATACCCAGCTGCCTTCAGCAAATGTATGCGTACAGACCGTGGAGCATGCAGAGAACGCTTAGTCCAGTTTAGGTCAGACTGAGGTGAATACATGAAAGACAACATCAGTCCTTACAGTGTTTAGGTATGTTAATCTAGACTCCAAGAAATTTGACTTAGTGGGTTTAGGAGCCAAGGGTGATGTGCACCACAAAACTATTACTTTTTGTGATAAAGTTACATTTTTTAGAACAGTTTTTGTCAAGGAACCGTTTGTATTTTTATCTGTAGTCATATTTTTTCCAAAGTTTCTGCACAGTCTACAGAAAAATCCTGCATCAGGTAAGGTCAAGCAAACACAAAGCTCCGTTTTGTTTATCGCAATATGAAGCTACTACTGCTAAAACACAGTTAATTTTGCTTAATGGTTGTAAACAGTGAGAAACTGCTCGCCTGGCTCTGTCTGTAGTTTCATATTTAACAGACAGATATAGGAATAGAACTGAGTTCCTCATCTGACTCTTGGCAATCAAACATGCATCTCTATAAAACAACTTCTTGGAAATTATAAATATCCCTTCAAATTGAGATTTGCAAGAATTCTGCTGCAGTAAAGGCCTATTTATGTGTTAACCCCTTCTTAAGTAAACCTCCAGAGCGAAGCAGAGCAGCTACACCAGCATAGACACCGAGACGCACAGAGGATCCGCTGGGCAACATGCCAGATTTGAAAACCAAACTATATCCACGCCTCCCTGGAGTAGCATTACAGAAGAGCATAGCATCCTTACACAATGTAAACATGTTGCAAATGTTATGTGCTGGTATGTCATAAAGGCATGTGGTATTGAAAGGAGACATCCTCTGAATCCTTCATCTGTGTGGCTGAATATACGTATGTAAGAGTCAAGGTCTACACACCTGATGACATAAAATGTGTTTTCACTGCTTGACCTGATTTTTTATGAAAGCTGTGACCGTAATCAATCTCTAGTCTGGTACTGAATGTTCCCACCTGCGGCTACACCTTCTCCTTCACTAAGACCACCTGCAGAGTGAAAATAAACATCAGCTGGTTCTCCTGTCCTACCAGCCTTAACCATCAATCTTTACTTACAGATTATCTCTGGTGTGATGCCCCATTAGCTGTGTGCATCTGCTCTAACAATAAGTGCATATGCATGTGTGCGTCAGGTGTGTGTGTGTGTTTCCCCAAGCCTGTTCTGGTTTCACTGTGGTGGCTTCACAGTGTCTCCTCTGTCTAATAGCATCTTTGACCCCAGCTTGAAACCTGGCAACCTTATTAGCCCTGTTTGCACCCAGCAGCAGCAGCAAGCACGGTGGCACTCACGCTGGCAGTGACCCCAGGAGCGGCGAGTCCATCCCCAGCAGCAGTCCACCCGGGCACCATAGCGACACAGGCCATTGGACGAGGCCATCTGTCGTGGCCACCTGTGACAGGACAACATAATTAGTTCATAGCCAATTAAAATGTCCAAATGAAAAGCAGGGGTCTTTCTTAGTGCTGTTTTGAAGGAGGCTTCAAAGTACTTCCATGAATCATTACATTTTCCTGCTTGGGAAAACAAAAGCTGAGGCAAAGTTAACAAAACTCTGTCTGGCAAACAAAAAAGAAGTACTTGCATAATTGATTGTTTCAGATGTTTTCTGGGGAAGCGAATCAAGTTAGGAGTATAAAGTCAGATATTTAATGTTATATAAAGGCTAGCTTTGCATGGGGTCGGTGCATAATCACCTACTCACTGTACATTGTACCTACACATTGACCTTAATCTTACCTACGAGCAAATTTCCAATCACGACAATGACACTGTTATGTTTTAGTTCAAATGTGAGGAACAGTCAAAAGAGAAGAGCTAGATGAACTAACAGGACATCCTGGTTCATAAACTAAAAGCATCTCTGAGATGTGGTCTGGTGCAAGTCAATGCACAAGTACAAGAACTTTAAAATCAATACAAAAACTAACAGGCAGCCAGTGCAAAGATTTTTAAATAGGAGTTATTTGTGCTCTCCTTCTGTCCTTCTGGTTTCAGTCAGCACTCTTGCTGCAAGAGTTTGGATTAGCTGCTGCTGGTTTATGGTTTTCGTCAATAGACCAGTAAGGAGAGCATTACAGCAGTCTAGCCTGCTGGTTCTTAAAACATGCAGTAACCTCTCTGTGTTGCTCCCAGAGCGCACATGTGGTCTAAAATTAAAATCAGAATCAAATAAAACCCCCTAAATTTTTGCTGTTTGGCTTGAATTTAGTCCAAGCTTATTGAGTGTAGAGGCCTTTTTTTCTCTCTGAGCCTTTGAACCAGTGATGAGTACTTCTGTTTCATCCTGGTTGGGCTTTAAGAAGAGAAGTGTTGATGTTTTAATTGTTCATTATAATGTTGGGCAGTGATACAAAAATGTCATAATCTCATATTCAACCTCCACAATGCAAAGATGGTCTATTAACTATCATAATCACAAAAAGTCAGCAGTGAAGAGGCTGGAAATAGAAGTGATACTATAATCCATTTTGCTTGATGATAAAAAAAAAATGTTCAAACTTTACTTTAAACTTTCTGTTTGTATTAGATTGACCATTACATGATCATTGACCTTTGTTTTGTTTGTTTGTGTAAATGAGCCTGGATGAGCTCTCTTTATTGAGAAACTAGACAGACAGACAGATAGACAGATAACACCAACCTTACTGTAGGAGCCAAAATTATATTTGTTCAGAGTACGATTTTTTACTAGGTAAGTCACTTCCAGGGATCATCACTGAGGGGTGTGGTTTTGTGATGTTTGGCAGGTTATGTAAATCTCACCGGTGTAGTCAGACAATTGGGTTGTGGTCAGCTCTGATAATTTTCTGTTGACTGTTTCACTCATCCAGTTTTAACCTCATTTTATCATAACACTTTTTTCATTTGAAGGCAGAAGTTTTTAGACCTGGATCAATGTGTTTTTTCTTTTTCGGAACTATAAACCACTTTTAACACTCAAAAGGGACTGATAATTGAACGAGTCACAGATGCAAGCGAACCTAAACCCCAGCGGCCTTTTTGTTGAAGGAAAGCAGTCGCTACACTTACTCTGCGCAAATTTTTTAAAAGTCTGGCCTGAATGTAAATGTCTGGTACATGACGAAAACTTTACTTGTGAAGTTTATTTTTAAATGTAAAACCATCACTTTGAGATATATGATTAAAAGACTTATCATGAGATAAAAAACTCTCACTTCATTTCCTCAGAGAGCTGAAATCTGTCCTCTCACTGCTCCCCTTCAGCAGACGATTTTGGCATGGTGGAAATCAAACTGATGGCACATCAGATGGAGTTGGTTTGTGTGATGTCAAAGTGGAGACCTGTGTTGAAAGGCTGCCAGACTCAATAAGTACAGCCTTCTGTGTAAAATCAGTGCACCACTGACACTCAATTCACTGCTCTGTTCATCATGAGGCCTGCAGTGAAATAGATCGAATGCTGTACTGTATATGCCTAACCCTAACCCTGCTTCCTATAAAAGAAAGTCTACATTTTCCATCTCCTGCAAACCTTTTATCTCTTACACATTTCTGTGTATATCTCTTTTACAAGTAGAAAGAATCAAGCAGACGTTTGGTGACAGCAGGTGCACTATAACTCCTCTACAGACAGAAAGGGCAGGTATTGGTGTTTTTACAGGACTACATTTTCACAGAGAGAAATTACAGACGGATGTTTTTGTTACACCATGTTCCATTCAGCTCAGAGCAAGAAATAGCTTCTTGGCAGACAGAGCATGTGGATTACCTTTTTATCTGTACCAAGGCTCACCACATATTTATGGAGAGAATGGGGCGAAGGAATGAGTCCATTTAAGGATACTGTTGAAAATCCAAGATGCATTCCAAGAGAGGCTGGCTCTAAGATGATGCCAGAAACGAGCCGAAGCGACGTGAATGAGGAGACAGTACAGACCAGTAAAAATAGGAAAACTATCTACCTCCATGATAAAAACTACACTGCTTTGTTATTAAAAAGGTCTCAGCTTGTGAGACTTTATATTAATAACTCAATCATATAAATACATGAAAGTGAAATAATTAGACTTTGTTTTCTAAAGCTGTACAGACAGGCAGAAAAGTCAAAAATCTAGTATCAACACAAAGGAAGATTCCTCTCATTAGGCTTTTTTTGGACAAAAGATACTTCTCTCTAAATTATGTTTTTGCTCAGTATTCAAATCACATCTTATACCGCTATGCCTGCCTGTTAGAGTCTCGATGCCAAGATGAGGAAATGCTAATGCTTGCCCCCGCTGCCAATCACCTCACTGGAAAAAAACCCAGATGGATGCTAAGTGAGAGTGGCAGATTCAGGGAAAATGTTTGTCTGCTGCCTGGCAAGAAGTGAGGCAGCCAGTCAGCCAGGGAGGAGCAGGGAAGATGAAAGAGGAGAGGAGAGGAGAGGAGAGGAGAACACAGAGAGGAGAAGGAGAAGAGCAGAGGAGAGGAGAGGAGAGGAGAGGAGAGCACAGAGAGGAGAGGGAGAAGAGCAGAGGAGAGGAGAGGAGAGGAGAGAAGAACACAGAGAGGTGAGGAGAGGAAAGAAGAGGAGAGGAGAACACAGAGGGGAGGGGAGAGTAGAGGAGAGGAGAGAAGAGGAGGGGTGAGGAGAACAGGGAGAAGAGCAGAGAAGAGGAAAGAAGAGGGGAGGAGAACACAGTGAGGAGAGGAGAGGGGAGGAAAAAAACATGGAAGGAGATGAATAAAGAGGAGAAAATCAGGGAGAAGAGGAGAGAAGAAAGCATGGAGGAGAGGAGAGGAGAAAAATAGGGAGGAGAGGAGAGGAGATAAACAGGAAGGAGCGGAGAGGAGAGGAAAGAAGAGGAGAGGAGAAAACAGGAAGGAGAGATGGGGGGACAGGGAGGAGGAGAGAGGAGGGGGGAGGAGAAAACAGTAGGAGAGGAATGAAGAGGAGAACAGAGGAGACAAGATGAGAGGAGAAAACAGGGAAGAGAGGAATGAAGAGGAGAAAATCAGGGAGAAGAGAAGAGGAGAAAAACAGGAAGGAGAGGAGAGGGGAAGGGGAAAACGGGGATGAGAGGAGGGGGGAGGAGAAAAAAGGGGAGGATAGAAATGAAGAGGATAAAATCAGGGAGAAGAGGACAGAAGACAGGAGCAGGAAGGATACAAGAGGAGAGGAGGGGAGAGCAGTAATGGATGGATGGATGGATGGATGGATGATGGATGGATGGATGGATTAATTACTAATCAATTAACTGATGAAAAAAGAGAGGTAGAGGAAAGAAGCAAAATAAAAAGAACATGAGAGAAAAGCCAAAAGAAGAGGGGAAAGAAATAACAAGAGAGAGGAAACTAAAATTAGAAAGAATGAAAAAGGAATAGAAAAGCAAAGAGGAGCAGCTTGGACAGCAGCCATGTTTAGATGCCACCACCTTTACCAATGACGTGCATGCAGCCACCGACCCACGCACACACACCTATAGACTCACATGTCCAAACATGGCAGCAGCTGTCCCTTCGTTCTCTCAACTAGCGTGAAAATAACAAGAATATCTGCGCCGGTGGTAAAACTCACTTCATTCTGAGGATGGTGACAACTTAAAAAACATTTCATCACCTCCCCTGACATTAATCTGCTGACTGCAGGCTGTTTTTTTTTTTTTTCTTTTTTAAATTTTCTCATCGGGTGTGTGTGTGTGAGAGAGAGAGAGGTAATTATTATCTCAAAATATGGAGGCATCCTGTGGGAAAAGTTCACACTGCTATGGGTGCACCTGCTCCTCTGTAACCTAATGGTTTCATATTCCTCAGCAGTTAAATCGCATTAAAAAGTCATCAATGCACCTAATGATTCCCGGTGGAGTGCTACACTTGCCAGACGGACCATCTTTATAAACTGTTCTTTGAAAAGTTGTAAGGATTACAGAGATTTCTTCTTAAAGATTGAAGAAGAACTCAATTAAGTTGTAAAAACAGTAAAAATCTTTATTTCCCTCTGTTTTAACACTTATTGTACCAAAATAAAAGCTCATTCTAAATGGCAGCTTGTCACTAATACCGGGGCCAGTGTCTGAAAATTACAGTTTGGTAATTAGTAAGACATGGATTTCATTTTAGTCTGTATCGTTGATTTTAATCCCTCCTGTTTCTCTTTGCTTATTTTATTCTTCAAATGTGTTTTTTTTTTCTGATGTAGTAGCCTGTCCCAAGCTTTGTTCAAACACTCATTTTAAATCTTTTTTTGTTTTTTTTTAAAGAGCTGTTATAGCAGCTTGCAGTTTTTTGTCAATGGTCTGACAGCTACCCCCCCACACCACCCACCAGCAGTTCTGGACCTCATAATAACCCTGCAGAATCCATGAATCTCATCCCTGGTGGTCGTTGGCTTTTATAGGTCAAATAGAGGCATCAGTATTAATTTCAGTCTGTTTTGTTACTGGCTACAAATTTCTCACAGCAGTTTTGATGTTGCTTTGAAATCACTTCTTGCTGTTTTACCTGCCAGGTGTTAATGCTATAGAGAGATTATATAATGTGTGCTGCTAATTAACCTCAGTTTTATATCACCGGCCTGTACGCTTTTCTGTATACCTCAAAAGATTGTGATGAAAACATCCTCATTTGAAATCATTTTGGTCTTTTTTCAAGTGCTGATTGATAAAGGAGGTAAAACATGCCTTTTATTCGTCTGTTTGGTGATTTATTTCAGCTCCAGTGAGATGTCTTTCCTGGACCAGACCACCAGAAAGAAGACTGAGAGCCTCTATAAAATTATTTCTACGCATGTTTTCTCCACCACCTGGTCGGTGTCAGACAATGAGACTACCAGCCTTCTGTCGAAACAGCCTCTTTTGACACTTTCTGCAGAAATTCAACACAGACTGAAAGCTCCTCACGGGGGTTTTCAGACGCTTTTAGATCAAATCTGTTAGGACTATTGAACACGAACAGCAAGTGGTGTTTTTGCTCTTGGATATCTGTCTTCATGAAAAGCAAGTTTGCAAAAAGGACTACAAACTGGATTCTTGGAAATAATGAATTCTCTGTATTTTGATGTTTTGTGTGTCTAGATTTTATTAAAATTATAAAAAGGCAGATTGATCAATAATGCAAATAACCTCAGATGCAGTTCTCTTCCCTTTTTCCATAGATAATTAAAGAGGATAGAGGCCAACGAAGAGTAAGGTTATTACTAAATTAAAACGACCCAAAGAAGAGGCAGCCATGTAAAATTCAAATCTGTGACTCATATTTTGTTGTTTTTCCTGTAGCAGTACATATGAATAAGGTAGAGGTGAAAATTTCTTTGTCAGGAGAACTTCAGCAAAATAAGTGAATAGATTTTCATGCCTTACATTTCCTTAACATGTCAGGATCAGCACGACAGTTCACCGAGTACATGATGTGACGACAATGAGCTCACAGCAGATGGTCGGCGGTGTGACTGTAAGGTGCAGCGGGGGGTTATAAGAAGCAAGGTGGAACCTCATAAGGTGCAACAGGTCCTATAGCGCTGAATCATACAGTGAAGCTCTCTCATGCTGTCTCCTGCACACTTGTATAAATATACATGAACATGTATGGAGTCGACTAAGATCCTGTTTCATGTCTTCCATGTTTCCCTGAGCTCATGCAAAATTCAGCCTGTGGCATTTTTGCCCGAAAAAACAGTCTGAACACTGTGCACTTAACTCAGTTCATTAAAACACTAATGAAACATTTATGATTATTTTTGAAAACTATGACTAATCTGAGTGAACAATGGAAGTCATGGTGGTGCTGCACAAAAAAGGGCCTTTTTTTTAAAGATTCATGTTACCCTTAGTGTGATTCTGTACTGAACAGGAATCTGGCATATCAAATAGATGTGAGAATAATACCTGCATTCATCACCCTCAGGCTCTGAATTATCATCCCAAATTGCACTAAGCCTTGGAGGAACTCAAGCATATAATTATTACCCTTCACGCATGCAGAGTGACACCTCTGCTCAAGCACAGACTGTCAGACAAGGTGCTTCCAGCAGAAAATGAGAGGTTGATATCCACTGTGGGGGACTTCATTCTTCTTCTATTGTTTCACTAATGGATACAGAGATGGCCCATTTCCCCCGCCTGACAGTGAGGAGGAGTCAGTCCATCGCTCACAGAGGAGCTTGACGGTGGAGTCCTCATTCAGAGTGATGATAATTTAATCCACCTCTCTATCATGTATCCGTGAACTCATCCTGAAGCATGCAATGGAAAGGATTTTCCTCACAAACAGCCTTGCATGATGATAGGTGCGTTTTGGGGCAACAAGACTTGCCGGAGCCTGCAAAACCTCCGAAAGCTAAGGGCATGAGTGAGTGGAGTCATAAGACGTCCTTAATGAACCGTCTCAGCTGCACATGCGGCCAGGCCTGTGTGCTCACTGCCAAGACTGTCACATTAACACATATCCCAGCATGTGGGATATCGGCAATCATCAAAGGTGACGATTCAATATGAGAAATATCAGCAGGCCTGTTAGACTGGAATGCTATTTTTACACAAAGAGTGGAAGTGGCCAGAGAATCAAAACACCTCTACTATGAAATTCAATGTAATATATTTGAATAAAAGGAAGTTTTTGTTGATTCATTGCGGTCGCACTCCCAAGGCTGTGCATTGGTGCTTAAAGTGCATTTAACCTGCGCAGGAGAAGGAGGTATTTAGTCAATAATTATAAGTGCCTTCTTATCATGCATGAGTCTAAGAGCAGGTTCAATGCTGCAGAACATGTGCTAATAGGCTGTTTTCTTTGAAGTACAATGTTACGTATTCTAAGAGCAAGCTGATAATGCCTTAAATGCAGCCTGAAAAGGTGAGGTTGAATTCACTACAGGATAATAACACTGCAGTGGGGTGAGTTTAAATGCCATCCACTGAGTTTTCTATGAAGGGTTTGCAATGTAGTAATGTAGTTCATGTGTCATGTTTGATGCTATACTGTACTTAAACGGATATCTCTCAAGAGGCAAAGCAGAACTGAATTACCAGTCAGTGCAGTGTGGTGTCCATCCATAACATTACACTTGGAATTAACTCTATTGGTCGTTCAAAAGGTGTTTGGCAGTTCTCCTTATCATAAAGGTAGATATTTCACACTGAGAGAGCTTTAACTGTATTAGTTTTTAATTCAGACAACCCATAAGATGTGGCCTGGCCTGTATTTTCACACTAATTCTCACCCCCTAAAGCTCAAATGTAAGTCTGATATTACAACGCCAACATAACCTGGCACCAGTCCTCAGCTTTGGATTATTACTGAGGAGGTCTGGTATGTGCTACTTGGCCGTGTTGAACTGAACACTTTAGTGACATCACTGGGAAAGAATATCCTCCACTCTTTTTTTGTTGCCTTTTTCTCTTTTGCAAAATCTTCCCTTGGTTTTAACACAACGAGAAATGAGCCGTTCCTTGGCTGTTAGAACAAAAGGTGGCAACAGCAACAACAATGCAATGTTTTCAGCCGCATGTTTGCAGGTATAAGTATATTATGTGCAGAACAAAATGATCTTGGCAATGATGCCTGTGAGGGACCCTTCAGGAGTAGATGGATAAGCCTGTTAGGAACGCTCTCTAAAAGGCAATAAGTGAGGGAGAGCAGGTAATAAATGGCATTTTTTTTTTTGCCCAGGCTTGGTCTCGAGGGATATTCTCTCAATGAATTAAAACTGAAGCGCAGACTCAGGCTGGGGCAAGTTTATGCCCATAAAAATTGGCAAATTATGGTCATGGTGACAAGCTACTCCATCAGCAGGGTTGTTAATAATGTACAATATGCTGCTGCTAGGTTAGAGTAAATGATTATTACACAGAGGCAATGCGTGAAATAAAAGTGTAAGCCCTACACATCCTATCAGACCAGGCCTGTCACACAGACACTTCTCCATGGTGATTAAGAGAAAAAATGTCCTCAATAGCAATCACATAGTGTGTCCTTGTAACAATACCGTTTTCTGTTACACTTCTGCTCCCTTTCATTCGCTCTCTACTGCACAGACACACTTTGACTCCACTCCTAAACCACTGATATCCAAATCGGCCTCTTTTGAAATACTTTTGAACACAGTGGAAAGCTGAACTGAGAGAGCTCAAGGGGAGGGAGGGAGAGAAAAAAAGGAAATATACCTCCATGTGTCAAAATCTATCAGTGAGCAGGTGCAGTCAGGTTGAAGGGGCTTTTTTTTTTCTCTGCAACACAAGTGCACTTTCTCCAATTATAATTACTTTAATAATCTTTTCATACAACCAAGTGAAACATGAGGGAGGATGCTGCTCTGGGGCTCAGCAGCCTGTCTGACAGAGATGCATGAGGGGAAATAGAGTCCATTGCTTGGCTGCATCTTCTGTTTGTGAACCTCTCAACATTTGGAAGCACTCCTCACCAATTATATTATGAACCCTCGCAAAATCTATCCTAACTGTTTACTTAGAGATAGGATAGGTCTCCTTAAACTACATACAGAGCATCTTGATAATGAGCAGAACAACATACCTTCTTTTCTAATAGAAATCTTTTCAATCTTAAGAGTGGAATGTGCCTGATTGACACCTAAATTACATCTAGATATTATCATGTATAAAGAAAAGAGCTGGCACCATCCATCATATTCATCACATGCACCTATAAGCTGATTCAAATCTCGGACACTCGCATTCTTCAGGGTCTGGCACGTCTCCACACCTCTGTCTGCACATATTTCATCTGAGTCTTGTTTGAACATGAAGCACCAGGCGATTTGCTGTCACATCACTTTATAATCAGCCTGATATCTGCATGAGACAAGCACCACTCGGTGTGAGGGTTTCTTTCTGTCTTTTCCTTCTTTGTTTGCACGTGTCAACACTCCCAGCAGGATATCTGAGGATTTACCAGGTTCATTTTTACACTTGGGATACGGCTGTTTTCAACAAATAAGTTAAGGAGACTGAAAAGGATTACACAAAGGCTCTGGGTACTCCCAAGAGCGCAGACAGATTCAAAGGAGCAACATGTTTTCATTCACATCAAAGTCGAGCACTGTAGATTAAGGTGGTTAAATAATGCTCAAGTTTGAAGCCCCTCCAGTCAGAGCAAAGCCGCACAAACCCACTGTGAGTGTTTTTGGAGTGAAATGTTCAAATTCTAGCAGCTGGCTCTTAATCAAAGTCAGCGCTATCGAAATCTATCCGTGAAATCAAGCATGTACTCTTACCTCCCATCAAAGTCTGCACTTGCTCCATAGCAGCAGCTGTACAACAACATCAACTTTATCCATAAATCCATGATTCTGGAGTTACGCGCCCACGCTGCTTGTTATCTTGTCTCCGTAACCCAGAAGCACCGCGGAGGAAACAACCAGTGGAGTTCCTTTGACGCACGAGGAAGGTGCACAGGTAAGACAGGTCAGTCGGCGTCCCTCACTTCGCTCATGTGCTATATCCACTGCAAACAGCCCCACTAGCTGAGAGAAGAGTGACCCCGACGAGTTGAGCGTGTATATGGCTCTGCGTTTGTGTGTGTGTGGATCGGGACGCACTCTGCCGGGAAGAGAGCGCACAGCTCCCTCACTCTCTCTCTCTCTTCTCCTCTCCTCGCAAGTTCAGTCAGAAGGCTCTCCGACCAACAGCAACCGCTGCAGTCAGTCCTTATCTCCCGTCTCCTCGATAACCAGCGGCCAAAACACAGTAGGTATCATCCAGCCAGCAAGCTTATAGGGGGAGACTTTGACTGTGACGCTCTCACCCAAACAGCCGAGAGGAGGAGAAGGCTCCAGATGTAGAGCTGAGCTCTCCGTGCCGCGCATGCTTTGGGAATGCCTTCATTAACTGCGTAGCCTGCCGAGGCACGCAGGTGCAACGGCCACCCAGGTAGATGGTGCTCACGCTGCAAAGACAACACTGTGGTGAAAGTTAAGAGAAATTAATTTGGAGACAACTTTAGATATGCAGCTCGAAACAGAAGATGTGGTGCGGTCGGAGAAAGTTTCAGCAGAGCTTGAACCAAAAAGAGTTTTTTTCTTTGCACTGTGGTTAGTAAAACAAAAAAACACTAGTATTTATCTTCCCATAATGATTTCAAGTTACCGTCTTTGCCTTGTTTTGATACTTATTTTCTATCCTCCAGTTTTCTACAGGATAGTCAGCTACGAAGAACTGTTTTTCTTCTTCTTTAAATCTGAAAATGTGAAGCTAACCTTACAGAAGTGCACAGAAATGCAGTTCAGAAGTGTGTGCCAAAACTAAGTTTTATAAACTACTTTGAGCGTCTTTTTCAGCTGCTCAGAAATTGTGTTGGAAGTTGCAACCACGGGCGTAGTTGGCAGGGGTGCAGGGGGTGCCATCCACCCACTTTTTCAGCATTTTCAAAAATAAATAAATAAAAAGTAGCAGGAAAAACTGTCAACTTGAAAGTTAAAACATGTGCTACTTGCAAGGAGGAAAACACATCAGATAGGGGAGAGTGGGGTAAGATGAGCCGTTTTTCATATTTCAGATCACTACATCAAGGCAATCATAGTTTTGTCTCTAACTAGTGTATCTGCATATATTTCAGGATGTTGTTCATCCCTGCAAACCAACAGAATGAGTGTAAACATAACTGTCTTGATAATATAGCATGACAAAAAAGGTGGTCTACTATGGTCAACTTACCCCGTGTATAGGGTAATTTAGGAGCGGGGTAAGTTGAGCCGTATCCCCTCTTTAACCTCTTTTACCATTTCCAAACAACAGGGGGTGGCTCAACTTACCCTTTGGCTCAACTTACCCCACTCTCCCCTAAGTGTTGTGATTATTAAACATCCTGTATGAAATTTCAAGATATTTCTCTTGTACAAGTTATTACTTTTCTACTTGGGTGATTATCTCTCATCTGACTCTGTAGTAACACTTTCGTTCAGAGGCTGTTGAACTGCTCCTCTGTTTGAGGCTTTCTAAAGGTCTGCCTGGTCTTCTGCCGTGACAGCCCTCAGCCTCCGGAGTCACAGTCAGTTAATAATATAATTCACAAGTCAAGCCTCAATGGAAAAGAAAAGAGAGACAGAAAAAAAACAAGATGGCTCGGTAACCAAATGCCATCGTTTAATGGAGCGGGAGATGGATTAGATGAAGTTTTGATATGATTACTGCAGCTGATTCATGGTCTCTGAGCCTTTGATGCATGGCTCTGTTTGCCTTGTTGCACCCTGACACCAGTTTCATTATGAATCTATGCGGAAGTGAGAGAGTGGAGAAGCAGTGACTGTGTATAATTACACCATTAATCACATTATTTACAGCATTCAACTGAAAAAAATATGATTGATCACAGTAAAAAATGATGCCTTAGTGGTGGCAATGTTGTGAAAATGACTAATCAGAGAAAATTACAAAGGGTCTATTCACCTCATGAGGCGGATTTTCTCTTTTATACTAAATGTAGCCCCCAAAAGATCATCACTCTCACCTCTTACAATATAGAAACACACATTTCTCCTATAAAGTTATTTTACTTTTATGTTTTATTTAAATTTAGGAGCCGTTTGTTATTTCTAGAGGGAATTATCCTGAAAGAGCAGCTCTATCAGTCTTCACAGAGAATATATTCTTTAATACTGTGAGAATACATACTGTGACTCGTGACTAGCATGACTCCTTAAGATACAAAAGACATTTATTTAAGTGGCACACTGAATCATAATTTCAAACATGAGCTGAGATGATTTCACAGATCTTTGCAGAGACCGTCTGAGCCGACTACAGATGAATCAAAGAGCAGCGGAATAAGGCATTACCAAAGCTACTTTGTGCTGTTAAAAATACTAAAAAACCAAGAATTATCTAAAGATATGTCAGATTGAATTAGTCCACAAAACATATCCGCACATGCTGGGGGGGTCAGCGTTCAAAAGAAAATGTGTTTCAGTGATCCTTTCGTAAAGTCTCATGGTGGAAATATACTTTGTTTTCCTCTGGACAAACAGTGATGCTGTGTCAAAAGCAGAACCAAAGCAGAAATAGAATGATATGAATAGAAGAAGAGATAAACGAGGAGATGTGAAGAGTAGAGCGACAAGCATCAGGAATTGTTAATATTTTTACGGTGTGCAAAATAACAGCAGCTGGGACCTGCTGCAGGCAGAGAGATGTGCATAATCTTTTCCCCCTCATCTTCTATAATTATACTCATGGTTGTTTGTTGTCGAAGTGGAAGGAAACACATTGCCACGGTGGTTATGCACTGTAAGATATACAAGTTACCATAATATATCGATAATTAAAACATCGGGCTCCTTCTAGCTCAGTGCCTTTTATAATAACTGTGATTACTTAAATAAGCTCACTGAGAACAGGGGAAGTTCATACCAACAAGGAGGAACCCTGAATAAGGAGCAGTGAAGTAATACAGTTACAAACACTCCTGGTTTAGTGACACAGAAATCACAAAAACACTAGCTTGTGCAAAATGACCAAAGTCAATAAAGCTGTGAATTATGAAGCAACCAATCGTTTAACAGCTCAACTTTTCTGTCATCTGGCGTCAGCAAACGGCAACAAACAGCTTTTAGCCAGGAATTCATTTCCATTATACAGTCTCAGCCAGCAAACAGTTTCAACGCTCTTACATATTTGCCAGCTCACAGTGAGATACAGACATCCATTATGTCTCGTCTGCAATGTCTAACAAAGAGGCGGGATGGGTGGGTAAAGTCCTATCGCCTCTGATACGCCATCAGAGGTGGTAAGAGAGGAGTTATGCTATGTGTAAAATGTGCTAAGATCATGAGTGACATTGACCTCCTGTAGACATGTCTGCAAATGAATACCATCATTTCTTGTTCTAGTGCATCCTGTCAGAGAGTGTCTGCTCATCTGTCTCTGGTGAGTCCTTGTTTTGGTGCAAACATTAAGCTGAACTTCAGTATTTGGACTCACTGGCTGTAATCATCTACCAACAATTTATGTATGGGTGGGTCATAGACTGTTTATACTAAGGACTACTTGGCACCGCCTTCCGTCATTATACAGATTAAAAGCTGAATTGCTTTCAGGATTTCCGGGATTCTCCTCATTTCCCGAAACTACCACCAGTGATAGTAGCATTGTACGCATTTCACTAATAGTGCAGTAGCGTTGTTCACATTCGGCAGGAGAGTCACTGTGATGACGTTCCGCTAAAACAACGTACCCCCCGGGTGAGCTACGCAACCTTCGTACGCCCACAGGCTGTATCAAGTGTCAATCATAGAAAACATGAACCCCCTAATAACTTTTAAAAATAGAACTGTACAGAAAAAAAGAGGACTTGAGCACAAACCAGTCTTACAGTAACTACATGTCAACATCGCAAAGAGCAGGGGAAAAAAAATTATATTCTGTGTAATAAATTTCTAAAGTTTGTTCACAACTCCATAGAGATTGCTGAAGGAGGCGGGATTTATGACCTATACTGCAGCTTGTCACCAGAGGGTGCTGTTCTTGCAGTGGCATCAACCAACGAGGAGGCAGACGCTGTCCATTCTATACAAAGTCTATGGGGTGGGTTCAATAAAGTCTGTTGTAAGCAAGCAAGCCAAGACTTACTTTTCCATGTGCTGCATTGATAACAAACCAACTAGCAACTTAGCAAGTAACTTCCCCTTGTCCCTCTTTATATGTGCAGTATATCTGCAGTGCAACTTCTGAATTTTTGGGCCCTTTATTTCCCCCATGATCCGTGCATTTGTGATACATTGCTCTAAGAATCACTCTCAAGTCTCCGAATGCAATTTCTTTTAGTACAGCCACATCTAAAACACTGAACAAATCATAAAAAGCTATTAGAAAACTAAAATTGACTAAAATTCCACAGAAATACATAAGAGATTTTGAGTATTTGGTCATACGGTACCACTGATCAACTCATGACTAAGGTCATGCTTTGTGTCTATTAAAAGCCAGCATGTTTGAAAGTTCTTCAGACATAAAAACGGCTAAAACAGGGAACCCAATGCAGGAAACATGTCGGAAGATACAGATTCTCAGTCAGGGAAAGTACAGCTGCCACCAGATAACCAGAAAGTGCAGATCAGAACTTACTTACCACTACTGGATAAAGGTTACTCATGGCACTCAAATCCTTTTTTTAGAATCAGGTTCTTTCACTCACAATAAAAAGCCTGAGGTAAAGCTCACAGCTGTTAACTTTTATCCTGAGGTCAATTGGTTTAAATTTTTCCCTTTTGCATATTTTGGCTGTTCTGCACCTTGATAAAATTCCTTGAATGCAAAAACCTAAAGAGCATGTTGAATACACATTAAAAACGTATTGAGCTTAATGCATCAGTGGCCACATGCTGTATTTATAGAAAGGCTTTATGAAGCAGATCATAGGTAAACAAACATGGCACATTCACAAAGCAAGAAGCGGAGATATCTCAGATTCTGCATGTAAACAAAAAATCTTGTCTAGTAACCTTTTGCTTGCAGATGTTATAGTTTAATCGGCCCACTTGAATATTGTCCTCACCCTCTCTCTTGTAGCTTAAAGTACTTCCACCTACACACTCCCTTTATACTGTGTGCCTATATGCATTTCAGTTATGTGCACTTGTGCAGAGCCGCAAGCATGAACAAGGAGTCAGAAATCTCCTTTTGAAATGATTCCATTTCTTGAAGGGGCTGTGTCTGTGGCCATTCACCTCGGGATAGATTGACTCTGCTGAATGAATTTAGATGAGTCTGACGCTGGAAAATCCTGAACCTCTCTTACCTACTCCTTCAGTGTGAGCAGGGAAACCATCTCCAAGCCTATCTCCCCGGATTTCTCATTCAGCTGGAATACACTGTCAGAGATGACAACACAGGATACTTCAGAGAAACAGATGACCGGTTTCAGCACGGAGAATGAAAGCTTAAGGGGCTGTAGTATGTCTAAAGTACACAAAATTGAAATTATGGAGCGTATTGTGGGATTTTCAGCTGCCGGGGTCTGAACAGTATGCATCTAATCAAGCATACTGACCTTTTCACCAGAATCATAAAATATTCATTGCTGCAGAACATGGCATGGGATACATGCCATATTCTCATACAATCTTTATGAGGAATAATCAGTTTCTGTGTAGAGCCATGACAAGTGCTGAATTACACCTGATACAAAATGACTTTGAATCTAATTTTTCACTTTCCACAAGTCACTCTCACTCACTCACTCTCTCACACACACACACATATATAAGAGAGGTAGCTGATAATTTCCCATCTCATCATAGCGTGCAGATGAGTTTTTAGCACTCTTCCTTCTGTTATTACCTGGCAAGAGAGTCTGCTGACTGCTGAGTCCATACAGACTATTTGCAAAAACAGCATGTGAAAGTATGCTGTGGTCAATTTGCAGTGCGGTTGTGTAATTCCTGCTGCTTCTGTTTCTGTGACAGCTTGATCACACATTTCGGGCAAAGACACAAACATAGCGTAGCAGTTGGTGAGAGGTTTGAGCTGTTTTATGATAGCGTAGCGTTTAATAATGAAGAACATTTTGTGAAAGAAAAGTCTTGGTCCACATGTTTATCTCCAGGAAAGTCATGGTTCAAAATAGATTTCGGAAGACGGCTTTTGCCAACCTGGAAATAAAAAACATGTTTTATTTTCCCGAGACAGTTTCTGTAGGAACGGTTTCCATAAAAAAAATGAATAAAAATGTTGAGACGGGATTAAAAATACTTTTTTCAGCAGCATCATAACGCAGCCGGGAGCCACGTTGCTGATATTCAGCTGTGCAACTCTCCTCACAGTCCTAATTATGCACCGCTGTTTCCAGCTGGCCAGCATCCACGTTCAGTCCACTCCTCTGCGGCGGCTTCCCCACCAGCATGTTGTTCTTGGGTGAACAGCTCTCAGGTTCCATGGTCATCACCTGCACTGAGTACCCATGAGTCTCTGCTGCCCACGAGCGGTCCAAGTCAACCAGGCCCATACACTGTTTACCTGATTGGATTGAAACAGAATTAAACTTCTGTACTTCTGTTAACTTGATGTTTGTAAAATTTTTCGGTTTGGACTCAAAACTGTTTTTATTTTTTGCTTAAATATCCAAAATGACAGAATCCTCAGGCTTTATGAAGGATTATAATATAACAACTGAAGCTTCATGACTAATGTAAGTTACAACTATGGCTGTAAAACTGTTGTTTTTTAAGATAACAAAATACAGATTTGTTATAGCAGAGAAACTAACATACAACAAATATATATATAAATGTACCGTGTATTCCTACTTAACCTTTTTAAGTACACAGTACATAGAAAGATGTTCAGCTCATATAATTCTAATCAGGGTCTTGGTGAAATACAGGTAGAGAGCAGTAATCAATAATTTAACAGAATTATTCATCAGAAAAACACGAAATCACTCAAATTACACAAAAGCACTGCTGGACACTTCAAAATGGAACTAAAACAACAATGACTGAGTGGAGAGTGTTTTGCTCGTACATGCTGCTCGCCGAATGGACTTCATAATAACAGCTGCAGTAACATGCTGTGGCTCAGTCCAACTTCAGAACAGGCTCTGGTGACTTTGATACAGGATCAATTTTCTATTGTGGGGACGTTTTCATCATCGTTTTTGTCTCGGAGGATGAAAATATTCCCCTTCAAAGGGCGCAAGGGGTCAGTGAGCGGAATTACAATGATGTGAGTCTTGTGATACGACCTTTGCAGTGTCCACATATTCACGCAGAGATACACACAAGAGAGATCCTGAGCTAACGGGCCAGACAGAGGTCCTCAGTGTCACAGACTTGTTCAACCTCTGCTGAGGGACGCAGCTGCTCGGGAGAGTATCTAAAATTACAATTTTGTTTTTTGATGCAATACTTCTGATGCAGGATCAGTCCGGTTCAGTCCCACTGAACCTGGTAATATCACTCTTCATTACCGTAAAAGGTGGTGGTCCTACCCTGAGAATGCTTTGTTTACACTTCAAAGTACATTGGTGGTGTTGATCAGTATTCTCACATGGAGGCTTAAGTTAAAGACTTGTGGCTGATTTGCAGGTCTTCACAATATATTACTGATCTTCAGTTATGAGTATGATCTGTGATATAGGTGGGAGTTAGTACATGGTGTTTTATTTTGAAGTTGAGCAGATGGACTGTGCCATCCTCATGTCTGACTTCCTTTCCAGGTTGATCCGCTCTGTTCAGTTTGACATGGCCTGGATCTTTAGGCTGAGCAGGAAAAAAGGGAAATGCAACAACTTATTCAAACTGAACTGTCATATTTTCATTTCTTCATGGAAATGCAATCAGACTGAGACGCTAAGGCAGAAGAACTACCGCGTCTGCAGTACAAAATGATTAATATGGTGATTATTACTTCAAGGAAATGATAAAGTAATGATCATAAATGTTCTTCCTTGAGCTGCGTTACCCCGCAGCGGTCTGTAATGGACTGGCCCGAGGTCTCACTACAAACAAGCAGCTGCTGGAAGAGAGTGGGTGATTTGTGTTTAGTCTCTTTGCTAAAGAAATCAGGCAAAGCTAAAAAGATGTTTGGTGGCTAGTGCTATGACTGGGACCCTATATGTACTGTTGATGAAGTTAGGTGCTGTTCTGAGCATTATTTGTGGCTATAGAGTGGCGTTTTAGTTGAGGTTTGTTTATGGCTCCTTAGACCGCTGCGTATTGCTATTGTGTGGATGTTAATAAAGTTGGAATAACTAGTAAAGCAAGCAGTCGGCAACATTCATCTCTCGAGGGGGTGTCTAACTCAGTGTTACGGTGTGTCTAACTCGGTGTTATGGTGTGTTTGACCCTAAATTAGTTTAATACCGGAATATCCCTTTAAGTGAGGAAGCTGCTCATGCAAAAGATGACGGGAGTAACAAAAAGTTGCTGATTCTGTCAAGTCTACTCGAATATGAACAAATCAATGACCCGCTAGGCTATCATTTATTTATATACAGCACCTGTCCCTGACATTTGCATTTAATTAACTTACAAAAGTAGCTCATTCATCTATGATTGAGTACTTTTTTTTTCTTTCAAAAGACAAATTCAAATGTAGCATTCAGTTTGTCAGTGAGGTAGCAGGTGGAAGATACCGAGATAGGGATCTCTGCCCTGCTATACTGCCTGCTCAGTCACAGTGACACTTCCAGACTCCTGAGAGATGAGATCCAACATGGTTAGAAAATGTTAGTAGGAGAGGTTGAGCCCTGTTAACTGATATAGAGCAGAAAACTGCGTGACAGCTGTTGTCAGGTACATATGAAAGGGCTTCAGACTGACGAGGCATTGGGGAGCTGCTCAGACTCGGAGGGAAGCTTTGATAAGCTGAAGAGCTATCAGGGTGAAGAGAGTCCTCACCATAATGAAACAGAGTAAAGTGAAGCTTTGGTGCAGGCCTGGAGGTAACAGCCTGACAAAACACTTCCTCAGAATCTGACAACTGCAAGCTGGCAGCTGTTCACTGCAGCTGTTTGTCACTCTGAAGAAATCCCCGCATTAACATTTTTCACAGCTCTTAAAGGTGTAGACCTTTTGAAAAAACAAAATACAGCAGTAAAGGCGTGTCACCGTGTCCAAAACTGCGGGATAAACCTCTGAGACATGTTTAAAAAAAAGAAATGATGACCTTCACCTGAGCTACAGTCAAACTACAGCTTTGACTCAGAGACGGCAATGCTTGGAGTCCTTCTTGAAAATATATGGAAATTAGAATTTGCATTAAATGTGACTATCTTGTATAACAAGGGTGATGCTTGAGGTGAAAGAGGAAAATAGTGAGTCATACCTATGAGTCTTCTGTCAGGGGGGAGCTGGACGGCAGTCTGGTCTGCAAAACGACAGAGGATCATGTGCTCCTAAAAGAAAGACAGGGTATAAACACAGGAAATCCTCAGGTTTAACTGTTTATTATAAAAATGTTCTTGATTAAAGAAGTCAAGTCTGGAAAAACATGTTTTGGTCCTGCCAGATATCACTTTCCAATCAGCTAGATATCACTTTGGCAGAAATTCACAAAATCCAACCAGTGAATCTAAAACTATTTTTCATGCAAAAATGTAAATGCACAGCCATGTTGGAATTTACTTGATCCAAAATACAAAAAAATGACTCCCTCTTTTTTGTACATTGTCTGATCATGCTGACAGCCATGGAGTAGGAGGCTGTCACTAATCTATCTTATGGCTAACACCTCTACACTGTATGTGGGAACTTGAACCAAACAGTGTCTGATGCTGCTTTTTTGAGGTACTTTGGCTGCATGGCTTCTGAGAGACTGTGTCAGTAAGTCATCTTCAGTATGAAACATCTCAGCGGCTAAAGAGACACATTTGTATAATCTGTTGATGATTTCAGGAGGAAAAATTCATCAGACTTTGGGGGTTTTTCAGCTAATATCCTCCCTATGGACCCAGGTCTACTGTATTAAAGGTCCCCTATTATGGCATTTTTCATCGAGTTTGAATCTGTCCCAGAGGTCCCACAATAATAAATTTGAAGTTTCTTGTCTGAAACACCAGTTTAGTCGGCTTCGAGGGGATGCATATTATTGATAGAAAACCACCCAAAAGTGGATTTTTCATAATAGGGGACCTTAAAAGTCTAAATATAAAGCCCAACAAGCTAGCAAGCAAACTTTCTTACCAAGGTGGTGAACCTGCTGTATATTGTTGTCTATAACAGGAGCATGCAACCAATTCTGCAGCAAGATAGCACGCTAAAATCAGCTTACAGCTACCCTAAAGAAATCCCTGCATTCATATTTTTCTCAAAGGTGAAGAAAACCTTTGGAAAAAAAGAGGCAGTGGAGTTGTATCAAAGTGTCAGAAAAAAAATATCCTAGATATGTTTAAGGTTGACCCAAAAAATAATAATATCTCTACCTGGCATGTGGTTTAACTTCAGCTTTGACTCTGGCCTAATTGATTTCTTTGTGCACAGTTTTTCATACACAGACCTGTTCATAGTATGTCAGACTATTTGATCAAACATTTTTTTTTTTTAAACTTTTAAAAGATTGTTAAAAAATAACATGTAAGACCACTATCTGCACTAAAAGCTTCTCTCCACTTCATCTTAGGGTTCCTTTTATTAAACCGTTCCTGTGAATTAAAAAGAAAAAAAAAATCTAGTTTTGCCTTGGTTACACATTTTTCAGTGAGGGGCATGGGAAGTTTTGCAGTCCTGTTTTTCCTTGCTCGGGTTCAGTGAACAAATGAATCAGGTCAGCAGTTTGTAATCTTTTACCTGCTTCCACTTTAATTGATTCCATTCCTCACTGTACCGAGAACAAGGCCACAGAGCAGGTGCTTAAAGTTAGCACTGAGCACCGACATCTCACACCATTAGACCTTTATTCCAGCAATACACCATTTGTCAATGGGCTGTCATTCAGTTTAACTACTGTAACTCGGGAAGGGAAACTATGAAACTGCAACAAAACATTGCAATGCTGCTTCTATTTTTGTGAGTGTCAGCTGATAGTTACGGTGTAGAGACACAGAAGAGGAGGGGCTCTGCAGAATTAGCCCAAATGTTTCTCTAATATGAAGACTGGCTAAAGGGAAATCATAGGAGAGGATGGGGAGAGATTTAAAGCTCAAGTATGAAGATGCAGGTTATTTAGCTGCTAGTTTAAATCATATATAGACATGTCGTGATGTATGGCTAAGTGTTTAAATTCTTTTAGAGAAAACGTGGCAATTTTGACTTTCTTTTCCCATCTCTGGGCTTTTAGACGGTAGAAAAACACAACTCACCACCACAGAACAGTAAAATTGCCCACTGTCTCGTAAACAATATATCATCTTCTGTGTTCTTGAGCCAGGACAGTAAAAGTCTGTTTCTGCTAGTGCACAAAAGAACAAATTTTAGAGGTGGTCCGATGTTGTGACATGTCAACTCTTGAGGTTGCCATGGCTAAGACCTGCTGCAACTTTTGCACAAATTCTCCCGAGGGGCTCTGACAGGCTCTATACATCATCATGGGAAGGGCCCTCCCAGAGTACAGTGCTGTGTCTGTGCTGAGCGATAAGGAAGTGAGAGACTGGGAGGGGGTTGAGCCTCCCTCTCCTAACTGCCTGGGGAATCATGGGAGTGATGAGAGCCAAGAGATCTCATTAGTTCTATTTCTCTGTGCTATCAGATAAATGAAAAAAAACAAAAACAAAAAACAAGACAGCATCATACCATAAAAAGTACCCATGCTAGTCAATGTAAAGCATGTGCAAACTTGGCCCTGTTGTAGAAGGCTTGGATTATCTAAGAGTGAATTTACACATCACTAAATTTAAAAAATAAATACCTAAAAATCTGCAGTTTCTACTTAATTACTATTCATTTCTTTTACTCATATTCATACTCAGTTTTCTAGCTGATTTATAAAGCAACTGAGTGGATGATTATGAAGCTAAAATACATCTTACACACATTTATTTTCAAACATTGTAGTTTGTTCTTGTCATAATAATGTTCAAGTAAGAAATTCCCCCAAAATTCCTGTTTTCACAAGTTATTCAATATCAAATATATGATTAATTTACAGCTCTGTTGACAACTGTGGGTTCATACAGCTAATCTCAGCAGGGGAGAAAATGGAAAACTTCACAAACATTTAACGCAAAAGTCTTAAACTCTCTATAGCCTTGTATTTCTGCTGCAAACTTACACAAAAGTCTGCTCTGCTATGGACTGTGCCAACCTGCGGAGTATTCAATGTTTTTCATTAAGTTGAAAGTGTGATTTGATCAGCTGAAAGGGTGAAAAGTCTCTGGGTCAATGCACTGTTTGGGATTTGTGAATAACCGCTACACTGACTTAATATTATAATATTCTTCTTGATGCAAATTTCATAAGACAAAAAAGGCAACATGTCTGAATGGGTTGCATGAGCTTTAAATGAACATGCTACTAAAGACATCTTTGTATGGGCATTTAAAGAAGTGAACTTAAGTTGAAGCTTAATTTCTGTTGTATTTTTGCATCAAGTCCTTCCTATTTGCAACCACAACTCTGCATGAGCTGTTGTTGTTGTTGCTGCTGTTTTCCCCTGTCTCTTTCTCTCCCCCTGCCCTCTCTCCTACTCCTCTCTCCCTATCCCTCTGTATTTCTCCCCAACCCAGCAGCTGACCTTGGTCCTTCCCAAGGTTTCTGCCTGTTAAGAGGAAGTTTTTCTTTGCCTCTGTTCCTCATGTTAGATGAGATGGGTCTAATCGGTCCCATTTTACAGTTGAGTCTTAAATATACAATGAGCGCGGACTAGACCTGCTCTTTTTCTTTGAACAGCATCTCGGAATGACGACTGTTGTGAAATGGTACAATACATATTAAATTTGATTGATTGATTTGCCTGAGAACAGATAAATAATACATGCAGAATCAACAGACATGGACATAATCAACCACTTTTAAAATCATACCTTATAGGATAGGGTCTCTTGAAACCTTTTGCTGTGAAAAAAGGGGGGAAAAAAGGATATTTATATGTTAGACACAGTGATTTTACGCTTTTACGAACCACACTTTCATGTGTTTGTTCCTTTGCTCAGATTATGTTGTCTTTAAGAAAGTCACTCAATAAAAAAACAAACTCAGAACATAAAGATTAATCTATGGCTCAGCAAAAACAAGACAAACTTTGTCTGTGGGAAAGAAGCGTGTTTGTTGTGGTTAAACATCAGCAGAACATCCCAGAGTCTAATTAAAAATCAACATGGAGAGGGACAAGGGACTGGGGGCCAGGCGGGTCACGTGGAGTGAAGTCTGAAGTTTAACACTAACTGTTGGGACCCTAATGAAATGGACAGTTGGGTTTCACAGCTCATAAAAAGGTGTGAACTGCCTGGAATGTCTGCACCTGCAGAATATTCACATGAGTACCTGGAACATGACCTGAGGGGGAAAACACTAAAAGTAGCAGGACTGAGATTGACACAGTCAGGTGTGAAGGCCCCTCACACACTCTGCTCCACTGCCTCCCAGAAACATTGCCTCCCTCTGTCCATTACAACTGCAGTGTTATTTTTATGTTATCCTTTAATATTTCATCAGGAGTCAGGAGGGGGGGGGAAGTGTCAAGTTAGCAAAAGTGAGGAGAGGAAAAGCAGACATAAATATTTCATTTTGTACACTGAGAGTCCCAAAGGTCCAATTTTCGCTTCATTTGTCGGCCCTCTTACCTAATTTGTTAGCGGTGGTCCCTTTGAATCACACAAAAGAACACTTCAACGCAGAGCTGCATTTTAACCCCCGCTTTACAACAATTACACTCTGCAATCACACTTATGCCCCCGTAGCCATAGCAACAATATTTATGATTGTTAAACAACATCTCGGTGCAACACTCCGTTATCTCTTATTGGCAGGCTGCTGCTATGTAGTGCTGCACTGTTGCTGGAGATGCTGCACCGACCAGACTCTGTGGGACTTACAATATTATCATTATTGTTATCATATTCTCAAATCATTTTAATTAGCCAGAAAATTAAGTGATCATTTATTTACGAAGGGAAAATCAAGAAAAGACGCAAATACAGCAAATACAGTGGAGGAAAGACAAGAGAGGGTGAAGTCACAGAAGCAACACAGAAATGAACCAAAGTGGAGAGGGCACACTCCAGTAAATACCAAACAGACCGTGGTGTGAGATACAGTAAGAGCTGATACATGGAAAGAAACTGTCAACTGACTGATAGTGATGGAGCAGAGAAATTCAGTCAGGTACTGCTAATTCACTCAGACCTTATTTCTTTGCTGTACATCATCATCAGAGGGATTTTTAGGTTAATGTGGCAGCTGAGTTAACTCATTTTAGGATGAATCTTGACTTCACACTTACTTTGGGTGCAGATCAAATCGTGCATGTCATACTGCTCTGCTAATCACAATATTCCTATTCTGTGGGCAACTTCTCTATAGGCTGTTTCTGCTGCAGATACTTCTCTGCACCACAGGTAGTGTCCTCTCTTGTCAGAGCAGCTGAATGCGTCTTGTCTGGCTGCCGTGTTTGTTCAGTGTTGACAATTGTGGAATGAGAAAGCACTTTGACCTTTAACTGGGTCAGTGCACCCTGATCCAGGTGTGAGAGAGTACAACTTTTACACTCAAGGAATGCAACACTTGTTTTACTGTCACATGTTGACTTTATACGTTAACCCTACTTAACTACAGGCATGTTTCCGCAGTCCAACAGTTCTTTGGAGGCATGCAGCTGGTTGTTGTAGTGAAAGCAGAGGCCGCTGTTGCTTCTTGATGAATGAGGAAAACCATAAAAGGGCGGTGAAGTTTTTAAACTAAAAGAAAACTTTATCTTTTCCACCACAGATTGTAATAATGGAACAAAGAGGCATTATTTCAGCCCTTTCTCAAATGCTCAGTGACACCTGATTGGAGGGAGTCTGTGAGAAATGTTTCTGCTCCACAACATAAATTTATGCTGCCAAAGAAAAATGCAAATTTTGGACAAAAAAGGGAGAAAGAAGGATGAGGGAAACAGAACATAAAGAACGAGCTGGAGGTGGATTAACTTGGGGTGAGCTGTGAGTGAAAGGTGTGCTCTGAAACCTGATAACTGGATTGTATAAGAATTGACACTCATGGCACGTTGCACCTTTTTACTATTTGCTTGACATTTTCCAAATATTTTTTGGAACAGAAAAAGAAGTCTCCAATAAAGTCACATCCCGAGGCATCATTAAAATCCTCTTAATACCTTATTACCCCATGACTGCTATGATTAATTCTTGACAATACAAATGACACTGGTATAACTTGACAACACTGGTATACTTTCACACTTATCAAATTATTAGCAGAAACCACACTAGTGCCCAGACACATGTTTCACCTCTACCTAACTACACTGTAGTTAGTTTTTGTCTCAGGCTGGTCTTGAGAGTCCAGACTAGGGCCGGAAGATAAACTGAAAATTTACCGATACTGACATTTATGACAATAACCAGCGTCATTTTGCCCATGTAAATAAATAAAAGTTTGTTTTGGATGTGTGTAGGTAGGCTATGGTCTCAAGTCCCTTTAATGTCCTACATCAGAGACGTGACTCCACCCCACCCAGTCCGTAACAAAGAGACAAAGACAGGTGAGGAGATGGAGGATGGTTCAAAAGTTGTAGCGACTGGAGTGGCGGCTGAAGTAAATGAAGTTAATGTGGGAGGGGGTGAGCAGCTTGTGGAATAGTTATCGTCCATTATCGAGGTGATCTGCTCAATATATTGTGATATTGATTCGAGGCCATATCGCCCAGCCCTAGTCCAGACATAATAACAATTACCATTAAGTACAGAGATAAGAACAGCCAGAGTAGAGCAAGATCTTGATTAAAATCAGACAATCAAGTGAACTTGTTTACATGTTTCATTGGTAGCTGGGTGTCAAACAGGATAGCACACAGTGAGTAGGTGGTGATGCAAAGTCTCCCAGACCTTTTTGTAAAGAGACACATGGTAAACTGAGGGTTGAAGTTTGCATAAATGATATTCTGCATGATTTTATCAACAGCTAGTGTCAACAACATAGACTGTATACACTATGGACAACATGGCTCCGCCTCCCGTCATCATGCTAATTTGAAGCCAAATTTCTCTCTGTATTTCTGGGCTTTTCTCCATTTCTTGAGACCAGCATTTGCGCAGTAGCGTTTGGCAGGAGAGTCGTTGTGATGACGCTCGGCTCAAACAGCTTTTCCCCCGGATGTTCAACGCAATCTTTTTTCGCCCATAGGCTGTATCGAGTGTCAATCACAGAGAAAATTAACCCCCTAATAGCTTTAAAAAATGGAGATGCACAGAAAAATGAGGTCTTGAGCACAAACCAGTCTTAATGTAACTACATGTCAGCATTAAATCAAATTTATACTCTGTGTAGTTAATTTCTAGAGTTTGTCCACAGCTCTTTTCATTATGACCTATACTGCAACCAGTCACCAGGGGGTGCAGTTCTCATGGAGGCTTCACCGAGCGAGGAGGCAGACGAGGTCCATTCCATGTACAGTCTACGTTTAACAATAAATCATTCCCAAATTTCTCTTAACAAATACAATTGGAAACTCGACTGAAACTCAAGTCAGATGACAATTTCTCAATTGCAATCCCAAAGCAGTTTGAGCAACATCCTGCCTCTTCAGCTGTCGTATTTGAGAACAGGATCTAAACCCTTTAAGTGTTGCCTATTATCCCCCCTTTGTGTGTTTCTTTCATATACTTCCTTGTGTTTTGTAACAAAAGGCTTCATTATAATCCCGCCAAGAGCAGTGCATCTTTTTTCGGTACCCCAACAGGATTTTGGAGATTCAGATATCACTAATTCCCCAGATAGCCTCAACATAAAGAGCTCCTCTCTCTGTCACTGATAGAGCTGGGATAAGACTGTAGAGGTAAAGAGGTGTATAAAAAAAAGCAGCAACACTTACAGATTGTGTGTATGTGGGAAGAGAGTGTGAACAACTGTGAAACTGAAGAAACTGAACTGAGGAGCGAATTTGTGGAGAGAGGAACTCTAAAACGAGCAGAGGTCTACCAAGAAAACAACAAGGTCAGAAACAACATTTGGAAGAAAAGAAAAACCCTGAGCAGTGACATTGGACTGAGCTGAGCAGGTACAAACCTCTTGGGGAAGGTGAACTTGATTGCGTTCTGGATGAAGCCGTAGCAACAAGGACTGATGACAAAGGCCGCTCCTGCCTGGATACAGTGCTCTGTCACCATATCTGTTGCCACACCACACGCATGAAGGGCAACCTGAGGACAGAAAAAACAGAAAAAAATTACTCCTAAAATCTAAATTCTCTTCAAAATCATTTTCACCCAACACCAACTCCCAAACTCAGACAACTCTCAAACTCAATCTATTTGATTACCTCAGAATGGCTGCTGCTATTAAATACAGGTGAGTACTCAAAGGTTCAAGCTCAGGGAGAGGAGCAAACACAATGTATTAATGCTCCAAGAGCGGAGGCACGAATGCATCAGGTTCCCCATTGAGTGAGTAAACTGTGCATGGTGATGACCACCTCACGATGCATTAGTAATGGTGCGGTTATACATTAGATCACAGAAAGGGTCTTGAAGAGCCAACATTATGCCCCGTCTGTATTCAAACGGACTATTTCGACTGCTCATCTGAAAAACTGTATTATGTCTCCTAAAGGAAATGAGTCTAATATCCAAAGTACAGATATAAAATAGATGATTTCCTCTGAAGCACGCATCAGCACAGATTCATTGCTGAAGGCCCAAATAAAGAGCGTCATCAACAGCCTGGTGTGACAATAGCTATTCAGGCTCACTGAAATTAACCCAGTCCAACTCCTTCAGCGTCTATTCTTGTCTTCCAAGAGGTTGTCACATGGCGTCTGTGAGTCTGAGACCTCCACTTGTTTCCTTGACAGCAGTGCCACAGAGCAAGAGTTCAGAGGCAGTCGAGACAGACCCATGCCAAGACTGGCTGCAGCTCCAAAGATCAGGGAATTCACAGAAACTCTAAACATGGCCCAAACCCACTCATAAAGTCACTGAAACGTTCCAGTGGGGGGTGAATATAAGATCTTGTTCATTTATCCTCTTGCAGCCTCTTCACTGACATCTCTCTGTTATTGCATGCTCATATCCTGTTTGTGCATATGTGTTTTTCTAGCCTTTGTGTCTGAAGCATGAACAGGGAAAAAAAAACTGAAACTTCCTTTAGGAACGAGTACAGTATGTCTTCTACTTCTCCTTTTTTTTTCCACAGACACAGCTCGAATTTCAAGAAACCAAAATCAAACCATTCCTAATTCACTGCTGTTCTTTTAACTCTACCCCAAAACTGTCCCAGATAACAAAACACAAAACAGACATCAACAGTTCCAGAAAACAAACCCATTTAGTCTATCAGGTTTTCACATTTTATTCATTCAGTTTTTTACTCAATTCTTCTTACTCCTCTTGAATCTTTTCAAGTCTATGGGTTGCTCTCAGTCCTCTCATCTTTGTCTTTTACGTCACTTGTTTGTTCATGTTTTCAGTAATCATACGCTCTGGTTTGACTGTCTAATTTTCCAGCTGTGCGTCCTGAGCTCCAATAGCTATCTTTAAAACACTATTATGTACGTCCAGAGTTTAATTAGCTGAAGAAACAAAACACAAACAAAGCACCGTACTTACAACACTGACAATACACATGCTTACAGCAATGTCATTGCCAAGAATGTCGCTCTTCTAATCAATGGAAAATCATCTCAATTCACTGTGACTCAAAGTTCAATACTGATTATCTGTACATGCGTTGGTCTTAGTGTGCAGCTGTTGCTTTGCTAGCCCAGCTTATCACACTGGCAGGACCTGCAGCGTAAATTCAGGTAGGCTAGCTGTCAAGCATATAAAGCAGTCAGCATTTTTCTAAGAGCTCCGGGAACATTACAGCTTCCACCGAGAAGTGCCAGGCAACGAAAAAGCTGCATTTTGCACACACAGCAAGTGTCTATTTTCAGCTGACCATGGTGGAAAAGCCACGATACAACAAGGCTGGAAGTAGCAGTAGTGTTGATTGTCCCGCTGAAGTAGCAACATTTTGTAGTGAGACCAAATCCAGTGAAAAAAAAAAAAGAATTTAAAAGTTTTTTGTTGTTTATTCTCATGACCTGATTTATTTCCTTAAAGCTGAGAAGACACCTTTTAGTGGTTTTATGTTTCTGATTTTAATATTGGTGGTATGATATTTCCAGGCCTACCACTTTTTTGTTAAAAAATAATTAAAAGTAAGAAAGAATGGGACTCAGGTCTGGTGATAAATACATAAAGATGTTTTATTTCATTTGATTTTTTGTGTTTCCTGGTGAAATTAAGTTTGATTGTTTGTGAGAAACACAATTTACCGTCTGCAGAGCACTTTTCATGGTGCTAAAGGATGCACTGATGAAAACTTTATTGGTATCATGAGCTCAAACACTGGGGTTTGCAGTCAAATTAAACATGTCCCTGGAGGTTCAATCATGTACTATTCCCTTCCCTATACCCTCCTTTTGTTATCTCATCAATATAAAAAGACTGAATGTATCTTTGATTTGGTTTTGTCAAATTTATCAGCAAAGAATCACTCATTCTGCTTTTCAGGAAGTGCACTGATTTCAACATGAAGTTAAACAGGAAGGATCTGCACATGAAAGAATCATCAGAGGGTGAAAATTCTGTAAATTAACATCTATTACTTTTACAGCCTCGCATCTCTCTGACCCTGAGTTTTCCATCCTGCGTTATATTCCTGCCATCAGGGGAGAAGATGAGCTTACAGTCTTTCAGCAGGCTGTTTCAGGCTGCTGATTAGGAGGAGGAGCGCCCATCAAAGAATGCATGATGTTACATCCCCCGTATCTGAGGCAAAAAATAATTAACAAAGAAACACCATCACTCTCACCAGATACTTAATAGTGAACATTAGTCATGCTGTGCTAAATCTTAATTACATTTTATAACCTTTAGCCTTGATTGAACATAAACAAAAAAGCCTTTCAGATAAAGGATATGCACAGTTAAAATGAAGCACATCCTACAGTGTTTATAACTAATAACTAATTATACATTTCCCATTGATTATAAAAACATCCTTGTTAAATCATTGGCTTCGTCAGTTGATGCAGTATTGATAAAGGCGGGTCCCAGACCAATATGTTTTGAGGGAAATTAATTAAAAGCGCAATAAAAGGCGGAGATATATGCACAAATCACGATTCAAGATTTATAACCATCTCCTGGATGTAAAGTATTTCATACATGCTCAGCTAAGCATAAATCTCTACAGACATAATTCACTTGTGGGAAAAAAAAAAAACTAAATCAATATGCAACAAGCAAAGGGCCAGAAACCATTTACAAAGCTGTTTTTCTTTATGAATCTGTCTTTTAAGGCGAACAAAACCTCTTTCTATCAGCATCTTTCTCCCAATAATCACATCACAGAAATAATGAGGCTTCATTTTTCACTCTCACTCAAGTAATTGCATCCCTCTCCCGTCCTATCCAGGTCTGAGTCAGAGCAGATTGCCACAATATACCGAGCTAATACGCCACTTAATTTTCCCTCACATGTTGCCAGACACTTTTTGTTGCAGAGGGGCGTGAATTAATGGTTTTGCACAGCTTTGGTCTTTCATTTCTGCACTTTGTAGTCTCACCTTTTTGTTGCATAGGTTTTACTTTGATACAGTATCATATTGTAATACAAGTCAAACAAAGACAACAGTAGGGCCCTTCATCAGTAAAAACTTCATATCAGCAAAGCATCAACAGGGTTGAGTCGGGTTTTTGTTTGCTTTGTTCTTTGTACACTCAGGTACAAGTGTGCTGCTGTGTATTTGTGAGGGAACAAGTCTGTGATTATGTAGAATCAGAGTTATTTTCCTCTGAGAGAAAGACGCGATGCTGCATGTCTCAGTGTTCAGAAACAGAGGGGGAAAGGTACTTGAATCCCTCTTGATACCAGCATTTGAATTATAGCTGATAAAGCTTTATCACGATTGATCGATACCCATTTTTACATAAGGCTTAAAGCATCAACAGCAGATGCATTTTACTTCATGCGAACGTAAAAAAAGCCGAGTGAAAGAATCAATCTCAAACAATCAGGCCCTGGAGCAGAACCAATAAAAGACCTGCATTCAATAAGAACCAAATCAGCTTCAAGGTCCACAACTTTTTCCAGCCTTCGAGGTCTGTTTGCTCGATGTTATCTGACAAGAGAAAGAATAGAAACCAAAGAGACCGCATGTAGAGGTTCTGATACCGATCCAACACCTCTGATGCGTGCAGACAAGAGGAGCAGACTAAGAATAGAGACTGCTCAACTTAATTAGCCTGATTGAATGAACGTGAATAAAAAAGGAAGCATGTATTATATATAAGAAGAATGAAATCAGTGTCTCCTGAGGGTAAAAATATCCATCATACAGGGAAGAGGGTTAAGCAAAGCAACAGCTGCATAAATGTTGAGGTGTAAATCTCAGGGAGGGGCAAAGTTAAGCACCTGTTTCAAGCATAAATCTCAACATTCATGTCCCGTGTGAGGAAAATCCACGTCTGTGTGAGCGCTAACTTTATACTAGGCTGCAAAAAAACACATCGGCATTAAGCAGAGGAGAATAATCTGTGTTGTTTGTTTTCTTGCCAAGTAGAGCAGGTCTCAGTGGAGTGACGATGCTGGAACAATAGCTACAGCTAATTACAGCAGGTACATATATATTCCCCATGTGTCCCAGAGAGACTGAAAGTGAGGCTACTGGAGCAGCAAGCTTTTTTTAAACTGGGGTATGACACATATGAGAAGGGTGGAGCTTCCAGACATGACAACACAGACCTGAGACACACAGATAACTAAAATTAGAATCAGGAGTAATCAATAAAGAGTTAAAGCACAAAACACTGCCTGCTTCGTCAACATTAACTCACACTTCCTGCATCAGGTAACTAAAACATTTTTGAATCCCAAAGACCTGTTTTTGTGCAACACAACCTCATCCACACGGCTCGTAATGAAGGACCTTTCTGCTCTGAATTGATGGTAATTATCAGTTCAAGAAGTCAAGAGCGTTGCAGATGAAAGTGGGTGTTTTAGGCCCAGCAAAAGGTTTCCACTAACATGTGGAAAGAGCTATGCAACGCTGAGTTTTATTTCTATTTTTAATAAACATTAGGGTTAAAAGCTAGTAAAACATTTATTGTAAGGATGTAGGAAGAATAAAAGTAATTTACAAAGTGGGGTGTTCAAGCTTAACAAACATGGATGGGCAGGACTGCTGCTTTGGCAGAGATGTTGGTGTAAAAAAAAAACAAGTGCGGTGACGACAAAGAAATAAAAGGATGAATGGCTAACTTTCCTGAATAAAACTGGAAAAGACTGGCAACCACTTTAAATGCAAACACTTTGAAAAGATTACACTCTCTTTTCCAGAGATGGCTCCTCAGCCTTTAATAAAAGAAAACTCGCAAGACTTAAGAAGAGAAGTGTTTATTGAAAGCACACCAAGAGAGTCTTTAGACGGCAGATTTTTGAAGTCAAAAAGAATAAACAAAGACATGCCAGCTTTTTATAGTTCCTCAGTGAAGAGAGTCCTTAACTCCAATATTGCCTCTGTCCTCTATTTTCAGGATGAACCTGACTTTTGGCTTCACAATAATCAGAGATCTGGACAGCGACAAACACTGCAAGACTTGAAAATGTCTGGGGCACTAAAAGGGTATCTGATTTAGAGCTGCACTCCAGGAAACAAAAAGCCACGTTTGCAGCAAAGGCAAAAATAATTGCACATTGACATTTAAAGAGTGGGAATGGGATGTCTGTGCATGTCATGTGTGGCTGAAATATTCCAAAATTGAAAGAAATATGGGGAAAATGTTCAGACCGAGATCGTTGCGGAATAGGAAGTCACTTTATGTTTCTGCTTTGTTAATCAAATATGTTTGAATTTGTGCTCGACTGTAGCACAGAAATAATAAAAGCCACCAGTTTATTAGATTAATTACTTCAGTCATATTTGAATTTTGCAATACTAAAATAAGGCTGTAAACAGAGTCAAAGCCTGTAAACCTGAGAAAAATTGTCATGAAAGCAAAAAAAAAGGCAAATGTTTTGATAAAATGCTCTCACAAACTGCTGTGGGAGAACTTACTTTTCTTTTATCTTATGCTTTACTTCGTCTGTTCATGCCTGCAGCCTATAATACTGTCATCATGTTTTTGGTTAAGTAATTGATTAAATATTCTCTCACTCTGAAATGACTCAAAAATACTTTCTGCTGATTGTGACGGTAACATTAGAGGGGAAAGACGTTAAAAGAAATGTGATAGGAGTGACATGTTTTTAATCAAAGCATCACCCAAAGAGGCACAAGGTTAGTTTCTGCGGAATAATATGGTTAAATACAATTAGAATTAAGAACAAACAAAATAACATTACTCCTGTAAACAGGAGGTTTAATTAAGCAAACCAGTTTGACTCCCTTAATCTCTATAGTTTGCACCAAAATGTGATGTAAAATTAAAGATGAAGTCGCTGTGAGGGTTTTTTTTCCATTGGGTATAATACAGGCTTAAGTTTACAGTGATGGCACTTTGTGATCTACAGAGCTGAAAGAGGTCCTCAATGCAGAAAATGACATTTATGCTGAAGTAATTTTTAACCCCTGTGACTTCCAGGAGGTAGGCTTTAGATGAAACAGTTTTGCAGCATTTTGAAGAGACAACCTTATTTTACTTTTCCTATGCAGATCCTGACAGTGAGCTACACACTTGTCATTTGCACAAATATATTTCTCTTACATTTTTACATCTATATCTTTATATTTTGTTGAGAACTATGAAGATTTATTTTCATCCAAAGTAAATGTCAATATCTCCTAATCTGTTTGTCTGAAATATTCATTGTTTGATGCCTTTTGTCTGAATGACTCAAGCTGCCATAATAATGTGATTTTATGCAAGCGATATAAAAAAAAGGTACATATCCAATCTCATCCCTGTGTGCAGAATAAAACTAGTAAAGATGTGAGAGGTTCTTTTTTATCCAGAACAGAAAACCAAGACAGACAGAAAAATTCCCAGAAAAGCTTAAGATTTAAGTAAAACATGAGCACTACATTTACTCCCTCACAAAGCAAATCAAATCAGTTGCCGATTTGCTTTTAAACTACACATAAAAATCAAGTATTGCTTTATTTTCTTCAAATTTGTTGCAGTGGATCAGCTCTTTTCTCTGTTTCCTTCTTTTACCATAATTAAGAAGTTATACCTTTATTTTATTGTAAATGATGATGATAAAAAGTAGAAACAGATTCATGTTCATGTACTGGATTTGTGAGTTACCAAATAAATGTAGAAAATAGTTTAGAAGGAGACCCTTTTGTGTGGTATTTATTGTGCTCACCCCGACTTGAAATGGTCCAGTAAAGTAGTCCAGATTGGCCTGGATGAAGCCAATGTTTTCCAGGCCGAGCTCGGCACTGCGGCTCTGGGCTCTGACCAGCGACTCCTCCTTGTTCTCGATCAGGAGGACCTTCAATACACACACAGAAATTATACAAATCTGCAATAAACTGCTTCTATTTTAGATTGCCTGAACTGAGCAGTAACAGATTTCAAGTATGACCCAGTTTAAAAACACTGATTTCCACCCAGGTGAAACACACACTGAGTTAAACTGCCTGTTAGCATCAAACATAATGAAAACGGCATAGTGGGTTAAAAAAATCATGACTGTCAACAACCACTCTCACATGACCTCATCGACACAAACACATGTTACCTGGCAGTGTGGTAGTGCGTGAGCCAGAACAATTCCTACGTGCCCCTAGGAGAGCCAAAATGAAGAGAGAGAAACCAGAATCAGAATGCACAATGGGGAAACAGCACACATCAAAGAGGACATCAATAGAGTGATGATTAGCGCTGCCCTTTCCTACCAAGAATTGACCTTTTAGCCATGCACAGCCACCGCTCATGGCGTGCACTTTCATGAGTGTAATTACCAGTCAGCCTGTGTATCTGGCCTACAACAAAAGATATTTAAAAAGGAAAGAAAAAAAAGAGAAACACTAGCTCGTTACAGCTGCTTGCTAATGGAGCAGCAGCCTGATGTAGCCGGGGTCAGGCACGGTTATTAATATATGTGCATAGCTGGACTGATGGATGAACACACGCACCGTTCCACTGCAGAAATCCACGATGGTGTAGCCCGGCCTGGCTAGCTCTGTAACCATGGCAACCAAGTTATTCAGCTGTTGCCTCTTCCTGACGGCACGGATATTTGACATTTTCCCTGTAACAGAGCACAAGTTGGACTGCATTAGAGAATAAAAGTGGGAACTTAGCAACAGGTTTTTGTTTTTGCAGGTAATGAGTCAGACAACTCAGTTAGAGGAAAAACAAAAGAAGACTGCGGTCAAGCAGGGATACATTTTCTGTATAAGTGATTCAGACGAAAAAAATAAATAAATAGGAGAAGAGGGATGAATCATTATGACTCATTATGTCACTTTTGTATATCTTGATCGGCTATGTGAACATTGACGTGCTCATCTTTTTGTAATCTATTTCCATCGATTGTGCTGTAACACACCAGCCTTCACTTAAACGTCCTTTTACTTAGATAAAAGTTTGAGAGTACAAAACACATTTGACACGAGGCAATCTTGACTCATAATAAATAGTAAGAGGGTAAGTAGAGTTATACTTTAGAGCTTTGGGGGTTTACCCATCACATATGATGCTACTAAGGCTTAAATTTAAAGCTCCTGTTAGGAACTTTCTACCTGTGTCGAGTTGGGCATCACCTGAAGACAAATATTATTCTTGACTTTATCTCATCCGGGGCTCGCATCACTCCCATTTGCGACTAAAGATAGATGTGTGCGAATTGTAAAATGTATTTAGGGGCACATGTGGGCATGAAAAAAATCAGCCAAGGCAACAAATGTTTTTTCATGTAAATACCACGGTGAAGTTAGTTTTAGGTTGGATATTAGACAGACGTTCACTGTGGATCTACCAGTGTCTTCTCACTCTCCATCATCCCTGTCAAAGTGTTATTAAGAGACAAAAGAATCTACTCTTTTTGTCTCTTTTAATGAAATGCATCACTCACTGTAAATATTTGAAGTGGCAAAAGCAACAGGCAATCTTTAATGATCACAGAGTTGTAGTACTTGTTCATCATAAAACTGTATGCTCAGCTCATGGTAGCTGGAGTGCATATTACTTTTAACATGTAATATGCCCAGCACTACAGTTAAAGGCATTAAATTCAGCCAAGTTTTTCATCAGGGGTCTCATTTACTTTTGTACATCACAAAGACACCTTACTCTTGATTTCAGTCTGTTTCATAGCCCATCAGAAACTCCTCACATGAGCTTTAATGCATTTTTTTTCTCCAATATATTATTTTTCTTTTCTATTTTGTCACTTTGAGCACACCGAAAAGATAAAGTTAATCCACCACGGCATCTTCTGCTTCCTGCTGCAACCTTAATTAAAAAAATACAGCACCACTGCACTTTGGAGCCAAAAATGTCATTAGAAAAACTCCCAGACGACCCGGTTGACATGTTAAAAGTAATATGCACTCCAGCTACCATGAGCTGAGCATACAGTTTTATGATGAATAAGTACTACAACTGTGATCATTAAAGACTGCCTTTCAGCCTGTTATACTTGGCTTTTTTTTTTTTAAACATCTGGTTTAAAAGTTGTAGTTTAAAGACCCCAGGTATGGAGGCGATCATCCTGATCACAGCAGTTGTTGGTTCAACTACCAGCCTTGACCCTTGGCTACATGTCTCCCTCACTCTCACCTCCCCACAGTTCCTCTCTCTCTTCAGCTGTCCTATCCAATAAGGACAAAAAGGCCCAAAAACATACCTTCATAAAATAAGTGCAGCACAAACAAAATAATCTAACAAATCAGCAAAAACAATTAACTAAATTAAAAATGAAGTCAAACAGACCAAACCTTAATAGGAGGATACATTTCCTCATCACTTCTAGTCTTTTTTTCTCCCTTACTCGAGCAGTAACTGCTAAACTTTTGATTTACAACCAGCTGTTTCAGGTAATGGTTATAGCACACAGATGAAAAAGCCTCCACTCTCTCATCAGCATGTTTCCAGCCAATTGCCAACAAGGGAGCGCAAACCATCTTTCAACATCATCAAAAACGAGCCTGTGAACCAAACTCAAGTGTCCTGGTTGTTTTGCTTCAGAACTTTGTGCTGCTGTGTTGAGCAGTAAGAACCCCATTAACTCAAAGCACATCTCAGTCTCCAGCCTCTTCGTTCTGCAGTGAGCCGTCGACGCACTGTGCCTACGCCGTCTCTGGTCCATAAATCTAGAGTGATGTGCGTTTCATTTACCCCAGAGTCACACGCTCGTGCACGCTCAAATGGATTATCGTTAAAATATTATTTCTGCGTTTCCTGTTCACGCTGCTTTGTACGTGACGACAGGGGAGGAAGAGGGACTTCTCATTCTTGTGACATGAATAGGACATTTCATAGGGGGCCTTCTCACACACTGTCTGTTATTGAGCAGATCTCAGCTCAGAGGAGAACACAATAAAGGAAGTGAGGGAAGAATTCAAATACAGTGGAGCAGCAGGAAGGTAATTGGCAAGCCTCGGAGCTTCATTTAGAAGAGTTATTCACATGGGTGCAGGCTCTTCTATGAATCTGCAGCTCCAGAGGGGCTTTAGTATGGAGGCTTTTTGATGCAGCAGCACACATTATGATTTTAATTGCAGATTGTATTTCAGAGCGTGATAAAAGACAACATGGCAGAAATAGAAAAGGTATCTAAGCCGTTGCTTGGTGTGGAGAACAGGGATGGCAAAATAAACTTACAGGGCAAGTTCAGGGCAGCGGGTAAGAGCTTTGACACAACCCTGATTTTTTTCAACCAGTTAAATTAAGCTAGTTCTTTAGTAAACACTGGGCTATTTTCATTCTTCTTATTTATTTGGAGTCAAGCTTCTGTTTTTGTGATTAATGTAAGTCCAATACTTAACAACCTTCAGCTCTGCTTTTGGTCTCCACTTATTTCTGAGAGATAGGATCTCATCTGGGTTCTTTATGACACATGAAAATGACCCTCATTTCCATTTTAACTGAGCTTTTTGTTTTTATTTGTCTTTATTTCCACATGCTTTTTGACTACTTTGTAAACTTCTGTTTTTAAAAGTGCTTTAAAGATAAAGTTATTATTATTATTGACTGTTTAATGCTACAGACTAAATGTTATAATATTTTTACAGTCAAGAGGCGTGGGCTGTATACGGTGAATGGTTTTAGCTCTAAAACAGCCTACTGCAGTGTGAAACTAAACCAAAAATAAGTTGTGTGAGCTTTCTTTTTTCTTTTTTTATCAAAACAATCATCTGAAAGACTTGGTGAGGGCCTGTGTACATTGACATCTTTTTCTCTTAGTACCGCCTATTTTGTAATCCCACTCAGTTAATTGATTTCAGCACTCAGCTCCCTCAGTGACAGCTGTTTTTTTGTTTTTGTAGCGCTCTCTTTTGGGACACCACTGTGTCTATCAATGTCACTTCTTCATCAGCCAGTTATAGTCAGGAAACGGGATATAATTTCCAGGTCTAGAGTAGCTCTTAATGCTACAGCACAATTTTAATCAGTTGTTTTGTTTTTAAAATGAAGTGCTAACTGTGTTTGGACTCATTGCAAGAGACTACGTCTGTATTCATGTTGCCATGTGATTGATCCTATAGCTGTTTATGATAAAAAGGTTTTGTGCAAAATCTTATCTAGGAATAGCTTATTTTTCCATTGCTTATTTACATTTTTTTGCTAAATATCCTGCAAACTTTCACTCCAAATTTGTAGATGTATTGCTTCAATGATGAAGAGGTAGAGAGTGGGCAATTCCTGTTTTATGCCTTAGACCACAGAAGGAAAATGGAGTTGTCTACATCAGACCATACCGTAGATCTATCATAAGTTTTAAGGAAATGCAAACCAGAACAAAACAATGAAGTGCAAAAGAAGGTCAACAGGTTTTAGTGTTTTGAAATGTATAATTAGAGTGAAGTCCTGAGTGTGTGATGGACTTTTAGGACTAAAGCAGACTTTGTTTGGTGACAGCCCTTCACTTAGCTTGAGATGAAACTGATGAGCTAGAAAAACTGAGTGGGTGGCAGCAGACAAGCTTAACTACTTCTTTGTTTGTAGCTTCATTTGAAAATGTTGTCTCAGGGGTGTAAGAGAGGAAGTGAGGAAGGTCTTTACAGTTCATGCCCTTGGTTGCAGTAACTGAGTCCGATTTAGCCAATTTCACATGAGCAAGAGAGAGTATACGTCAAGGTTAAAAAGCCAATAGACAACGCAGAGAAAATTATCTTCGAGACTGTTGGACATTTCCAGGTGTAAGAGCACAAAAAATTAACTTTAACACTGTTAACCCAAAAAGCAAATGGCTATCCCTGCACTAAAAGTCCTTTCATTTAAGGAGCGTAACATCTTTTTTGAGGAAACAAAAGGTAGTTAAACTGTTTTTACAATCAAATTGACTGACATCAGCTTAAAAATCCATTTTCAAGTTTATCTCTCACTGTGTAAGTACAGCTAAAAGTGTGAATAAACTCAGTGTCTGATAAATGTTTAACACTTAATGAACCAATAATGAGCTGATCTGCAGTAGCTGTTACATGCATTAGTATGAGTATGAGTTAATGTACCAGTATATTCCTTTACTGCATCCAAAGATAGAGACAAAAATACAGAATTCAGAATTTTAAGACTATTTTCTTGTGTAAGACTGACTCTATATGGGACTTTGACCTTTGGCTTAGGGGTAAGCTACCGAGGAAAGACACCTACGAAGAAATCTTCCAGCAGAGCTTCAATCTTTAGGAAGGCAAAGGTTTAAACTTCCCATTCTGTTGGATGGACAATATAAGACATCAATTTTAGTAACAAAAGTTTTTTTTTAATGGGTGGTACATGTATATTGTGAAATGAACTGAATACATCTGTAATAACTCACTTCTTAATATCTCAGCCTAAGTCCTCAGAGCATAAAAAGCTTTATCAATATGGCCCTGTCTTCTTATACAAGGACTGTCCTATCATGAAGATAAGTTATGTTATGACATACAGAATATCATCATCTTCAACAATCATGTATCTGAATGAAGCTTAGCAGCTCAAACTTCACAGAATAGTTTCAACAACAACTTTTAAAAGTTCGATACAAGCTCTAACTCACAAGACGAAAACAATCACAGACCATGTAATTCATTCATGGTAAAAGAAAGAAGCCTATCTGCACGGGGAGGTTTTCCCCACCCATTTTTTCCTCATTTGTCCCGACTGTCTCTCTGCCCCTTTAAAAATAAAAGCAACTATCACCAGTAAAACACCAATCAGCCCTAAACCGTCACCAAGCGTGGTCCAAATGATCTGCTGACAAAAGATTTTCTGACAGGTGGACATTAACTCTCCTACTCTGTCATTATCATGAACCGTTCTGTAAGTAAGAACTGGGAATGAGCTTGAGATTTTAATTAGGCATTGTCTTTTATAACAGCAAGTCTGGTAATAGTTAAGTGCAGATACTCCTGCTGCCCTGCTCCAAATTTAGAAGAGTTGGCCATAAATCTGAGACCATGTAACAGGTTATCAGAAAATACAAGAAAGTTTCAAACACAGACTTGGCAATTTTAATCCACCTACATATATTATTCAATTTATGTGGCACACAGACAAACATTCTTTGGCCAAACCTTACTGGATAAAAAAATCTTTTCTTGCTTCCTCCAACAAACTAAACCAATAAATCCACCAAGAAGTGAGGACAATTGTAAATTTTCTTCACTCCTAACTGCAATTCAAAATTCAGCTACCTCGAAAATTTTGTGATATTTATATGTTTATCTAGAGGAGCAATCTGCCTTTTCGATTGGTTTGAATTCCTGGAACATGGCAATTTGTGCAAGCAGCAAGTGGGACGATTTCATCCAATCAACAGTTGAAAGAAAAAAGTAACAAAAACTAAAACAAAACAAAGACCAAAACTATAGTGTGCATCCGAACAGAAGCTCAACAGTGGATTGGTTAGTGTTCTTGACATTGTTGACATTTTTCAGTCGGGTTTTAAGTCATTTTACAGCGCTGAGTCTGCACTTTTATGGGTTTTTAATGATCTTGTTCTGACTACTGACTCTGGCAACTCAGCTCTTTTAATGCTTTTAGACCTAACAGCTGCATTTGATATAGTGGATCACACAACTCTCATTGCTTGCCTTGAACGCTGTGTTGGGTTAACAGGTACAGCTCTTAACTGGTTCAAGTCCTACTTGTCTGAGGTGTTTTAAAGTCAATGTTGGTGACTGTATCTCTTCTTGTGCCCCCTTTGCCGGTGGAGTACCCCAAGGCTCTATTCTTGGTCCCATCCTGTTCTCCCTATATCTCCTCCCTCTTGACTTGATTCCTAAAAAGCATGGGATATCTTACCATCTGTATGTAGACGACACTCAGATCTACCTCCCAATAAAGAGAAATGATGGTAGCTCTCTAAAACGTCTGCTAGATTGTTTTAAAGACTTAAAGGACTGGATGGCCTTGAGCTTTTTAAATTTCATTGAAAAGAAAACAGAACTAATCATCTTCGGCTCCAGTGGGGCCCAGGAGACACCTCTCAGGGAGCTGGACCCTCTTGTATCTTATTTGAAACCCAAGTTTTTACATCTTGGTGTAAAAGTTGACAATGATTTTAAATTGGAACAACAAATTAACTCTGTTGCTAAATTCAGTTTTTATCTGAGGCTTTTATCCAAGATTACATCGGTTTTATCTTTTAATAATTTTGAGCGAATAATTCATGCTTTTACTTCCACACGGTTGGACTACTGTAATGCTCTCTACGTCGGTGTTAATCAGGCTTCCCTCACACGCTTACGGTTAGTCCAAAATGCTGCTGCTTGTCTTTTAACAGGTAAACGAAAACATGGTCACATTACCCTATATCTGGCATCCCTCCATTGGCTTCCCGTTCATTTTAGAATTATTTAAAAATTGTACTTTGTTTTTAAATCTTTAAACAGATCAGCACCACACCTGTTTATGTTAACTGAATTCATACGTCAACTTTTTCAAGTGAATTTTTCATTTCACACACAGGTAAGCTAAATTCATGTCTTTCTTCTTGTTAGCAAATTAAAAGACTTTGGAAAAACAGTCAGTTTTTTTTTTGTATCTGGTGGGTCTCAGGTGTTTTCTGCAACAAAAGGTCAGTGTTTAACCTCTTTTTTACTGGCTGATTCAAGTTGAAAGCGGAGTAAACTGATGTCTGTGGCGTTCATGTGCAGGGGCGAACACATCATCCCCCCCAGAGAACTGCTGGATAAAAGCCACAGATGACAGAAAGTTTTTATGTTTTTCAAACAGGTTTAGTCTACCTTGACATTTCAAAATGCTCAGCCGGGAGAAAACATGCGATGGCTGAGTTATGACGAAGAAGACTGAGGATCCATTAGTGTCTGTGTCTTCTGCACACACAAAAAAACAACTACCTAACAGTCCCCCTGCTGCTGGCATCAAGCCCTGATCTCTTCCTTATTCCCTGATGCTGCAGAGTGCTCGGGGCCTTATCACGCAGGTCCATCTCACAGATTAGAATGTAAAGAGCGCAGTGGCACGGGGGGGCTCTGTCTGGGCTCTGCAGAATCTGGCAGCTAACATCTCTCAGAGGACATGCTGGTGTAAAGAGCAAACATGACTGAGATTCAGATTTAGATAATGGCTTTCAATGTACAACTTTATATTTTTTATTGAATTATTCTGCTTTTATGATTGCTTTGGAAAAGTTATTTCCATGCTTGTCAAAATATAGAGAAAGCTTCTTGCCAAGAGGATTTAAATCACAGTTGCGCTCAGCCTGTTATTAATGAAAACTAGTACTTTTTTTTAAACAAAATATAAGATAAAATAGCAGCTCTTGTACTGCAGATTAAGCCGGTTATTTCCACCATTACAGAGTTCACCAGAGTCACTCTGCCCTGGAAGTGTCCGGGATCCTCCATACAGTATGTATGTTGGCTGCTAGTTAGTGTGAAGTGTTTTACAGCTGAGGAGGAAACACATTCCTTTAGGTGGAAACTCTCCAGACGTGTTTACAGCAGACATCCCAGACGGTGTCATCTGTCCACCACCAAGAAACGCGGTGTCACTGAATGCCATGTAAGAAGATAGCAAGCCTGAGAGGTCTCTGAAAAGATAATCCTGTACACATACGAAGTTCTTGTGACTTGGTGAAAAAGCACAGTGAGGGACTATGGTATGCATATTAAATTAATGTCATTTAAAGTTTGATGGCTGATTTCAATATTCTTTGTACTAGAATTGAATAATCTTTAAATGTAATAACAAATTCAATCATGACCATTAGCAGATGGACTGAATAGCATTGATTATACTGATTATAAACTGTTGTTGTTGGTTGTCTCTATCCATATTTGTCTTACTTCATCTCCTCTATCTTCTTGCCAAACTCAACACAGTAACGGCGAACGACTGCCAAACAAAAGTCTGTTTTTTCCTGAAGTTTCTGCCTGTTATGAAGTTTTTCCTTGCCAAAGTGTTTTGCTTATGGTGGATCAAGACAAGATAGTGGTTCTGATCTTCAAAGATGGAACTCAGTCTTATCCTGCCTTGATGTTGAGTCTTTGTAGCAAGTGAGAATATAAAGAAATTTGGCATAGGCTGGGCAACTTCGTCAAATACTCTCAAAAACTGCAGCTCTTGTGGTTTTTTGGGGCTTCAGCAGTTCAAAGGTGGTCCAAGGAAGGAAAACAAGGGAATCAGTGAACCTGAACCTGGCAAGGTCATGGACAAGGTTCATTAATAGACCAAAGACTGTTGTCTGATCCAACACAAGGGCCAATGTAGCTCAGATCTACTGTAGCTGGAAAAGTTCAGGCTAGTTCTGGTAGAAAGGTGTCCGAACAAACAGCACATCCCAGTTTGTTGCCTTTGAAGCTTGACAGTGTTGACTTGGCATCAAAATTCCCAAGGTCTCAATCTAAGTGAGGATCTGTGGGATGTGCTGGGTAACCGGGTCAAATCCATGGAGGCCAAGCCTCTCAAATTACAGAACCTAAGGGATCTGCTGCAAATATCGTGGGGCCTGATACCACATCACACCTTCAGAGGTCTGGTGCAGACCGTGTCTCAGAGATGTTTTGACCTTGACTTGATGAGAGAGGAGCCTCCTCAGTTTATCTTGTGATGACTGATCAGTGTATGCTGCAAAGTGTCACCTAAGAGTTCTCTTGTAGTCTTAAGCAAGAATGTAAAATGCTTCGTATGTTAATGTTGGTTGATAAAGTTGTCATAACATTGGCAGTAAATACAATACAATAAAATATAAGAACTTTCTTTATCCCCAAAAGGAAATTCATTTGTCTGGAGTCTCATGTCATCTGTTTGTCAAAGAATCCTAAAGTCTGATGGCAGTGGATACAGCATCCTAAAGAAAGTACTACATTTCACAGTCCATGTACAGTATATTCACTTATTGTTAGTCAAACTAATCTATCTGTTTGTGCCCTTCCAGGATTAAAAAAACAATCCCTATTTATTTTTCAGAAGCTATCTTTTTCATTCTCATAGCAATTCAATTAAAACAAAACAGCAAAAGCAGATCAATAAATCAGAGAGTGTGGAAAGTATTTCTTGCAGGAGATAAGGGAACATTTTATTCAAGTTGAACTACATTTGTTTAATGGAGAAACGCTTTGCATCTAGTTTCTTATAGTGAAGCAGAGTGGATGTAATGGTGCGATATTCAAGGAAAAGCACCCCGTATGTGTTTGCTCACATAAGCATGTGGGCGCATTATCTGTGTTCAAGTCTTCCAGGAAGTGAAATAGAAGCAGAAAGGTGTTATGGATCATTATGTTCTTCTGGATCTCATGAATATATGAGCGCTTCAGTTCAGAAAGGAGCAGGTTGGCTGTCCTCTTCTTTAGGAACAATAGAAGTGTTTTTTAGTCTCAGCAGCAGCTCAGAACAATACAGTGTTTGAGTCATTAAAAACAAGCACATGGGTGGTGTGGGAGCTGTTCGCAAGACTGGAGAGGTTAGACGAAATCTAACTCACCAATGGAAAACAAACCTATGGAAACAATGTACCGCAGCAGCACAAGTGTTTTACAGCTGCAAAATAAAACACTGAATTCATACGTCAACTTAAGCCATAAGTAGTCCAGGTATGTTAAAGTACCATGCACCAAGGAAAGGCCAGCTAATGCAATCATGGTGCTTGTTAAACTGCCGGGTGTAAGAAAGCCTGCTGTATTTCCTTTATATGACTCCAGGAGTGCAGAGTGCTGTTTCTCTAAGTGCTGCGAAGTGCACACATAGGTTCCAGGAGGAGCAATCTGACCAACCAAAATAAAAGTGCTCCTTACCACATTATAAACACAATGCTTGGAGCTTGGCAATAAAGGGTAAAATCTATTACTGACATTTTGACCAGTGTGTGTGCAAATGAAACAAGCAACGGACTCCAGCACGGACTCCAGCACATGGCACACACCGTATAATAGTACTGATTAGGGTTGGGTATCGTTTGATTTTGAACGATTCCGATTCCGATTTCGATTCCTCATTTCGAATTCGATTCCTATCGATTCTTTATTTCGATTCTTTTAAAAGGCAGGATAACCTTAAAAAAAAAAGCATGGTTTGAATGAGGGCGCTAACCGGAGCTCTTCTTTTTGGATGTAATTTCTGAACTTCTCCATGAATTTTTAAATCATATTAACTTTTTAGGAACTTTACTATGAATTTCTCACAGGGCTATTTTCAATCAGTATATAAATATCATTTTTTGTTGTCAGGTCGTTTGTCTATGAAAAAGCACAAGGGCTAACGTTAGTTGGATATTTAAGTTGACCCACCGTACTCAGTGCAATTTGTTTACCGCTTCAAAGTTAGCAGAGGACAGAAGTCATTTATTGTTTCACTTATCTGATCCTGACTGGTTAGCGGAAGACAGGTGTTGTGCTGTAGAATGCACCCCTGCCGTAGAATGCCTCCCCTCCACTGATTAGCTTCTTAAAGTGGAAGACAATGATCTCATATTTAAAAAAACACGAGTATTAGATCATGACAACACGTCAAATGGAGCAGTAAACTTTCGTTTTGTTTTTCTGTGTCTCAGAAACGCACACATAGAGGTGTACTTGGGTATATAAACTGTACAGTAAGCTGTTAATGTAGAGAACATTATATTTTCCGGACAGTAAATATTCAGAATCAGAGGGCTATTTTTTTCGGCATATCTGAATAGCCTGAATGAAATCATTAAAGGCACACGCTTTAGATTCCGTTCAACGGTAAGAAAAACTTGGATTGTTTCGCCTTGTTGTGTACTTTCAACCGCGCTCCCGTCAGGGGTGAATTCAACAGCAGGGGTGCATTCTACGGCATAACACCGGCGAAGCGCGTCAAAGACGAGCACTTGGGTATTTCTCCTCCATGAATCCTGAGGTGTTTAATCATGTTTGTCGTTTACCCTCCTTTGCATGATATAACTGTATTGCTAATGTTGCATTGAGATAAGAGCTCATTCTTCCTGCTAAAGTTAGCCAAACTTTTGACCAACGAAGAAGAAGCTGCCGAACACCAACGAGGACGGAGCGTATGAGACGAAGTCACACCGAGAGAGGAGAGAGACAGAGAGAGATTACATTGTAACCCACAGCGGCTGCATTGCTGTGGGTTGCAATGTACTTTCTCTCTCTGTCTCTCTTCACTTTCTGTGTGGCTTCGTCTCATACGCTCCGTCCTCGTTGGTGTTAAGCGGCTTCTTCTTCGTTGATTTTCGGCGGCTATTTCTTCCGGTCGGCGGACTCCGGCATCGAAACTTGGAATCGAAATTTTAATATTTGAACGATACCAGAAGAATCGAAGTTTTAGTCTCGATTCCCATCGATTCTCGATTCTCGATACCCAACCCTAGTACTGATATAAAGGAACAGCGGGGAAAAAACCTCACCTCAATCCTCAATCCTCACTTCAAATCTTACATTTTCTTTTATACAAAACAAAAGCATGTCTACAGTACAGAACATTATTACTCATTTTTACTGTTTAAAGATTTCGCATTAAAAAAGTGGAACATGTAAACACAGGACCAGATTTTGTTGTAAGATAAGATATTCCTTTATTAGTCCCACAGGGTTAAATACCAAATTTACAGCAGCAAGAGAAATTAAAGGATGAAGAAACTTAGGAGTTAAAAAAAGATATATGGATATATTTTACAAGTGTTGTTTACAGCTGTTGTTAAAGCTCTTTGTTTCATTCTGTTCCTTCTCAAACTGTTTGTTTTTACATATGTTAGTGTAAATTTATCTTCGACATGTACAGTTGTTTGGTGTACATATGTATTATTTTGCCAAATGTTTTTGTTTCTAGTTCTTTATTCTTTGTTGTTGTTCTTAAAGTTTGAGATAAATAAAGAAGAAAGAAGAAAGAAAGCTGTTATGTACATGTTGGATATATTACAGCTGCAAAATTGGAGATATTTATATGTATGACTATATACACAGAATATACATACATGTGCACAGAGTACACAGATGAATTTGGTTTATCACACACTGAGGTTTTTGTTGTGGAGTCTAACAGCTGCAGGAAGGAGTGATTGGAGGTGTTCTTGTTCCCATTTCAAGTACAAGTAGTTCCATCGACTAACATCTCAGTGAGCTAGTCGCGAAAACACAGCTTACAGACTGCTCTCAGACATTAAGATGATATATAACATTACTTAAATAACATTATCAACATTAATTAAATAAATGTGTATATGAAATATTAGCAGTAACTTAACAATCCCTGCCCACAAACACAGCATGAGCCCTTAGGATTTACAGTTCCTGTGTCTCTCTGCAGCTCTGTAGGTGTTTTTTTTTACAGTTCCAATGGTGTAACAGGATGGCTGTCTTGAGTCGAAAATAAATTCCAAATAGCAGTGACGTTGTTCTTTTCAACAGAAGGTCTTTGTCATTTTCATTTCCTCTCTCTTCTCTGCTTCCCCAGCTATTGCTTGCACTACCATTGCAGCTGCTACCGAGTTCACTCTATTTATTCTGTGGATAGCTGGCTGCCTGCTGGGGTTTAATTTACGGCCAAATGGTGTGAATGCTTGGCCAGTGCGAGTGATGGATTGAAATGTTGCTTTATACAATTGTCAAAGTAAACATAATTTAAATTCTTTTTCTCTTCATATTTCATTCATTGCATTTCAACTGTTCAATTAATGGGAGCAGAAGGAAGCTATAAGGTCATCTGCTCGACTACAAGTCCAGTACACACCAAAGAGTGGAAAATGGACTGAAGGCTGGAGAGGTGTCCTTGAGCAGGGCACAAACCCCTAAGTGCTCAGTGTGCGCGTCTGAGTGCAGCCCACTCTCTCTGTCATTACTTCACTAGTGGATGCCCGTGGGATCCTGTTTGTGCAAGTATATATATTTTTTCAGCCTGTGTGTGCTGTATGCCAAATAACAGAGTAAAAACTGAATTTACCCTAGGGGATTAAGTACAGTATGTCTTCTGTTTCAACTTCTTCCTTATCATCTTCTTCATTTTGTAATTTGTCAATCCAGCATTTTTATATGATCAAACACTTATTTGGCAGCCCAATCTGAAAGCTTATACAGCTAAACATTTATAACTTGAGATGCAACGATCAATCCCTTTCCCTAATCATGCCTTTAAGTCCCACTCTGTTTTTTTTTTTTTTTGCACTACTTAAAGTGCAAAAAAAAAAGCACTGCACTGGGGGAGGTGACATTAACTTTTTTTTTTTTTATACGCACATATGTTTTATTATATCACAGGTGCGATTTAACTGTTCGTTAATGAACAAAATCACTTCCTGCCAGTCCGAACATTGCATATTGGCTGTGCTTTGAGGATCCTGATGAGGTGTCTCCTTCTCTAAACAATACTAAATGTGGCTAAGCTAAAAAGTATGTCTTTGTGAGTCATAGCTGAATTAAATACCTAAAATCTCTCACAAATGAGAACTATTTACAAAAAAGCATGCGCAAGATACAAATAAGAGGCATGTACGAGATACATATAAAACGCACCCACAAGACACAAAATCGCACACACCATATAATAAAACACAAGTGCAAGATACTAAATCACATATGCGAATATCAAAGTAGTTTTCAGTGGTCTTAAATTGTGATTATGAGGTTTTTAGCCAAAATCATGTTACTGGTGTTATTTTCAAGGTCTTTTCTTCTGCAAAGCTTCAGAAGCTCACTAGCAATTCGCCTCTGAGTCATAGGGCGGCGACAGCGCTGCTCTGCACCCTCCTCTTTACGCTAAAATGTAGCCTAACATTGCCAGTGTATTAGAAGTGGCAGGTAACATAGGCGCTTGTTCAGCTCTTGGACACTAATGTCTTTGGAGGTATGATAAAAGCTAGTATCATAATTAGCTTTCTTACGAGCATTGCTATCTACTATCGCACACGCTTGTTCTTTATCGTCCTCTCTACTTCTCAGAGTCTAGCCTGCTGAGCGGTTCACAGAGATTTGAATGCAGAAATTCGCAGAAATGCAATTTTGCACTTAGTTTTCTCATGATAGGTCCTGCAGCATCAGAGAGATGCCATATGAACATGTAGACAACAAGAAAAACATGATTTTTTATCGAAGTGGATCTTTAAAATGTCACATATCGTTTCTGTTGTTACTCTCCAGAAGCATATAGTGTGTTTGGGCTCAACTTGTAAGGAAAAAAACCAAAGTGACACCAACGATGCACGAGGCTTTGCTGGATTAGCCTTTTGTATGGCGGAGGGACCCAGCAGTAAGATTCTACCAAAAAATAAGTGAAGTCAGCAGTGGGGGGAGAAAGAGCCGGTAAGGCGATATTGGAAAACATGCCAATTTTCTTTTGTTTTTTTATGATTATTGAAGGTGCGGGCTGTTTTGTCAACACAGAAGAGACCGTTTTTAAAATGAAAACGGTTTCATTTAAATAAAGTTGTCATTTCACTTTGCATGACAACAAATTCTGCAGGGTGACACAGAATGATTCATTTCTTTCCATAGAGTTTAAATCACCTTCAATACCGTTTTTATGTGACAGGACTCTGGCAGTAAACCCCTTTCTTCTTGAATAGCCACAATATTTAGCTGGCAGGACTTTGGTTTTACTTTGGCATGGATTTCTACAGGGGAACTTGCAATGGCTCATCCCATAATTGAAATTTGAAATGGCTCGTTGGCACTATGAAGTGTATGCAGTGGTGCAGAAAAGCTACCATCTGACCATATGTCCTTCATCATGGAAATCTATGGAGCAAAACATGAGGAAATGAACTCTGGCACATCTTTGCAAAGTGTTGACAGTAATTAATAACAGGAGAGAAAGCTGAAATCACAGTCCTCTCTCTGTCAGTGGAAATATTCTGCTGAACTCTCCTGAAAGCTGCAACACCACACAGCATTACTGCCATTGTGCAGGGAGATCTTTAAAAAGGATTGAGGCAAAACACTGAGTGGTAACTAAGTATAATCTTGTTTAGTCAGCTCTAACTGGAAAAAAAACTTCCTCAATACTGACAAGCCTTGATTGCTGACAAGTTGTCAGAAAAACAAAAGTTTTTCTTTCCCACAGGCAGCAACTGAAAGTTTTCAATGAGTTTGCATAAGGCTGCGATGACATGAAAAATGAGAGGTAATGAAGACAAACAGAGGAGGGAGAGACGTCTCACAGTGCATCCTTCAACAGGCTTGGAATGTCTGTCAAAACATGAGCAGACGTCCCTGCAGGCGAGAGGTCGACGTAATTATGAACCTCCTGCGGTCCCTCTCACAGGTTACAGCATGTAGCTCATTTGTCTGTGCTGTTTAGGTTCAAAACGAGCAAACAACCACAGTGAGGTGTCACTTTTAGAGGTTTGTTAGGGGCATCACAGCAGCACAAGCTGACCTTATGTAGCTGCAGTTAAATTTCCCATTAAAAGAAAAATCACAAATGATGATTCATAATTGTTATTCAATCTTCATAAATTCAAATATCCGCACCTGTTTTCAAACTTCACTCTCTGTATTATTTGGAGTTGTTCCTTCAGTAAAGAAAGCTGCTCAACAAAGCTTGTACCGCTTTGGAAAATTAAAGATGGGCACGAATTCAAATCAAATCAGTAATTATAAAAATTATTTTGCTGCATTGGCCCAATTTGCTGGCAAACCTCGACTGCCTACACTTCATTTTCTCGATCGCACACTGTGCCATTATTAGATTGTTAGCTTGAAAGGAAGACATTAAAATTCATGAGACTCCAAAAATGAAGATGTCATTTTTTATCAAGTACAAGAGATAGTTTGGACTATTTGAATTTAATTATTGGTTATTCACTAAGCTGAAATGTGATGTTCTTTCAGAGACATTTATTTGGACAACAGCAACATGAAAGCTATTGGGAGCAACTTTTGCTTTTGTTGACTTTAACGCCCCCTGAGGACAAACAAGTACAGACAGTACATCAAACAATCTCTATTTGTCTTAAGCTTTAAGTTATTGTTAATTGTTTAAGTTATTGTTAATTGTTTAAGTTATTGTTTATAGTTATTGAATTTCCCTTTAGGGATTAATAAAGTTCTTCTTATTCTTATTCTTAAGTTAAGACTTTACACAGTTATCCAGTCTAAATGGGAGACGTAATCAACTAAATTTAAACAAGTCAACTGATGACACGACACAACGGTATTTGGACATTTCATTCCAGTAAAATGAGGTGTTTTCTTGAGTTATTTGGTTGAACTTTGGACAAACAATGGGGCAACAAAAACTGCAGAGCCTCGCCAACCTCCTCATCTATCCCAGCAACAGAAACCTTTATCCCCATCAAAGGGTAGTTGCAGCAAAGGCAGAGGGGTTTGGAGGGTGTTGATGATTCTTGAATATTAATTCTTTTGGACTGAGAACTATCAAACACACTGAGGAAGAAAATCACACTATGGAATTTTTATCTGGCAGCTCCTCTCTCTCTGACTCTCTTTTTGGCTCATGTTCACAGTGTAGGCTAAATGTTGACTTGCAGTCTGCCTCCTGAGAGCTGTTCACAGCTCTGTTTGTAGTGGACGTGGCAGAGAGACATCCACACTCCTCTGTTTTCAAACTTTGTGGAGTTTGGAATCGATCCGTCCTGTCAGTGAAGTTGTATTTGCCGAGGGCGGAAAGAAACTGAGTGTGTTCGGGGAGGATTCAAATGAGTGAACAACAGCGACCCTGAGCAGCGCATTCACGGCTCAGCTCAGGTACGGAGCAAATGACCTGAGGCTACACACAAGTTGACACATCGGTAAACCATAATCCACGAGGACAGCTGAAGTCTTTTGCCAAGTTTGCGGAATTTTGGAGGGAGTTAGGATTAAAAATCAACATAAGAGAGAGTTAGGGTTGTCCAAACTAGTAACAAACAATGTAACACGTTTGGGTGAAAGTGACAAACTTTACAGCGCTGGAAACCTTACACTTTAAAACTCTCCATCAAGTGAAGGATCCCAGGTAAATAAAAAAACAAACAAATGTCTATTTGATTTGACTAAATGACCAGGAATTAAGGAGCATCTTTGATTTCAGTGTACCTCTCACAGGTCCCCAGTGTTGCGAGGCAAGGTGTCCTGCTGTCCTTTTGCATCTTTTAAAAGAGACCGTTAACTCTGCTTTAAAATGCTCTGTGGATTTTATATTGAATTTATATTGCTTTAGTTCGATGGTGTTTTACAAAGTAACTGAAAAAATAATAAAAATAGTTTGTCCCAGCATTAGCACCTACTCTAGACCTGGAAACTGTACTCCCAAAACAAAGTAAACAACAATTATGACTGCATAGAAGAAATAAATCATGAGCTGTAGAGGAGGCAATAAAGATTCCCTGGAGAAGAAAAAAGGAATAAAGTGAACAGGAAAGGAGAAAGAAAAGGTGAAGGGTAAAAAGATAAATGATATCATATCAGAAGAAAAACAGATTAAAAGATAAGGGGCCGTGAGGTACAAAAAAAACAACAAAAACTAATAATAAATAAATGAACGAGTAAATAAATGAAGTTAATGTGATCAAGGGCAGCACGGTAGGGGATCAAGTGAGGACTCTCAAACAAACGGCTAAAACAGAAGCATTAAAATAGGAGTTTTTAGATCAAAGTCAATAAGTTCCAGTTGAAAAGTAATTAAAACGTTAATTCACATAAAAGCAAGTCTGTAAACGTGAGTGAAAAGATGCCGTTGATTCTACAGTGTTACAAAAAGCTTCATCTCCTTAAGATCTGAGCCTCTACTTTGGAACGACCAGCAGGGCGTCACCTGAGGATTTCACACTGTAGGACGGCTCATTTGGCTTTAACATTTGTAGAAAACAACTTGAGTTTTAAAAGTGATCAGTAAAATTTGAGCAACCACTTAAAAGTGAGCTGTTGATGATTCATAAAATACTGGGTCAGAATGTGGACATAACGTGGTGGGACTTACAGGTCTCAGGTAAGTTGTCAATGAAATTTGAGGGTATGGGGTTGATGAGAGAGTATTAAACTTTAATTAACATCCTAAGGTTTGAACACTTTGATAAAAATTAATTTAGAATAAGCGGACGCTCTTGCTGAGCCATTTTTTTTTTCCATTTTCTTTCTTTCCTTCTACAGTCCCTCTTAAATTCTTGTGAGGTTTCATTTAACCGGGTCTGCTGTGTTTTATGAGACTTGTGATTTTTATGGTGCAACAGAATCCAGAATATCCCTGCAGATGTGATTAAATTGGGAGACCATCTCTTCAGTGGTATAATTTCAGTTGAAAGCAGTCAAGGAATCAGTGTTAAAAAGCTCCAAAAACTCACTAGCAGATGCAGAACTAAAAACACAACAAGAGACTGATGTGCTATTTATAACAGGCAGGCTAGATAAATCCACACTGACTAAAACCAGCTCATTATGATCTGACACAGATATCCTTGGTGTCAAAGTTGTAGGGGCTGGGACCATGGTGTAAAAACAAATTAAAGGTGTGACTTTGAGGATGAGTGCTTTGGGTGAGGCAAAAACAGCCATAAAATCAACGGTAAAGGCTGAAAGGGGGAGCAAACATGGATGTAAAAATCCCCTAAAATAAGAATCTTTTAAATTTGGACATAAAATACAATAAAAGTTGGGAGAATTTTTGGATAAAAAGAGTTTGGCTTGGGTGGTCTATATGTAATTAAAATTAAAACAGAGCACACAGATGTTCAAAGTATGAAAAAGTGGTTTTGTGTTATTACTGTGCACTTAAAATCTTTCCTGTCTGTTACCAGAACTCCTGCCCCTTCTTGGTTTTGATTCGCTGATGATGGAAAAGTAACTTTGATGAGTTTGGCACTGTTCCTAAAGTTGATTTCACTAAGAGCGCTGTGAGAGCGGCAACAACAACAAAAAACAGCTGAGTCTGAGGGCATTTTTGTACTCAGGAAGCTGAGTGCTGAAAAACACTGAAACGCTGTTATGAAAAGAAAATAGGCAGCACCAGTGCAAAAAAAGGATGTGAATGAACTCTGACAACTTAGAAACATCCATTACTCCACCACATAATACTTGATAAAACCAGAAATATGTTCCAAGTATTTTTGCCTTGTACCACACAAAATAAGTTATCTTGTAAAAACAATTTAGTTTATCATACTCACAAGATAATGACTTGCATGCACACATCAATATCTGTTTAAACTTAAAGCATGAAGAGCCCTTCAGTTATTGTTTGACCTTAAAAGAAGATTTCATGCACACAAGATATCAATCTAAAAGTACAAAATAGGAGCGTGTTCACAAAAGATAGTTCAAATGTGCACACAAGTTTAATAAAGTCCTTCTTGAGACATCAGAGAAGTAAGTGTGAAAATACAGTGATTCCCCTACATTCATGTGTCGCTGCTGAATTACGTGCGCTGATACTGAAAGTTTACTTGATCATTAATATCCATCCGACACTAATGATTTCTACTTGCACAACAACACACAACGTTATTTTTGACTTGTTTTGAGTCGTCAACGAGCGCATCAAATTCTGTCGGACTCTCTTCCATTAATGTGAAGGGTAACATTTAAACTTATACACGGTCTAAATAGCGAGTAGTGGGGGTAACGTAATGTTACGTAACAGTGTAGCTCCTTGATTGGCAAGAGGGTGGCAGTAACAGCAAAATCCCCCCTCCCCCACCGCCGCTGCTGAAAAAAATTCTAGGGGAAACACTGAAAATAGTTTTACACCAAAAATGCACTACTGGGGTTAATTTTAGAGAAATCCATGAATGTTTTAAAGGCAGCAGACTGTTAAAGGACTGCTGTGATCTGTTTTTTTCTTCAGCTATCAGATCAGTTTAGTCGATTTAATTAGCTTAATAACATCATGACTGTGATAAGTTGTTTTCTGAAAACTGTGTAAAATATACTTGAAGGTTCCTCCCTGTTGTGTTTCCTTCAAACCTGTCCTGACAACTAGCTTCACAAACTAAGTGGTTTGTTTTTATTCTGTGCACACTCTTCCCCTTCATCTCTGCTTTCTGTGCTCGGTCGGAGCTGTCAAATTCAGGGAGGTAAGTGGCACTGGCATCTGTGGAGGGCCGTGTCAACGTCTTCTGGCCTGCCACCTTTGTAAAATCTTCAAGCCAGCATGACTTTTAGCCCTCGCCTTGCAGTGCTAACTCGAGAATAAATAAAGGCTGGCTGGACTCCAGCCAGCATGTGTCCCTGCTCAGCCTGGATCTCCACAGAAACATTTGGGTGACAAGGACTGAGCCTCTCTGCTGAGAGATATAAAGGGATTCCCCATTCAACCCTGTGCTCTAAACTTACACTCAGGCTGCAGAGAAAAAGACATGTTGAGTCTACAAGACAACTTTGAGCTAAAAAAGGATTTCATCACTGATTTCAGTTCATTATGAATTTTTAATGTTACATTATTAGAGACAAACTGTATGCATGGTGCTCTGGTTATATTTATTTACGTATTCTTTCTGCAAATGTCTTGGCACTGCACAGACACTCTTATTTAGGAAAGTAGGACTAGACTCAAGGGATTAGAGATTGGCCACAAACACAAAATGTGCCCTTTGGATGATTAGAGCAGGATTTAGATGAAACATTGCTCTCTTTGCTAAGCCACCTGCACACTGTAGGAAAATATTGTTGCCCCTCAGTTTTAAAAGTTCAACAAAATGTCAGCTAAGTTTTTCTGTTTGCACAAGATAAACTAAAAATACCTAAGTTAGTAGAATAACTGTAGAGTGTCCACAGCTTATTTAAAAAAAAAAAAAAAAAGCCAAAATGTGCTCTTATCTCTGGAATAACTATTTTACTTTTCAGAGTGAGAAAAGGTGGAGCAGTGGAGGCTCCAGTCTGATCTGTGTTTGTTTTTTAATGCAGAAGCAGCTACAGACCAAACGCAAACTAGCTCACAATAATGCCAAATCACCCCTACAGCAGTGTAAGCCAACACCATGAGGGTGAAGAAAACATGAGGGAAAACTCCTTCTAACAATGAGATCCAGAAACACAGCAAACTGAGACATACATGCCAGAACCCATACACCGTTCTGTTTTGAGTCAAATTAGATGTGGGCACCTGGGTGGGTCCTTTCCACAGTTGGAGCCCATCACAGCACACGCACTGAAACCAAATATGACACATCATCTATTACAGTGTTCACCAGAAACAGGACGTAATAATAAGCTCTGAGTCGACAGAAAGAAGAATTCATGTGAGATTAGTTTGTTAAAGGGCGGTAAAAACAAACGCTGACATGACGAGAAAGGAGAAATGTTTTAAACCTGCTATTAGGAGTTGTATTAATAAATGACAATAAAACGCCCTTGGCGTTAAAGGAAGCCTTATAGCTTAAGATTGTTGGGGAAAACAAAACAGTTTAGAGTTGGAAAATGTCATAAGAATATAAAGCAGGTAACTTTGCAGAGGTTTACGGGGGGAAAAAAGCAGAAAGAATCAAAAACAAAATTAAAAAGAGGATGAGAACTAGATTAAGAGATAAAAAGAAAACAAGCACAACAGGAAAAAATAAGATCAGCTCTGCGAAGTGCCTCCTGTAATTACCAACAGTCTGAACATGTATTACACAACATGCCAAACCACAAATTGTGCAAATGAAAGTGGCAGATGTTTTGAGCATCTTCCCAAACAAAGTTTCATATTGCTGTCTTAAACTTTGAGTTGCTAATTATAACCCAAAAACATGTCACAGAATTGGTTCAAGACCGCAGTGGAAAATGTTCATTAAATCAGGATGAAACTTGTATTTCATCTCCAGTGCAGCCTCGGCTTTAAACATGTATCTCGGAAAAACAAAGGCTAATCTGCTTCTGCTTGACTCCATTAGCATTTTTCTCTCGACTTTGAATTATTCCCAGCTGTACATATCATTCATAAATGGCAGCCAATTTTACTTTATTATTTTTAGCATTATCAGTATCATTAACTGTTGTTATAATGTTTCCTACATTTTGTGGTTCTGAGCCCTTATGGCTGGTCTTTACTGATGGGACAGCCCTAAATTTCAGTGACAAATAAGATGCAAATCCAGCTTGTACTAGCTTCTATTTACAAAAGAGTCACTGCAGTGGGGAGCACAGTTACTATATGTTGTGGTTGTCACTTTCCCAGGAAACATCAAAATCTCCCACTGTTTTCTTGTGCTGTCTCTGGGAAGAGAAAGTAACTGGGACTTTCAATGGTAAGGTTAGTGTGGACATTCAACATTGTATTTACATGTATGTATTTAAGTAGAGATACTTTAAAGTTAACATATAAAAAAGGGGCGGTCTGATACTCATCAAATCTGGAGATATAATAAGTCCCTATTTATTGTGGTGACGGATGGCCTATTTGTTGTATATCTTTGGATATGCATGTGTCTGTGTTGCTTTGCTGTCATATTGTTAAGAATCAAACTTATTTAAAAAAAAATAAGTCTCTTATTTTGAAGGAGCACTGAACCTACTAACCTATTAAGGCTTTCTCTGTCCTCTACTGCAGTCGAAGATAACACCCAGTCACACAGTAATATCCGGGTAATGACCAGAATCAATATACTTACGGTAATAGCATGTCATGTGAATACCAGACACTGTTGAAACATCTATAGTGTTGTTTATGAAAGTCACAGTAACATATAAAAATCCTGACCATTTGCGTACACTGTTGGGTTAAACCTCAAAAAAACAAAGTGCAAAACAATCGGTCTTGAACATGTGATTTCTTTCTCTCATTTGTCTCATCTGGGATGCTGTGTGTTGCCTTCCTGAAGGAGTATCTTCTCACATATATGTCATGTATAAATTTAAGGTTGGAGAAAGGGTAGGCATTATAAGCATTAGCTTCAGCCTACAGCTTTTTTGGTCAAGATGTAACACTATTTATGTATCCATTTTATTTATTTCTTCTTCTAGTACCTGATCTTCATGTACCTGATGAACATTGTATGTTACATGACGACCAAAATAAAAATCCCTTGAAATCTCTTGAGTAATAAATAGTTTTTCATCAGGTCTGAAAAAAAAAATCACTTTTCACTTTTTGTCAGATCTCTCTGGAGCTTAAATGAAAACATTTCAACAACTTAAAGATAACAGAAAAGCTATTACATTCAGTCCGCTGTAGCTCTCAAATGTCATCGTCACATCCCAAACCCACAAGACTTCTAAAGACAAAGGCAACTAAACTGTGCTCTGAAGAAAAGGCCAGCGGAGAGAATATTAGCTTTAACATTCTGCTCAGGGCTCAAAACACTAATCAGCAATTAATTATGAGCCTAGTGAAACAGCGTGAGAAACACTATGTAATCCAAAACCCAGTGAAAGCTGGCTGAGGGTTGGGCAAATTGTCTCCCCACTCTGTGCCCACACCCCAGTGCCTCTCCAGAGATTATTGAACTAAACAAAACTAGGGAGACAAATGAATATTCATGATATGACATTTGCAAGGAGCTCATCATGGAGGCAGCCAGTGGCTCTGCATTTAAATGGGCACAGCTCAAACATCAGCGCAAATCGTGAAACTCTGCGGTTTCCCCTCCAGGGAGTCTAGATGTGTTTGAACTTGAATTGTAGATATAAAGTGCCAATTATCTCTCTAATTGGGAGTAACAAAGCTGGCTGCCTGTTGTGCTCGGTCCTGTGTTTACCACGTATCCTTAAATCTCCAATTTAAAGGCTCTAACGAGTTCAATTAATGGAGAATGAGAGGAGTGATTTGAGAGTCTCAGCCTGCTGTTTGGAGCTACAAGCTTCAGGGAATGAGGTGTTAACCAAATGTCGGCACAAAGTGCAGACTGACACACCCGCTAATGTTCAATAACATTTTAAACCACATCTTTGTGTTTGTATCAACATATGCTCTTCAAAAAAAAACTCTGATCTCTCGTTGTAAAAACAAGCAGTTTACCTTTAATTACACATGCAGCGACAGCTTGACGTACTCAGCTCAAAAGCACACCTCCCCTCGAAGGTAAAATAAATGTGATCACACTAAGTCATGCTGCAGGTGTAGCAGGGATTCTAGTGTTTGGTCCAAACAAAAATACACCTGCAGTTATTGCAGGAATTGCCATGAGTTTTATTCTGAAAGTTTGAGAGGAGTCTGGCTGCAAAGACTTGTGTTAAAAGTGCTCATGATTTGTATGTTTGCTCCTCAAGATCTCTTGATAACCAATCTAATCTCCTCCAACACTAAAACCATCAGATCACACGGAGAGACAAGATGGAATATTTCATTCAGTACAAGCACCTGGAGTACGGTGGGTGAATCTTTGAGAGGTGACAAGATCAGTAAGTTTATTGAAGTTTGCAGTTCCTCTGATACTTTTACATCACTGAGAACTCAAATAAGTAGACTTTATTCATGTGAGCAGGCCAGAGTCAACAAACTTATCTTCTAACTAGATTAGCTCTGACATTTTACTACGAAAGCCTCTAGATGACAAGCACCCTATGACATGTCAACTGCCTTTTCTAAATAATCTTGTCATATGTCTCCACATTGCATTATCATTTGTTTTGAAGTCTCCCATAAACCCAAAAAACACATTTTTTCGCAGCAGGAGAAAGAGAGAGAATTAGTCACGGTCGCTTGTCTAAGCGGATATATTTTAATGCAGGCCAACTGTGACACAGATCTGTGACTGAGCCTTCTGCATGCCTCTTTACTGAGCTTCAGAAGCTTCTCTTGACATCCAAACAGAAAAAAGGCCATGTTTAGAGACTTTAATTCAGTAGGTTGACTGAAATGAAGCTCACAGGCCCCACAGGTGAGACAATCAGTGCGTTTACTTGCACAGTTTATCAGACTAAGCACATAATTTGTTTTTTTTTCGCTGAATGGGACTTCTCCCCTTGTCCACTTATACATGCAGCTGAGCAAACTGAACTATTGACGTGAACGTGTCCTCCTCCCCAAAACTAGGGGGCGATATGTGTCTTTTTAGCAGCGCTGTTGTTGACCCCATACAACTGTCAACAACAACAGCAGGTTGACGTCAGGAGTGGCTACAACTGCTGCTGGGCATTTTCGAGCAAGGAGATGGAGTATTGTAGAGCGTTTTTGTCCTACATGATGTACGGTACTTTTTCTGCAGATGAGGTGCACGCTACTCCTCTTCTCTGGTGTTTTTGCTCTGGAGTTACGGGTGCGTGGAACATGCATTGTCTGATCATACTCCAACTACGCTGGTTACATGGTAGATAAAATCAAATTCCAATCACATTATCCGGGTGTCTAAATCTTAGTTCTCCAACTCCAATCAGAGTTCGCAAATTCCGATTATAGTCATACTAAGGTGTTAACTTGCACCTCAGTTGTCCGGTCTTAATCAGAGTGAGGCAATAATTCGGTTTTCTCGAGTGTCATGTAAACTTACTGAGGGAAATGTGTTTGTGTTCAGGTACATAGTACATACCAGTTGACCACATTTTCATTTTGTCCTACATCAAGACAGATAATTATTTTTGCTGCATAATCCATAGTCTACTGATATGTGATTGGTCAATTCTACTGGGACTACAAACCTACTACAAACCGAATCCAGAAAACTAGGTAGAACTATTTTCAATAGATGACCACGTCCTCTCTTCCTGAAATGGAGGTTGTCCCTGGATACAACTTTATACTGTTCATTTTTAACTACTTACAACCCACAAGCATGGAATTGGACTGAAATAAAGATGGATGAACTCAAGGGCAGTCCACAAAGAATTGAGTGTACCCATCAGAAGGTGGATGCAGCACTTCATCATACATGGCCTGCAGCCCTTAGGGGGGCAGCTACCATTGCACCTAAAGGAGTAAATTCATCATACTGCGCCAGAGTATCATGGAGTTGGGCGTGGAGATAACACCACTTGTACAGAGTGACTCTGTACACAGGGGGGTAAGTTAATCTGAACTTTGAACAACCCCTTAACATACGTGCATCCAAGACTGAAAACTCATTAATTGGCCTCTTTGATTTTGCTTTGAGCCTCGATGAATGTATTCCCTGGCAAGAAAAAGTTCCAATCTCATTACTGTATATCACATCACTAAATGACAGTATGCATCAACACATCCAGCGAAACCAGAGGAACATCAGAATTCATTTCGGCTAGGAATTAAATTACTACAGTTAAGCTGCTGTTTGTTTTTCATCTACTCCCAAGGGAAATATTTGGGTTTTCAGGGGCTAATGCTCATTTATTTTATTCAATTAAAAACTTACACAGAGCTGAGGAGAAGTGCAGATCGCATTATCATTTGACCCATCGTTGTTCCTTAAGAAATTACAAGAGCCTCTCTACTATATTGGATTAGTTCAGTCACTTTGTTGCTGAGTTTATTGCCAACAGACCGCACGTTAACAGAGTAGTGCTCCTGTCCAAATAAAAAAACACATTCACATGTGAAAGGGTATAAAAAGAGTCACAAATGTCTAACTGAATGATACTGCCATCTAATCTTCAGACTGACCTCCTGTTGAATGGATTGAAAGTATAATTATTTCCACTGTTAAGAGTACTATTTTCTCAAATACCTCCCATTGATTCGAACTAGATAAAACACAATATGGTCTTTCATGTCAGAACGTTATTAAGTTTAAAAATGAAATGTCATGATCCCCTAAAAAAATCAATTCTCCATAGTATTCAGGCAAGTTTTTTCCAATCTTCTGTTATTTAAAAGTAAAACTGAGTGCGCTGATAGAGACTGAGCTGTGTCCTTGGTGCAATCAATCAATATTCAGTCTGAGTCAATTATTAAAGAGGTGAAAAGGAAATTCAAAAAATCTGGAAATCAATCAAAAGCAGCTAATTAACTGTATCCAAGTTCGAAAACAGAGAGAGACTCTAACTGATTTAATAGTGGATCACATCCATTCATCTCTGCATCAGAAAACATGTTACTTCTCTGAACCCAGTCAGAAAAAGTTTCAAAAATACAGGAGAAAAAAAAACAACAACCACACACATACACCTACATCCTACATGATCCAGCATTGTAATGTTGTTATTAAACTGATATCCCAGCTTTGATGCATCTTGCAGACAGGTCTTCTTATTCCCAAACTAACACTGCAAGCGTGTGAGGGGTGCCTGGAAGCTTAACTCAACAGATGTTTTGCTACTCATTAGATTTACACAGAGTGTAGAAACAAGCAGAGCACAGAAAGCGTGGGCAAAGTCGTCTGGCATGGCTAACATTTCCATTGGGATTTAAGTTACAAAGAATATAAAGCTGCAGCAGGATGTCTGTGAGTGAGAAAGGGAAGTTCCAGCTCATCTGAAGCAACATAGTTTCCTTAACCACATTATGAATCTGTCTGGGATGCTGTGAAGAAACTGCATACAATACGGAAAATTACAGAGCTGAATGATCCTGACTCTAGGGATCAATGCTAGTAAGGTAGCTGCAACCTAGTAGATGGAGTTTCTTTAAAAAGTTGTTTTTCCCCTGACTCATTCAGCTGATGAATGTGAATAATGACCTCCCTCTGTAAGGTTAATAAAAATGTCTACACCCCCAGATTATGGTTTGGTGAGTGGGATGGGAGGCTTGCAATCATGAACCTACAGAGGACTGTCACAATTTTAGGACATAATTGCTTTGGTTTTCTAGCTCACAAATGAAAAGTAGTGGTCCACTGTGACAGCCAGTCAGACATCATTTCACCACAGTGGGCATGTATTGTCGGCTCCAAATGCTATTCATATAAAGCGAACTATACTTTAAAAAGGGGTTAGCAATGTGACCTAAAACATGTATCACAATAATCCTTTTATTTTTATTTATTTATTTATTTTGCTTTTTGTGGTAATGGTCACCTATTACAGTATTACAAAATGAAATGTTTCTCACATGTAATTGTGTTCACTTACTATGTCCCCACTCAGCCCCTTTTTTACTAGAACAAGCCCGCAATGCTGTACTCAACTTTAGTCCATACCTGCGACCAGGAAAAGACGGTTTTATAAACCCCTGTGTGTTCAGTTCTCTGTTTGATGAGGCTTCTCAGTCATGATCTGTATGAAGTTTTATTCCCTCACCCTCTACCCTGGTTTATAATAATAATAATGCATCAGATTTTATAGCGCTTTTTGTCTGTGACCTCAAAGTGCTTTACATTGGATACATCTTTCATTCGCTCACACAGTCACGCTCTGGTGATCGTAAACTACCTCAGTAGTCACAGTTGCCCTGGGGCAGACTGACAGAAACGTAGCTGCAATTTCGCGCCTACGGCCTCTCCGACCACCACTACACAACACTCACAATCATACACCAGTGGAGGACACACACTGGGAGCAAGGTGGGTTAAGTGTCTTGCCCAAGGACATAAGGGACAGACTAGGGATAGGGGGGAATCGAACCACCAACCTTCCAGTTATCGGACCACCGCTCTACCTCCTGAGCTACTGCCGGTTTGTGTTTTTATCAACACACCTGGTAAAGTTGCATTCATTTTCTTTCAGAATAAAAGTATTTAAAAAAATCCCAACTGGAGATTTCCACTGTGAAGATTTTGTCGGAAGCAAATGTGTTTATCGTGAAACTAACTTTGCAGAAGTACAATTGGCAGCAGTTTTCAGGAATTACAGCATTTAGAGTTGCACTTTAAATGCTATAATTTAAAACACTGGTGTCACCCTGTTTCTTCTAAAAATATTTAACCTTAAGACAATCAAGTCATCAGTATAAACAAGCTTTCATGATGGAAGACACATAACAGAGATATAAATCCCTGCAGTTCACGTACCGTCCTACACCAAATTTGATGAGAAAACAGCCTAAGTTTACCTGATCAATCTACTCACAAGTGTCAGTAAACTGGAAGTTAATCTATGCTGTTGTAAATCATAAATGAGTCTGTTACACCACTTTTTTGTACCCTCCAGGAATAAATCTCTGTTGGGTGATTGTTCCAACTGCTGCTGATGTTAAAGCAAAATCAGCGTTGTGGGAGAACACCAGCGACGGTGTTGCTACTGGGACACCGCCCACCCCTACTTTGAACCGGTACTAGTGGACCAGAAAATGACAAAGGATGTGGCAGCTGCTCTGTATCTGCTGAATATGTAAACCACCTTCTTTCAACCAGGTTTCTTCAAAAGATTAATACACGAGTTATATTTGAAGCTTGTTTGTGCTGTAGCCAGAATTAATCAAACAGTGCTTGTTCAAGTGTAAAGCTACGCTGGAATGAGATAACAGAAGTGCAAACAAAACAAACAATAGCAGATGTGCATGTTCTTTGTGATAGACAGTCTGTGTTAAAAACTTGTCTGTCCAAAGGAAAAAACATCTGTAAATACTTTGTAGAGTCGACAATTAAAATGTCCAATCTTGTCTGAGAGATTTGTGCACAAAACAAACTGTACAAACATCACGTCAGGCGTCTCTGGGGTCGGTGGACGGACTTTTTCATGGTGACTTCCTGAAGTTTTTATCAGATGTCATCTTTACAAGGGACTTTTATTGGGTTATAGGGTTGCATCGCGGTTGAGTCACCAACTGTGATGAAAGCTATGCACACAGCACTGTAGGTTTCTGTACTTTTTTCTCCTCTTCAACTAAAAAACACGAGCAGCCAAGAGTGGGATTCATGATATCTCAATCCCACCTCAGCTGTAGCTGAGGCAGAGAAACAGAGACAAATAGAGCCAGTTTTCACTCCAGCAGTTCAACTTCTGTCAGACTCTTGTAACCCAAGACGAAGACATGTGAACTCATCTCATCTCTTTGTACCGAAACAACCCTTGAGGACGTAATAGCAGCATGTGTGAAGTACGACAACTATGCACCACCACACCAGCCCTCCCTCTTTTATACCTGATTGTCTCACTCACCCTCCTTCCCCCGCCTTGTTTTCTGCAGATAACCCTTGTCTCTCTTCAAGCTGTCTCACCCCTATCTCACTCTCCCGCTGTCACATACTCCATCACTTTAGTCTGCCCTCTCCGTTGCCTTCCTCCTCCATCTATTAAGTGAAGTGCTGCAGACGAGACATTGGCGGCTGTATACAATGGCCCCTGTATTCACACTTGCTGTTTACCTGTCTGCAGACAGCCTTCAACACATCCAGTGAAGCAGACCTCTGAAGAAGAAGGTTGAAAACCTCAACAACAGGGTCCCTTTGTTTCTATATATTGTGCAGATACGAGCTGCAGTATGAAGAATGTATTACCACCAAACACCAATTAGATGGGTTGAAAGACAGGACAAGTGGAGCATATTTTTCTAAGCAAGAGTCACATCTTCTTCTCTGAGATATAAAAAGCTGAGTTGAGAAGTCATAAATTATCAAGAAAGTGATACATCCTGTACAGTTTTTTTTTCTATTTCCCAGTATGATGGACCTCAAATCACATTTATCTGAGGCACAGACTTTAAGCTTTATGAGTGTTTGGAAGTGCCCACGCATCTATACTGGGTGTATAAAATGTTTTGCCCTTCAGGGGTATGGCATAAAATGGGCTCAAATTTGTGCACAGTTCAGTGAAGGTGGTTGTAAACACTCAAAATCAAAGCTGAAAGTCAGCACTTCAACCTTCATTTCACTTTAAATTCACTGCTCTGGAGTAAAGAGCCAAAACAAAACTGTCCAAGTCCTAGCAGACCAAAGTACATAAAATGATAAGCTTATACTGTACATATAAATAAAACAGACGCAAACAGTTGTATGTGGTATGAGAATATTTATGCACATGTAAGGGGAAAAGTGCTGCATTTTTTCCCTTTTGTACTGTACTGTACATGTGGGTGTGTGTGCAGTAAACTGTAGGAGCAGATAGATGGGAGAGCCCACGCACCGGGGTTCAGGACAAATTGGTTGCCTTTCGTCTCTGCGTCGCTTTAATTACACCAGACTGAAATGCCGGGGCTGCCTACCTACCAGCCTAATGCTGCAGGAGGAGATATCAACAGAGCCGTTTATCATGCAGAGTGCCGACAAAAGTGGGACAGCTAAAATGTAGTCTCTCTACATGATTCTGGCTCTCGGAATAGATACGCTGCCCACATCGTCAAGAGTACTTCTGTTAAGATGTCAGTGGGGTTTTCTGGGAGAGAAAGAGGTTATTAAGTTGTTCTGTAGAAATACATTAATAGGCTACAACCGGTTGTACAAATTACAACCACTACAGTGGAGATGAAAAAATAGAAAGTCAGTTATTGCTGTCTGTCATTGTGTTGACTCTAATCCAGGAGGCGGTGCTTGAAATTAAACAGTGACTATCATGTTAAAGTGTTAGAATACACTCGCTGTACTTCTGATGCGTTTGAGAGTTTCAGAGTGTCCACGCTGAGGTGGAACTCATCGCTCAATTCATCCACGGTCCTCCAACTGCAAAACGATAAAGACTGAACATGATCCAAAGTATACATGAAAGGCTACAGAGAGGTTTTAGAGAGTGACGCTTGACTTGTAGAGCTGCCTGCATTAAGTAACTATAAAACCACTTGAATTGACAGAGCACATTTAGCCAGTAAGTGACAGTAGATTAATGTCGATGTGGCGACACTAGAAACTGAATCAAAAGTAATTTTAAAAAAAAAGGTATCTCTGTTGGTTGCTGTCATTAGACATGCACAACATGTGGATTTTACTTTAAACAAAAATCCTAATTCGACAAACTGATTTTTTAATCTCAATCACAGATGAACAGACGATATCAGACTGACAGTAAATATAGTCAAACTGGTTTACAAAGTGCAGCTAAAGTCAGCAGAGAAACTAACCTTCAGTCCTCCTGGCAGGGTAATGTCACCATTTATTACGAACAGGGTAACTTGTAATCTTTAGACTTCTCTCATCTCCTTTATAACTTCACTCCAAAGTGTCCCAGCAGGGGGGTTCAGCCATGCAGCCCCTGTCTCCCGGTTTCTCTTCCACAAACAATCAGTTCCTCTGAGTCTCTTCCCGCTTTCCAATCCCATCGAAAAATACACAATTTAGAAGTACTTGTCCATCGAACCCATGCCACGTGTGCCTGTAAATTCAAATCATTTGCCTCTTATTGTGCATTGTTGCCTTTTTTGCATATTGTTTACCAAGTTTATTGGATATTAAGTCTGTTTTCATTGTTGCTGTATTATTATTGTGACCTTAAGGGTCATAGCCAATATACCAAATGTTTTCTCATCATAATTATAATTATGATTATAATGATGATAATTGCCATTATTATTTTTTTGTTGTTGTTGTTAAATCTGTGCTGGTCATGTCTTGCTGCAGTATTTTCTATGCAAATGAGAAGCAAAACAATCATGGCAGTAGAACAGCAGCCAATAATTGAGGCCCCTGCTGGTGGCGCTACATCCTAGACCCAACAAAGGACTTGGGTTTCAGGCTTTAATTTGATAAGACTAAAAATAACTTGTTTAATTAACAACTAATTCTGGTGGCAATTTGAAAGGGTGACATTGTTTGGTCGTTGAGTTGACTGAATGTGCGTATCCCTAGTTTTCATGAGAAAAAACTTTGCGGTAGTTAATGTTCAATTTTCCCGACAGCACAGGTGATTTATTTAGACACTTGTTTTATTCAGTCAGCGTATATATAATCAAGTTACTAAAGGCCTAATCATTGCCGTGTTGATTGGTTTTGAGTGGATGTGCCACATTTTTGCTGGATTTAAGTTTTATTAAGACTACTGACAGGAGTTTTTGGCCGGTTACAACAAAAAAAAAATTCACATTTGATAAAGCATGACTACAGCTTATACAGGACAGACTCAATTAAGAGCTTAGACAGAGTTTTGGCACCCAAACTGAAACAAACTGAAAATTCCCCTCTGGATCTTCAATGGTGTATTTCTTTTCCCTGGTACTGTGTTTTTCTGCAAATAAATTCTGTTCTAGTTTTTTATTTAAAGTTACTGTGTGGTTCATTAACAGGACACTGCAGGAGTAATGATGAGTAGGTTAGGCCTGCAAAAGAAAGTAGGGAGGCTGAACTTATGACACCTAATTCATCTAAATAATAAAACACATATCCAGTTTCATTTCCAGGTGTTCTCTGAAAAATTAAGCTCTAGGAAAGGTCTAAAAAGATGCAAAGAAGGAAATCAATACCTGCTGTACTGATAAACAGAAAAGGAAATGACTAAATATTCAGATGTCCTCAACTCCCTTCAATTCTTCTCATTACGATAACTCATTTACTGCTGCTGCTGCTCTACATGCATTCATTCCATTTAGCATCATAACAAACACAGACATCGTACTAATACAAAGAAAACCGGCACAGGAGAGAGCAGAGGAGACTTAATGAAACAGAGATTTCTTCTCTCTCTGCTTCAGCAGTGCCACCTGGGGCAGCAATCACCAGCCCTCCCACTGCCTATTAGCTCCTTCTCCCACTGCTATCAGCTTCCACTAAAGCACAAGTTCGTTACTGCACATTGTTTGCGCCAGTGTGCACTTTTTTTTCTTCTGTGTATCTACTGTGCTGAGTCTGTTTTTCACACAGACTTTTTCAAGCATAAAAGGGGCAAAAAAACATTAAGATAAGCACTTTAAAATTAATTAGTGGGTCTCATGGGGAAACATCCAGCTGAGGATGAGCAGAGAGAGAGAAAGCTCTGCAATGTGTCAGGGGATACTATCACTCTTTCAGAGGGGTGGTGAGGTGCCACTGAAAATCACCAGGCCACAGCCGGAGTAGAGAAGCTTTATCTAAATATTTATACACATTCCTCAGCCTGGCTGCATATACAGTATCAGGAATAACAATAATACTTGTTTTTCCTTTAATAAATTGCAAGGAAAGAGGGAGTAGGGAATGGTATGGAGGCAGATATAGAGATGAAGTTGGTTTGAACAACAAATGACAGGAGATGAGTCAAGACTAGGTGGGTACACAGACAGTAAAGAGAAGTAAAAACATATAAAATATAAAAACAAAGGAGAGAAAACAACACCACAAAGCTCAAAAAAGTAAAGAGAGCAGAAAAGGGCAGAAAGAAAAACTGAAGAAGGCAGAGTAGAACGCCAAAAGGCAGAAATTTGACTTCACCTTCAGTGGGGTTGATAGCTGCGGGTAAGCTGTCCCATGGGAGGGTCCAGGCAGGGCAAGGATGAGGAGCGAACACTGCCTCAATGCCATTTTCCTGGGGGTGGTACGCACAAACACACAGACACACACATAAATACACACGTTACCATGGAAACCCCTCCACAGCCTTGAGGTTCTGTGGTCCAAACGGTTGTAATGAAGTGATTGAAAGAGAACTGTTCTTGAACAAGCACTGTGTCCCCTTCCTCACGCTGATCTGAAGCTACACCTGAGGAAAAACACTGCTGGTGCACTTATTACTCCTTCAAGAAAGAACAAATGTGCCACCAGCACCACACACCCCTGCACGTTCAAGTGTACAGGGTACAGCACTTCATTTTTTTTCATTCTGCTTCTTTGGTGATTAGAGAGAGAGAACAAGATTAGGAGTTTCTGCACAGACTATGAAGGTGAGGACTCTGTTTTGGGTCATTGCTCTTATGAATCTGTTTTAGGAAAACCTTTTGTAACCGCTCTACATTTGTCTGCCCATGACAGGCCCTTTAAATGTAGTCTGATAATAGGTCCTACTTGATCAATAGTAATTATTATGAAATCTTATTCTTCAAGTGTGAAAGGAGTGCATTTTCTTTTCTTACAAAAACAAAAACAAAAGCAGCTTTTGTACGTTGAAATTAAAAATTTAAAATACTGCAACTTCAGTTTTTTCTAGAACTTAAAATATTGGTGATTGCAAAAAAAGTCATCATAATGTTTGGGTTGTTATGTTACTTCACTTTAGGAATTCTCTTTTTTAAAAGTTGTCCGTTTGACGTTATCGAACAGCAAATGTGCACCAAAGTGGCAACACTGAGGCAATCCAATGCGATTCAAAACAACAGCTCTACCACAAAGAAGCTTTTTACAGTTTTTGATGACGTGGTCAGACAGCTGATACTTGTTATTAACATTCATCATTGAAGATGGATGGTGGTGGTGTACTGGAGTGTCTCATATTGAAAGTGATTTCCTATATTTTGTTCAATCCATTAAAGCTCCTGTTAGGAACTTTCAGACTTTGTTGATTTTGGCACCCCCAGTGGACAAAGTTGTAACCCATACATCGTGGCTGATTCAATCTCTTCTTAAAGAAAGCGGTGCTAGTTGACAAAAATTCTACTTCTGTTGTCTTTTCTTTTGATTTATCAGTCATTGTGAATATCAACTGTGGGAAAGGTTATATGGGATGTTCCTTCAGCGTTCCTACCCCCTCACAACAGATACAGATTTTTGTTAGGACCTTCTGTATTCAGATGGTGTGGCTTGGATACATTAACAGTCAGTGCGTTTACATGCACAGCTGAATTGGACTAAGCTCATAATTCTTTTTTTTTTTTCACCAAATCGGACTCGTCTCCTTGTCCCTCTATACATGCAGCTGAGGAAATTTAATTATTGACATGGACGTGCCCTCCTCCCCAAAACTAGGGGACAATATGAGTCTTTTCAGTGGGTGTCTTAATCTGAGTTCTCCGACTCCAATCGAAGTTCTCAAACTCAGATTACAGTCGCACTAAGGTGTTTACATGCACTTCAGTTGTCCGGTCTTAATCAGAGTGAGGCAATAATTCGGTTTTCTCGAGTGTCATGTAAACATACTGAGTGATGAACCCTGGGTCATAGGGGTGTTTCAGGTCTCAAGATCATCAAACACCTTCTACTGAGCCACCCAACAAGGGTTGAGTCCAAGCAGCAAACTACACCATGGACCACCACTCTTTATCCACAGTCCCTTTCAGCTGCTTTACTGTTCTTGCTGGAGGCTTTCCTCTCCAGCGACCCTCTAATGCCAAGAAGCCTGAGTGCTCGGTGAAGAGACGTTCCTGGAAATACCCTGCAGCCGACTTCGATGGGTTCACAGCAAGCCCTCCACCCATTCTCTCTGCAGGCCTCTATTAGCTCACAGTATTTGGCTCTTTCTCACTGGTAGGCTTCCTCCATCCGTCCTCCCCATGGGACTGTGAGTTCCAGAAGCACCACTTCTTTTGCAGGGTCAGATGTAGTACCAAATCCGGCCTGAGTGATGTATTTATGTGTTCTGGAAACTTGAGCTGCTTCCCCAGGTCCACTTTCAGCTGCCAGTCACGCGCTGAGGCTAGCAACCCTGTTGAGGCCTTGCACTCCGCCTGAAGCTTCTCCCCTGTGCGGATGAAGGGGGAAATCATGCTTTGCTGCGACCTGAGATCTGCTCCTCTGGATCCCAATGCAGATGGTATCAGCTATTGCCTTCAGCACCTGGTTATGGTGCCAAGAATACCTCCCCTCTCCCAAGCCTTCAGAGCAGCAGCTCAAGATGTGCTCCAAAGAACCTCGAGCCTGGCACAGCAGACATGCTGGACCCCAGTTGAGCAGGTTTGATGGACTTGGGAGAACATCATACATAGACTGGAGCAGGAAACTGTTGATCTTGGTTTCATCTGCTTTTAAATATTGTAGGGATGCATCACTGCTCATTTTTTTCATACCTTATCAAAAACTCCCCACAGGAGCTTTAAAAAACTATCACTCAACACAAATTTTTGTCATGAACAATATAAACAAGGTTTTTTTTGACATAGTAATGTTAGTTAATTCATCTGACACCTACCCTGCAACACCATTTACAGGTGTTAAATACAGCAAAATCAAAATTATCAGTCTGGTTGCCGTTCTCATCGACTTGTGAAGGTCATAAAGAGGCATCACGATCAATTCAGTTTGTTTTAAAATCATCTGAAAAGTCCTCACAGGAGCTTTACTTGAGGGGAGCAAAGTATAAGAAACATTCCTTATTCTATGACTTTAAATTGTGAGAATTTTGTAAAAAGAAAAAATAAGGTCTTAAAGTGCACCAAAGATATTGGTTAAGTTAAACAGGGCCTGTCAGGCAGAGTTCTATCGAAAGCAGCCCCCTTTTCTGATATCAACACCAACTGAGCCTCAAAGCAGAGGGTAAGAGGTACAAAGAAGTCTGGGCCTTGAGATTTCAGTCAAATTACTGCAAGAGCAATGTCAAGTATGTGCTTCTTTTGTGTCCGAGTGTTTACTGATATTTGAAAGGGTCAGGGAAAGACTCTTCAGCCACAATCTATAAACTCAACCAAAGATGTGTGAATAAAACACCTCTAATACTGGGCTTAAAAGATCAAGTTTACATCTTGGATAAAGTCAGTTGTTCGCAAAGTTTTCACATAACACCGGGTATACTCTGAGGATGTTTCTAAATACCTCAGTTGTCCCACACTCCTGAACTGGTGCAAGAGTGGGCGTTCAAGTTCTTAAATGGTATGCACAGGAAAAAGCTAGCATCCAAATTGTGTAACAGAGAGTAACTCATTAGCAGTCCATACAGCTGATTAGTTCACGTGAGTTTCCACAGGGGAGAGAGACACAGACTTTGAGTAATCCTTGTTTCTGGAACACCGGCTTTCCTGTGATCCCCTTTTATCCTACAGAAAATCCAAGATTTCCCTGAATTTTTATTCTAGTGAGCCTGATAACTCACTAATCCTCCTTTTCTGAGTCCTTTTCTGGATCATCCCCCTGTTGTCCTGCTTTTATAGATTGAACTGTTGTCCAATTTGAGCAACTGCTTTAAAGGTCTGTCGATCAATTTGTGAGTGATAGAAGTCCGGGTTTAATTCTGATGATACTGGGTGTAGTTACTCGAGGTGGCCTTTTGTTTACATTTGCATCAAGGGTAGTTCCTCTACTACTCTACAGCTCATTGCACACTAATGCACAGGCTGTTTTGACTGTCCTGCATCAGTGTGTGTTAACTGAGGTGCGAAAAAATAAGAGTTTATGACCCGTTCACATCGTGGATAGTGTAGCGAGATGAGCCCAGTGCCTCTGTTTAGCAGAAGTGAAGGATCGCGTGTCACCACATCAGACGGCAGACCTCTGTCTCCATGCACTTGCCAAGGGTCACACACACAGTCATATATGAGGATATGTGCACACATACACATCCACACAGGCATGTTGGCCAAGACAACACAACAGCTGCAGTGCAGACATTATAGTGGCGGCACGCAGCCATCCTTATAATCCCTCCAGGCACAGAGAGAATGGTGGCTATTGTGTATGTGGTGTGTATCTGCGGCACATATTCCTCCCAGTTCTAATGTCTGATTTCAACCTGCCATGAAAACTGTCATTTGAGCACATCTGTGCCCAAATGAATTCCATTTATCAACATGGCATGTTGGAGGCAGATCCCATCCTGACCACCCAGCTCACTCAGCCTCACCAAAGCCCCTTCTTCTCACCCTCTTCTCCCAACACATTAAAATCACATTGTTACAGAATCTTAGCCAGCAGGAAATCACAGTGAATATCTTCTGCTGAGAAAGCAGAGCAACAGGGCCAACTGAACAGTCTGAAGGCTTGGTGTGGGAGGTTAGTAAGGGGTGAGACAGCTGCTGGAAAAGCTGGTCAAAAACATTTTGCAAGGGCAAAATGTGGTATGTGGTATGCTGTAAAGCCAAGAAAGATACAAATGTGTGGAAGTCTGTGCATCTTTCTGATGCTTCCTGAGGGGACCATATTTTGACATCGTGGACACATTATGCTGGTTTGTGTGCCTTTTTGTCTCTTTACACTATAATTTTAGCCATTACTATAAAATACTTATATACCCAGCTATAAAACTTTGTTTTGTTTTAGACTAGATTCATCGTTTTTTATTGCACCTGAGTTGGGGATAAGCTAAATGCGCACTGTCTGCACTTTGTAAGTGGTGACAGGCTCCACCGAGAATACTGAGTTGTGCCTTTTATAATGCACCGAGGGCAGTGAAATACTATTACTGTAGACAGATTCGGCTATCCCCTCCAAAACAGTGCGTTAGTTTGTCTTGTTTGATGAATACATTTTCACACAAACAAGCATCCTACAACCTTTCCCACTTAAAATGTAAATTCAGTGACTGCAAGCACTTAACATCCAAGCACTTTTAAAAAGAAGATGAAAATTTCTATAATAAGGAGTGTCTGCCAGAAGGCCAAACACTAACTTAGAGCCACATTCTTAAAGGCACAATCAGCAGAAAATGGGTCCATGAAATTACAGGGATAACAGATAACAACCACTTGGAGGCTGACAAACCTACTATCTGTGCTCTGAAGGGACACTGAAGGGAGACAGCTTCTGGTATTTAGAGTGTTTGTTGAAGCAAATATGCTCCAAATTACATACAAGTAAAGCATGATGGGAAATAAGCGAGAAAACTTAATAATTACTTTAAGTTTAGTCATGGTGGGTCTTGGTCCTCCGACAAAGGGAGGCTGTGAGGTCATCTCCTGACTTTCTTCTTGCTCCATTGAGCTGGTTATGTTGTCCTCTGCTGACTGCGCTGGGATGCTCGATGTAGGGACTTGGGGGATGGTGAGGGTCATTCCACATGCCTTGGCTGCCCTGAGGACCCCAGGAACCTCTTGTACACGACTGTACCAGCGCAGCAGGTGTGGGAGCTGATGCAGAGTGCTTGCAGCTTGAGTTTGGACAGAACACTATCAAGAAGGATAAAAAAGGAAAGACAACATTTTAAAAAAACATGAGCTATTGATTAAGGGACTCATCTGGCCTGTCATCTCCAATGGAGCGAGATGTCAGGTTTCAGCAGCTTTCATTCGTTACACTGCAGGACAGACAGACAAAAAAGAGGGAGGAAGGCTCAACAAGAAAAACATCAGGGCAGCATTGGCAGGTGGTGGCAGGTTAAAGACACAGACAAAGACATGACCAGAGAAGCTGTGCCACTGTGTGCGACTATGTGTGGAAGACAAAAAAAAAATAGAGCACGGGGACTCCGACACAGAGGGAGAAGAGGGCACTCTGCAGTACGACAAGTGGGTGCAGTGGAAAGGATTGGCCGTGGCAGCATGTGTTGCGGACAGTGATGGCCGTTAAGAGGAGACACGCTAGGCTGAGTGTGAAACTGGAAACCAGTGGAGCACAGCTGACTACTAAAAGCCTCATTGTAAGAGCTAAAGTTCATTCCCACAGTCGAGGAACAGTTGGTGACGGCTGGAGGGTGAAATGGAGGTTGGGACTTTTTCACTGCCTGACTGTACAGCATTCCTGATCAATAACAATGTACCATTAAACTTAACAGGGATGTCACCTTATGGTCTCCTCTGCAGTAAATCAAACTGCTGCCACAAACTTTACCTCTAAATTATGCAATCATTATATGTCATGAATATTCATAAGAATAAGCTTTTGAAGTCTTCCAGTTTTCTTAAGTTTTGAGGCCAACATAAGAACTTACCCACTCTTAATCTGTTGCAAGGAGAAAACTGTTCCCCCCAAAAGTCATTGAAATGCATTTGAACCTGCTGAATTTGAATAGAAACCTCCACATACACTGTTATCACTCTTTGCCAGGTGCCTCTAGACCACCTTTGAGAAAACCTGTGCCAAGTCTGCTGCAGCCAGTCCTCTTAGCTCAAGTTTCTGCCTGGGTGGATGTCAAAAGGAGCAGAGTGTACTTCCTGCTCACTCTGACCAGGGGTGTCAAAACCATGCGTCATACATAATATGAAAAGTTATCACAATTATGACATTAAAAAAAATACATGAGGAGACGTTAGAGCCTGAAAAACCTTCTACATGAGATTACGTCAAGCTTAAATCATATGTTTCTGTTTATGTTGAAAGGCAAAGCCTCTTATGGATACACTTGACTGCTTACAGCACCACAATGGATATTTTGCTTACAGTAAATTTAGAGAAGGTCACAGGTTGTCAATGTATTGAAAGCATTAAATGCTTACAGAAAATATAGGTGCAGATATTAGACTTAATGAGCACTGGACATGTATTCATATACACAAATAAGGTGACAGATTAAGGAAGCAAAAAGAGCAAGGTCCTTTGACACAAGAGTTTATAACTGACAACGCTTTAACATAACTTATTAGCACCAAGGCCTTACCAGGTAGTGATAGATGCATGGCAGCAGCACCACATCAGTCAAAGTGAAGTAGAGTCCTTCAGCAAACACATGCTCAAGTGGAGGCAGATCTGTTGTCCTCACTTTCCTGATCTCAGAGTTCTCTCTGGTGGTGGAAGCGGGAACTGACTCCACAGACAGCTTAGCCAAAGCTGCTCTGAGCTCGAGTCCATCCTTTACCTGTAATGACTGTCCAGGCTCAGACCCAGAGTCTGGGTTTTCTGGGCCTCCAGGGGACCCTTTCTTTTCATTCCGTCTCTGCTCCTGAAGTTTCTGTCTGCGTATTTTGTCATCATTGTGGACTTTGACTGGCTCAGCAAGCCTTCGCTCCAGGGTGAGGATTGAGAGAGGTAGCTGCTGTTGTTGATTTGATGGATTTTTGAGGTGTTCTTCAACAGCCATGGGGATGCCGATTTCACACAGGCGGGTCCACTTGCTGACCTTACAGTCATTAAAGATGAAAGTTTAGACAATAAAATGTAACAGAGCACCAAAGAATGAAGAACAACAATGCCTGGAAACAAATTGTGTAAAGGGATATTCCGGCGTAAAATTACATTAGGGTCGAACACACCATAAAACTGAGTTAGACTAATCGAGAGATGAATGTTGCAGACGGCTTGCTTTTCTAGTTATACCAACTTTAGTAATGACCACACGATAGCAATACACAAAGCCATGTGTTCAACCAAAAAGCCACTTTATAGCCACAAATAATGCTCAAAACAGCACCTAACTTCATCAAAAGTACATAGAGGGTCCTAGAGACTAAAGACTATGCACAACTCACCTACTCTCTTCCAGCAGCCGCTTGTTTGTACGGAGACCTCCGGGCAAGTCCATTGACTGCTGCGGGGTGACGCAGCTCAAGGAAGAACATTTGTGATCATTTCTTTATTATATTCTTGCAGTAATAATCACCATATTAATCATTTTGCACTGCAGACGCGGAAGTTCTTCTGCCTTAGCATCTCGGTCTGATTGCATTTCCATGAGATAATGACCATAAATGTTCTTCCTTGAGCTGTGTCACCCTGTAGCAGTTGATGGACTCGCCCAGAGGTCTCGCTACAAACAAGCGGCTGCTGGAAGAGAGAGGGTGAGTCTCTTATCTAAAAAAGTTAGGCAAAGTTAAAAAGATGTTTGGTGGCTAGTACTGTGACTAGGACCCTATATGTACTGTTGATGAAGTTAGGTGCTGTTCTGAGCATTATTTGTGGCTATAGAGTGGTGTTTTGGTTGATTTGGTTGGTTGTTACGGTGTGTTTGGCCCTAAATTAATTTTACGTCAGAATATCCCTTTAAATTTTCCCAAACACCTTAATCAATTCAAAATTACCATAAGTTACGGTTCAGCAAATCTAGAAACCCTTTGATTAAATGTGTTTTGAAATATTAAAAAATATATCTAATTGTGCAAATACCTCTGGGGTGCTTTTTTACTTTGTATTTTACTGCTTTCATGTGTTCCTCTGTTTTCCACTAACCTCAGCACAGGCCTTCAAGCAGGTCTTCTTAAACCCCAGTAATGCCAGCACATCATTCCTGGAGGGCTCAGCCTCTAGAGTCTTGTTGATAATATGTCTGAGGACCACTGCAAGTCCTGCCCTGCACAGCCTCCCGGTTTCATCCAACACAGCGGGGAGACGACATCCCCTCACCAGGTGGGGAAGATCCTTCTCCTGGATGTCAGAAACATCCAAAGTGTCTGGTAGTTGGTTCTTCAGTGACAGCGAGGAGGCAGGTTTGGTAAAGACCAGAAACACTTTGAAAGACTTGCATTCACAATAGGACAGAAGAAACAGGGCGATGGAGGTGTGCAGGGGAAGACAAGGGTCCTCATTTTGGGTGCCAACCTCTAGATAGAGGGATGGGTACTGCTTTGCCTCCGTGTGCTTCATTGGAAATAGTACTATGGAGTGAAATAGAGGAAAGGGAACAACTAAAAATAGATTTACGTGTGCTTTAAAACATGTCAGCCTGACGAGTCAGCTGAATTATCATTTCAGGATTGGCAAAAAAAAACATTTGTCATTAATACTCACAAATATGTTGCTCTTACGAACACAGACACCGGTACTCACAACACAACCACGCTGTTTTGGTACACTTCCTGACTTTGCGTCTTCTTCTTCTTCTTTTTTTACTGAAGCAAGCATAATCCCACAGCGACATCTAGTGCCACCTTAAAAAACCTACAATTATCATACCAATAATGTTTAGTAACATACAGCTTGGACATAACATGTCTAAAAATGATCTGAGATTAGCATGATTGAATAAAAACATTGAATTGTATAGCTATGTGCCCTATTCTTTAGCCCTCCTTCTGTGTTAGGGTCTGCACCGACCCGTTTTTGTTTTTAGATAGATAGATAGATAGATAGATAGATAGATAGATAGATAGATAGATAGATAGATAGATAGATAGATAGATAGATAGATAGATAGATAGATAGATAGACTTTATTGATCCCAAACTGGGAAATTCCCATGTTACAGCAGCGATAAAAACACCAAATTAAATTCAATTAAATATAAGAAGTATGTACAATGCAGACTAAATATTCTAAATATATACAATAAATACAGACTAAATATACTAAACATCCTAAGAGAAAAAGTGAGATATTAAAAAAGTGGGAAACAAGTAATAAATATGAAATGAGTAATAAATGTGAAATGCGAAATATACAGATGGGATGATAAATCAACTAATAAAATGCTTAAAAGAGTCACTTAAATTAGCTTTTTTTGCATCAAGACTTTTTGACTTTGTCAGGAACCTCTATTTCAATAAAATAAAAATAAATAAAATTAAATTGACTAAATTATAAAATGCTCTTGTTAAAATTATGGCTCTTGTCGTGTTAGAGTTGCTGTTGACCTGGTTAGATCAATATCTAATAATTAGAGCAAAAACTAAAATCATATTGTGCACTGACAGACACCACACTGACAGTCAGATCCTCTTCCAATCATGTGAGATATAGGAAATTCTCGTTTTTCTATGTATTTCCCTGCACATAAAACAACGTCGGGCATGTCCAGACCATACAGTCTATGGTCCAGACATGTTAGATCAATTCAGTATAGATGTCTGTGTGAGGGGTACACTGACAAAGGAAAGCCCAGAGTCCCACTACAAAAACTATTATAAACAATATTTTCATGGATAATGAAGCCTAACAAGGTAAGCTAGAGATGAGAACCAAATTGGATGATAGAAAAATGTTTTAGTGTAATTTAAGGCTGATTTAAGACACGGGTCAAGGCTGACCCTTAACATAGTGGGTGTGTAGTTAAAGCTAACACAGGAGGAGGGTTAATAGCAACGATAGCAACACAAGGTTCCATGCGTCCGGATTCCGGACACATTTGACTGTTGCACAATTTAACGGGGAAGCGTCCGCCCCGGCTGATGGTTTGTCTCATCCGTTAATTTTCAGCTAAACAATATCATCCGTTTAATTGAGAGGCTTTTTACCAAGAGCGGAATCAGAGGTAACATTAACCAAGTAAAATATGAAGTGTCTGTATTTGGTTTTACTGCTGACTGTTAAAAGGGAAGATCGGTTTAGCTGCTCTTCCTCCATGTTTCCGATCATCAGGACTAAACAGAAACCGTACCAGAGACAGAAACCGTTCTAACTGCACGATAACGTGTGTGTTTCTTTATTCCGATCACATTTAGGACATTTCCGTGACGAATCGGCTCGTTTCGTCCTCAAACCAGGAAAATTAAACTCCCATGACGGCGCACATTGATATCAAAACAATGCGACTGAGCGGGACTTATTTAACCGATCATCACAGTCAGCACGTGTCATGATCAATATACAGGGTCCTTCCTCATTAAGGGCATGTCTCGTCCTTTTTAACTCAATTCATATCCTCCGCTTTCCTGACGGATCGTTGTGTTAACCTTCGTGCATGCTGTTCTCTTTCTCTCTGTGCAAATGTTGGAGCTAAATACTGGTGACATGAGAAACACAGTATCACAACACTGTCTGATAAGCTTAGTTACCTTTGAGTAGTAATGTTGCTGAATTATCAGCTGATGTTGCTCAAATATAGATGAACCTGTCTGAGCTTTGATGTGGTATTGATGAAGGTGTAACCCAAGCTGAAACGTCTGTTATTGTTTTATGCTTCCCAGTGAAAGACATGGCTGGACCTGTCAGTCTTGAGTTGGATCCCATCTTCTTGAAGGGTCTCAGTTACCTACACTCCAAGAGTAAAGACTCAGCTGAGAAACTTAAAGCTTTACTAGATGAGTCCCTGTCCAGAGGAAGTGACTCATCCTACCGTTCATTACAAAAAGTAAGAAAATTACCTGTTTATTACCATGCATCCCAGGTGTTTACTCATGTACAAGTCTGTAGGTGCTAACTTTACTGTTTAATAATTGTTTATCCTCAGGATATAGAGGTTTCCAAGGGGTCTGTGTCAAAACTGAGCTTAAGTAAACAGGACTCCAAGTCCTCCTCCAGTTCCTCATCCTCCAGCAGCAGCAGCAGTGGCAGTGGCAAATCCAGTTCAGAAAAGAGCAAGAAAGAGGGAGAGAAGCGACCCGCTGAGAAGGTATGAGATTGATTTGAGATTTTAAAAATCATTATAAGTGAAGTTTTGAGCCATAAAACTTGATCCCACCGGACAAAACAACCCCCTCAAAAGTCATTCATAACCCCGTGCTTTGGCTGCTTGCTCTTTATACAGCATTTATAGAGCTATACAGTGTATTTAAATTGCATAAGCTGGTAAGTCACAGTAATTCTTGGTCAGAATGATTTATGTGAAAGACGAGTTAGAAAAGAAACTGCTTTTTACCCTCTGAAGTTTTACACATATTTCAAATCCCCACTGTTGTTGCAAAGCTACACTCGCAGGGGTGCATAAATACATATGTACACATTGTCTTTATACCATATAATAGACAAAATAATGCATAATATTTAAACAATGCCATAACTCGTGGCCTGTCCTTCCAACGAACAGGTTAGGGTTGAATTGAGTGATGTGGACCCTCCTAAAAAGCCTCGTCTGGAGAAACAAGAGAATCGTTCTTCTCCAATCACAGTTCAGACGAGCAAAGATCTCCTGCCAAACATTAACGACTATGATGAGACCAACGCTGATGACTTTGCTATGGAAATGGGCCTGGCTTGTGTGGTCTGCAGGTACACTTTCACAGCAGCTAATCAATTTTATGTGCTCTATTAGTATTTATTACAGTCATATTATGACTTTAGAATTGATAGTAAAGCCACATGCATTACAATTCATGTGTTAATTTGCCATTGTATTTTCACTTGCTTTAGACAAATGACAGTGACTATGGGGAACCAGCTGGTTGAGTGCCAGGAGTGCCATAATCTGTACCACCAGGACTGTCACAAGCCCCAGGTGACGGACAAAGAAGTTAATGATCCACGGCTGGTGTGGTATTGTGCCCGCTGCACCAGACAAATGAAACGCATGGTAAGGGACAAAATTATCCACCAGAATTTTTCCACCTTATCATCATTCTGTATTTTGTCAGTCAATATCAATACATATTACTAATGTGTCATTGTTGTTTCTACCTATCCCTATCCGTGTGTCCCTTAGGCCCAGAAACCTCCACAAAAGCCCTCCCCTGCCTCGGCGTCATCAGCACCAGTTGTTAAAGACACTGTGGTGAAAAAGACAGAGCTGAAATCCAAGACTGACACAGCCAGCACCTTCCAGGCCTTCAAGAGAGCAGAAGTGAAGGTATGTGTCCACGAATTGCTGAGGGTTGTTGAAGCACAATAACAGGTTACTGGTTTACCACAAACTTTGACACTAACACTAAGGTTCTTGGCAGGTAGGGTCAAGCAATTGTTAAGCAAAAAGTGCGTTTTTGTTTCAGGATCAGACCACTAAAGTCTGCTGCTTAGTCATTGTTCCAGCACAGTAACATTTGAAGTGGGGAATTGGGTTTAAACTTCCCAGCAAGCTTTCTAAAGTTCATCGTAGAGTTATGGTGACAGCAGTGGATTGGTTATATTGATTCAGGTCTGAGTGTTTGTGCCTTTTCCTCTCTTTTTCAGCTGCTCAGATAAGCAGGTTTAGGCTCTCTAGGAATTCCTTGGAAATTCTGATGATTTGCACATTTTGATAGAAAGTATATTGTTGCTACAAACACGTTTGCCTTATTTCCTGCCAAAACACAGAAAAGACTCAACAATAATTTAGTCAATCCTGCAATATTTCTGATTTCTCTTACCTGTTGCTTCCAGAAGAAAAAGAAAAGTCAGGCATTGATTACAGTTTTATGGGCAATATCAGTATTTTTTCGAAAAAGCAAGGCAATAAAAGACAATACTGTTGGTATATAGTACTTAAACACAAATAACTTGTGGTCAAATCACTATATTCACCACCATTTATGAGTATATTCTTCTTATGGAACCTGCTCATTGCCAAATGCCCAATCCTGCTTTATTTAACATTTTATTTTTGAATAACTGACAGACTTTTTGGGCATCTCATCTCACTTGCATATGCAAAGAAACATGGTAAAATAAAAAATCGCCTCATTCAGAACACAAAAGGATTGTTTGTGTTTTTTAAATTCTGAATTAAAGAAAAATGCTACAATTATTCTTAAAGTATGAGAGTAAGATCTTTTAGTTTGTTGGGAGCAGGATCTTTGAGTTTGTAAAAAATGTATGTGGTATGACGGCTGATGGGTTGACTGTTTGTTTTTTCAGGCGTCCACAACATCAGCCAACCCCAGCAGCAGCAACTCCTCCTCTTCAGGAAGTGGTCTCACAGGCTGGGCAGCATTCGGTGCCAAGACGAGTCCATCTCTCCCTGCTAGCTCCAAACTAGGTTCCTCAGGCCCGAGTGGGAGTCACAAGACTTTGACAGCTGCCTCTAGCCAGAAACCTGTGGGTCTGTCTGGGTTGGCAGGAGCTAAGTCGGGACTTGGAGGTGCAAAGATACCTGGGAGTAGTAATGGGAACGGCTCTAGCCAGGTTCCTCTGAAACCTTCTCCTCCTCTGACTCTTGGTAAGCAGCCACTGAACCGTTCAGGAAGCGGAGAGAACCAAGGTAAGGGGTCTTCCTCGTCAGGAGGCGGCTCCCCCGGCAGCTCCCAGGCAGGAGGAAATGGAGGCAATAATGGAGGAGGTAATGGGAACAATGGGAACGGGTCAAAGGCTGCCCCGGGGGATAAAGCACCAACATCCCAGGAGTCCCAGCTGAACGCCATGAAACGCTTACAACTGGTAAAGAAGAAAGCAGCGCAGAAGAAGCTGAAGAAATAAGTAGAGGTTGAAAGTAGGGGAATGAATTTGAAAACAAAGGCGGATGTGGATTTAATACCAGGGTGGTATGTTTGTATTAGGAGAGCATTTTTATCGTTAGTAACACCAATCAGTCAAATACTTGAATCTGTTTTTGTGTAAATGCTGCTGGACTCTGTGCCTCATTCAGTCATAACAAATCTAACCAGTGATAGAGTGACTGTCACTTTTGAACGACAAACACCATTAAATCTCCTCTTCTGATAAACTGGCTGGAGCAGTGACTTTGTGAAAGTATATAAAGGAATTTTTCAGACAAAGTAGTTTTTGGATTAGGTTTATTATTAACATCAGTAGAATACAAATGATGACATAGATTTCTTTATTTTACATTCACACAAAACATTTATACTTCATATTTTTACCATTTCACATAAAACATTTTGCATCTTCTGTAAATTACTTCACAAATAAAATTAGCTGTATGAATACATCACTTCATTATCAATATGAACAACACTGAAGTACAAAAGTGCGCAACACAGTGCCCTGTATTTTCGTACAATTATTACCATTGATCACAGATTATTGTATCTCATTGGTGAGCCTTAATGTTTGAAGACAAAGTGGGTTCAACACTTTTGGTTTAAGAAAACAGAGAACATCGAGAGACTCAATAGTGCAAGTTTGACCAAGCAGAAATGTGATATGATGCAGTCAGGATCACTTCAATTACCGAGTTAGCAGGTATGCTTGATATGTCACGGGGTATTTTGTGAGTGTGCTTGGTTTGGTTTTTCTTGATACCCTACTGATGAATATTTATGCATAGGACATCCTGCCCAGGTAGTTGGCCGGGACATATCCCTTCTGTCCATTAGCCTCAGCTAACCACCAGTCCTTATTGCCTCCCAGATCAGAGAACTGGAGAATGCGGACATGCTGGTACTCTTGTAAGGTCAGCTCCTGGTCACAGCGTGCTTGAAATGCATAAACAGCATAATACTGTGGAAAGAGACACAAATGAGATTTAATCAAAGGCAAAACAATCCTGGAAGATTAGGCAGGTGTAGTTTAATGTCTTTGTTTTGTGTGAGGATGTTTTCTCAACTTGCACCAACATCATATGTCATCATGTATCCTTCCATGAATCCAGTAGGTGGCAATGTTTATTAGCTTACCAAATATGAAACACATGAGTGACATTCTTGATTTTCATTGGTTCTATCGATCTGGGATTTTAGATTTTGTGTTTTGATGAAGATCAGAGTCAAACTGTTTGATTACAGCAGATGAGACATGACAAAAAGCCTGTGAGTCTTGTATTACCTTTTCTTTGTAATATTATGGACCAAACTGAATTCCCAACCAAGCCATTGAAAAACACTGAAGGGAAACTTCTGCTCATCAGGTCTGAATGTCTCCACACCTTAGTTTTATCAGTTCAATGGCAGCAGGAGTCATTATGTTGTTTTAAAGTCTTTATCTGCATGCTTCTCTCTTTCTGTCCTCCTTTCCTGATTACTTTGAAGTTGCTCATTAATGCACATTTTGGCATTTGTTCAAGTCAAGTCTTTTTGAACTCAACTGTTCCAGAGCTTTACACCAAAATGGGCTTGACTTCCATCTGTTTCTACCTTCCACCTAACCCTAACAGTGCTGTGTAAATTTAGTCATCTTAATAGTGCATGAAGAGGACAAACAGTCTACAACGTACACACCTGCTCAACATCCCCGTCCACTGACTCTTCCAGTTCCTCTGGGCTCTCTGGCTCCCCCTGTAAGCCTGAGTGGGTTGAGCTGCTGTCGGTGGTGTTGAGGTTGAAGCTGCGAAGGCTGCTGCTGCCACTGCCTGACACAAACAGGCTAATGTCGTCAAAGTCCTCGTCTACCATGACAGGCTGGGGCTGTGGCTGCTGCTGCTGCTGCTCTCTGACCATCTGGCCTGCCCGCATGGAGTCCCTCAGAGGGTTGTACTGCTTCAGGAATGTGGAGTAGACATAGCCCTGTGCACCTAAAAATGACAGAGGGACAGTTTGTAAGAATGTCAGATTCTGAGTGAACTTGCAAGGATTGGTTCTGCTGAAATGGACTCGTTTTGGACAAGTTTTACATTTTTGTTTGCATGTTAAGCTGTGAGGATTACTTCATGATGATCTGAGACATGCATAATGCCCTCATCACAGTACAGTAGGTGTCAAATGTAATCGGGTTTGTGGCCTAGGGGTGTATCCAAACTTCTTTTGTCAGGGGCACCTGTCTTCTAAAATAGGTGAGAGAATTATTTTTCCATAACTTCAAGTATGAGAAGAAACAAGCCTGTTGTAGCACAGTCCATATAGTTGAGTTCAACAAACAAACCTTCGGCCAGACAAATGGCCAGGAAAGTTTAGAATCCTGAGCGGCAAATCGGTTTTCAAAACGGGCCTTTTGCTGCATTCCAGTTACCTCGGAAGTCAGATGTCGGAGCTGGGAATGACGCTCCACCAGAGTTGACGGCGTTCCAGATAATAAGTCGGAAAGCCAAGATGGACGCCTACAATTAGTCGTTGTTAGCTATTGTTTACAATTGTCAGCTGTCATTAGTTGTTGTCAGCTGTTGTTAGTTGTAAAGTTGGATAATGACATTGTCATCAAGTTGGGGTTGGCGAGGATCATCCGACTTTCTGAGTCAGAAACCTGACTTCAGGGGGGCATTCCAGATAAATTTCTGACTCTGAGCTCGGAAAATCTGACCTCAGAGTGCAACTGGAACATAGCATATGCCACCCCTGTCCAACTCTGTGGACACACCCCTGTAGTGCTCCTCAAAACACTTCAACAGCACAGCAAAAGTCAACACAGCTACCATAAACTATTTTGGCAGAGATAAAACTGGAGATGATTAGAGTCATTTGAGTAAGCTGTCCCTTTAATTGTATAGTTTGATTAATATTTCTCTTACGGATTAAAAAAGCAGTTTCACACCAGCTAAAAAGTATTGTTTCTGTGTGTGTATGGAGGTGTATTGGTTACATGTAGGATGCCTTGCACTGTAGAGCTGTAACTATGAGCTAGAACATTTCTTTTCACACACTGAAACCAAGATAGCGAGTTGAGGAATGTGTAAATATGAGCCAAGCATATTCATGCTGTTGATATCAACTGCAGAATGAACAACAATTTCCTGGGAATGCTTGTTATCCCAAAGGAAAAGACAAGTCTGTGAAGAATGTTCATCGCACTGAGAAACTTACACACTCTTTTTTTTTCTAGAGCTCATAAAAACAGAATCTGTTGTTGCTGAATACAGAGAGGCGTGCGAGCATGCCGCGTCTCTACGTCCTTGTTTCCCAATACCCACTGGGAGAAGCTTTGTACTCTAAGTAACACTGCTTACAGCGCACAGCGGTTTGTTCCTAACAAGACATGGAGATCTCAGGTGCCTCTTCAAGACGTGGAGGAGAGATGGAGACAAGCTATGTTGGCCCTGTTGTGAGGCAACCATCTCAAGAGGCAGGCGAAGAGGAACCAGCAACCATGACATCACAGGAGCTCCTGGGACTGATTTTGTGTGCTGACTTGTCAGTGTCAGAAAGTAAAGTCTGCGCATCAACATAGTCTGAGACGTCAAATAGGTTCAGGCGTATTCATAGCAGAATTCTGCTTGAAAGGAGAACTTTACCTGCAGATGAGCTCATGTGATAACTTCATCCACTTTCTGCGTTTCACTAACTGAATAATTCCTGCACACACACACACACACACACTTGCCTCCAGTGTGAACCAGCCAGCGGCTGCTGCTGCCCAGTGGGTCTGAGTCCTCCAGCAGGGCCACCAGTTCTCCCTCAAGCAAGCTGAGGTCCTGCTCCTGGCAGCCATTACACTTCCTCTTCAGCTGGTAGAGACGGTTCAGTGGGTATTCAGCCAGCAGCTGAGCACGCTGCTCCTCAGTTTGATGCTGCACCTCTGGCACCTGGAAGAAGGCACAGCGTAAAGTGTGTTGGTGGTATTGTTTGCACAGGACAGCGGGCATTTTTGTACAAAGATATCCCAGAGGAGTGTGAGCTTTAATGGATCCATTTATTTGTCTAAGCACGAGCACACTACATATGGAGGTGTGTATGTATATGTGTGTACACCCACACAGGTAGCTTTGCAGGATCATTTTGTTGAATTTATTCAAGTTTTTTGGCAGAAGGACTCGTGTACTTCTGCGTATTCTATTTCTCATACAATTACCACATTCACTGAAATGCATGAAAACCCCTTATATGTGTGAACCTTATTAGTAACAAACCTTATACTAATTCTGTTAGATGTAACCTCTATATTCTAGCCCTTTAATGCCTGAAACCACAAATTATGGCCAGAAAATGCAATTTTTTTTGGAGCTGAAATGTTTATTTCACTTACTACTAAAAACCAAAAAAAAAAATAAATGCATATATATATATTTATATATATATATATATATATATATATATATATATATGTGTGTGTGTGTGTGTGTGTGTGTGTGTGTGTGTGTGCATATATATATACATATATATATATATATACACACACACAAATACACACTAGATGTTTTTGGAAACTGGTAAACCACAAGAGGACACTTCATCATTTATCAGATTGTATTCAGCTGTTTTTTAGTAATTTGTTGATCATATTGATTCGAAAGAAGTATCATAAAAGTATGTATAAAATATGATACAAAAGGCATTAAAGGGTTCAATTATTTCTGAGTTCTTACCGTTGTTTTCTTGTCTCGTTGTCGCTCAAAGCTGACTTTCCGCTCCATTAGCTTCTGCACATTATCCTTGACAAAAGTCAGGTTGTTCAGCTCCTCCATGATGCTGTTCTGCACTTCAGCAATGTTCGACAAAGGAGCCTGGAGAGGTAAAAATAGAACTTAATCGTTTCAATATCAAAAACACTAAAAATAGCTCGTGTCTAACATCGTGTTTGATGTCTTGGATTCTCACTGGTAGCTGCTGCACAGACGGGGCACCCAGTAGTATTCTATCCATCAGCTGTCTGAGCAGTGCCAAAAAGTACACCACACAGTTGGTCAGGATAGTATAGGCGGCCATGTTGAACCTCTGCAGCTCCTCTACCAGCAAGGCATTGAGGGCCTCATAGTCCCTCCTGGCTGGACCGGGGGGGTCTACTGACACCAGTGAAGGAGAGGATGCAGAGATGGATGGCGAGGACGAGGATGAAAAAGAGGATGAGCGCTCTAAACGGCTGCAGTAATCCAGCAATTTGTCATAACGCTTCTGGATGAGCTTCTGTGGGGCTGTGAACATGCCCTGCAGAGAGAGGAGAGGGGCGAGGACCAGGCGCTCCAGGCTGTCTTTCTAAAGGAGGACAGCAGTAATGGCAGGAGATGAAGAGAGAGATTTAGTATTAGGCCACATTAGTGTACAGTCATGTTGTTTTTATAAGATGATTTCAGTTTTTTCTCTTGAATTTCTTTCTCATTTTTAGTATGCAAGGAAAACAGCAAAAGTACACCTTCACATTAACCTCAAAAGCATCAAAGCAACTGAGCTGCAGCTTCATTTGCATGCAAACAAATGAGAATAATGATATTGTGGAGCCCACAAAACAGACTTCGGCAACCATAACAGATTTTTTGCTATTATCTTGTATCAAAGTGTGAGGCATGTAATTGGCAGCACAAATATATAAAGAACAAAGGGTTTTATTTTATTGGTTAAATGTTCTGTTTCCTGAAAGCGTCCATCTGTTGCTTACTCCGTCAGGTTTTGATTATCGCAGACAAAAGCAAACCCTTCTTTATACAAATAATGTCTCTACCTTAATACATGTGCATTTGTTTCACTTAATTTGTAAAGTTTGTGAAATATTTGATGCAGGGAAAGAGGCAATTTAATCTTCTTTCAAAGCTGTCCCAGAGCGCTGGCAACTGAGCATCCCAGCAGAGGAGGGTAGGACAGGGCAGCATTGTTGAAGGACCAAGCAGGGTGGTTAGAGGCATCGGAAAAGGAGGATTAATTTAATGGACGGAAGACAGAAAGGTAAGGGAAAGGGATGGAGGGTGAATGTGAGGTCATGTAAGAACAGGACAGCAAAGCAAGGACGGATACAAACAGAGACGAACAGTGAAAAAAGGAAGCAATGAAAGCTAGACAAGTCATAACATTTCTCGGTGTGAAGTATAAAAGCCTTTGCCATACTTACAAAGTGCTTGTAGGGGTCGTTCCCATTATTGTGTGATAAGCCATTTGTGCCATTTTTGCAATGCTCTTTGATAATGCTCTCCATGTCCTTCACATTCTGGACAGCTACAGACACCATCTCCTGCAGAACGCATCCAGAAAAAGTGTCATAAAATATTTCAAACATTGACAATACCTACACATTTAAGTAAGACAATGATAAAAACTAATAATCATAAGTACCTGAATGTGCTGTAGGTAACATTGAACGTTTTTGACCAGCTGCCTCACTGCTTTCTCCAGACTCCTGAAGAGCTTTTCTTCTCTGTCAAACACTTCGTCTCTCACCTACAGAAGGAAGAGTTTGGATATTTTGCAGAAATTACAGTCAAGTATTTGCCTGAATTTTTTAGCCACAAAAATCTGAATTACAGCAGCAGCACTGCACTTTTGGGTCACTGTATCTGTCATGTACAGGAGCATGAAAACAATATTTGTGGTCCTTCTTTTCGACAACAACTTCTATTTTTTTGTCTCTTTATTCAATGTTGTTACTGATTTACCTGTGACTCCACTCCTGTGAGGATCTTGAGGTAGCCAGCGAACCTGTCCCCTTTTTTCCGGATGGAGTGGATGTTGAACTTGTGGAGTTTACCCCTCAAAGTGCCTTCCTCCTCCACTCGCTTATACTTCATAACTAAGAGCAAGAAGAGTAGAAAAGTAAAGGATATGGAGCTGAAATAGAGGGAATTATTCTTGAATCAATATGACATTGACAGCACAGGATATAACATATGAGGAACCTGCTTTGTGCTATTTGTCGGCACGATCTGCCTACAATGGCAACTGCATTAAGCACCTCTAAAAAAGCTTCACCAAGGGCATGGGTGTTTAGATGGGAATTAAAGATAAATGTGAAAATGTAAAAGCACTTACAAGAGTGATCAGAAGACCAGAGCAAGTGTTATGTAAACAGTCCATTAACCATTTTACTGGAAAGTATATTCAGAATAAAATGTATGCACTGGCATGCTGCATGTTTGGAGAATTTGAAGTGCTGCTGCTGCTCTGTAATGAGGTTTAGGGTTTAAACTCTCTGTAGTAAGTTAGGTTGTTCTTACTGGACCATGATTTTAAAACTAACCGAATAAGCTGAAAAAGTAAATAATTAAGTTGTAAGAAGTCGCACATAGGAAGACAGTCAGGTGGTTAGCACTACATGCTGACAGCAAAAAGGTTGGAGGTTTGATTCTAAGATTTTAGCTCTCTCCCACTGGACAGTGAGCCATTCAGTGTCAATCTATGCTGAAGCCTTTACGGGGTCTGGGGGGTATCGTGCCTGATGATGATCAGTTATTGGCTTAGTCCCAGAGTCTCTTGAGGCCCTTGTTGAGAGGTGGACCAGGTCTAAATCAAAATTAATCCCGGGCTACAAAGATCATCCATTGCATTATGTCTTTAAAGGTCTTGAAAGCTCTTTTAGTGAGCGACTGGTGATGCCTCGGTGCTTCACTGAACGACTGAGAAAGTCTTTTGTTTGAGCAGCAGTGAGATTTTTTTAATCGTATATGCTGGAGTCTGACTTGGCACTGCTGCATAGTTTATAGAGGTATTTATTTTAGTATTTATTCATTTTTATTAGGCTTTTGTTGTATTTAATCATGTCCTTATCTTTTATTGTACCACTTTGAAATCATGTTTCATCGGCCTTTACTGTGTTTGCTGTGTATCTGGTGTTAATCTTTGTTTTTCTGATATCTCTATGCTGTTTGTTGTCTCGAGCTTGTACATACTTTTAGATTTTTGTAACATGTTTAATGTTTGTCCATAGAGGGCAAACTTTACAGGAGTCAAATTCCTTGCATGTGTACACATACTTGGCCCATAAAGCTGATTCTGGGTCTGATACTGAAATAAAACCTCACCTATATCTTTGCGCCTCTTGAACTCGTTGATGTTTACGTTGATGATCTTAGCAGTAGTGAACGCCTCTTGCAGTGGTTGATGGTCAGGGTGGTTTTCAGGTGTAGCCTGCCACAGCTCCCTGAGGAGGAGCGGGTACTTCATGATCCTCTGGACTGGTTTGATGATCAGTGAACCCATGTCCAGCAAGTTTGGTTTCCCTCTGTGTAAATAAATAATCAAACAGTGGTAAACATTCGCAGCTATGTCCATTACGTATTCAATAGATGAAGGCTGAAAACTAATAAGAGTGTATTTGTGAGAGTTAACTTCTATATATTCTTTTAGATTAAATTTGTTGTTAAAAGGGTTACTCACTCTTGATCGTAGATTTTCCTGTAATTGTAGGAACAAAAAGAGTTAGATCGCAGTCATGAGGAGGAAACATTTTATGCTGTTAATAATTTTAATACAATTTACAGGAAGTAACTGGACTTACTTTAGAGCTAATACACAGGTGGTGAAATGTTGCTTTATCTCTTCCTCTTTCTCATAGGATTTGAGAGACGTGTTTGCATCGTCATGGTGGTAACAATAAATCTTATAAACATCCTCTAAAGCTGCCTTCGCCTGAATAAATACATCTCCTGTAAATAAAAAAGGGCAGTGAAATTTTTGGTCATATATCAACTAAAGTTATAAAAGTCAACAAATTCTCAAATCTCACTAGAGCTAAAATTGTATTACCTATAACAACTGCTTCTGGATCAGGGTCAGCCATGGCCTCATGCAGTCTGTGGAGGAGCGCTGCAGACACCTCACACACTGTCTCCATGTTTGTGAACAACCGATCTACATCCACAGACTGGCAAAAGAAAAGGACATGATTTGAATGCACATCAAGAAATAACTATATCAACAGCAAGTCTAGAGTATCCATGGGGGAAAAAATCTATAAAATTTGATCCCTGGAAAAATAAGTTATTATGATGCCTGGGTATTTTTTGGGGATCTGGGTGATTTTATCAAGATTTACCAAACTAAACGTACTAGCTGTGGTACTATCTACCATAGCTATGTCAGTATCAACATTGGATATTGAATTCATTCTTATTCAATTACTGGTTCCCTTTGCTGTGGTAACATTTAGAAATTAGGACATTAGTAGATTAACACCATATCTGGCCAGCCAGAGTGTGAAGTAGATCATGAAGATGATTTACCGGTACGTTTCTTAAAGGCTGGACCACCTCCCTGATACACAGCTCCAGGTCGAGGAGGTAGTCCTTTTCTGTCTGCACGAGCTCATGAATGACCTTTGCCCTGCGGTTCATCTTCCTCGAACGCACCTCCTCTGGGTCCAGAGCTGGTGAGGGCGGGGTGGACAGGTCATGTGCTGTCATTTTCTCTGAGGAACATCAGAAAAATACTTTAACGACAAACTCAGGAGAGATTTTTCAGGTCACTGGCCAGACTTTGGTTCAGTGTGGCAATCACAGCTACGAGTGAAATGTTTTGTGAATCATGGAGGTGACACAAGGACGCCATAAACGGCTGATAATTGGGAGCACCAACATTTGCTTTAACTCTGTAGTTCCTGCCAGCATTTTGAGCCATCTGTGGCACATGTGCAGCTGCTGAAAGGTAGGTAAACATCCAAGCCTTGTGGGCTTTCGCCGACATCTTCCCTAACATATCCACTTGATGCCCAGGCAGTCATTTAGATCACCGTATTTCATGCTGATCTAATTATTTTGACTGGAGTGCCAAAAAGCCTCACTTAACATGCCAGTCAGGCCCTTCTTTTTCCTCGCTCTTCTCTTTTTTTTATTGCTCCGCTGCCTAATCAGTCTGCCGCTGCTCTGTGCTTTGCATGGCAGGCAGGAGTGTCTGCTCAGGGAAGAGGGATGCTTCCTTGCTGCCTAATCGACGCTACACACCACTTCCTACTCTGGAAGAAGGAGGGGTGGGAGGGGAGAGGTAGACAGAGAGCTGCGAGGCCCGTGTCAGGTTACGGAACTAATCGTGCCGCTGATGTAATGCTTCAGCGTGCTCAGGCATTCCATCTGCTCAGACTGGGAGCGTGCGGCTCTGTGTGTGTGTGTGTGTGTGTGTGTGTGTGTGTGTGTGTGTGTGTGTGTGTGTGTGTGTGTGTGTGTGTGTGTGCTGTGGATTGAGGGGGGCTGAAATGCAATGATAGATATACACCCATACCACATCACTGTCAACCACACAGGTTCACACGGGAATACACGCACACACATTTATGCATGCACATACAGACTAAATCACCTCACGTGCCCCTGCCTGTTATTCCACACACACACACATGAACACACAAACAGTATGCAAACACACTCGCTAAGTTCAATTTAGTCCAAGCCTACAGAATATTAACAGAGCACTCTTTACAGCACACTTAGTTGAAGCTGTGCAGGTAGCGATCATGATGAAGAGAAGTACAAACACATCTTTTATGAAAGCTGATAGATTAAACGTGTTCCCTTCAATGTGAGGGTTTGAAAAGATCTCAATTATCAATGCAACTTCAGGAGCAGATAAGAAAGTGAGAGAGGTCCACTGTCTCCCTGTCAGCTGCCTTCTTCTAAACCTGAGCCGTAAATTTCCAGCCTGTGTATGTTACTGTCTCATCAATGCCAGAATTGGGCCCATTGTATTCACTCAGACTGACTCTGACACGGGTCTGATTAAACTCAGTTTGCAGTATTGCTTCTGTGTGTACCTGTCTTTTTCCACTTAAATGCAAGAATTCAATGACCACCTGCAGAGGCAAAAAGTACCTTTGATAAGCCCACAAACTACACAGCATTATGAGCCCCATACAGAGAGCCTCAATTTGAAGAACTGCTGTGCTTGGGTGGAATGAGTAATTGTAAAGTTGCCCATGTTTTTGTGTCTTCTTTTTTTTGTCTGGTTTGAGATTTGTCATGAGTGATCCGTCACAGTAAAGCTGTCTTAGTCGGCTCCACTCCCACTTTGATTATTTTGTCCTGTTACTTCCTTTAAATTGTTGTTTTTTCGTCTCATGGATTGTTGTTTCCTTGTTGTACCTGTTTTTCTTTTTGCACTTTTGTCAAATTTTGTTGTTTTTCGAAGAGTTCAGAAAAAAGACTTTCAAAGCAGAATTTATAGAAAAGTTACTTTCTCTTGAGCTCAACTGTGTTGGTTTTAAGTAATTCTTAGATAATGTCATTTCCTTATTTCATAATCACATGACGCTGGACTTAGTAGTCACAAGCCTCTTCCATCAGCAGTTTTTCATTAACTTGTCTTTGCCTGGTGATACTGAAGGAAAATTTATATGATTTTCTGTTGAATTAATCAAATAAAGCTGTAAAATATATTTTTCATAATAGGTGCATCAAAAATTGTTTCTTAAAGAAGTATTATGTTCATGTTTTAATAGTTTCTTCAAGGTCTTTCAGAGGGACCTGCAAGAATCACCACTGAAAAAAATAACCTCAGTGGGAGACCAGGTGAGGTCATTCAAAGTCACCTTTTACTTTCTTTTTAATGTAAAGCTTGGTAAACAGATAAATGATGGAAATATGCCTGTAAAAAAGGGAGTATAATTTTGTTCTAAATGTGTCCCTTTCAAAACAGACTTTAATAGATTTCCTAACATGGACACATTTACAGTTAAATAAGCTACTTTGGCCTGTCAAGATTGTGCAGCAGGTTTCGAAATGCACTGTCTAATATATGCCAGCATTGTATTCAGTGAGGTATGGTTGCCAGCACAGAAGTTCCCATGAAAGTGATACAGGGCTTTTCATTGTGCAGCTCACTGAAAGTGATCCAACAGAAGACCTGTGACTGAAAACCAGGCACAGTGTATCATGTAACGCATTTGTCTTTGCCACACAGCAAAGTGCACAAGGGGGTTTTAGTACTGAGAATAGTGCGAAACGGCCTGACAATTAAAATAAAAGGCATAGGAATATCTTCCCCTTTAAGAAGATCCAAACTTTTTATTGTTTTAAGTTTAAAAGCTGTTGAAAAAGATTTCTGTCCAAAATTAATCTCACTGAAAGTAAAGGACTCAGTCTTTAAACAACATGAACCCACATCAAAGTTCTGTCCCATAAATGATTCATGGATGAAAACACTGTTATATTTTCTTCCCTACTGCCCTTGATGTGAGTTTAGTCTTGGTCAATCATTGCCAGAACTATTTTATGTATCCACTGTAAATAATTACTCTTGAATTGATGTCACGTTGCCGTGGCTCTGTGGCCTGACCAACCTGTCTGACGAGCAGATGATGGTCGAGCTCACATGTTTCCTCTTTCAGTGAAGTCATCGTTTCTGTAAATATTTGCAATGGTAATACCACTGTAAATATGTAATACCGCGAGTCAGGTGTGAGGCTGAAGTCAAACAGGGCGGGGGATAGGTTTACTGAAAACACAGCAGTGTTTTTTTGACAACCCTGTCTACCATGATGCAGGCTGGACAAGAAAACAGAAAGCAGCAAGGTGTGGAAAGTGTCTCTGTCTCAGGTAAACAGAGCGACTGCTGACATGGCAAGTGTGTGTATATGTGCATTTATGTTTATGTGTGTGAAAGCCATCTTAGCTCAACATCAAGATGGAAGTAGGCTTAACTTTCCTGGTTTATACAAGATGCCAATCATCACTTTTGCCAGGTCATGTGCCGCATTCACAACAAACCAAAACAAGTGGCACCGGAGCGTCTTCATACCGGCTCTAATCTTAAAGTGTTTCCCCTGCTGACACAGTGATGTAAGTCATTTTGCCTGAAGTGCAGCATTCCCAGTCACTGACAGCACTCTTTAGGACTGGTGAGGCCCGTTTTCTGTATAATGGACATGTGTGTTTGAAAAGACAAAGTCAGTGGTATTGATGAGGCAACATAAAGCTGGGTTAAAGGATTGTTTTGTTAAAACAATGCACACCTTCCGTCTAGTTCTTTCTTTCTAGGTCAAACACATCAAACTGGCCTAATTATGAAAGTTTGATTCAACATAAAACACACAGAGAAAATACAAGTGGCTGGTATTTTCTTTTTCCTATAATCTTTGAGTTATAATTGACTTTTCCATGATGGTTAGTTCTTGTTTACAACACTGTAAAGCCACTCCTCTGTGCCTGAGTTTGGAGCGCAGTTTGCATATGTGGCTTCATCCCTGTGGGAATATCTCCTGCTCAACACATAGTAACACAACAGGTGCCCGGTACTGAGAGCTATGGAGCTGTGTGCGCTCTCTATATATGTATGTGTGTGTGTATGTGTATGTGAGTGAGTGTGCAATGTTTGCCCCCTAGCTCTAGATGCTGCCCTTGCTGTTCATCTCTATTGGACAAATTCATTTTCAACTAGAAATTGTGTCACTAACAAGTTAGCCATAAAAAAGTTGAAAGAGTTTTCAGTCTGCTGTTGGCTCATGTGTGTAGAATTGTTGCCATAGTTTTAACCCCAGGGGAGGTCATTATCTGTCAGGTGTACCTTTAAGTTTAGCGCTGTACTCCGTTTTGTCTGACTGACTCCTCCTCACCAGCGTCCCCAGGTTGATGTCACCTCTGGCCATGTCTTCGTCTACAATCGTGTCTGTCCTCCTCCTCTCCAGGTACCTCAGAAACACAGGCCGGTTCCTCCTCTTTATCACTTTCTCCTTTTCTTTTTCCTTGTCCTTCTCACTCCCACAGGCCTCGTTTGGGTTCATGGTGAGACCGTCAGCTTTCAGGTGCTTTCAGGCTAGAGAAGGGGAAGAGAGAGGGACAGGAAGAGGGAAAGAGAAGCAGAGAGAGAGAGAGAGAGAGAGAGAGAGCCTGGGAAGTGCAACAGGTGTACTGTTCAGTGTGCACTGACTCTCTGCTCAGGTAAGCCAGCCCCTCCCCACGTGTACCTGTCATGAGAGCTGTGTAGACACACCTCTCTACTGCTCTGCTGCCCTTCACTAACTTTTCCTCAGGAGAGAAAGTGATGAGATGTACTTTCCCTTCACGCGTAAGTAAGGATAGAACAATGAGCGCCAGCTAAGGTGTATTTTTGCAGACATTAAAACTTAATGCTTTAAAACTGAGCTCTTGAAGGCCCGTCACAGTCTGTCATGATGTGGCAAATATTTACAAAGAGGTATTTCCATGAATTTCCCCTGAGGCTGTATATCACATAATGATATAACACTTGGCTGTAGTTGTAAAATGAGAGAATCACTTAGATAATCAATATTTAATACATTTTAATGTTCATTTGGAATTGAGGCTAGTGTTATAGCTCCTGTGGAGAGTTTGGTTTATATTTATAAAAGAGACTGAAATTTATACTGGTGCCTTTTTATGATGTCTTAAGGCAAACAAGACTGATAATTTGTAAATCATCATTTTTAAATACCGACACTAGTGCAAGGGGGTATGTGCCAAGCAGCTGCAAAAACAGTCCATTTTTTACAATTTTCATACAAAATATCTGCATTATTTATACATTTGACTGTCAAAAGTCACCAGAATCTGATTTTTCTCATTATACACAATTTAAACATGTAGAGGACATCATAAGCAAAAACTGCCTTGTCCACAGGAGGCGCTAAAGTGACACAAACTTAAAGTTTTTCACAGGAGCTTTAAATAAGGTGTATTCCACTAGTGTCAGAAATAAATACAATTAATGATTAAAAAAATAAATCACAATGCTCATTGGTCGGTTACGTTAGCTTTTGCATTTGTGTTTTTATAATGGTGAAAACCTGATTCTGGACAGCTCTTTCTGACGTTATTCACATAGTATTTCCTGGATTTCTACTTCTTCACACGAAAATGTATCTTTTCCTGAACCAACCAATAACTTGACACTGAATTCTGGTCGAGCAGGTAATTCATCAACACACTTCAATGATTTCTGGTCATAGCAACCAGATATGGCGTCTTCTGTCAGAACAATGAATGGTTGAATTTCCTCCCCATTGAACCACAGGTAATGAAGGCTCCCATTGTGTTTTCAGATCACTGTGCAGTGTCCTTATACCACACCTGTTTGACTTCCATTAGACTCCAGGCAAACATACAATGGCTCATGACTCATTTTCATCAGGTCATGAGACTGTATATGTTCATTTTCTCATGTTTCATTATCACAACTTTTATCATCGCTTAAGGAAAACAGAGGAATAAAAGTATAACTCAGTTAAACAAGCATAGTTTAATTGTCTTCAATCATTTAAAACCTCAACGTCAACTTCATTGAGTACTCGGAAAAGTAAATGAAGTGACTATACAAACATGCAAGTGGGTAAATAATCATATCTCTTGTGCGTATGATTGTTTTGACCTGAAATAACTCATGTGACTTTGTTAAAGTCAGGGTGGGGCGTGTTTTGACCTTCTTAAAGAGAAAAGTGTAGTCTAAAATATATAAATATATATATATATATATATATATATATATATTTATATATATAATAAATTTATTGTCAGTTGAATGTTTGGTTTAAAAATAAAATGAAATGCTTTCAAAATGTTCCCTGGGCACCAAATTCACACTATTAAATAACTGAAATAAATTGATTCAAATAATAACCAATTGATTACTTCTTGATTGTCAAAGTCCTCAAATTGGGACCATTGTAATTGGGGTGTTAGAAAACATTTTGCACGCTACAGCCTCACCACACTCACCTGGTGCCCCTTAGATTTATTTTTCTGGCCTTGGTTTTCAAGAAGCATAAGATTTCACACAAAACAACAAGAACATTCTATAAGACATTATTATAATTACTCGTATCTTGTACAAGTACTTGATAAAAGCTAAATAAAGACTAAATAAAGCTTAATAAAAGCTAATTTATTTTATTTTAATACTCTTTTTTTTTTTCTCCACTGAGTATTGGAGTGTCTGATATATGTCCCATGATGTAGACAACGATCCATACATTTTGTTAAAATCTAATGCAAGTTTCTGTTGACCTACCTTGTCTTTTTCGTGTTGTGATTGTAAATGCATGTTTTAAATGTATTGTTTTTAAATGTGGACCCCAGGAAGACTAACTGTGCTCCAGAGCGCAGGTAATGGAGATCCGAACAAATAAACAACAATAAATATTGTCGTTTTAAAAAAGCCAATAATACAGGACTAATATTATAAAGATATGGAAGGACGAACAAGTTTTTAATTTCTAGACATCATCATGAGGAAACAACAGGAGTTGACCAAATAGGGGGGACAGCCATGCCTGAAAACTGTGACACTTTTACTGACCATAACTAAAGGTCTGACCAATGAAGATGACATCTTAGATCTCTGTAAACTCTCCCAAAGCTCACCCATGACATTTTGCCAGCCAGGTTTTTCCTAACTTTATAAATATGTAGTCAAAGTGTTCAAACCTTGACCTATTACTACTCTTACTACAGCTATGACCCTGTAAACTGAAACACAAAAGGTACTGTGTTCAGTAGAATCATGGCTTCTTGTCAACAGCATCAAAAGCAAGTATGCACCTTGAGATTTTCATAACCAAGCTTTTTATGGCATGTGATGTGTAATTTGTTTGAACAGGGACCACTCTATAGGGCAGTAAAAGAGAAACATCAAGGTGGCTGGGCAGGGTGTTTGTTCATAACACAATAAATGCACGTGGACTTTGATCCCATGATGTATTGTGTAGCTTTCCATGATAAAATCCATTAACTTCAGGTTGTAAAAAGCAAAACTGGAGACAGTAAAGTGAGATATAGACTATACTAAGAAGGGAGGGAAAAGCCACTGAGAAAGGTGTTGATAAAAATCACTACACCAACTCATTTACTTGACATTGAAAAATTTTGTGGTATGACTGATGTGCTTCAGCCCAATATTAACCACCCAGCTACATATTGTATACTATACAATCTCGTGAACTATTAATAGGCTACTTTTAATTAAAGCTGTATCTTTACTATTGAAACATCAGTGGTTCAAAAGAAAATTATAGGGTGGGGGACTGTTATCCCTCCAGTTTGAAGGATTTCTATTCCTGCAATATGATGACTCTAAAAAAAAAAAAAAAGACCAGGGAGCTTCAAGAGGCTGAAAAAAAACAATACACTTTTCTCCTTAAAATAGCTTCAGTGTGAGCAACATGTAATGCTCTAAGTATGAATGTTTCCGAAGGTATTATGATAGGAGCCCTAAATGGACATGCATCCATAAATGTTATTTCCTCTGCCAGGGTGGCAGTAGCTCAGGAGGTAGAGCGGTCAATATCCTATGATTGGAAGGTTGGCGGTTCGAACTGCACCATATTGGGTATATTTGGAACAAATGGGGGGCTGAGTGACCCCTGGATGACCTATAAAACAATATTGAACAACTTAAAAACCATAACAGCACAAACGAAAAATTTTAACGGCACAAACCAGCACAAAATAAGCACTAATCAAGCAGACTATTTTCCTGAAATTTTGCGTGGGGTGGGGGGCCAGCTTCACGCAGGTCTGAATCACAATAATCAAAACAAGAAGTTTTCAAAGAATTTCTACATCAGAGATAGGACGGAAGTGGAAAGAAATCTGTCAAATTTAAAGACACTTTCAAAGTGAACACAACAACTCTTCACAGAAGAACGGATACGAGGGGCTAGAGGGCCAAGAGTTCTTGTGTCAGGTCAATCAGAGAGTCCAAACACCTGACCTCAAGCACAAATACAAACTATGTACTGGTTTAAAATGCAAAAGAGCAGCAGTTCAGAAGTGGGAAAAGATTTGCAGGGCTCTCAAGTTTTGAACTAAGCTTAGAGTGAGATTTCCTTGGGGGGGGTAATTATAAGTATAATTATCTCTTAAATACAACGGAGTATAAGGGGCACAATTAGAAAAAAAAGCGCTTTTTAATCTCAAAGAATAAAGTTATTATTTGGGAGAATAAAGTCATTAATATCTCAGTATTAAGTCGTAAAGTTACCTGTTGTGAAGGAGAGTTGTTAAAATCAGCACTGTGGAACATTTAGATGAATTGTACTTTAGTATAGGTGTCACAAACATGGAGATACTTAATCCTTTGGTACATGAGCATTACACTGTCATGAGTATCAGAACTTATATTTGAGATATATGAGAAATGCTGCTTTTGCGGAGGGGAAAATGGCTGGAAATGGCTGTACAGAGACTAAATCCGTCAATACAGCTGTTAATAGCAATAGCATAGGGCTTTAGTTTATCATGAGTTTATATGCTATGAGGTGTTGAGGTCTCTGCATGTGTAGGTTACTGACTTACTGTAATCATCGGGTCTATCTCGTCCTTATAAATAACCTGCTCTATTACGGCGAGTGTCTGTCTTCTTCTGTAGTCAAACCGCAAGATATCAAAATCTACCCGGATACAGCAATGCTGCTTTTTGATTGGCTGTTCAGTAGATATACTTTATTTGATTGGCTTGCGCATGGCACGCAGCTTCTGAACTCTCGGAGAAACTCAGTTGATTCCTACCTGTTCCATAGTTAAAGAGGTGCAACTTGGTGGACATCACCGTGTTCATTTAAATGCGTGAGAAATACGATGTGTGGCGTGTGAGCGTGTGAACGGGTGGGAATGCGTGTGTCTCACGCTGATTGCGTGAGACTTGAGAGCCCTGGATTTGTAAAGCACTAAAAATTACAGACAAGAGTTTCAGTAAAGATTGGACTGTGCAAGAATATGCAAGAAATGATCATAAATGTACTTTCTTGAGCTGCATTACCCTACTGCAGTCTGTAATGGACTGGCCCGAGCTCTCCCTACAAACAAGCCGCTGCTGGAAGAGAATAAGTGAGTTGTGTTTAGTCTCTTTGCAAAGAAAATTAGGCAAAGCTAAAAAGATGTTGATGGCTAGTACTATGGCTGGGATCCTGCAGACCTTAACACAGGAGGAGGGTCAATCAACCAAAGCCCGCCGAACAAATCTTTTGCTTGTTTTAGCTACAGAGGCTTTTATTTTGAAAACTTTAACCGGAAGCCGACGTTCGCTCCGGTAGGCTTCGCGTGTTCCGGTGGTCGAAGACGCGGCGGAAAAACGGGGAACAGGAACTGAGAAGAGAGGAGGAAGAGTCTATAATGAGACCGTTGTTGCTGCGCTCCTCGCTCGGCTCCCTTGTGACCGTTTTCGGCTCATTTTCCGCCTCCAGAAACAAACTCGTCACACAAGCAGCAGCTGCAGCCGTACCTCACCTCTATTATTTCAGGAAAACGATGCACTATCAAACGGAAGAGAGAGGACAGCCCAATTCTCCTGACTACCGGATTTATTTTAGTAAGTTTACCCGCGAAATCGTGGGAGGGACTATGCATGCCCCCCTGTACCTAATATCAAAGCGTAGCAGCAACAGGGTCCGGTGTCTTCAAGGTAGACTACAAGTCAACCTTCAGGTCTGACCTTTGAGTTGCAAGATTTAGGTCCTTTCTACATGTGGCACCCTGAAGTTTCAGCTTAAGAACACTGAACAGGGCTCTAGTGTCTGTTTCCATCTGGTAGAAATTACCTAGCGTAGAAAGCTAGAGGACAGTTGACTGTGTTACCTCACATGGTTTTACTTCCTGTTTGCTTGTCACGTGGAGAAATCCTGCTAGAGGAGGAGCGCGTGCTGAAGAAACAGACCGGTATTTTCACATAAACCGTTTATATTTAGTCTTTTATATCAAGTTAAGCCTTTATATTGATATGTGTTGCATATTAAAGTAGTTCTTGTTTTAATTGAGATACAAATAAAGATTTAGTGGAGTGTGTACAATATAAACCCTCTGAAGTATCACATTAAAGCCCCTGTGAGTGATTTCAGCTGATTTAGAAAACTTATGCAGGGTTCAAGTTACCTTGGAAGTCAGATGTTGGAGATAAAAATGACGTCACCCCTGAGTTCCCAGTGTTTCAGTCACCAAGTTGGACAACAAGATGTCTACTTCTACTGAAGTTATTTTAGCGTTTTCCTTATATTCGGACAAGGCAAGTGCTAAAATAACTTTCGTAGATGTAGCCATCTTGTTTCTGCCTCTGATTTTGTTTTTATCCAACTTTGTAACCGAACACTGGGAACTTTGGTGTGATGCCATTTTCAGTTCAGACTTCTGACTTCCAAGGTAACTCGAACGCCACATTATGTTGATCCATCTTCATAACCTATAAAAGCAAAAAGGTTGATGCTGGTATTGCTGTCTTAAAGTATCTGTAAAAATGCCAAGTCAATCTACAGCCTGCTGCTGAGTCAGCTTTTTTTCTACTTCCACAACAAATAATCATAAACCAGACACAGTTTGACCTTCAAGAGAAAGCAGAATGATATACTTTTGTCAGAAAACATTACCCTCACACGTAAAGGACAAACTGAGTAAGGTGATGAGTTATAAAATTTTGCTCCCTTTTTTAAACAAAATTAACACAGCAAGTTCTTCATAGTGTTGCTGCATTTTGATAACAACTGCAGGTTTTAATTCTTATTCCTGACACAAAAACAATATAAATATAAAATGTTTTAGTGTAACTTAAATTTTTAAAGATTTTTGTTTCTTTTAATAATTTAATAAATGTGCAGTACCTGGTTTAATGTCGTATGGATTTGCATGCATCACGCTCAAATGTATCAACTTTTTTAACTGTTTGTTTGTTTTTTCTCTTTTATTAGAAACGAAGGGAGGAAAGTATATTTCACCATTTCATGACATTCCACTCAGAGTGGAGAAAGAACAGGTAATTCTCGGAATTTCTTAGTTATTGTTTCTTTTTGCAAATACTGCAATAGGTTCTTCTCTATGAAGCTATTATTGAAATAATTAACCAGTCATTTATTAATTTTTTTTTTAACAGGAAAATGATGTGCCAGCTAAAAAGGCCAGGAAGAGTGAGAGTGAGGTAGCCTACCAAACTCATACCATAACTTTACCAACTGATTACACTAAACCAAGAATAAACTGTTTACAGCTGTCTTCTGTCTCTTTAGGTGCTCTTCAACATGGTGGTTGAGGTGCCACGATGGTCAAATGCTAAAATGGAGGTGAGAAGGCTGTTGGTTAAGTAAAGTACCACACTCGTAAGATACTTAAACTCATGATATAAGTCTTAGAATAAGTGCCATGACATGACAGTCTAAAACTGCTGCACAACAACTTCAGTGAGCCTGATACTGGAATAACTTAATAATTAACAGGTTTGTTTCATGATAATGTATTTTTAACAATAAAGCTTCACAGCAGCCTGAAGCTTTTGAAGTGCTGTTTGATGAGCCCCTAAACTCACATCGCATGTTTAATCTTTAGTTAGTTTCATAACAGTGGATGGGAGCTAGCTTGGTGCCATAAACTAAAGCTTGTGCCTGATTTATAGTTCTGCACTAAATCTGTGCGGTTGCATGTGCTGTAGTTTTGCTTGACCTTAAACCTACAAAAAAGCAGAGGAGTGTAACCAATGTGCACCTCCTTCATTGAAACAATGCAGACAGTAAGCCCTGTGACTGGTCCGCATGGTAGCATCTTTTTACCTGCACTTACAGTAGATGTTTCTGGTATCGTTGCCTTCGTCTTCTGCCTACACTGGTTCATTGGGGGTATATCCAATGCCTCCTCTCTTTGCTTCTTTGCAATAAGTGCAGTATGATCAGCTGCTCCAACACTTCTGCAGACACTCCAACATGCATGCAAGTATACTCTCATCACTGCATGCCACTGTGATGTAGAATCAAACGCACAAACTAAGGTTGCTTCAAAGCTGGCAAACCCGAAACACCCATACATCTGTACACACACACACCTTCACAGTTGCTTCGATTTCCAGATTGCCACAAAGGAACCACTGAACCCAATCAAACAGGATGTAAAGAAGGGAAAACTTCGATATGTTGCAAACATATTTCCCCATAAAGGCTACATTTGGAATTATGGCGCTCTCCCACAGGTGAGGAACCATAAAGAAGCATTTAAGACTTTTTTAGGAATTGTCATGTGAACATTCATCTTCTTTAGGCATTTATTTTGTATTTAATATTTTGTCTGGTTTTTAATTTAAACATTGAAATGTTCCTTTATTATTCCTTTGAAAAGACATGGGAGGACCCCAACCACACAGACACAGACACAAAATGTTGTGGTGATAACGATCCAATCGATGTCTGTGAGATCGGTTCCCTGGTGAGTGTTTGAACTTTAACCCTCCAGGATAGTTTTGCTCACTTTATATAGACTTCTTAAAATCTATATGAACACAAAACATCTTTTTCGGACTGTTTCTCAGGTGTGCTCTCCAGGTCAGGTGATCCAAGTGAAAGTACTTGGTATTTTGGCCATGATTGATGAGGGAGAAATGGACTGGAAAGTGATTGCTATCAATACTGAGGACCCGGATGCCAAAAAACTAAATAGTGAGTATTTTCCACTGTGAGCAGCTGAAACACACAACTGGAGTTTTAGCTGTCTTCATACTGTTGTGTTCAAGTTTTCTCACAAAACATCATGTGGATCCTGAAGGGTGCAAACATTATGACCGTATTGTTTGAAACTTCATAGCACATTTCTGACCATTGTTATCCCTCACCTATTGTAGAAGGAAATGTCCGCCTATCAGGGATCGTAGTATATAGTGACATGGTTGTGTAATTATAATCTTCAAATCAATTTCACACATCAAAATTCTTGAGATGAATATTTAATGCCAAGTTTTGGCAAGTATGGTGAGAATGGATTTGCGCTCATTCTGCTGACTTTGCTTTTGTGCTCTTCAGACATAGAGGATGTTCGCAAAAGCCGCCCTGGTCATTTAGAAGCCACTGTGGACTGGTTTAGGAAATATAAGGTCCCTGATGGAAAGCCTGAGAACCAATTTGGGTTCAATGGACAGTTCAAAGACAAGGTACCAAAAGCTTTTTGAGCGTTAAAGTCTGAAACAGGACAGTTTGTGATCAGAGTTTGCAGTCTAAGAGGCCAAAACTGAGTGGGCCTAATACTCTCTGAGAAGAGTCTACTTTTCTGATGGCCTTTGTCAATTCTAAAGGACTTTGCAGTTCAGATCATCAAGTCCACCCATGAGCACTGGAGGGCACTAGTGCAGAAGCAGAGCAACAGTGGAGGCATTGACTGGTGAGTTGTTTGCAGTCCAGTGAGTATTATGAACATGAGTAATTGACTGTGTAAATGTAATGAACACCAATGCTTTTGGTCTCTCATTCAGCAAAAATACCTCCTGTGGTGAGAGCCCTTTTAATTGTAGCTCTGAAGAGGCCAAATGTTTGGTCCAATCGGTGAGTCCATTGATGCGCTAACAAAAAGTTAACAAAAGCACACAGAAAGAACTTTATCAAACTGGATCAGAGCCAGGTTTGGTGACTGTTGTATTTGACACTCTAGGCTCCTCCACTTGGCAGCACAAAACCTGTGCCTGCAGAGGGTAAGTAAATAAAGATGTTTCTGCACCAAATGTGGTAAATTCATGGAGCAAAGTCTTTGAAAGTTCATATTTTCATTTTCAACTTTTTTCTTTGACAGTGGACAAATGGCATTTTGTCTAAAGGCCTAAACTTTTTACCGAACCCAACAAAAGTCCTTTGACGACTGCAGTTGCATCTTTTACATGCAACTGGATCTAAGTTAAAACATTTTTACTTTGTAATATCAGGAACAAGATGTGATTAATGTTTTTGGTGTCATGTTGAACACCTAATTGATTTGCTGTTGAATTAAAATGTGGTGGTCAATCACCAAAATTACACCTCTTTATTAAATTGTAAATAATGTTGTATATGAGCTGTAGCACCTTGTCAAGCCTTATTTAACACTGAAAGTCATGCTCTTATAATAAATTCCTTTAAGAGTGTATTCAGTTACTCAGCCTATACTTTCAATCACAAACACATTATGTCAAAATGTGGAAGAATTCTGTTTGGACAAATAAAAAACAAGGTGTGAACATGACAAAGTTTCTCTAGTTTCATTCAAAATCTTCAACATGTGCCCAATAATGTACAGACAGTGGATATCAGTATTGACTTGGAGAAACAAATCAAATTGCTTTAAATAAATATAAATTTTATTAAAAAAACACCCATATCTCAGCAATATCAGGAATGATATAATTAACAGCTTTCAAATAAACTGCATTCAGTACATTACAATACTTACAGTATTAATATCCATCCTTTATTCCATTGTTTTGTAGCAAACCAAACTTCAGGAGAACAAGGGAAGCCTTAAAAATAAAATAACAGGAAAAAGTTGCACCTTTATACCTTTAGTGTCAAACTGCAAAAAAAAAAGACCAAGTGTGTATCAACTGCTAGCTGAACCTTTTGAGCTGAGCACATGTAGAGCACAAGTTCAGCCCAGAAAGTCATTCAAGTAATGTTGACTCACTCAGAAACACTCTGAAGCATCTTCAAGTATGGCTATGCTTTCAACCCGCTATATCTCAGACAATCCTCCTCTCTCTCATCCACAACCTGCTACTGTAGCTGGGTTCTGTACAACAATATTTGACATTTTTCTAAAGATTTATTTTACAAAACTGGAACACTTGGGAAGATAAAACTAGGACTTCTTATGTCTGAGCAAACAGGATACTGAAACTGTAAACATTGCTTTGAGAGTTAGCACAGATTTACAAAGACCTCCTGAATAATCTAACATAATTTAAAAACCTGAACGAGTCAGAGGGATATTTGAAAATGTGACAATTGCTGATGGAGGTGCGGTGGGTCTATTTGACAAAACATGATGAACTTTAATCAACCTAAAAGATTGAGCTGTATTTCTGCAATACAGGTTCTCGGTATGTACAAAGGACATAATTTATTTTTTAACACATTTACAATCTTTTTAAATAAAATGATTTGTAATTCTTTGTTACACATTTTTTCCTGAAAAAAGAAATGAAGTGCTTTCAGAAACTGAAAATGTTACGAAAAGCGGGGATAGTTACTACAACATGACATTTTTTTCTCATTTTATATCACATTAATTAAATCAAAAAAGGGGAATTAAACCATTTCACAATTGCTTAGTGGTTATAAATAAATTTAACTATTAACAGGCACAAAGTTGTGCAACTAATTTAATTATTACCCCAGTCGTGCCTTAAAGCAAAAGCAAACGCGCTTTTTTTTTTAATTCATCATAGTTTCCCTTTAGTCAAATCAGTGCACAAGTTCAAACTACTTTTAAAAGATTACCACATTGTAGAGGCAAAATTTCATGAAAAAAAAAGAATTTTGAAGGACATTTTCTTTTTGTGGCTGAAGAGTAGAAGACAGTAATTGGATTCAGGATGCAGAGGTAGCTACCTGAATGCAAGAAACAACAAGATGGATACAGGCAATGAAAATGTACAAAAAGATGACATTAAAATGTCCCTGATTTTACAGTCACATCAAAGATTCAAGTTCAAAAAATGCTTTCGACAGGATTGTTACGAAAGCAATGAATGAACTTTTCTGCCTTTTGGTGGCCTGAAGTTTAGCTGTTATTAACACTTCAAAAGTAACACAAAGGAAGAAAAAATAAAACATTTTTTTTATCCTATTGCCAAAGTAGTTTTGAGGTATATGACAGGTTTGTACTGTACATTATTAAAAAGCCTTGTCCTTTCCTAAAGAGTCTCACATTGTATGTTTCTAGTAGGTTGTATAGCACCTCATGATATGAAATCAGCTGAAACCCCCAAAAATACTATGAAATAGGCTGTTAGCATTCTTTACAACACAAAATCTATGAACATAATTCCAAAAGGGAAATTAACTTTACTGTACAAATCTCATCTGTTTATCTTACAGTTAGATTGCAATAATTAAAGACCCCACAGCAAGCCAGCTGCCCTCCGAAACTGACGCTGAGCTTACCCTGTTTTATGTTCCTCAGTGTATAAAAAGCACATTAACTAAGCACCACAGACATAAAACTACATGAAATATTCACAGTCCAGGTTTGTTCATTGAACCTAAGGTAAGGAACATTAAAAACAGTCACTGACAACATAGTGAACCTGGAAAAACTAAAGTAACACCACTGTGTCTTTTTTTTTCTCAAAATGTTAAAAATTCACCATTAGAATGGCTCGATTTACAGTATAAATGACATTAGAAAGTAAAAGAGAACTTTGTGAGAGAAGCACCATAACATTGCTAGTTTAAAAAAATATTTTTGCATGAGCTTGTAACAGTTTTCTGGATTGATCACACAACCCTCTGCCACAGATCTAATAGTTGATGTTTATAAATTAATTATTCCATGTAAGGAACTGCAAAACCAGATTTTATAGTTTAAAAGGTATTAGCAAATCACTTAACTGTTTTGTTGTAAGTGCTCAAAGAGACACTGACCTGCCACAAATCATTTGACAGTAGACTGATATTTTCAGTGCCCTATTGACAAAAGTATTCAATGAATTTTCAGTGGTAGAGTCTGCTGTGGTTATAGTGTAAAGGCATTATTTTGAAATATTCAAGAATTCACTTATAGCACCTTGAATTTTGTCATTAACAAAGTCGGCGTCTTGTGTCAATATGGCATCTCGGAAATTTTTGTAAGTAAACCAAAGCAATCAAAATGAAACTTTGCTTGCACCAAAAATAGGTCCTTGTGTGTCAGACTGAGAGCACCATCGATTTGACAGAGAAATAAATACATCGTGAGGTGGGTTGACTGGTAAAGCTTGATTGTTAAAAAGGTGAAAGACCTGGTGTAAAAGATGATCCATAGCTCATTTAATCACAGGTTCCTTTTACTACCCAACACTGTGACTAATCTTATAAACAGGAAGGAGTGTTTAGAAAAGGCTAGTGGTGCTTGTGATGAATGTTTCTCACAAATACCCCCTTCAGTTTTTTCTTCATCATGATTTTTTTCCTATACAAATTGACTGTAAGGCCCTGTGACCTTGGTGAAGGCGTATGGAGATGAACTGACAAAGGTGTTTGTTGTGCATGACAAGGACCCCTCCATAAGTGCCTGGATAAAGCGCTTGTAAGGAGGTGTTCCCATGGTTTCTGATGACTCCTGGTGTTCTCGCTTCACCCCCTTCTTGCTACTCTTGCTAGGTGTCCCCTCACCCCCATTTCTCTCGGCATCTTCTTCCTTTTCTCTCGCCTTCTCGGCCATTTTGGCTTCCCACAGGGCCAAACCATGCTTGGCCTCGTTCATATTTTTGTGCTGGTAGAAGACCAAGGAAATGCGTGTCGGGTGGTTGCGGTCAGGGTTCTTGAGGGGGGTTGTGGCGTGGAGCTCCCGTTTTGCACACTCAATGAGGACCGAGCCGTGTGTTGGTGCCACTGCCACACCACCAATATCAGGGTCTAAGAAGTTGTGCTCATTGTCTGACCACAGCTCAGGCTTTTGTGGAGTTGTGGGTGTCTGTGGTGTTCCAGGCTCTGGCTTAATACCATTTGGTAAACCTAACCCTAACTGTGTTTCAGGGTTTAAGCACCCACCACTTAACTGAGCAGGAAGCATCTGTGGGCCAGGCGTACCCATCTCTGTTTTGATTTGCATATGAAAAGGATCTTGGCCTGGGCCTAAGATTTGAGGGCTCTGAGATAGGTAAGGACTTGGGTATCCTCCAAACTGGTTTCCTTTGCTCACAGCAGCTGTAAAGTCAAGACCTTCATGAGCTGAAGGTGCTCTTGAGAGGGGGTCCATAAACTGAGGGTTCGCGGCTCCATTTGGACCAAAAGGAGGAAAAGACCTCATTGGGTGTACTGGCCTCATGCTGCAAGCACTGTAACCGTTGACCTGTAAAGCTGGCTCACCATACCTTGGCGGATAGTTAACATCGTAACGTGGATGTACACCGTACTGCCGCTCTGAGTAAAGGGTTGGCCGCTGTTGTCGATACATGTCAAGGTGCTTTGGGTTTGAAGCATAGTATGGATGGTAGTTGTCGAGGGGCATTCCTCCGTTACATTGATATCCTGGATATGGACGATTTGATCCATTGATGTAGGAGTTTGGTACGTGGAGTGGAGAGGGGTATGGATTGGCTGGTGTTGGCGGCTGAAGGGGGTACATGCCTCCTGGCTTGGAAGTGGTTGGGAATGACCCTGGGTGGTTGGGGAACCTGGGGTAGCTGGGGGAATTTTTTGAGCCAGGATAAGGGGGGAGAACACTCTGGTGCCGTTGTTGCTGTAGTTGCTGATGATGGGCCCCAAGAGGGTGTGTTAGTTGACCTGACTGTAGAGTGGCTCCTACAGCACCTGGAACAATACCTTAGACATAAACCAACAGAAGATAAAGATTTAGGCAGTTGCAATAAAAACATACCAAAAATATCGACGAATTGCTTAGTTGACTTTGTGCAGTATGTTTGTGGTATCTTTTCAAAAACAGATTAAATAATTTGGATTGACAATGTACCTGCCGTAGTAGTGCTGTGAGTTGTATTCTCATAAGTGCCAGCTTTTGACTTTGCCTGCATGGCCTTCTCCTGCTTATCATTAGCTTCCAACATGGCGTTTTTGTTTGCAGCTGCCTTCTTGGCATCCAGTTTCTTCTGCCGGCAAGACTTAGCCGGTTCTGCGAGCATGCGCACCTGGCGGCGGAAGGCACTGAGGACTTGGATAGCACCTGACTTGACTTTTTCCTGCTGCCCCTCCTCACTTCCAAATTCATCAGTGTTGGAGGCCTTATAAAGGGGCAGTACATGGAGTTGCTCATCCTCGGGTATCTTGCCAATCTCTCTGTTATCCTCCCTTGTTAATGTACAGACCTGTAAAACAATGAATGGTTAGAGTGTTTTTTTTTCCTTGGGATGTCACAGAAATTGAGTAAAAACTTTTTTTTAAATATATATTTTTTTATTTTTGCAAGGTACAGTAATAACATAGTTAGTTACGCTTAAAAGACTAAGAGATGCTCCTCCTGGTGTATTTTTTTTAATACCTCAACTTTTTCAGAGTTGTGTTGCCGTGGGATGAATAAAGGTTGATCTTATCTGTCCTAACCTCAACAAAGCATGTTGTTAGCGTGGGCAAAGTCAGCATAAAAAAAATAACATTTTTCAGTTTCAAAATTTGGTATGTTGCCTTGGCGTTGGTTTTTAATTGCAGAAAGGGTTTAGGTGATTTGTAAACAATCAAATTCTGTGTAAACAAAAAATTTGGGGGGAAATTTGGGTTGTATTTCACCCCTATAAGCATGTTAAGCTCCAAAGTTCAGCTTACCACAGTGCTGCCACCCTGCATGTTGTGTAGATCTCTGTGAGCATGGGCACAGAAGTCCAGACAAGCAGTGACCCCAGAGAAAGGACGTCCCTCCTTGAGCCCCAGGCGACAATCTGGTGCCCTGTGCTCATGTTCCACCTGAGTCCAGGGAAAACACAAGGTCATTTTGAATAAGGGATCATCTTTCCTAATGACTGTATCATCTTTGTCTGGGAACCATTGTTTTAACAGCTTACATCCATAACCAGTGCACCTTTACCATTGTTAACTGATTAACATTGTGTTGTTACAAGACAGTATGGGGTGCAGATGAACTGTGAAAATATCTATGCAGCAGTTAATAATGCCTCTTGCACTTACAAAAGACCTAAGATTGCGTGAGCTACTTGTAAGATGTTATTGCTGGTTAGGTCTTAGCTTTAATGGGAGATATGCTCTTCAAGTATTCTTTCTCAGCTGTGTCAAGGGGCCTGTTTATCATTTACTGCATGCATTAAGCATACTTTTGAAGTGCAGTGTTTGTCACTAACCTGGTTGCCATATGCTTCTGGTGCCAAAGTTTTATACAAGGGACCCAATAAGGTTGCCAGATTTTGAAGATTGCTATCAATTTTTTCTTCCTGAAAGGCAGAAAATTTTAGGTTAGCTTAATAAGCAGATAATGCTAACATTACCATGTCACATATTAAGATTGATCTCTGTAATCCACATTACACACCTCTTTTACATCATCTCCAAGAAGCTTGAATTTTCTCGGAATTTTGCTGCGGGCAAATTTGCAGCCATTGTAGTACATGCTCCAGGAGCAGCCGAAAGAGAAGGAGGCCCCGCAGACCTCTGGATCTAACCCCTGGCATGCACAGGTCCTCCTGAAGTGAGAGAACAAAAGATGATTTCCATTCACCCAAACTTCTTAGGTTTTCTTTTTTATACTTTGAACCCAGGACCATATCGGGAACTGGTGTCTTGATTGAAAAAAAAAAAAAAAAAAAAAAAACCCACAGAGTAAAGTGAAGTGTGCATTGCTGTCACTTACTCCTCATTGAGAGCACAGCGTCTCTGGGTGAGAGCTCCATGCTTCCTCAAGGTGTCACTGAGTTCAACGTAAAGACGGTCAGCCAGGCTGGGAGCGATGCCCTCCCAGACGAGAATTACCACAATGATGCAGGCTGTTTCACATGTGTGACCAGTACGCTCTCGCACCAAAACCAGTAGCTTTTCTTCGACACTGGCTCGTCGAATCACCTGAAACATAAGACATATTTGTACAAATGAAGACATCTGATGCAAATGAGACCCCAGCCAGTTCGACCACTTCTCAAATGAGAAATTCAAAAATTATTCTCACCCATTTGGCAATGGGACACCCTTGTGTACTTTTCCCTTCCTTGCCAGTGTAAATTACTTTTTCAATCCTGATGGCACGGCCTGTTAGCCCAGACCTTCGAAGCAGAATAGAAGTATTAAATTAGTACAAAGTTGATATGTAACACACTCAATTTTGACAACATTTTCTTAGTAAGTTTAATATGTGATTGACCTTTTCTCCATCGATTCCCGTATACTGGCTACATTAGGTGCTGACCCCAAATGAGTGTAGTACGGGCCTTCATCCTTTTCACTGATTTGTTCTAAGTGTACAAGAGTAAATGTTAATATTTACAAACCAACTTACATTTACTTAGATGATGTGTTAACATGCATTATGTTTGGAATTGCTGATACCAAACTCACCAACACAGTGGCATGATGCGATCTCATATTGTGTTTTTAAAGGGGTATCCAACAGATTCTTTATTGGGGTATCTAATAGCTTCATAGGAGAGTCCATAAAGCTTTGTAGCAGGTGTTCCTTCTTAGGTGTGCAATCAGGGGGTTTCTTTGGAGCTATTTTGGCTGAAGAAGCTTCTGATGATTCTACTCCACTCAGGTCAGTGTTGGTTGACAGGATTGTGACTGGCCCAGAAGATTCAACCTTGACTTTATTTGATGAATTAACGACAAGAGATTTCTTCTCAAACACTGGTGAAAGCTGGTATTGCCTTAGGGTTTGCTCCATGGATGCCAAGATGCTTCCCTGCCTCTTGCTTTGCTCACACAAGGATTGCTGATTCTCTTGCTTGACTTGCATCCCAGCTATTCCTGCATCTTGCATCTGTAACTGCGGATTCTGCTGCTGTGAAATAGGTACCTCAAACCTGGGCCCATTTTCCATTTTGACAGGTCTTAAGCCTTGTTTACAGTCACTGATGCTCTGAGTGGGGTATGGGGGTCCTTGACGCTCTTGCCTCTGTAACAGATGCATGCGCAGTGCTGCATGTCTCTGAAAATCTCCATGGGGACTCGGGGGTCCCAGAGGTAGTCGAGGTCCCCTTTGGAACTGAGCACATGATACCTTCAGCTGCTGTTCAGCTTTTGGATACATTGGTGTTGACACCTGTTGGTTTAAACCGCCTTGTGGTAACTGAGATTGTGACTGTGCGGATGTCTGTGAGATGTCCATGTGGTTGAGCTGGTGGTGGTGGTTGTTTGGTCGCTGCGGTTGAAACTGCTTGAGATTACTGGTGCCTGAGTTTGGTGTGTAATGCCTTTGATGTTGTTGTATTTGCTGCATCTCTGTTGTGTTATTGTAACTGAACATTGCATGGTCATTGTGCTGGAGTTGTTGGTTAACGGGCTGATTAGAGCTGTTTCTAAGAGACTGGTTCTGTTGGAGCTGCTGCTGACCTGGGTGGGGTTGACTATGAGGTCTGTAATTGGGGGACTTAAGTTGCTGCCCCTCATATTGTGGTGGTTGAGACAGGGGGCGTTGAAGATTTGAGTGCTGTTGTTGTTGCTGCTGTGGCTGTGTTGGTAAAAACCCAGGTGACAGTATTTCCTGCAGGTCAGGATCTTCAGATAAGTGCTCTGACTGCATCTGGGCATGGAAGCGGCTGTCTGCTTGCTGATTTGGGGGGAATTTTCTTTGCTCAGGCATTTTCTGAGGAACAGGCTGTTGCATTTGCAGTGCTTTAGAATTTGATTGCTGCCACTCAGGGGCAGTGTTGTGCTGAGCTGGAGCACATGGGGTCTGAGCTGGGAGACAGTCTTGCTGTTGCTGCTGGTAGTTGCTGGACCCCTGGCTGCTATCTGTATAAACTCCCTGTGTCTGGAATCTTTGCACTGGATTTGGCTCCAACATCTGGCAGTGAACCTGGAGGTTAGCTGTCTGCTGCTCCAACTGAGGCTTTGCAGGGAATCCTCTCCACATGTCCTTCCCTTGTGCCTGTGATGATGGGCTACTTGGTGGTTGCTGCTGGGAATTTGAGGAGTTCATCTCCATCCATCCTCTCTGGTGGGGAGTGAGACGTGATAAGTTGGCTCTCTGCTGGGACAAACTCTCCATCCCGTTTTCTAATCCAGAATGCTGTGACTGCTGGGAAGGAGGACCTGTGGATCCCATACTGTCAGCTCCACTTGGGTTGCCACCATTTTGGTTTAAGGTCTGGGGTTTAATCCCATAGTTAGGAGCCCTGTCAGTGTCATGACAACCAGCCTCTGATTCCTCACTTTGCCCCATCTTCTGCATCCCAGAATTAGGAAAGGACCTATATCCCCCGGCTTCTGCTACCTGTAGAGGAGCATGCCGCTCTAGATAAGAGTCCTGATTAAACTCCTGCTTGGATTTAGTAAATAAATCTGGAGGATTGGTCTCATTTTGATAGCACTGTGGACCATTTTGATGCTGCGAGCCATTGGCCATATTTCTAGGAGGGATCATGCCAGGCATATGACCCAGAGTCATGTCCTTACCAGGATAAGATGGTGGCTGCTGTGGATGTTGCCGTTGTTGCTGGTGGTGGTCTGAATACCCATTCACCAAATAGTTGACAGGGTTAAAGTTGTTGCCTCCTTCAACATTGCTTGATGCCCGCTGTTGCTGTAAGTCAGGCATCTGAGCTGAATTAGGCTGCCCTGAGGTTAAAGAAGGGGGTTGAGCACCTTCACTGGGTGGCTTATTAGCTGTCGAACCATTGACAGAATCGAGCTGGGGCCTAGATGTTTGTGGTGCAATTGACACTTGCTCAGGATAATACTGAGACAAAGTTTTCTCCAAAAGATCACCTTGAGTGCTTTCTATTGTTGAGGGGGGTGAAACAGCACCATTTGGAATCGGAACTTGTTTGGTTTGCGGGAAACTAAAAACATCTCCATTAGGAAAACTACAGTTCCTCTTGTCTAACTTAATCTCCATCGGTGGGGTATTGCATTCAAATTCTGTTGCCTTTGTTATCTCGGGAAAGTTATCCAACAAACTGGAGCCCAAGCCGTCATTTCCTTTCATCTCAGGATTAACTTTAAGTTTTTTGGATTGGTGGACCAGTAGGGACTGCTCAGTGAGTGCATTCTTCAACTCTCCGTTCATTAAATCTCCATTTATCATGTAGGATCCTTGTTCGAACAGCCCATGCACTGAAGCAGGGCTATCACAGGACTCCCTGTGCCTCTTCATGGAGTTGGTACCCACACTGGGCTTGTAATGGTTCCAGTTTGTATCTCCAGTAATCTGCAGCGACTCTTCCTCCGAAGACTGGCCTCCATTCTGGAGTTTGTGAGCGGAGATGTGGTGAGATGAGCCAAATTGCGCTAATATCAAACTTTCTTCCGTCTCATGTCTGGCCTGGTCTGTTTCCATCTGGCCTGCTCAGAGTCCATCCACAGGGCTGCCCTCTGTCCGACCTGGAAGGCAGAAAGTTGGAGATCAATACTGGGTTTCACATTAAGACAGCAGTGATATATCTGTGATACCTAAATTTGTTTTTTTTTTTTGTTATACAACTGCAACTCTGTGAATTGAAGATGTATTGAGGTCAGTTCACTCAAACTGAAACACAAAGTATCAGGTATCAGTTACCACCCAAAAACAGAAAGTGGAAAGAGAGCAAGAAGATACAGATGCGAACTAGAGATTACTCTGGTGTGATGTTTGTCGACTGCAGACCAGATCATCATCTTGATCAGTTTACAAAGCAAGGTGTCTCTTAAGTGGTTGTATTTTCAGTGCCATGAGTGTATTAGAAGGCTAAGATAATAATATAATAATATGGATAATACATGTAAAATTACCAAACAGGCTGAATACTCACTGTTTTCTGTATAATGTATCTACAGCTAAAAAGAGAGGTATGCAGGCAGGGCTACGAATACATTGTTTTAAATCTAAGCTTTAAAGTTGTTGCATGTTCCTCTTTGTGGCACTCAACAAAGACAACAAAAACTTGAAAAATGCTTTTCCAAAACTGTACATAACCCCCTGTCAGCTGTGGTGGTGCCTACTTGTGCAGTTTTCATCTCTGTAGTGCTGTTCCCCTGATATAAAACACACTATTGTAGTCAGCTCGCCTTCCAGCAGCTTCATAGCAATCTAACAGATATTCATACCACACAATACAAACATCTCAGTCTATTTCCTACAGTCCTACTCCACTAAAATGAATTGTTACAAAATTGGGATTTTTGTTGAGGAAATTTTCTCACGGTGTAAAACTTGTCCCGGGCTTATTCTTTGTAGGTTATGGTATTCAAAGCTGTATCTATTGATATGAGGAAACACAATAGTCAGCTGTGGGCAGTAGGATAAAAGGTTTATGTCCCAGATGGTAGATGGGGGTAGGAGTTGGCTGCTCGTCAGCTGTTCGCTCTTGGTATTCCTCACCCCACACGCATTGTAATGTCAGATATGATGTTTCAGGCCTTTGAATTGTTAGCTTTGTTAGGCTTGGATACTAACACTGATGAGGGCAAAATATGAAGTCACCTCAACACTTTTTCTCCCGCATTAACTTAATTATTCAGATTTTCATCAGTCTGATTCAAACACACATTTGTGTTGTAAGAAGTGGCTCCTATGACCAATCTGTATACCCTAAAACAACACAACTACTTCATCCTTTAAGTGAGTATTTTACAAACAATAAATATGAGCGTAGCTAAATCACTGCTTCTTCTGAAAGTCAGTGAAAAATTGGTGAGTAAGACTGAAAATGAGCTTCAGTTAAGAGACAATGGAGAATCACTAGAGCTTTTTTATAGCTTGGAAGCCATAGTTTTAGTAACGGCTTTTTAATAAAGTAATAAAACTGATGTATGGAAAATGAGATTCCTATAGAGGGTAAGGCAGCACACAGGGCCTGTTTCTTTTTTCTGTGCTCCCACTCTGCCAGAAGCAAACAGACTCCAGTGATTCCAGTAGAACATTGATTTCTGTCTGCCTCCCTTAATTATTAATGCATGTCACATCCGCAGCATCTGCAAAACAATCGCAGCGTGCAGACACAATGCACCGCAGTCTAATCCATCATAATTATTAGCTACACTCCTGCAGATAATAAAGGAATGGGCAGAGAGGGGCCTGGATGTAGTTTTAAATGCTAAAGGAAAAAGTGGTTTTGGGTGTTAAGCTGCTCTGCGGAAGAAAGAACCATATTGTTGTAATTATGCGGATTTATGCTTAGCAGTTGATAGTGCATGTAATATATATGCCAAAACCTGTTTGTATTCATGTGATCCCACTCATTGTTACTTCTTCCTTTAAAAATGCTATCACACTATTCTGTCAGGCATCTGTTTAAATCTCATTTTATTTTCTGTTTTTTGTTGTCTTTGCCAGAGACTTTCTGACTCAATACAGACAGATTTTCCGACTTTATTAAGATGTTGTTCCTAAAGATATCTTCTTGAACTGTATTTATGGATATCCTGGGGCAATATTTTTCTTTATGTATTCAGCATGAGAAAAGATATTGACCTGCACCAGACTATATGTGGCATTGTGGAGGTTTTGTCCACCTACATACAGGTTTTCTAGATCATCAGAAGTACATTTGCCCTTAATTTTATATGGGTAAGGAAGTTTATGATAGTCAGATACATGTAGAAAGTTCATCGAACAGTAATCATTCTGATTTATGTTCCAGGAAATGTAAGTCAGTAGTAGTGTGTGTACTTGAGGCAGTAAATACTCTGCTTTTGAGTTCTTAATGAAGTACCTGGTCCCAACTGCTCCTGCTGTGGTCAAGTTGAGAAAAAAATATACCATATGAGCTTTGAAAACATAATTGGAACCAGCTTTAGATTCCCTCAAAAGCTCTCCATTTAATGTAAACTGTCTTTATGCTCACCATAGGCAGAGACTGAAGTTTGAGAGAGAAGGAAAGGAAAAAAAGGCTAAATATTTGAGGTAGTTTGGCATGTTTCATTTGGCATAATCATTGGGACTGATTATCACATCTGGAACCGATCAGAACCACTTGTGATTCTGTCAGAGGAGCTGTCCTCTTTAAGAATATGTTCTATCCAAAGTCTGGTAACCTTTTTTTTTAAAAAAAAAATGTCGCTATATGTACACCATTTATGCTGGCCACAAGTAGTATGGCTTTTTACACGAGTAATTACTCTTAACTCATACAATTTTAACTCCGGTTGATGACACTTTTAGTGACATATTCCTGACGAAAGATTGGTGATATCGGTCAGAATCTACAGATACAAAAGTATCAAAGTATCACACAAACTTCTGTAAAAAGTACTGTATCTCTGATGTGACTGAACCTATGCATCTCAAATAGCACACTCCATCTGATTGCATAATTCACAAATACAGCACAAACGTGAGCTGCATGTGATTGTGGCCAACTCTACTGTCTGTAACAAGACAATCACGGAGGCCAGTGTCAGACTGAACTCTGCCCAGGCAAGAGAAATAGCAGACATAATCATCTGCTTCTCTGCCAATCCCCCCCTCCAGGACATTAGCAGCCCTCCAGACCCCCAAAGTAAGAGTGTTAAATCTCCCACTAACGAGCCAAGCTGTTACAAGGGTGTCTGGGAGCACCCTCCGTTGTCACAACAGAGCAGCCAGCTGCCTGTTAGCAGGTAGGAGAGGGAAGCAGCACACCACTAACAAAGACAGCTCTCAGGTCAATGACTCGGGGAAAGGGCCTCAGAGGTGTCTTTTGGTTTTGAGTGCTGAGAATCGAGCAGGAATCACTCACGTCAAATACAAACTATCTTGTTTAGGAGTTTGATAAAAGCCTTTTTTTTAGAGTTTTCCAACAGGATGAGAATTGGTACAAAGGAATCAACAAATTTCTAAAATTAAAGAGCAACATCCAAAGCAGGCCCATATAAAACAAAACAGCAAAACAGACTGGGTCTTCAGAGATGGATTGATGAATAGAACACAATTATATTTTTATTTAAGAGGATTACACAAAATTATTTTGGTCCTGAATGATTAAAAAACACCTGAATGTCTTCGTCTTTGACAAGTGATGTCTTTTCTTAATGTTGTAATCTGACAGGATGTAGCCTTAGAACTAGATCAAAGTGAAAATGTTTAATTTCTCAGAAGACTTCTACAACAAGCTTTGGCATTAAAAAATGTTTGGGTAATAAACGGTATGCCTACAGTTTTAAACCCTTCAAAATCAAGAGTCTTATAAGTTGCTCAGGCAACAAGCAGCAGACTTTACCTGCGTATTATTGTTGTCAGACTTTCAAGTGTCACATTTGTAATTAGAAGTGACAGCAAACCTCTCTATTATTATCACAAAGTTATTGGAACTGTTACTTTGACAAATGAGTACATCAAAATATGAGGAAGAAGTGAAATGCAGACTGCTCCATTTGACTAACAGCAAACAGTGTGTACATCCAGAAGATCTCTTCATACCGCATAATATTGGGATCTCTCCATCTGTGACAGATCTGTTCATTTTATCATGCTGTGTCAGTTAACCAAGCTCAGTCCAAGCACTTCAAGGAAGATGCAGACATTTGACTAAATAAGTAGTGATAAAGAATTATAAAAGGTGAATTAATTTTTCTTACGTTATACTTATGTTTTAAAAATAAGCATTCATCTGAGCAGGTCTATTTATTTTGCACAGAATTCTTCTCCTCTCTTGAGAAAACAGAGTCAACTGTTTCCCCCGCCTTCTTCCAGCCATTTCAAATAGAGAGCATCTGATCCTTGAAAACACAACAATGAGATAAGCGGGTGAATACCACTTCCCGACCCCATGTGACTACTCCTTTGTTTTGTCTGGCCCTTAGAGCAGTCTGTAAATCAGTAACCTAGTCAAGAGGTGAACACTAGTTTCTAAGCTGCTTTTCTGTGCAGCTCCATTCCTGCGGTACACTCCGGGGTTTACAAAGGACCGCACGGAGCCAAGCAGCTTGTCACAGTTGGATACACCCACACTGACAACAAAAAAAAAAATCTTTGCAAACCTAGAACAAAGCCAGAGATCCCAGCTGAGTGTGCATGTAGAAAAGCAAAAACATAAAAACACTCACTGTGTTTGCTACAGTGTAACTCCAACTTTGACAATGTAAGCATGAGGACATTTGGAGAGTTGCTTTCATTCCCTTTAGTATCTGGTTGGGGATCTATTTCAGCTCCAGAAGTAGAGCACTAAACTAAACCAGAAGAACAGCACAGCAGTGGTTTTAGTGTGGACGCCTGCTGGAAGTTATAAGGCTTTGATCTATTTTGGTTTTCTGTCTCGTAGTTAATGTCCACCAGGGAAATGAGCCCTCTGTTTCAGTTTATATGACTCAACTCTCCTGGCCTGGACTGGATTCCCTACAAATCTTCCCTCTCGAAAGCAATTTCTTTGTCCCCTCTATGCTGTTGTTTTGTTTCCCTTCCTCTCCCACAGCCTAAACTCCAGTCCCTGCCCTGTAATTACACTTCAGGTTCCTCTGTACTTCAGTCCGCTATCATCTACTTCCCTCCTGTTCAGTCTATCATCTAGCCTGTGATGTTATGGCACTGGCTGCTAAATGCTGGTATTGAATTCTAGACAGTCATTGCCCAGAGTTGTTGCCTGTGTAGCTATGTACTTGTAGGGATTTATGGATGGTCAGTTGCTTTAGTGCTTTGAAGCCTGAAGCAAGGCTGTATTCTTGGACACAGTGTGATCAGTGTTGTAAAACAATGGACACAGTTTGCACAAGAGTCACTTAAGGGTGGCAATCAATGCATATGACAGTCGGTCTTTACTTTAGCAGTTGAGGGTGTTATTTTAAATACAGATTTTCTTTATCGAATGCAAATAGTTTGTTTCTGTTTTTCTATCAAATCTTTAGATGATCAAAATCAAATTCCAAATCAGGATTCAGATCATAGATATTTGGATAGTACCCCCTAAGTCCTCAGGCAGTCTGGTTTCTTTCTTAACACTGGTGTAACAAACTTTTATGCACCAGACTCTCACTGTGTTTTTGTTATTCCCACAGAGAGCAGGTGAAATATGAGAGCTGCCATAGTAGATGGAGTCTATTTGGCGTGACTTGGCAGCCGCTTGTGACATTCACCACTAACGACAGCTGCTGGGAAAACTCCGGTCTCTGCACTTTCAGGTTGATACACAGGCTGCTGGATTTAAGAGTCTAGCTGTTGAAGGGAGAAAGGGAGGACTATAAATCAAACACACACTTACACGGCCTCACCACTCTTTGGTTAAATGCTACTTAAAATAAGATGTAATCTCAAGTATACGTTTCCTTTTCTTTGCTGAAATGAGCCCATTAGCTTTTTCCTGTTTGGCAGATAAGGACACAGAGCATGCTGCCAGTCCAGCTACTATAAATTTGTCCAAACACTTAGAAATGGTAAAACTCCAACAACTAACAACCTTCGCCATGAAAAAAAAACGTTTTCATGCTCTGTAGAGATATAAACTGATTGCAACAATTTAGCATATGACTGATTACCATTTATGTAGTTTGCATTATGTCTGATTTTCTTGAAAGCTGTGAGAATTGATGCGATTACATTGTTGCTAGTAGTAGTAGTAGTAGTAGTAGTTAGTCCTATTACTCCAGTGCCTCTTGAAACATCACGAATCTTTGTCAGAGATGGTGTACTTCTCATATGATAGCAGCCCAGCTAGGTTTTCCAAAAGTCTCCTCTCCCAGTCACTGATGACATCATTCAACGACAGTGCTGCATATGAACTATGGCCTGCTACTCTCAGCAACTTTGCTTGTAATTGGGCAATCATTGCTATTTCTCCATCGCTAACGGTATTGATCATGTACAGATAGTATGAAAGTAAGCGCAAACCTGTCTTATGTTAGCCTTAAATGACTCAAAGTTAAACGTAGAAGCATTAATGGAATAATCCAATCAGCTTATCTGACATCTATTTTGTGGTGTGAGTTAATGTCCTCCCTTTATCAAATAATCATTTCAAACTAAAAATGAAACTTTGTTGTCCTTAGATAATCTATTGCCACTAGCTAGAGACCTTTATTGGATCATATCCAAACAGTTAAGTGGTCAAGTGAAAATGTATGAGCTTCATTAGATTACAGTAAATATCCACATAATGCGAGTTTAACAGAGATCTTACTTATTACTTATACCAAACAAAATGAAAAAACAAAATAAGCCATAAAACTGACTCCTTGTTAAAGATAAATTTTGATAATGGATGTTTAGTTTTATAATGCAGATATACTGTGAGGAATTTCTATGATAACAGACTTAGTCTGACTGTTCTGACTGCACATAAGAGCTGAGAGGGAAACCTTATCCTTAGCAACACCTACCAGCGCAACTGGGTCAGATAACTTGCATTCTACAGTGGTTCAAATCTCCCCCTTGCAAATATAGAGCCATTGCTCTGCAAACCTCATGACCTCGGACAACATTTTCACAACTCGACATTCCAGCAAGCTATGTAAACAACAGAGATGTAGGCGCGGAAACAGATGAGTATCTTTGAAAGATCATTATGGAATCAAAAACTGAAATGCTCCGGCAGTCACTGGTGTCATGGCGCTTTACCACACACACACACCACACCTTTACCTTTAAAGTGTTTCAGTTCTAGTTTTTGTCAGTAATTTGCGTCAGCTCTTTTGGCAATGACAAGAGAAGTATTTGCGCACACACAAGGCATCTGTTTGACAATTCACTCAGTAATGTGTATACAAGAGGGAGGGAGATACATGTAGAGAAAAGTCGGGGATAGACTGACCCACAAAATAACACACACACAACTAGAATATTAGCTGCTACTGACAGTCAATACCCATCAGGCTGTGTGTGACAGATGTTCATTCATGTGTCGCATCTTACTAAGCCTCTCACACTTGTGATTTATGTCACATGGCGCACTCATAGAGTGTGTACAATGTACCTCACATGGTTGTGCGTGCCTTCTTTCTCCCTCACTTTCTTTCCATCAGTCTGACCATATGACACTTTGAGAAACAAAAGACCCCTCTGTTTACTGTCCTTTTTATAAACCTCAGAATTTACATGAGCACCAGGTCATTGGATCAGTTTTTCGGGGGTGCTTGGGTTGTGTCTGTTTTGACCCATAAATAACCTTAACATCATATGTGAGATCTTTGATATCACTTCAGATTGTATCAGAAAGAGGCAATGTCCAAATGAAACAGAAAAGAGAGATCCTTTTCAACCGCCGAGAACACACGCTTCAAAGCTTTGTCTTTTTCTTCACAGTTGTCTTTGTCAGAGAAAAATGCTTTTTACTTCACTCAGTGCACTCAAAAACCTCAGTTCTTAGAAGTCACTGCTTCAAGCCAAGAAAAAGTTCAGTGTATGAGGCACAAGTTTTTGATTCTTTCCCTTCTGTGGTGGTGCTGACTAAACTATCCAGATATTCTTGTTGGTCAGTAAACTCTGGAGGAACAAAGTCGGGTGAGTTGTTGCCACACTTGTTGATTTTTTGTTTGTTTGGTTGTTTCCCTTGTGGAAATAATGGTGGTGCCAGACTTCTGGGCTAACTATCAGGGTCCGAAGAAAAATTAGGAGTATTTCCCAGAAGGTCTAACTCTCTTCCTCTTAAAATCTGAAGCGTAAAGAGTTAAGCTCTGTTTTTGATCATATATTTGCTTGAAGATATTCTCATGAATAGCCTTTGATCCATCTGTCTCCCATTTGAGTTTTTACAGCTTCTGTATTAGATTAAGATGTGACGATCTTTTGTGTTGGTCACTGGCTGACTTCAGATACATGTGAACATTATTAATACAGAATGAAGTTCTGAGGTCATGGTTTGACTTTTTATAATTCTGTAAATCCTTTTAAAAGGATTTCTTGGTTAGGATGTAATCTGACTTGGCATGGCACAACCTCAGGTATAGTTTCCGTGTCAAGAAGAGCAGTGCTACTTCCTGTTGATGTTCACAGTGGCCTAAGCAGTCTGATGTAATGATGGCTGTGTCACATGACAGCACAAAGCCAAAGAAGTCTGCTTTTGTGTCTTTTCTGTGTTTCAGTCATTTGATGGTTGACCTAAAAGAATCCACCTCTGCAGGTTGGATCTGCCTCCTGAGAATTTGACTGCTGATGAAAAATGGCTCACTCGCGCCGACTGAGTGTATGATAATCTTTTATTTTCAAGAGGACTCGATCAGTTATGTTTGCATCTTCTAGAAATCCTGTGTCTCATTTTTACATTGTTCCCAATCCCTGGAATTGGTGCATGAAAATACATGTACTGTAAACATCCCTAAACACCCTGATTTTTCTTTGAATCTGTCGATAAGATTAATAGATTTTCACAGAAACACAGGGGACTAACATTTCTGTTTGAAATGTCTTCCCTAGAGGGCCTCCTCCTCCCCCTGCATAAGCAGAAGGGCTCTGTACAATTTACATTGTTCTTTATGTGTAATGCAAGACAGATGTGGCCAGCTTATGTAGCGTCCCACTGCAGACCTCATGGTAGGAAGGCAAGAGGACTGTTCCATTTTCTTCTTTTGTTGTATGTCCACATCCGTCCAAAGATCAGGTTTTGCTGAACTCTGCCTTTTGTTTTTGGTCTTCCATGAATAGATTCCAGTGCAAACCTCTTAGATGCAGAATTTATGAGATTTAGGAATGTAGACGGCTAAGCAGCAGCTTTTGAAATGATTATTTATAATGATTTTCACAGTTGTTGAGTATATATCAGGCCAGAGTAGTATAGACCCTCAATTTGTCAATAATATTCAACATAGAAACCCAATGGCGCTGAATGAAGCCCTTACATGTCGAAGCATTTGTGAAGGACAAGTGGTGGGGCCCACTGTGATATTTTTCCCATTGACCAAAACCCCTGGCAGCCCTGTAGGAGTCTACATATGCTCTTAAAGGAAATATACAGTTTTTTTTTAAATTGTGCTTTTTGAAAGGGTGATTTAGTCCATTTGGAGTTAGCTAAAACAACTGGTGTGCTTGACAAGACATAAGGAGAAGAAAGGCAGAGTCCCTTGTATGAGATGTTGGATTCTTGACCTCTCCTGACTTACCTTTTGCATCTTTATAATCAGATTTTTTGCATCTTATACATGTTTGAATATGTAATAGAATAAAATGAATAAAAAAGTGATTGCTTATGCAAACTATCATATAACATACCTAAAAACTTTATTTTGTATTATTTATAGCTGAAAAAAGAAACTCAAAGTCAAACAGAGAGGAAAAAAAGTGTCTACAGTCCAGTAAAAAACAGTCAAAGAAAGTGTGGTTTTGATTTTGTTATGACTCCCTAAATATAAAAAGACAAACCCGGACTGGGGGAGACAGAAAAAGACTGACTGGGACTAAAACAGCAAGCCACATCCAAGAGCTCCCAGGCAAAATTAAGATGAATGTAAACTCCAACATTTTATAGTTTGATATAATTACACAGGGGGTTGTGGACTTTGGTGATAAGGGGAGTGAGGCTGAAACTTTAAAGGTTTTAGGAGATCTCAGAGGTTTTGCGTAACTGAGCAGCTTCTGTTGTAGGAGATTAACTCCGCCTCTGTGCTTTAGTAAAGCAACTTGTTTGGCAGGTATTCCAGGAACACTGAAAACACAGCACATCATGTAAGCACGTACTACTACCACCACTCTTTCTACAGACATCGATCTAAACTGTATTTAAATAATGCTTGACTCCACAGAGACAAAGACTAAACAATAACACACTGTATATCTTGGTACTGTTCTTTATTTGGACATAACAGTATAATATTTTTGCTTCAACTTAAACTACTACTTTGCTGAGCATCAGAAACATTGCAGATCGAATGAAGTGACCATCAGCCTCCCTTGAAAACACAGGAACCACTTCATTGAAGCAGCGCCTTATCTTTGAGCCAGTTACTCACAACAGTGTGATTGTGATTCTAGTTAGTCGTTGAACATTAGCCTGAATCAGACTTCACAAACCTGTTAGTCTTGAATTTTACTGTTTAATCAACACAACCTAAGAAGAAACCCTTCCTGGTTAAAAAAAGCACCCTGTACAAAGCTAACACTGGGAGTCTAAACCCTGCTCTGTGCCTTCGAGCTGCATCACATGGACACTCTAATTAGGAGATGGGCTTCTGAGCGTATAAACTCACTAACCTTCCCCCCAACCCCTCATAACGCTGCATTTTTCCTTCCACTGCCTGTCTTTTTTTCCTCCCTCAACCCTTTGTCTCTACAACAGTCAATATATCTGACTAACCTGATGAATTGTGCACACAGCAAAGTTAATTTCTTTCAGAGTGCATGGTAGCCATGGTGACCATCTTATGAGCGCTCCAAAGCCCATCTGGTCTAAACATTAGCCCTGCACGGCTGACTGCAGAGAAGGCTGCTTTGCAGTGGTGTGCACATGTGCTTTACACATTGATCCAGCCCGGAAATCAATAATGCCACATATCCACAAACCTACATTTGCTCTTGTGTCACTCAGCACCTTATAGCACTACAGTATGGTTTAGAAATGTGTATTTTCAAAAGTTTAAAACAACTACTATTGACTATTATCTTCTTATGCACATAATCTGTTACAAAACAGAAAACTTGTGCACAGTGCTATGCGATAATTCCCACTGTTTCTTTTACTCACCTTGAAGCTTTGACATAATGGTGTATATTTGCAAAAGAAAATAACCCTCTTTGTTTGTATGATCCAAATCCAAACCAGGTTCCATTAAAGCCAGACCCATGGGTGAGCAGTGAGCAGAGCACAGAGGAAATATTAATGTTGAAAATTGGGGGGAATTAAAACATGGTACACAACATGGTAGTAATGTGATACCAGACAGACTATAAAGGAAAGTTTCACTCCCGTTGACAAATGTGCTACAGATAATAGTTTGTCTTGAGTAAAAAGCAGGATAGTCAGTGAAGATAAGGCCAGAAATATAATGTGGTACTACCTAGAGGATCTTGGAATAAGAAACATCTGTTTTGTGCTCTTTTGTTGTTTGAAAAGTAAATGCAGACATGTTCCTTTCCCAGCTGGTTTCTAGGCATCCTTACCAAAGCCACTGTTCCTAAGCTGTCTCTTTCCCTCCAATGAGAGGACATGTGACCCTCACTGAACGGAAATCACCAATCTCTCTAAATAAATGATCATCTCTGTGACTTATGGCTTTAGCATAAATATTAATAAACCCTTCAATCCATTATGTATCAACAGTATTTAAAACTATTTGATTGTTTTGTGTTAAAGGGTTTTCTAAAAGTCAATGGTGGTTCAGCAAGTCTGGAAATTACACTTGAATGCTGCATGTTACTAAATGGTGGAGTGCATGCATTCACAATTCAAGGTTTTACTCAACCACCTTTATATACAGTATATTTACCCAACTGATCTAATAGTCACCAAGCTGTGTGTCATGGAAACACAGCAGCTGCTGCACTCGTACATTCCACCCAGGAAACATAATATTGAGCCTGAGCCACTCAGAGCCCTCAGAAGTAGCTAGTGATGTCATTCAAAGCCTTCGGTAGGGTTACGCTTCTAAATGACATTTAGGACCAGCTGTCTGTCTTTGTGCTCCGTGCACGGGCAACAGGGGGCCATGGGGCCTAACCTTTTCAGTGACAGCTCCAAGCAACCAAACCGTTCATATCTGACAGCCATTTTAGAGGATGGCCATCAGGAGCTGTGTTTAGATCACTGTGCACCCCAATGAGATGGTGCATGAGACAGGAGCTTTAGATATGGATTCACCTTTTCATACATCTATCTTAGTTTACAACTTTCAACATGAGATGCATTTTGACAAGCAATGGAGGGACTGTCTCTTTTAGTCCTGAAGGCATTATTTCTTAAAATAAGACCTGTGACAAAAGCCGACTTATTGTCAAAGATCTTGATTCAACCGGAACAGAGTGACACTACACATTTTGACAGGAGACTCTTACTAGGGGGCGAGATCCTTGCAGGAGGTTGAGTCACTTCTTAAGATCTGTGATGCATATTGACAGCCTATTGTAGGTTTGTTAATTCTTCAGGAGTCTACCTATGTTTGAGGATCAACCGAGTAAAATCAATTAAAACTTTTGCTGCCCATCCCTCAAAGTTCCATCATTATCTCAGTGTTTCTTTTTAATCAGTAAAATTCTTGTCAATTCTGTTTAGAGCAAGTTTTCTCAGTGAATCGGTCATCCGTATAAAAGAAAGCACTAATTTGGACTAAAACTTGCTTTTACCAAAATCTGTTCATGTGTGTTGGGTCGTATTGCACAAACAGTACAAAAATACAGCAACCATCTTTACATGGTTTACAGCTGGATCTAGAAAGAGAGTTTATGAAATCAAGTGCCCAGCCTACAACCTTAATCCCCTACCCTTGCACTTTTCAGGCCTTCACCTGTGCAGGAGCTATGCGCTAACACTGAAGCATCAGCATAAGAAAAAAAAGCCCACTCTTAGTCTCGCCACGTTCACAACCACAAACACAGCCGCGGCGGCCTTAGCTCCTCATTTCTTTTTGTTCATCTTAACTCCCAAAAGCCAAACTGGCGAAAAACAGCACTCTGCAAGGTTGTCCAAGCGTAGGAGAAGCCACTCGGACGAGAGGCGGGAAGAGATGCTACTCGCTTTGGGGCAGTTACGTAACATCTCACTTGCCTCTCTCTGTGCGGAATGCCAGGATAGTGTTTGTAAACAGAGCGGCCATGTGCCTGTGCTCACGTGGAGGAAGCTTTTGAGTCCCTGCCCTCGCTGTCTCACCCCTGAGGTAAACCCTGACATCGATACATGTTCACAGGGCCAACGACACTCCCTGCAGCCCCGTGCCACTCGAACGGGGCCTTATCATTGTCACTGCATAATTACGCTTTGCTTGGCTAACGACACACGGCCACGTGGTCAGAAAAGACCACCGGTCTCAATTAGGGACTTACAGTATTTCTTATTCAGCATTCGCCTGTGACATATGTCTATCTCAGACTCAAGAAGACATTATTTCAAGTACACAGTTACGGTGGTGACCAATGAAACACTCCCAGGCCATAATTTGAGCATAGGGCCTTTATGGAATGAGAAACTTGGGTGTTTGTTTGGGATTGGGGTGGATCTGATTGGGTTAGTATTGATAATAGATGATTTTTGTGATCTGGATTGGCTAAAGGCACATAACTCTTTGAAACCACAATATCAGTGCAAAGAAAAGTGATTCGTGAGTCAAGAAACCATGAAGCATCCTGCAAAGCTGATTCTTGCTGAGCACATGGATAAATGTCAAGTAAATATTAAAACTTAAGTACAAATGAAGTTGAATATCACAGATGATTAAACCTTTTTCATGAAACCTCTGCAGGAGTCTGATACTAAACCTCATTAAACCACATCAGTCAAACCCTGCTTGTGTTACTCACTTCCTAACACTCTCAAAGGCTGTGTACTGTTGATGGAAAACTCTGTGTAGCTGCTAAAATGGGACTAAATGGGGGACTAAAATATGGCACCAAGATTCCATTGCAGTTTACTGTGGTTTGCTGCTTCTCTCTTGCTCTTCAAAGAAAAACAACCCTAATAGCAGGCCAGAGGGAAATCAATACTGCAGCAATCAATACAACTCTTGAGTATCTCGCCATTTTGTCTCAGGAAAGCAGTCAAGCCCATGACCAGCCAGTAAGCAGGTAGTGAAATCTAAAATGTCTAACCTGCTACTGGGCCTGTTTCTCTGTGGCACTGGTGCAACAGCCCCTGGCTGGAAATCTGATGCGTGGGCTGGACAGAGCAGGGTCAGAGGTCAGGGCTTGGGTGAGGGCTTGGGTATTGTGAGTGGACAGCATTGTTTTGGGACGCTATGGCAACTAGACATTCTTCCCTAAAGGTGATATTGTCTTTACCCTTGGGGTGACATAAAGGGAACTTACGGCCATGACGAAGGAGCAATCCAGCCGCACGGCTTTATCTGTAGGTGTAGATGGAAGAAAGCAGCTATGTGCATGTGATTGATCTATCTTGCCCTTCCCCCACTCAGCCCCCTATAGACCCATTTATTCTCTGGTCCCTTTTGCAGCTGCCAGTGTAACAGCAGTCCTGCAGAGCCTCAAGAAATGCTGTTTGTTTATTCCTAGATTTTTAATGAAGTGCAATTATTGTGCAAGTTTGAGATTAGCTTTTTAAAATCCTGTGTGCACATTGTGACAGCCACTGAAAATAAGATTTCATAAGAGAGAAATAAGCTGGGTTTAATGAAATCCATCTAAAGTGTGCAAACTAATGTGCTTAGGGCATGCGAGTTGAAAAATGAATCAAGAAAATAGATCACCCAAAGCAAAAGTTACAGAACTGCTTTGTTGTTTATTGCCAATTTGGACCTCCTAGAGTGATACAACCTACTTTTTTACATGCAAAGTAATCCCAAATGTGTTATAATCAAGAAGAAAATAAGCAAATAAGCCAACAGGGCAATGGGATGATCGCACATATCCACACAAACGTGTACATGTGCAATATTGCAGATCACCTGATCTCACACAGTCACAACATCCTTTATGAACACTATGGAGAACCCCCCTTGTGTTGACTCTACACAGTCAGTGACCATGCTTGCCATATCAAAACACAGCTATGCCACTGCGTCAGAGGTGTACACCACCATAGTTGGTTTTAAAGTTAGCTGGCAGCTCAATGTGACTGAACAGGCTTTTCAACTAAATGATTATATTTTCAGTGAGAGGGATTTCTATTGTGTTGAGACCACCACAAAAACTCAGCATCTAAACATAAATGTTGAAAAACACTGACTTAACTCAGATGGCCCCTTATCCACCCATGTCACTGCTATCATTTAACAAACACCACTTCCTGCCCAAACTTCTGCAACAGCAGTTTGAATTCCTGCATTGCTCTTGGAAACAGCCTGTGCTATTAGCTAACGATGCAGGTTGATGGCTAGTCACGCCTGCAAGGTGTGGCTACACCACACTTTGCAGGCATGCCTTTACTGTGCTTTTACCTGAGGCCCTACTGTGGGGACATTATGACTGTACTCAGTGAATACACAAGCCCAATACACAAACCTAAAAGAGATCAGTTAAAAAACAAATGGGCTATTCAGATGTTAATCATAGATTACCTTTTTAGTGGAATATGCTAAAAAAAACTAACAAACAATTAGCTATTCACTAACTGAGCTAAGGCCTAATATAACTAATTGGACATTAACACATTGTTGTTATGAAATCAAGACCAAATGACAAAAATCTGCAAAAACCTCAACCCAAAATATACAGGCGCTAACCTCACTTTTATCACTTTTTTTCTAACTTTATTCATCTGTGAACTTTTTAAAGTCACCATGCTGGTGTTAATATTAACTCCATTTCATGTTAATGTTCATTTTTTTATGTAAGACTTGTACTACTGAAGTATTTGTGCTGTTACTCACACAAGGATTTGAAACCCCCCCACACACATTTGCAGTCCACACACAGACACACAAAGAAAGCCACTGACACACATTCCTCTAAGTATTGTCAATAATCTGTTTGTCAGTAGTGTTGTTTCCAAGAGACCACAGCAGTCAGAATTTTGTGTAAGTTGACTTCTGTAAGATTTGAGGTATTTGTTACTCCTCCAGGATAACAGGTCCTTCTTTTGGCTTTTGGTTTTATTAAAAAAAAAGAAAAAAAAAAAAAGAGGTAAAACCTGCTCCAGAATTACCAGCCCTGTAACCCCAGTTAATGGTGCAGTAGGATAGAGTTTCAGTTCCTTCAGAGCTTTCTGACCTTGTCTGCCTTCACCACATTTTGCCACTGCTACCTCTCTCTTCTCTCCCTCATCTCCTTGGGGTTTGCTTTTGTGTCTCCCTGTCATTCAGTGGTGAAAGCAATGAAAGCTGATTAACAGAGATACACAAAGCCAGAAGCTATTCCAGCTCCACTGCTGTGCAGAGTCTATGCACGACCAGGTTGGACTTTTACTCTCCTTCACCCACAGTGTCAGCTCAAATCACAATAAACAAAGACACAGTCATCGATTTTCAAACGAGGTTACACTGCCTGCATCTGATCATAACTGACAGTGAATACTATCATTCTGTAATAGTAATTACTTCATCATAAATGTTAGAAATGATGCTCCTGTGTTAGGATAAATGCTCACAGAAACACACACATACACACTTTTAAACAGTATGTGCCTCATGAAGATGCAAGGTTCTGATATGAAGGGAAGGCTCAGAGCTTTAAAGAGGCATTTAAAGAAAAACTCCTGAACAAGCAGGCTAAGTACTCCATTTTTTCTCTTAAGGCAGCAAGACTGTGGAGTGAACACAGAGCAGATAAAGGTATCTCTCAGTCTCAGCTGGCAAAAAAAGAAAGAAAAATCGTCAGCCATGTTGGAGTAGCTTTATCTAATATCCCCTCCTTATTATGTTGGCTCTTGCTTTACGGTGGGGGACATTTGCCATTCCTCGCCTGATACACCAAACACTAAAAAAAAAACAGCCATGGTCAAAAGAGAAAGAGCTGAGCAGAGTATCAACACACTAAGCAAATTCTCACCTCCTGTTTACGTCCCTCCACTTTGTAGAAATTCCAATAAACCGTCTGGATCTCCTCTTTAACAAATCCTAAAGGGCAGCCATCTTGCCTCCTTCTGTTCTTCTATGAAACAGACTATCCCCCACATCAATATTCATGGAAACCAGTCTGACGTCAGCTCTCATCATCAGGAGAAGCCCTGGTGTCGCTGTTTGGCGGCCGGAGAGGCACACTCATGTGGCTCTAGTTGTGAGACTACACAGGCGCAAAGTAGACAAGATGTTGCTGCAGGTCAGGGGGAAGAGCCTTGCTTTGCTGGCAAGCCGAAATAATCACAAAATCACTTTCCTGCCGGGTCCTCTCCACACAAAGAGACAGGTTTTCTTTCCCTCCTCTGCTCCCTCCTCTTTTTTTTTCTTCTTCCCTCAGCCGCACACAATAGTGAACACTATGATGGCTGCCCTGAAGCACTGGAGTGGATTTAGTGAGCAGGACAGGACTCCACCCCCAGTGCACTTTATGTTGAATATTGCACCGCTCTCAACTGCTCTGGCTGAGGCAGGGTAAAAGATGCCTCCAACCCCCCTTCCTTTTTTTTCTCAGACAGGAAGCCAAGTGACTCAGGGTTTTTCCCTCTCGTCTAACACCAGTCTCAACTTCCTCCTTTCATTTTCTTTCTTCCTCTGTCATTGGTTGCAGAAGTTCCCCTCTGGTGCAATAGCCCTCATTTTTGGAGTCTATTACAGCAAAATCGGAGTGGGCCAGTTTGGAGTCAAACCAGTTTAGCAGCGCTCTCATTTTCCAGCTGCTGTGTCTTATTTTGGCACGCCTCGTCTGACTGGCTGACTCATTTTTAGAGTGGAGCGTAAGACAACTCTGCAGCCTGCATACAGGCAGCATAACTTTGCTTCATGTGGCTGCCAAGACCCACCTCCTGTTGACACTGGCCACGTGGGCCAGAGAGAGATAGAGAGGGCTGTGTGAGAGGGAAAAAAGTGGGCTGAGAGGGCTTTGAAAGACAAACTCATCCAAAGACACTCGCTACTGAAACTCAAGAAAGTCATGAAAAGTCATTTGGACCTTTTACCGTTGAGGGTTTCTGTTTTATCGTCTTTATGCAGAGCTGGAAGTTTGAGGATTGGTTTAATAGGCAGGCAAGAAAGACATGATATTGCATCTTTAACAACAAACATATTTTGTATCACCACATTTTTAACCACCGTGTTAACCGTTAACAGCACCGCCACTCTCTAAACAGTTTAATTCCTCTTTTCTTCACGAACAGGTGGGTCTTGTCTGAAAATAATCTGCCTTTAGCTTCAGTTCAGGCTTAAACGGCGACCCCACCTCTTTCCCAGCAGCCCCTGCCTTGCTGCAGTGACATTTGTTGACTCAATAGTTTCAGGCCGAGAGCAGAAAAGGAGATTTGTTTTTACACAGAATGGGGGAGGGGAAGTGGCAGAGAGGAGGGAGAAGCCACTCTAGCTTGAACACAAATCCTGAAAAAGACAAAATCGAGCTTTTTTTACACCCGGTCTGGATATTTTCCTTCAGATTACTCAGCTGGAACTCCAGTTTGTGTTAAACAAATAAAGCGTAAGCCTTTAAACTACTCTTTATAGCTGTAGTTAAGATAAAGCATGTCAGTCTTGCAGCTTGTGGGGAAAACACACTGGTCAGCCTCTAAAAATAGACATGAATAATGTCTTCAGTGATAAGAGACACGTTTTTTTAGACTTCTAAAGTGAATAATTCAAAGATAGTGATTGATTTTCTTCTTCAGCCTTAAATGATCACATTGTAGGAGCTACAGATTAACAGACTAGTAGATTTTTAAATTGTCTTTTTTATTAAAAGAGCTGTAAAAGTTATAAAATCTTTATAAACACAGCATAAAACCTTTATAAACGATATATCTGCTGTTTCTGAGGCGGCACAAATGTTCCTTTGACATCGGCTCAGTTGAGAAACTACCGTTCACACTTTGTCAAACCAAGAGAGCTGACATCAGTGAGTGGTCTCAGCTTTATTTGTCGGTGATAAGATACTGAGTGGATATTTCTGGAGTTTCCAGGGGACTGCTGACTGTGGCATGTTTATGTTTGTCTCGTGTTGCTAATCTTTGTTCGCGGACTGAACCCACTCCACCAGAGAGCTTACGCATTGCCATTTTTAAAAGCCCGCAGGACTTGTGAAGATCTTAAACTCGGTGAATGAGAAGCTCTTTTTCGCCCCTACTCATCAACTGCCATTCAAGCGCCCCTGAGCAAGGCAGTAAAACCACCTCTGCAGCAATGAAGTGTCCTGCTCCTCTGTGCTGCAGGGCTCTTACGGGGTTGTTTGGTCTGGTCAACTTCCTGGCTCTGCTGCCTCAGGTCTCTGCTGTAAACTAGAAGTGGCGCTTAGTAAACCGGCCTGTATAAATAACATTTAAACTAACAGAAGCATGTGTAGATGTTTTCCGTTTACATTTCTCACTGTTCAATTTGTTGTAAAGATAAAAAAAAAAGGTAACCTTTCCCAGGCAGCATGTTTCTACATATTTATTATCTCTTGTTTTCTGTTTTCAGAGCTTGATCTGCCACCACATCTATTCAGAGGTGTAGTAAACACATCCAGTGGAGCTTATCTTGTTGCTTCAAACGGCCATATTGACTCTGCTATGCGTATTGCGAGCACCCAGTTAGCAGGGCTCCTTGCTGAGCTGTTTCCCCCTCCAAAGCTACTGTAACTCGTAAATCAGAGATTATCTCGTCATTCCGCTCACCTAGTCACATTTCAAAGGCCTGGTGGCATGTGCCGTCACCTCATCTGTAAACACAGAGCTGTGGCCTCATGCTGACCCAGGGTCACCAAAATTTGGGCCCACTTGTCACTTGACTGATTTCACACCTGAAGATGATGATGATGAGCATTAGTGGGGGGATTGTAACTGTTCGCGGAGCGCTTATTGATTTATGATAAACAAATCAAAGACAGGAGCCAGCTGGCCCACAGGTCAAAGATCTGGCTCTCTGCGTGCCACTACGAAGTCATAGTTAGTTAGGTAGTCACTAAATCTACTCCAGGAAAAGACGTTTTTTAAGCTCAAACTGCGGCTCCAACATGTGGCTTCATGTGATCTAGCTGGGTGGTGCAACCGCAGAGTGAGATGAGTCATTTTTACTTCTTTGATTTGACTCAAATTTTATGAGAAGTGGAGCTGAAGAAGGTGAGGAAGTTTTCTAAATGAGAAAGCAAGCTCATATTTGGATGATAATTTCTACAAAACACTCAGACAAGCCTGCAAGTTGATGCAGGACAAATTAGAGACTGTTAAAAAACTATTATGTGAAGCAGCTTCGCTTTTAAAAACATAATCTTGAAATTTCGAGAGACAAAATAGCTTTTTTGTTTCTGCAATTGGTTTAAAAAAAAAGCCTTAGTGTCTTTTAAAGCAGTGAAATACTCCTTGTGCTGTGATTGTTTTGAATTTGCTCAGATTGCACTGTCATGACTCGTCTTTTCGCCTTCACAAGTTTATCTTTTATATTTGGTGTGAATCATTTGCTCCTCAGTAAGGTGGAGACTCAAATCAGTGCAGGCTGATTTGTGACGAAAGCACTGATTTACAGCTGCTTTTCTTTACATTGTTCTGACAGAAGGAGAAAAATAGTGACATCTGAGGCACCACAGAGCTGCTGGGGGCTTGTACTGAAGCTGAGAAAACCGGCACTTCCCACAAACACCCGCGGTATTAGCTCACCTCTCACCTGGGGCAATCTAAACACAAACTCTTTATGTAGGGGTAATAACAAGGTAGCTTGAGCTCGGGCCAATACACAAGTGTCTGACAACAAGATCCCCCCCTAACAAGATGTCACCCGGTGCTGCCCCTCCTCCTGCAGTTATCTTAAAAGACAAGGGAGAGTCGTTAGTGTGGCTCTCACATGGCCTAATTGTTTGAGCCTCAGCAGGAGGTCTGGGGACAGGGCCTGAGAGAAAGAGAGGGAGAGTCACTGGAGATTGGTTACTTTAATCAGGAGCTGAAAAACACAACGATCTCAGATATTTGTGCCATTTTAACCGCTTTTCCGTGTCCAGTATTTTGTGATGCCGGACTTTTTTGTCCACCTTACAAGACCTCTGTGCTCAAGCTTGTGTGTGTGTGTTTTGAAGTGTGTGTGTGCATACCGTATAACAATTGAGAAAGCTGCTCCCCGAGCACAGCAGGGTTGGATAGGGCCAATCATTGCCTGTCTCTGTTCCCGTGACGACCAACTGCTACTGGTGGATTCAGGGCTTGGTTCCCGCGTTCAGGCTGCAGGTGCTTCCATCCTCCCCTTCATCACCACCCCCGGCTGAAGACTCTGTGGGCCCGTACCTCCATTCAGAGTAGGAAAGCCTTTTAATTTCAGACCAGCTGTGTGATACCAGCCTCTTCTTGTCCAGAGGGAGAATCATTGTTTGGGTCACTGCTGTGGGCCGGTTCTCGGTTTGGGTGTAGGTCCAGGCGTCCTGCTTCAGAACCATCTTTTTAAAAAGAATTAAAGGTGAAAACTCACATAAACAAACAGAAATGGAAAGATTCTCCTGAGGTGGTAGATTAATCCTGAAAATAGCTCATATCTATTTTAAATGAGTGGCAGATCTGTAAAGAAACAAAATATTTCCTGTTTAAAATTAGATTAGAGTCTGCATACATCTTCTCTGTTTGCTTACCGCTCCCTGGTGTCTGGCACGGTGCAGGTGATGACCCCTGCTGGTGAAGCACTGTGACCTATCCTGCATGTGATTCCCCTGTTAAAGAGATGCCACAGTATTGGACAGTTTAATGTCATCATAAAATGTGAAACTTCATTTCAAGTTTTGTGTTCAAAAAGGCCTTTCAAGATTTCATTTAGATTCTTTTCAACTGTATTTATCTTCTGAAAGGTTGATAATTTAGTTTGTATTTACTTTATTTTGTTTCTTTCAGTCCAAGTCCAATAAAAAGTGACAGAATCAAGTAAAAGATTTAAAGTTAAAGAAGAAAACATGTTCAAAAGTTGTTTCTTCATGCCTGAGAAATGATCTGTTTAAGGGAAGTAAAACCCCATCAAAAGTGGTATTAAATGTCACCATATTTTCTATTTCACCATCACTATTCAACATCCTTATGCAGGTGGATTTTGGTCTTCATTTCCCCTCCTGCTAAATGTCCCAGCAGTACACACTGTGTCGTTTGTGCTCATCACAGCCCCCTTATGTCTATGATAGTCTTTGATATGATGTGGTCTGCTCTTGGGTGGGCAAAGTATTCAAATTTAAGGTTAAGAAAAAGTAAAAATAATATGACTCCAATTCCAAATAAAATAAAAGTTGGGATGCTGTGTAAAATGTTGATTAAATACAGATTTAGCTTGTGTTCAAATCATTTAAACTCTATATTAAATCAAAAACAGTGCTGGAAAAGCATATTAAATGTTGAAAGCTTAGTGAAATGTTAATTTACTAAAATATTTGTCTTTTTAAGTTTTAATGCAGCAAATTTGAAAAAAGGTGGGACAAAAAAATTGCAAATTATTTGTGGATTTCATCATCTACAGTATATAATAGTATCCAGAGAATCTGAACAAATCTCTGTACAAAAGAGATCATGACAAAAAACACCACTGGATGTCCCTGACCTGTGGCCCCAGGCAGCACTGCTTTTAAAAGAGACGTGACTCTGTAGTGAATATCTACAGAGTAGTAATATCTGGACTTTAAATCATTTCTAAAACCATTGTGAACAAAGAGAGAACCAATTCAAAACATGATCTAGAAAAGCCAGCAACTCTTCTGGACTAAAGCCCACTTTGGGGAGTGGAAAACCCTCCTGGGCCAACAAATCAATATTTGACAGTGGGGTGGGTCCTCCAGCATCCACCCAGCTTGCTAGAAGCGCACACTTGGAAAGCAAGCAGCCTTGACGATAGGCCATGGGCTGCATAATGCAAATGTGCCAATGTCATGAGAGCTGCTTACAGCCATTAAAGCTCGACAAATGTGCTGCCATCAAGACAAAGCCTTTTTCAAGAAAGACCAACATGACACATGCCAAACCATATTCTGCATGCAACAGTAAACTCCACAGTGGAAGAGTCCAGGTGCTAAAGTTGCTCACCTGTAGTTCTAATTTCTCACTTGTTTAAAAACTAAAAAAAAAAAAGAAAAATTAGAAAACAAATGTCTGCATAGCTCATCTACATACAGTGTTCAGCATAAATGAGTACACCCCCTCAGAGTTGTCAGAAAACCTTTAGTTTCCTTTCAAAATCAACATTTTCTATGTCAGACTGTACAACAAAATACTCCCCCAAATGAAGGCCATTGATTGCAAACATGATTTTTTAAGCCGCATACATAAAAGTATTTTTTTCTATTTAAAATCAAGATGCAAAAATGAGTACACCCCAATCAAAGTTCTGGGAGCAAAGCTAAATTTCAGTTCCCATATCACCCTTATTTTCATCTTATGGTAAATAAAATGTCATGTTAAACTCAGCTTTGTCAAAACTTTGGAAATTGTACTTTTGCTCATCTAGATATTGAGTACTACCTTCCTTTTAATAGGAGGTGTACTGACTTATGCTGGGCAGAGTCCCTGTATCATCCTCACTTCACAATTTCCGTAAAATGTTTTGCAGAGAGAAAAGCACTTCAGTATTGCACTCATGTAAGACCAGCAATAGATTTGAACATATTGATAGAGACTGGTCCAAGTTGCATGAAAAATCTGATTCAATGTGTCAAAGGTCAACCAAACATCTTTATCTCTATGGTGATGTAAAATTAGCAACTAGTCAAAACCACAGACTGTATATAGAATGGACGCCGTCTGCCTCCTCGCTGGGTGAAGCCACTCCGAGAACAGCACCCTCTGCTGCAGTATAAGTCATGAATCCCACCTCCTCCAGCAATCCCTATGAAGCTGTGGACAAACTTTAGAAATTTATTACACAGAATATAATTTTTTCTCACCCCTGCTTGCGATGTTGACATGTAGTTATTGTAAGACTGGTTTGTGTTCAAGTCCTCTTTTTTCTGTACGGCTCCGTTTTTAAAAGTTATTAGAGGGTTCGTGTTTTTTTATAATTGACACTTGATACAGCCTATGGGCGTACGAAGATTGCGTAGCTCAACCGGAGGGATACGCTGTTTGAGCCGAGCGTCATCGCAGCGACTCTCCTACCGAATGCATACAGTGCTACTACGCAAGTCGTGGTTCCAGGAAGTGGAGAAAATCACGGAAATCCCGAGAACGTTTCAGCTTCAAATCTGTATACTGGCAGAAGGCGGAATCAAGTTGTCCATAGTATAAACAGTCTGTGGTCAAAACTCTTGTGCAACATGTCAGACAGCACACCTCTATCGTGAGAATGCTGGAGTTGATGATTTGTTTACAGTAAACTGCAGTGTCCCTTTCAAAGTGTCAGAGACGAGTACCAGAACGTGTTTCCTCCATCTTTAATTACAGAATCAGAATCTTAATTGATATTCACGTAGGAATATTTGTGCGGTAAGGCAGCTCTCACACTAAGCTTGGATTCTACGCAGTGCAGCTGTAGGTGCAACGATAAACAATTCACCTGCGCAGGATTGTTGCTCAACTTGTTTGTCAAGCCGGAATGAAGCACAACCAGCCTGTTGAGCTGCCTGCAGCGCGCGGCTCACAAACAGCCACACAGCTGCCCAACAGCAAGAGCAGCTGCCGCCTCCTCCTCCTCCTATCCTTATCTTTGCATTGGCAGCTGAAATGCTCCTTCCAGATAGCACAGACATGAAATCATCCCTTCACCTGCTCGGGGCTCGGTTCAGCATGACGAGCACACAGAGCAACAGCCGCCCCCGGCCATGTTGTCTATCACCAGACAAACCTCCCCTTCCTCTGAACTACTGAACCATAAAACACTTAAACCTGACAGGAAATAAAAACAGATAAGGAAAGGCAAAGCTTGGATTTTACTCCCAAAACAGTGTGTGAGGACGAGGGAGATTAGGACTCAGATTAAGGCATCCACAGCAGAATTCATCCAGACAGTCTGGCATTAAGGTAATTAAGGTGATGTTTTGCAGCAGTGAAGATGGGC